CATAGATGCCTAGAATTTGGTTTTGTTTTGTGGCGGTTAGGTCTTAAACCCTTTGTTCAACAATGCCAAGTTGTGCAGAATTTAATTTACTCTTAAGCAGCAATCTGCTTTCTTTTTAAGGAGGTAATTCATGCTAGTGCTCTTAATTTGCAAACCGCCAAATTCGAATTGTATAGTTCCATTTTTTCCTTTTCACAGCAAATTGGAAGGATAAACACTTCATACTCACTCATTTAGAAAACCCCTGTTTTACAAGAGTGACAACTTGAGTATCACAAAGAGACTGCAATCTTGCATTTATAAACAATCGTCCCCTATATTTTGATAGAACTATTACTTGAATTCCAAGTTCCCCAAAATAGAGAGAAAAAGTTACCAGCCCTTCCTAAGAACAGGGCCAAGACTGCAAATTCTGCTGCATGGCAGGATTGACAACTGGGAATGGTACTGATAATAACTTATATGGTGATAGATGAGCACAGCTAATGTCAAAAGACAATGAGAAGTTCTGAACAGCTCTACCATTCGCGAATAAAATCACAACAACATATAAACAATTTAAACTTGAGAAGCAGGCAGGGCTAACTGTCTCCGTACAAGATAGTTAACAAAAAATGGTTCACGATGCTGGATAATTTGGATAGAAATGCTTAGGTGAAATAGAGAGGAGTTATCTTTAATCATGTGAAACATGTGAAATCCCTTCGTGCACAAGCAATTTCTGCAGTCATATAAGATCAGGCTCTAAAATGATTTGGAAAAAGTTTGGTCTGACACCTCATATATGCAGCTAATATTTGAAATGTAATGGGAAAAAAGAGAGAAATTCGTTTAAACTTGAAACTAATAAAAATATATTGAAAACAACAGAACCCTACAATTATTTAGCTTGAAAGAAAAATATTCTGTCATAATTAAAAAGACTAGCTATATTTGTTGCAACCAATTATGTCCAAAGGAAGGAGAAGCTACCAGAGCAGCCCGATGATACTTGTCGAGTCCTTCAATTAAACTGAGAGTTATCTGGTTTCATATTCTGGAACCTGTCCTTCATTATCTGGTGCAATATCTGAAAGTCTCCAGAGTCTTCACTTCCATCTCACCAATGTGTTTGAAACTTGAAGGGTGTCGTCTTTGAACACATTAAATGTTAATTTTGATATTTGGGATGTGAGAAATTTTGAACCACTCTTTTCCTTTCTCCTTTTGGCAATGTTTTTGGAGAATTTTACACTTGTTGATCGTCAAATTCTGCAGTGGTATTTTTCGGAGGAAGTTTGGTAGCACTTTTATGCAAAAGCAAGAGTCAATCTCTAAGGTATGAAGACTTGGCATTATTTTGATAGAAGCATCCCCTTTCATGGACCTTGCACTCCCTACCCATGCATTCCACTTGAACAAGGATGAAAATCGAAGTTCCCTCAATTTTGGGAATGAAATAATAGATGAGTTTTCCGACCCACCAGAATCTATTCCCAAAAACTCACACCCAACCTTTTTCATGCTACTCATAAGACATATTTCCAGTGATTCAAGGGATGGGAGTTTCCCCAAAGGAGGTAAAGACTCACAATCTGGGCAGGAATGCAGGATAAGCCTTCTCAAATTTGTTAACCGCAGCATCCAATCTGGAGATATGGTAGTGTCTCGATATTTTCGAATCTCTAAAGATTCCAAATTTGGATGTGGTTGTAAAGCTTCAAGTATAATTTTATCTTCAAGTCTCCTCTCTTCACTCCAATCAAAATCTAGATTCAAATCAACAAGGTTCCCTCTAGTAATGAGTTCTACTTTCTCAGCCGCAGTCACATTTTGTAGGTTTCCACACCTACAAATATGAAGATACCCTTCAAGGTTCAAATTTTTCAAATCTCCCAGCTTAAATGCTTCTTCCTTATCATCACATGGTACAACGAGCATATCGAGTGTCTGAAGAGAAGTCAGCTTTGCAATTCTCCTCGGCAAACTCTCTAGATTAAAACAATAATCAAGGTGAAGATGTCTTAAGTTCACTAGTTTCCCCATCCCTTCTGGTAGTTTTCTAATTTGCATGCAATCGTTGATCAACAAGGTTTGCAAGTTCGACAAATCACACAATGTCTCCGGCAATATTTCCAACTCATCATTACTAGATAAATTGAGATATCTCAAATGTATGAACTTACCAACCTCCTGTGGTAGTTCTTTGAACCAGCAGCGACTCAAATTTAATGTTCTAAGACATGTTAGATGCACAAATGTCCCGGGATTTATCGGAACATTCATTGAACACAAAGTGAAGAGGGTGCGGAGTCCTTTTCTGTTGTGCGTTGAGATAGGAATTGCATCCCCAGGTGCTAGGACAAAAGTAGAATGACGAGCCCCTTTAATGTCCGGCTCTCCTATGTGACCCCCAAGTGCTTGGACAAAAGTAGAATGAAGGGCGCCTTCAACGTCTGGCTCTTCAACACAATCAACACCCGTGATAAAGCATTCATATCTAGTGACATATTGGGCCAGGCGGTGCACCAAGTCATGCATCTTGCATTTGATAATATTTCCTTTATAATCTCTTTCAAAATCCTGGAAGAAAGACCGCATTGCTAAGTTCATAAAGTATTCTTGACCTAACATTTCCTTCTCTTTGTTTCTGTCAACACTGAGACCAAGAAAACCTTGTGACATCCACATTTTAATTAAATTGTCTCTCTCAATCAAGTGATCTTTCGGAAAAATTGCACAATATGAGAAACAACATCTTAGTGCAGGAGACAAATCATGATAACTGAACAGAAGCAGGTCAAAAGTGCTTATGTTGTTGGCATGTCCCAATTCCCAGATCATCTCTCGCAAAACAGATTCCCACTCTCCTCTACTACTCTTAAAGTGCAGGAGACCCCCGATGACCTTTATCGCAAGAGGCAAGCCATAGCAGATCTTCACAATTTTCTTACCAATTTTTTCTAGTTGTTTGCACTCACTTGCATCCCTTCCAAAAAATGCAATTTGCCTAAACGTCAACCAAGAAGATTCTTGTGACAATGCATTTAGATGCATCATCCTAGTTGCTCCCATCCTCTTAGCCATGCTCTCAGTTCTTGCGGTCACCAAAATTCTACTGCCCGCCGCACCAAAACGCAAAAGCTTCCAAAGAAGATACCCCTTTGAAAAGTCTGCATCCCGGGGATCCCACACATTATCCAACACAAGAAGGAACTTCTTTCCTGAAACAGATGCACGAATACTCTCAAGTAAAGCTTCCAATTCAACCAAGTTTGATGTCTTATTTTTTCGGGCAATAACTTGAAGAATTTCTTCAGCAATCCTCAACTCACGAGACGAAAACGACTTACACACCCAAATTCTGAAATCAAAATGAGTTTTAACCTTTTGATCATTATATACTAATTGTGCAAGAGTGGTTTTCCCAATTCCACCCACACCAACAATGGAGATGACACCAGGCCCCCTAACCACACCCTCTTCACTACTCTCAGATACCAAATTTCTTATTAACATCTTCTGATCGTCATCTCGACCATATAAACTCGGTTCTTCAATCAATTTATGGGAGGTAGAAATTCCTGTTCCTACTCTCTCCGGCTGATCAATCTCTCTGTACTTTCTAAACCTGAACCCATGACTCTCAGCGAAAATCAGACTCAGTCTTTCCCTCAAACACTTAATACGACGTCGTTGACCGACCCGATTGACTAATTGACTGCAGCAAAAGCAAGAGGTAAGCCGAGAGAAGCATACCTTCATCAAAACGAAAGCTTTCTTTGTTCCATGAGTTTCTTCTTCCAATTTGGGTATGGCAGTGCTCAACTCGTCCAACACGTCTTCGATGTCGCAGCTCACGTCTTTGAGCTTCCCCAACCACACTCTCACGCGCTCCTCTTTCACTCGCCTCTTCTCTGCATCCTCCAGCACTGGTTCAATGTGGCGGAGGATTCCGGTGAGCTCTGTAAATTCTTCCTTTCCGTCCAGTTGGTCTAACAGTCTGGAAACCAGGGCAAGTGCATCAGCCATGATCGGAGCTTTGGAGCTTGAAGCTTGATTGGCAAGAAAGACAAGAAAAGGGGGCGGCTATATACGAAATGAAAAAAGGAAAGACAGACTTTCATTGAAAAAAAAGAAAAGGAAAGAGAAAGATTTTCTTTTGAAAAAAAAAAAGAAAAGAGAGATTTTCTTTTGAAAAAAGGAAAGAGAAAGATAACATATTTGTACCAAAACTGGAAAGAAATAACAAATATTTACAGGGCCGAATATTATAAAGGTGAGTTTGCGTAGCTGACAAGGCCTCAACACTTAATTTCTTGTCTAGTCACTAGCTTGGACTATAAGACTGGATAAACTAATTTCACACATCATCAATTATATATAAGTATAGTTTTTGGTCTTTTTAATAATATTTAATTACTATTTTATTCTTATTGTATTAATTTCTTTTTACGTAGTTTAATTTAAATTAGCATATCTGCAAGTTCGATGTTCCACTTCATCAATTATATCTTAAAAGCATCATGAGCCTCTAGGAATTTCATAGCATGCATGAATCCTGAATTTTGGAGGCATTAAAGGTGGAGATTAAGACCACTTAATTATTGTCATGTAAATTTGTTAATTTTAATTTAGTATCCATGGAATATAGGTAGCTATAATTATTTAAGATATCCAATTCACGATTAAAGATTTTGAACATCTGACATGTTTTCAGAGAAGCAAATAAACTTACGATAGGTTTTGCTAATATTGGGCAGTTAAGGACTCCAAAGGGAAAGGGGTCGTAGTTGTTTTTTTTGTTGTTTTTTTTTGTTAATAAATGAATAAATAAATAAAATAAGTGCGAACGCTACGAATCCTACACGTGGTTAAGAAATTAAAACCCCACAGCCAAACACGACGCCATAAGATGCACCCGAGCCTGCCTGAGTTTGTTTGACGGCTCAAATAAACCACAAGAGAGAAAGTGCGAGGAAGTGAGAAAATTTTAGGGAAAGTTGAAGAAGCAAAAGAAGATGAGCAGCGAGCCCAAAACCAGTAGCGCAACTGGAGGAGGAGGAGGAGCAGCAGGAGGAAGGGGATTTAGGGCGAAAATGGAGCACTACATGTACAGCGGTGAGAAGAAGCACGTATTTGCTGGCATCGTTCTTGTCAGCGCCGTCTTTGCCGTTCCTTGGTACCTCATGACTCGAGGTTTGGTTATCTTTCTCACTATTTTTTTTGGATTTTCGCGCTGTCGTTTGGGTTTGAGCATAATGTAGCTGCAAATTTTAGGTTTTGGAATTTTCCTAATTTTTCTTGGCAACCAAACAGTGGAAATAATTGGGTCAAGTGGTTCCATTCTACTACACAAATCAGTTTAAATTAAATTCATCGAAATGTGTAAATTGGATCAAGTGTTTACTGATTGCTCGAGCCTCCTTTGTGTATTTAGTGAATAATTAGATTTGGGTTATGACTATCTGAGCTATGGGAATTACAATAATTTGTATTTAGGAATTAATGTTTATTTATTTGGTTTTTTTTATATGTAAAATAATACATATAAGCTCATCTTAATATGCATGTTGTCATAGGAAATTTGGGGCATTTTGTTCTGCTCCCTTGTTCTGTGTTTGTGTGTAAAAAATAAAGGGGAAAAGACAATATGCACTGTGATTTTGACTACCATATTGTAGGTTAATACATGGTTGTAATCCATGAATGTCCCTTGTATGAATGGGGTTCGTACTTCATTATCAGATTTTGTTTCGGTTGCCGGTTGATTTGCCTACCTCCCTTTCCTATGCATAAGAAAGTCATGCTGCTGGTATTTTATCTGCTAAATAAATGTAATTCAAACTGTGTTCTCTCCTGTAGGGGCAAAGCATCAATCCCATCAAGATTACTTAGAGAAAGCTGATAAGGCAAGGAGCCAAAGACTTTCTTCAGGGGCTTCTTCTGCTAAATGATTTTGAAAGCTTTCTTGTTAAGGGTGTGTAACTTTCCTCTGCTTTTTTTTCTTCTTCTTTTAATGGTTGGAAGGTGCAGTAGGTCTTTGTTGTTTGGCACTGTTTTAGCCTTCTCAACCTGTTCTCTGGAAGAGATACTGGCTTCTCATGATCCTTGAGGAGCAATAGTTTTGTTTATTTTCCTTGTGATAGTTACAAATCTACAGTCCATGAGGAACACATTTTCAATAACCAGCTAGAAGCAAACTTCTATTTCTTGTTATGTCAATCAGGCTTCTTTCTGGTGTCATGTTGAGTTGCACTATAAAGTATGGCCGTTGAACCAAAAAAAGCAGCCCAGCACTACTTTTCTTAATCTTGTGCATTTTGAGGTTCAGCATGTCTAGTAGGTGAAGCTTTCAACTTCATTCAACTTTTTTATTTGATACAGCCAATAAAATTTTGAAATTTTTTTTCTTTAGTTCTTATTTTCTGTGAAAAATCTTTTAGCCTATAGCTTATATCTTTCAACCCCTAAACCCTAAAACTTGTGTCTTTCTTATGTATGGTGTTTTGTAACTTTTTGAACATTTTTTGTGTATTGTGTTCGACATAAGTTTTATAGCATTATAACACGTTTTCTTTATGTTATACTAAATACCTTTTTGTTGTTGGAGTATTGTTGAAAAAAAGGCTAGAGCAAAACGAGTAAAGACACACGAACTCGCAAAAATTGTGAATAGGTTTCATATATTGAAACACGATAAGTTAGCAGATTATATTTGGAATAATTTCACACAACACGACGCGTCGCCAGGTCTACCGTCAAAGTATCTCAACGGGTCATGTTTGCCAACTTTCAAGGTTGCTTGTCTTATTCAAAGAGAAAAACACAAGCAAACAAGCCATTCTGTTTATATCTTTGTAAATAGGGTTTTATTAAAATAGAATGATAATTATCGAACCACACCAATCAACAACTGATGAACTGTTTATTCACTGACCAAAGAATTCTTGCTTAGTGCAAACTTGCATATCGGCACGCGCTTTCGAGCCTGTGGGAGACTTTTTATTTTATTTTATATTTTAAATTTATTTTATTTTAGAATTAAAAGAAGAAAATGGCTAGTTGTGTTCTATAAAAATATGATTTATTATCTGATTTTTCTTTGAATTTTAATTTTTTTTAATATGAAAAAGTGTGAATTTATCATATTATTCGCATTTAATTAATAATTTCAATTCTCAATGTTTGCATTAATCAATTGTATTTTTTGGTATTTTGAATTTGTTAACATTCTCTTCCTTTTGCTTTATATATATAGATTAACAAATAAAAAAGTTAAATCAGGAGCAGATGAATTTGCTTAGAAATACTATGTTTTACTGCACATACCTTTTTTGCTTTTTTAGTGAATTTGATATTGAATGAAATTGAAAGAATCGATCCATCCAAATAACTTTCCATTTATGGTGTGTTTACTAATCAGGAATTAGAATTAGAATTAGGAATTGAATCTCAAGTATGGATGATTATTGTGTTTACTTCACATCAAGGAATTAAAAAGTAAGTAGGACCCACATAAAATTAGAAATTAAATACCTAATTTTAGAAGAATTCAATTTTTTGGTGGAATATGGTATTCTAATTCCTCTATATCTAACTCATTAAGAATTCATCTTTTTTACTCATTATATCCTCACACAATTTTTAAAATTCCAACCCTAAACCCTGTATATCTAACCCATTAGGAATTCTTTTTTTTTTTACCCATCATATCCTCACACACTTTTTAAAATTCCAAATTTTTTATCTACTTTAACCCAACAACAAGAACATTTTAGTAATTAATACCACTCCAACCCCAATTCCATATGGTTTAGTAAACAATTTCAATAGGAATCCTAAATCTAACTCTCCTCAATCCATATGATTTAGTAAACAACTTAAACTTCAGTAGAAACCTGGAATCTTATTCACCTCAATCCAACTCCTCAATTCAATTCCTCCTAATCTAAATTTAGGAACATAGACAATAGCAATATTTTTTTTTTTCTTTTTCATTTGTAGAGGTTTCGTTTTACATCTAAAGTGGCATCAGTCTTCTGTACTTGAAGAACCACACAAATGCAGAAAATATGCAAAAGCCAGTTACACCTGTAATTATAAGTACCCACTTAAATGCACCAGCGTTATCAAACAAAGGTATTGTGAAGTTCATCCCAAAGATTCCTGCTACGACCCCAAATATAGCAACTACAAATGTTGCAGTTGTGAGTAGTAGCTCAAATTGGATCAGCTGATTTCGGACATTATCCTGCGAGCAAAAACTTTCTAGCGTTAAATTTTTGTTCCCTTCATACCGACAAATTTCAAAGAAACGAAACTGAAAGTAACATCTAACATTATTGTAATCTTTAGCTATAGAATTAGCATTAGCCAACGAATTACGCATGGTATTATAGAGGTTTCTAATGATAAGTCCTCGGCAAAATTCAAATTGTATTAGAAAGTCTGCAGTAAAACAATGAGGTCCCTCAGTGAACATTCAATGCTAATAACTTAGTAAGTCTAGTGTACTTATTCAATAAAAGGATCATGAAGGGACTTTTGACTAATAGTACACTTACCTAGCGTCTTTATTTGTTCAATATAATTGTTTAACAGCTTTTGGATATTTGAACAGTGTTTTAGGCAATATTTGAGACTAAGTAATAAACTATCTACTGACCAAAAAAAAAGTAACAAACTATCTCTTTTCTTCTTTATTCAATTTTTAGACAAATGTTTTAGGCAATATTTGAGAGACATTTAGACATTTATTGAGAAAAAAATAAATTAAACGACGCATACCAGCTGAATGTTTATGAAATCTTCTGTGTCATCAATGTACTCTTTCAACTGAAACACGGACAGAAATAACATAAGCTTGTATTCTACTCAAGTTAATATGACACTGGAATGATTAGATATAGTCATTGATGTATATACTGATGTCAAAGTTCAATAAAACAAGTGCTATGCATACCGATGTCAGCTTATTCAGTGTGCTGTCAATGACAACAAAGTATGCTTCCAACAGCATCTCAAGCTCTTCTATACTCTCTGTAGCACTATCTGAACTTCTCATGCTTTCATGTCGACTCCTTGCAATGCTCAGGCTTTTCTCAAGCTTTCGGCCATCGGGAGGTGAAGCTACAGGAGAAACAGGAGCAGAAAGAGATGTACCATCAGTAGATCTGTACCCCAGCACAGATTGATCACCATAAAACGATGACTCCATACGACTTTTCTTGTCAGTGAGATACATCTCAGCCATATCTCCATCATCATCCATGAGCTGCTCTATTTCATCCCGAACCTAAATAGATGCAGCTCAAAGGTTGGAAGACAGTTTTGGTCATCATTTGGAGTCTTAAGCAGGATGAAATAACAAATGAGATGATTATGCAATACCTTCTGAACTCTCCGAGTCAAGGCAAGGAGTCTACTTTTCAATCGACGTGCGCGCTCCAAGTTCAGTGTACTGATCTTTGACGTGAGCTCATCTAGTAACGGATATGCTTCAATTTCTAGTTCAGCTGCCTATAAACAAGCCATTATTAAATGAGTTACTAACTAGGAGAATGTTTAACCAACAAGAAAATGTTCAGACTACCGATGGGGAATTCAAATTTGTAAAGAGCATTTGTGGCATTATTGGAAATATAACCAAATATGTTTTTTTTTTTTTTTTTTTTTTTGTTTGAGAAACAAGGTTTTAAGAACTGATTAACCACACAAGCAAACAAAACAGAGGACAAAATGTCCGCTGAATACCAAAGGTAGAAACTAACAAACAAACATGAGGAATCTGTTAACAACATATCCCTCCCCCTATACAATAACTGGGTGTTCCTTAGACTCTAAAAAGATCTAAACCCGACCAAAATATATTTATATCCCACAAAACCTACACATTCTGCCCCAAAAGAAATTAACTCTGAATAAATGGATTATTATCATGATGACCATGAAGCATGCAAGGAGTCAATGAAAAAGATTCTTCAAATCATCTATATTTTCACTGTCTAAGGCCTCGTCCTTTTCAGTGGTAAACACCACACCACAGATACACCTATTTTGAGTACTTGATGAAAATGAAAGGCACACCAGTTGCTCAAAATAGCAAGGTACTACGTGCTTAGCTTCAATCATCCTGATAAATTTAATCACATAAGTGGCTGAGGCACCAAGGCAAGTATCATCATCACTCAGCGTTAGGCACTAACCTCAAAACTATATAAATTCCTACATCATGGACTATCTTTAAATTTGATACCAACTGAATACTACAAATTTATAGATTTTCTCTGATCTAAGAAAACTTCGTCTCTTCAGTAACTAGTGAAATAATATGATCATAACATTGTTTGACATCATATCATAACATAAAAGGACAACGGCATAAACACAAAAACAAAAACAAAACATAAAAACAATTTCGTATAATAATGACAATCTTTGGTATCATAATAGCATCTTGACAAAAGGGTACACAGACTTTGATCTATCAGTGTAAAATAAAAGGCTAACAGAAGTATGATTCGGCATTCACTATAACAGATACAAGTTTAAATTTTAGATGGATCACCACCAGATTTCAGGGACCAAACATAATATGTAGTTAGCAAACGATTTTTATAACCACATATAGCTACTTATAAACATCTGGTACTTGAGCTAAACAAAATATAGCATGGTTATTGTTGCTGATACACTCCACTTCCTTGCATTACATTACAAGTCTTCATAAACTATTAACTGGCCATCTTGCACATGACAGTATCATTGATATCCTTCAACAATTATAGTGCAGAATTCAATCAATATTTAAAAGGCAAAGTTATGTGAGTATTTTTAGAAATATGTGCTCAAGGAAATACGATGAGAGATAGAGAACCCAAATTCTTGTGCTCTTTTACACACCTGAGAATCAAGAAATTTACAGGCAGCCTCCAGAGCAACTTCTAAGGCCCTAAACTCAAAGGGCAAATAATCAGGAGATGTGCTTCCAAACACACTATCAAAATTTCTATTTCCCCTCCTCCGACTCAATTCAGAACCATCAGATTGCCAAACATCACCTACCCCATTTGTTGTCAATCTTCTCTGAAGCTCCACCACATATTGCAATACATAGCTATCAAGTGAATTCAAAAGAAGAACCTCATCGGCTGTAATTATACATCGAATCTGCTCTAGGTTTACAACGATAGCTTTCTCTCTTCCAAGGATGGTTGAAGGGTAAACAAATAGAGGATCAAGCAGGCGTAGATCACGGGCAGGTAGATCGCAACGACGCATCATGGTGAACTTGTCAACCTCAATGATCTGAGAATTCCCATACGTATCAACTCGAATCCAAGACCGAAGGCCCTGGCCCCCCGCTTCTTCAGCCCCAGAACATCCACACTTTGAAAGGGTTGCCTTCCAAAGGCTGCTGGTCGATAAGATGACTCCCGAAGGTTAATAGCTGATGCTGGTTTTGGGACTTTTGGCGGAAGCAGCCTCTCTTTGAGGTCCTCCATTACCTATGAGCTCTCAGTGCTGCAACAATTAAAATAAGATCAAACAAAATAATTTTCTAATACTACACTTACAAATTGAAGTAGATACGTGGACTAAAATTTATCTGCTGTCTTTATGTATAAAGTTGTCAAAATCATTGATTGCAGGCTTTCATGTTTGCACAAGTACTTCATTTTATGGTTCATGTGTGCTAGATATGATTAATTGCCTACCGAAATACCCATCTTAGATTACAGTAAGAAGACCCAATTTATCAAGAATTAAAAGAAAATAAATTATGGAATAAGGATGTGATTTCCACAAAGAATGGCACACCATACATAACCATTTATAGCAGAGAAAAACCTTATGCAAACGTGGGAACAAAACCAACTTTATGAACTTCAATCCACAGTTCCACCAAAAGAAAATGGAAGGCATCAAGATTCAAACCCCAAATTCAAAAGCTACGAGTTTGGTGGTTGAATGTCCAAAATCCCTGTTTCCACAAGCATGTGAATTGATATATGGAGCAAGAGAAGAAGAGTCACAATCACCTGCAATGAGAAGGAAAACCTGGGTTGCTGCCAGGAGCTGGTGTTCTTGATGATACTCAGCTGGAAAATGAAATTGAAAAATTGATTGGCTTGAATAAGAACCCTAGATTCAGAAATCGGAGAGTGATAGATGAAAACCCAGAAAGGAGAGATTTTTGGCATGCCCAACTGAGCTGTGAATTGAAATTCGCGGTGGGCATATCAGGCGGTTTGCTTACTGGTTTTTTGGAAAAGGAACCAAGGAAGAAGAAGGAATCATTTTCACACGTTCTGGAAACAAAATCCTCAAGTTTCAAAAAGGTATATAATTAAATTAAATTAAATAATGATTTTACTGACAGGAAAAACTTAAAAACAATTTAATTAATAACTATGAATTTGAACACAAGTACAAAATACAATGCGTGAGTTTTGTCTGCTTTTGTTTCGACCCGCTTTAAATGGATCCTGCATCTCTCTATCTCCTACTTCTTCGACAACTTAATGGGTCAACCGGACCTTAACCCGAACCTTAACGGATCCAAATAAATCCAACTCGACTGGATTGTTTTCTTCTTCTTGTCTTTCTTTTCTTTTTTTCATCTCTTAATAAAACCTAAAATATAAAAGGAAAGAGATAACAAAAGTGGCCCCAAAAGCTCATTAATCTACTCATTTCGAAATTTAATATTTCTAGAAAAAACAATGTTTTTTTTTAAAATTTATTTATACAAACAGTATTAAAGATTAATTTAATGTACAGATAAAGAAACTCGAATTTAAGTACAAGAAGATTAGCTAACTTTCCTGACTAAAAAACCTAATCCACGTCAACAAGCACAATGCTTCCTTAGATGTAAAAGGTCAATCCAATTAAAGTTCGACACGTATTGACTTCAAAGTAGGATCTTGGTCAATATAATAAATAAATAAATAAGTGGGATGGATTATCAAACTGTAATTAATTTCTATTCAACTTAGATGTAAAACCTATGATGATTGTTATTTAAAAAAAGAAGAAGATACTTTGTCACTTAGAATTCTTTTTCACAAGTTTAACATTAAAAAAAAAGAGAGCATAAAACTAAGAGGTCAAGGAATGATCCGAACTCAATTCCTTTTTTTCAGTGAAAATTAACCAAATTAGTTAAGAGGTTATTTTGAACCCAGAAAAAAAAGTTACAGAGGTTATCGTTCAAAGTTAGGACAGCCCTTGAAGAGAAGTACGCCAAAGTCTTGGGGCCTTTTCTCTTTTTCGAGTTTTGCCTCTTTCTTTGTCATTTCCTTTTTGTCATAAGCCGAGCCCACAACAACATAGGCCCACACTAAAGTCATAAATTTTGATGATCCCAAACAAAACCTAGCCGCGGCCAATCAACCAAAACCCAACTTTTTTCCTCTTACGAAATTGAAATAATCCAATATCCTAGTTCAAAACCGAATATAACCAAGCCTTTTGTTTGTAAGTCTGTTTTCTGCTTCACTTAAAAGGTTGGTTTTGATTTCGAGTATTATTGTGTATTGATAACATCATTCACTATTTCTTGAAGCTCGATCTCTCTTTCGGATGAACTATTTAGCCAAGAGAAATCGTGAACCAGTATAGAAGAGCTTGCCTCACCCATGAGTAAATACTTCGTAGTAGTCTCATTAGACTGTACATCTTCTTTTAACTAGAGGTGTCCAATGGACTAGACAGGCTAGAGCACGTCCCAATTAAATAAGGCCCGACATAGCATGGTCTGTATTTTTGGATGGGCTAGAATAAGGTAATTCAACCCAATGGGTTGTGCCAGTCTGAAGCCCAATGGGCCGGCCTGTTTAAAGTTCACATCTATTTCTTTTCTCTGTATATATATATATTTTTAAATAAAACATTAAAATTAAAATTAAAAGAGACAATTTGCAATAGTGAGAAGAGAAATCTTGAGAACTCTTCATTTGTAAATGGTGAGGCATTGCCTGCTTGAGCTATGTACAAAAAGGACAATTTGATCCTCAGTTCCATTATATACAAAGAACAACCATTTAGGTTGCAAAGGGATTTGGATTTAACCCATCTATTGATTAATTACATTTCTTCTTCAAATATAAGGATTAATGTGAGATGTGTAGTCCCTGATTCCAGCTCCCTCCCATCCCATCCATTCCTCCCACATGTCCCAATCCGGATCGTTCATTCCTCTCATCGGCTCATCATCTCCTTCATCGTACGTCTCATACATATTGGATGGAGTAGATTCTCCTCTCAAATCGCTCATAACAATCTGCATAGACAAGTGCATATGATAAGATAATTGTTACAGTATCTTAGAGGACACAATGTTTCTGTTGGGACCCTACCATTTGATAAAACATCATAATCAGAAAGCTTATCCAGGAACCTAATACATAACACACCACAAAGACTTTTGTTGCAATGTCTCAAAAGATGCCCGATTCCATCAACATCATATAATTCATAAAGATGCTAAAAATTAGTGATTGAAATTCAAGTTTTATAGATCACAATACAGTTTCAAGTTTTAATCAGACACTCATCAGATTCTAAACTGCGAATGAAATCTAACCGGAAACTTTATCCAAAGACTTAGAATATAAAAAGTGCATCCACAATTTAGTAGTGCAGGATTCTATTCTGGTGACGGTTAATTATGCTTACATTTTAAATGGTATTGCATTAAACTCATATTCACAATAGGGTTTGACTCTCATCCTATCTGTTCTATGGGGGTTAAGAGAGCATCTTTGCCCGTGACTGGTTATATGCTTCAACTACCAACCTCAAGATAAGGAACAAAAGAGGCCAACACAATCGTAAACAATTAATTCTCTGATAGCCCAAAGGAGGAAGAAGCAGATAGCATCTAAAAACTTTATTGGAACACAATCTTGCACAGAAATTACAAGTGAACAACATGACATGCATACATCCAAGATAAAATAGCAGGCTTGATTGACAAAAGAAAATGCGAAAGGGAAGACAAATACATACATCATAAGCTTCATTGATCTGGTGAAACTGAACTCCACAATTGTTTCCTCTGCATACGTCTGGATGATACTGCAATTGACAAAGTCCAATCAGTCAACAAAGCCCCACAACAATCATTCAAACTCACAAAATTTGATTACAAATTTAATCAAACATAGTGGCTATTAAATAAAATCCCTAATAAATACCGAAAACACATGATTCGTAGAAAATAGCTCATAAATTAAAAAACCCATCAAGAAAAAAAAACAGTAACAGAAGAAAAGTATCCCAACAGGAAAAAAGTAACAAAAGTGCATACTTTTCTACTTGGTAACATACATTATTCAAAACCAAGTACTAAGGGAAAATTTTGAAAATTGGAAAAAGAAAAATAAAATCCAGAATAAAATAAATCAAAACGGAGATTAAATCAGATGTAAACAAACCTTCAAGGCAAGTTGTCTGAAAGCCTTCCTGACCTCAGATTCAGAGGCACCAGGTTGGATCTTCAAAGTCTGGTAAGGATCCATCACAGAAGAATAAACACAAGACACCATAACCTTATTCACCGTCTTCTTCTTCCTGGGCTTGTCCTTAAACAGATTCCAAGAAGACCCATTACCCCCAATAACACCAGCAGCCACAGCAGCCATTGCAAAACCCCAGAAATCAAACTCAAAAACCCAACAAACCACTGGCTATAAAAAGGAGGACCCAAGTTATATTATATATATAAAAAACGTTGTTTTGAATGGATCAATGGGCAGGGCAAAGTGGTTTTAACGGGTTTTGAAAGACTCAATGATTGAAAAATCGTTGAATATAATAATTAATAGAGAGAGAGAGAGAGAGAGAGAGAGAGGGAGATTCATAGAATGGACTCTTTTAAATAGGAAATGACCTATATTTATAGAGGGAAGTTTGCTTGTGAGGTGGAGAGGTGTGAGCTTGGGAGGTCCTTATCCATTGGGTCCGTTTCCATGGTGACGTGTATTGTCTTATTTTGTGGATTAGGTAAAAGGGAAAGAGGAGAGAGAGAGCGCAATTCTTATCTGGTTTGCTCTCACTCGGTCCGAGTCATGTTTGGAGACTTTTGTTGTGGAATTTAGGGTTTATATCGGAGGATATTCTCTCTGCTGTCTTTTGAGTTATTCTTCTTTGGCTACCCCTATTTTAGATTTTTTCGCATTTTTTGTCTCTCATATCTAATTGACTAATTCAACTTTTATATATATATAAGTGCGACTTGTTAAAGTTCGTTAGTAAAGAGACTCTTCCTATTGTTTTAAGGAGTTGATTTTTGTTAAAGTCTATTCATCTTCATTCTTTGTAGCCGTTTTAACTAGATCCTATTTGTGTCACATTAAATTTAAGGGGATAATGATTTCTTACACACACATTGTTAGTGAGCGAGTCCTTATCTAGTTAGGATTTTGATTTTTGATTTAGTTAGGATTTTGGTTACTTAGCCGTTTTATTTAATCCTGTTGTAATTGAGATTTATTTCATATTGTTATTTAGATTTATTTCATATTTTATTTAGAATTAACACATCTTTGCACTTCTTTATGAATACATCTATATTGAAGAATATATATATATATAATATCTGAAAATTCCCATATATTTTGTTTGACACACATTACTAGAATGCAATGTGGTTCGAGCTTGAGATAATTAGTCTACATATAGACGTTGTTGGCCATTAAATTTAGTTTTAGAATTGAATTTTCCGCAACAATTGATTTATTGACATTTAAATAATTTTGTCCTACAAATCCAACTTCTCCATTTATTACTGATGGATGCCCTTTAGTTTTATAATTCTTAAGCTGAACTCATTGGCCAGGCTTTTCTTATCTCATTTTTATAATTCCTAGGCTGAAGTCATTGACCTACTTTTTGTTCTTCTTGGCATCCCCTTAACCTTGTTTTTTTTACTATAATAATGGGGTGCATCTCTAATCTCTCACAATCAAGTCATCATCAACTTTGCAACAACTCATCAAATACCGATATTTTTATTTTACCAAAAATATATTATTTTCTTTTCTCTTATATTTAGATTTAGTTTTATTTTTTTTTTTTTTTTTTTTTTTTTTTTTTTTTTTTTTTTGAACGAGGTTTTAGCAACAATTCAATGAATGATAAAAATCTGCATCCTACCAAACTCATGAAGGAAAATTTAATTTCACTAAAATACAAACCATGCGATAGAACATTGCATTCAACTACAATTTTTCAATGCATTTTGGGTGAAATTTCTTTTTCTCTTTTTTTTTCTTTCTGAAGTTGCCCACCTATGGAATTCAATATGTAGAGTTGGTTCATGAACTTATAGGATTGATATATACCAACCTTTTTTCATATCAACTTCACGACGACTCATCAATTTCGCATTACTTGGTACGACATCTCTATTCGCCATATAATAAAAAACTGAAACCTATGGGGGAGAAAGAGAATTGAGAAAGAGACAGGGGCATGGATATAAAGTTACGTGGCATGAGCACACGTGGTAACATTTAAGTGGCTATTATAAAGGCCTGCTGCGTGGCTCGTGAAATAAGGAAAAACAGCGGTAACACGAAACAGACTGGGGGTCGGATAATGCAGAGTTTTATTTATTTATTTATTATATTTATACAAATGGGGAGCTCCCCTTTTTAAATGAGTGGCTAAGATGTTTGAAGACTGACACGTGGCTCCCACAAAGCATGCCACGAGTTAAATAAATCTTTGTTGCCCTTCAATTTAGGGATGCTGGACCCTGAATGGTGTGCAGATTTCGTTTACATTATTAATGATTTTATTTCATACTTTGCAAGCACGAGTAACATGTTTCTATATTTAAGTTGTGAATTATTGTAATTAAATTAGTTCCAACGCGGCTTGAATAATGAACAAGTACCTTTGGCAAAATAATAATAAAAATAAAAATAAACAAGCACCATGCATGTGCTTGGATTTAAGATTTATTTATTTATTTTTGGGTGAAGAAACGAAATTTTATTGAAAATACATCAAATAGAGATAGCACTATTTTACTATTTCAATCAATTACGATATGTCATATGTGATAGCAAAACAATATTATCCCCGCATTTCACAGAAGTTTTGCTCGCACTTAAGAGACTCAGGTTCACAAGATAACATGTTTGATTGAGTTGGAACAATATTTCAATCTACATATTATTCGCCGTACACACATTTACTTTGGTAGGGACTTACGCATGCCACAGTGCACACCATAATTGCCCATAAATGCCTTGAAATCCTAGTTAGCATTTTTCCGTTTTAATACTTGTATTATATATGTACGTATATATTTTTCAATAATGCTTCAATTTTTTGTACACATCTTAAAGACTCGATAAAATATACATTTTTTAAAAGCCTGTCACGCCCCCGGACCCTGGGGCAGATATAAAAATAGCTCTAAAATCTTACAACTTTATAATAAATAAATAAAGCTATATTACTCTTATTTAATTTAGCCTCAATTGGTTTAGTCCTTGTCTTGTCCACTAATTCATTTGAAAAATTAAACAGGGTGAGGGATGAGCAACCACCGCTCAGTAGGGACATGAGGCCGTACTACAGTAGATTGATATAAAATTAAGTGATATGCAATCACATAACATATAAAAGATAATAATGCATAAATGAGCTTCGATTCTATCCAACCCGTTAATCTATATAGTAGGGCAAGCAAATCTGCATGTCTCATACCATGCATTTTACCACTGTGATTCCGAATACCCCAGTATATAAACTAACACTCATCTCAATCATCCCATAATTCCCCTTTTGCTAGTCATTTTGTCTAAACCATTTATCTCTAAGCCCAAATCACCCAATCGACAATTATACAGCCGATATCCTATTCTACTGTGCACACAGACTCCCTTGAACTTGGTCCCTATAATGGCCAGACTCAACTACACAAAAGACCTTTCCCATTACCCTATTTTCCATAATTTCTTTATCAACCCAAGCATTCCAGTCATCTCCGATAACATATGAACATGTCTGTTGATGCTCTTTTTGGGAGGGTCAACTTAGATAGAGGTAGAATGGTGGATGATGGGTGAAGGTGAGCACCTTTAGTATGTGTGTGGAGATTTGGGCAAGTAATAAATATAAAGAAGACGAGATATACGTGGTTCACCCTTAATAAATGGGCTACGTCCACGAGGAATTATGTTCTTATTATAATAATGTATGATTACATTTGTACAAGGGGTTGGACCTAAATATAAAGATAAGAAGGGAGAAGCCCATGACTAAAGATAAAGCCCCGTCCAAAGATCCAAAAGAGAGTCCCCTTTCTCAGGGGAGAGTAGTCTTCTTTTATAGGTGAGGGGAAGTCTCTATCTCTTGTAGTTTTCCGATGTGGAACTCCTCTTGCTTTGCTTAGAGTTGTGACTTGTGATAATGCTTCTTTGGCTAAGATGATGACCTCTCAAAGCATGACACGTGGCTGATCTAGCATAACTAATTGCTCGGTTAGTAATGGTACCAATAGTAGTCTCCCAAGTTCGCAAGTAAGAAGATACTTCTTGATTGGGGACTTGTAATTTTAAATGCACTGGCCGAGCAACACCATAGTTCATCTTCCAAGCTGTATAGTGCACTGCTCATAGTCCCCGGGTAAGAAGGACATTTGGAAGGGAGAGAACTTGGCACGAGAGTGCTGAAGGCACAAAGTTATATGTCGCAGGGTGATGTGGCTGGGCACGAAGATGCCGAATGCATAAGAATTGCATGTTGCAAGGCAATGGGCCTAGGCATGAGGGTGCAGAAGGTGACACATAGCTTGCATGTTTGCAAGGCGATGTGCTTAGGCATGCGAGTGCCGAAGGTATAAAACTTGCATGTCGCAAGACAATGTGCCTAGGCATGAGGGATGCCGACTGTGACACAAAACTTGCATGTTGCAAGGCAATGTAGCTAGGTACGGGAGTGCCGAAGGTGAAGGGGATGTCAAAGGTGGCACAAAGCTTACATATCGCAAGACAATGTGGCTAGGCATGAGGGTGACATAGGTGACATAAAGCTTACATGTTTGCAAGGCGATGTGCTTAGGCATGCGGGTGCCGAAGGTATCAAACTTGCATGTCGCAAGACGATGTGCCCAGACATGAGGGATGCCGACGGCGACACAAAGCTTGCATGTTGCAAAGCAATATGGGTAGGCACGGGGGTGCCGAAGACGAAAGGGATGCCGAAAGTGACACAAAACTTGTATGTCGTAAGGCAATGTAGCTAGGCACGAGGGTGCTGAAGGTGACACAAAGCTTGCATGTTTGCAAGGCGATGTGCTTAGGCATTCGGGTGTTGAAGGTATAAAACTTGCATGTCGCGAGAGAATGTGCCAAAGGGCAAAAGTTTGCGTGTCGCAAACCGATGTGGCTAGGCAAAGGGGTGCCGAAGGCATAAGACTTGCATGTTGCAAGATAAAATAACGAAAGGCACGGGGTGCTGAAGGCACTTGCATAAAACTTACATGTCATAAGGATATTGCCGAAGGCAATAAATGCAAATGTTGCCTAAAAGGCTTATGCCTAGGCACGCAAGTTTTATCCAACGGGGAGCACACGGCAGGCTTATGCCTAGCCTTGTTGCCGAAGTTGCAACGACTAGTTTCCTTCTCGAAATCACAAAGATCACTACCAAGGCCTCTGCCGCCAGCAAAATATTCCACCAAGACACCTTGCTGAGGAAAATACTAGCATCGCAGCCTCCTTTCGATCAAATCTTGCCGAACGGCAGGTTCTACAATTTGTGAAACTTACGCCTCCTCTTCTAAACAAACCCTAGCCAAAGCCCAACCCCCTTCTAGCATGCTGAAGCCCAAACTAAGCCCATCCCAAGGTTTCCTGGCCAAGGATCAAGACCCAACTAAACCTTGCCAAACAGCATAAGCCGTGAAAGAAAAATGAGGAGCTCAAAAGGTTTTCCACGTATTAGCCCTGCCGAACGGGCTCAAGAGAGAATTTTCTCTAGGCCACCCTTGCCAAATTTTATTGGGCCCCTTTTCTATTCCTTTCGAGCGTCACGCCAAAACACAAGGTTCAGCTCCAAAGGCCCAACCCCAGGCCCTCACAACTTTGTCTTGCAGAAGGAGAGACCTTATGCTAGGCCACACCTGCCGAACAGCAAGGGCCGTGCTGGGTGTCCTACGAGCTCACACTTCACACTTTTGCCCAACCGTGGCCGAAGGTAGCAAAAAAAAAAAAAAGCAACTCATCCTACATTGCCTTCGGCACATGCCTCTTAGGCAACATTTGCATTTATTGCCTTCGACAATATCCTTATGACACGCAAGTTATATGCAAGTGCCCTTCGTTATTTTATCTTGCAACATGCAAGTTTTATGCCTTCGGCACCCCTTTGCCTAGCCATATCGGTTTGCGACACGCAAACTTTTGCCCTTCGGCACATTCTCTCGCGACATGCAAGTTTTATACCTTCAACACCCGCATGCCTAAGCACATCGCCTTGCAAACATGCAAGCTTTGTGTCACCTTCGACACCCTTATGCCTAGCCACATTGCCTTACGACATGCAAGTTTTGTGTCACCTTCGGCATCCCTTTCGCCTTCGGCACCGCCGTGCCTAGCCATATTGCTTTGCAACATGCAAGTTTTGTGTCACTGTCGGCATCCCTCATGCCTGGGCACATCATCTTGCGACATGCAAGTTTGATACCTTCGGCACTCGCATGCCTAAGCACATCGCCTTGCAAACATGTAAGCTTTGTGTCACCTACGTCACCCTCATGTCTAGCCATATTGTCTTGTGATATGTAAGCTTTGTGCCACCTTCGACATCCCCTTCACCTTCGGCACTCCCGTACCTAGCTACATTGCCTTGCAACATGCAAGCTTTGTGTCACCGTCGACATCCCTCATGCCTAGGCACATTGTCTTGAAACATGCAAGTTTTATACCTTCGGCACTCGCATGCCTAAGCACATTGCCTTGCAAACATGTAAGCTATGTGTCACCTTCGGCACCCTCGTGCCTAGGCCCATTTCCTTGCAACATGCAATTCTTATGCATTCGGCATCTTCGTGCCCAGCCACATCACCCTGCGACATATAACTTTGTGCCTTCAGCACCCTCGTGCCAAGTTCTCTCCCTTCCAAATGTCCTTCTTACCCAGGGACTATGGGCAGTGCACTATACAGCTTGGAAGATGAACTATGGTGTTGCTCGGCCAGTGCACTTAAAATTATAAGTCCCCAATCAAGAAGTATATTCTTACTTGCGAACTTGGGGGACTACTGTTGGTACCGTTACTAACCGAACAATTAGTTATGTTAGATCAGCCACGTGTCATGCTTTGAGAGGTCATCACCTTAGCCAAAGAAGCATTACCACAATTCACAACTCTAAGCAAAGCAAGAGGAGTCCCATATCGGAAAACTACAAGAGATGGAGACTTCCCCTCACCTATAAAAGAAGACTACTCTCCCCTGAGAAAGGGGACTCTCTTCTGGATCTTTGGACTGGGCTTTATCTTTAGTCATGGGCTTCTCCCTTCTTATCCTTATATTTGGGTCCAACCCATTGTACAAATGTAATCATACATTATTATAATGAGAACATACTTCTCCGTGGACGTAGCCCATTCATTAAGAGTGAACCACGTATATCTCGTCTTCTTTATATTTATCGCTTACCCAAATCTTCACACACATACTAAAGGTGCTCACATTCACCCATCATCTACCATTCTACCTCTATCTAAGTTGACCCTCCCAAAAAGAACATCAACAATATCAATATTAATAAAATAATATAATGATAATTAAAAATATGCAAACATCCAATAGGAATACCAACCAAACTGTAATACCACGCATAATATAATACTCACAAAATTTAATTAAATCAATCTCCATAAAAGCCCCCAACCCTCTCTCTAAAAGAACTATCACTTTGCATAGAGTGCATGGTGTCTCTAAGTCATTGTAGTATTGTTGTACTTCACAAGACTATCTAGTATGTATGTTTCAAAAGAACCATCAACGAGTCCTATTTATACTACAAAGAAGCGGCAACTAATGGCTTTTGATTGGTCGAATGTGAGGCTGGTGATATGCTTGACTCCAAGATTATCCAATTTTCCCTTGATGCCAACATCGCATGCTTGAAATCCAGCTCATGCTTTAAACAAAGGCTTAGAGCATCTCCAAGGGAGATGTCAAATATCAAACATCAAATTTAAATTTGATGACTGATGTGGCAATTTGACATCTTACACAGCTTTACACACCACCCGATATGTCAAATTAAATTATTATTTTATTACATTTTAGTGTTGATTCTTTTTTAATTAAAAAGAAAAGAAAAAATAATAAAATATTCATTTGACATCTTGCTTTTGGGATGTCAAAAATAACATTTCAACCTCTAGCCTTCATTCCACATCAGCTTTGACATATCGATTGGAGTGATGTGAGATGTTATTTATAGCTGTTAAATGTCTGTGTGGCACGTTTGACACATCGGTTGGAGATGCTCTTAGTCATATATGGGTAGACGCTTGTGAAAAAATTAGGATGGTGCATGTGAGTAAGATTTGATGTACATACCACCTTAAGGGATAAAGCTTGTACGTGGCACCCTTACAAATCCAATTTTGTATCAAACAAATAAGTATTATTATAATAGTATTATTCTTAATAATTATTATAAAAATAGCAACTATATATATATATACTATGTGGCAAGATAACTACATATATACAATTATTACCAATATAAATATACAACCAATTAAACATAATTTAACTTATAAACCTAAATAGATAGCAAAACATTTAATTTCCCAAAATATTAATATATATATTAAAATACAGGGCTTCACACAAACATACAATACATGTATTATACACGTACATACATATTTTCAAGTTTAATATATGTATTTTTTTACAAAATTTTGAATAATATAGAGAAAATTTACGCATTATACTTATATTTTTAACATATTATTGAATAAAAATAATATATTTAAATATTTAAATAAATTATATTAAAATATTATATAGTGGTTGAACTTTTTAGTTGTATCTTGCCAACATTTTACCATATGAAACACGTACATATTTTATTCGTACTTTTCTCATTCCATATTTTACCATATAAAACAAACACATATTATACAAATATGTTAGAAGATTCAATACACGTATTATACACATTCGTACTATAAAACACGTATCTAACATAAAACATTAGAGGATTCAACACATTTATTATTGTAACAAGAAATGTGTAGGGCTATTTTGGGACCCAATAATTAAATATACCAATTTTTTTTTAATATTATAATATACCATTTCTTTATCAAAGAGAAACTTCATTAAATAATCTTCGACAATACAATGAAGACATCAACATAGTTTTGTATTATATAGTTATGTATTGTGTTTATACCATATTTGACCAAGCAACTAGAAGCAACTCTAGGCAAAGCAAAAAGTCCCACATTGGAATATTATAAGAAGTGAAGGCTCCCCTCACCTATAAAAGGCGACCACTCTCCCCTTAGAAAAGGATCCTTGGGCTGAGCTTGATCTTTAGTCATGACCTTCTCCTTTCTTACTTTTATATTTGGGTCCAACCCAATGTACACAATATAACAATAATGAGAATATACTTCTCCGTGGACGTAGCCCATTCATTAAGGGTGAACCACGTATCTCTTGTATTCTGTATGTTTATCGCTTGCTCAAATCCTCACACCTCATCACTAAGTTGGGCTCAAAAGTGCCGAACCATTTTTGAGCGTCAACAGTTTGGGGCCGTCTGTGGGAATCGACACAAAAAGCTTCTGTCATTCTCCCCTTTCTTAGTGCCCTTCGGCAGTGACCTTCGGCAGTGCCCTTCAGCAACCCAGCAATCAGCATCTCCTAACTTGCCGAATGGCAATCTCATGCTAGAGCAACCATGAATGCTAAGGCAACATTAGCAGAAGATGACATTTCAAGAAGAAGCCAATCATACACTGGCTCTCATTTTGCATGGCTTGCATGGCTTTGCATGACCAAGGCAACCATGAGTCACCAAGGCACTAGGATGCCGAAGACACTGCACTTGCCGAAACCTCCATCAGATAAGTGGCACATTCATTATGTTTACAAATTATTTAATATTGAAGGAATTTATTATTCTTGGGGTCAAAAAAAGCCACGTGCATTATTTTCCAAGAGATAAAGCACATCTTCTTATCTTATATTTTAATATATTTGTAAAGCATGCAATCCAATGCATGCATATATTATTCAAACGGCTCAATCGGTGGCGTAGCCTCCATTTGTTCTCATTTTAATGTTATTTTGTCCTATTTGCCATATTGGAAGGTCTGGAGAAATTTACATGGCCTTACCGTTCGGTACCGCAGGACACCCCGGGCCATGGATTAGTCAAGACCTCCCATTCAACCCCAAAATTGCCAAAATGGCAAGCTAATAGCACCTCAGGCAGTCCCAAGTGCAGAACCGTAGCAAAATGGCACAGGGCCACCGTTGGGTCAAGCCACCATGACGGGCTACCCCTTTCTCGGCACCCAAGAGGTTTGAGAGACTGTCATCTCCATGCCACTGGTTTTCTCAAGACACCCATTTGGTCAAGGATTCCGAAACGGCACGTCATAGCTGCTGGCGCTCGAATAGACTCTCGACCTGTTGAAGTGCACTGTGCGTATTCAAACTACCAAGCAACTCAAAAACAGATGGGCAATTTCCCAAACCATCCACAACTAATCAGCAAGCCGATGACGGCACTTGTGAAGAGCTCCCAAACCATTTGTACCGCACCTACCGAACAGTAGGCCGTCGACCAAAGGCCAACTACAGCATGCGAACAGCCACAATCCCAAAATCCAAAACTGGAGTGCTCACAAAGACACCCAGCACCCGGCAAGGGCCTTGTTGGAAGTAAGGAGAGACCTCTCAAATCTTCTTAAGCTCCAAACCCTCGCCGAAGAAAACAAAGCCCAACTCGACAACCTTCATGGCTCCCTTGCGAAGATTAACATCCTACTGAAGCTGTGGGCGCTCACTCACCAGTCACAACTTCCCAACTCCTGACCGAAGGGCAAGGGTTGCGCACAGACTCCGAAGGCACGACAACACGAATCGGCTCGCCTTGCCCAGAACAACCGCCTTGGTCATCTTGCCGACACTACTATCGCATGGGGTTGACTTACCAAAGAAGAGGTTGTTGGCAGACCTTGCCGGAGCTCACATGCCCATAAATTTTCTGTTGGCCGAAGGCCTAGCTCCAGCTCTCTTGTCAAACGTCGTGGATCTCCGACAAACAAATTGATCCCATATGTGCCTTGCCGAACGGCATATATGGTGCTGCCGAACCAATGATTTCGAAAACAAACCCAATATGCCGAAGACACCACAGGCTCCCAAAAAGCTTTCAATCCACCCCTTGCCGAACGGAAAGGGCTTTGCGGCAGCAAAGAAGCTCACAAAAACCTGTTGCCGAAGGTCTAACTTCAAACCTACTCAAGTTGAAACACCAGGGGACTCAGCAAGGGCCCAGTTCACGGTTTCACCGTATGCCACCCAAGGCCTCACGCCAAAAACAAACGGGCCTAAACACCTTGACTTCATGAAATTCCCTTCTCCAGGCTGCCCTTGCCGAACTGCAAGGGCCATATCGAAGCCAAGACACATCTCCGGAGGCCCATGAGTTACTCCCCCGGCCGAATCACTAAATTTCAAAGGCCCACTTACGGCACTTGCCGTTCACGCCAACACAACCAAAAACAAAAGAAAAACCCAAGACTATTAGCCATCGGCAATAACCATTGGTAAGCTTGTTCTACAAGCTTCTTCATTTGACACGAGCGATGCCTTCGGCACCCTGTCATCATTTGACAAGAGCGATGCCTTCGGCACCCTGTCGTTATTAGACGAGAGCGATGCCTTCGGCACCCCGTCATCATTTGACAAGAGAGATGCCTTCGGCACCCTGTCATTATTTGACAAGAGCGATGCCTTCGGCACCCTGTCATTATTTGACAAGAACGATGCCTTCGGCACCCCGTCATCATTAGACGAGAGCGATGCCTTTGGCACCCTGTCATCATTAGACGAGAGCGATGCCTTCGGCACCCCGTCATCATTTGACAAGAGAGATGCCTTCGGCACCCTGTCATTATTTGACAAAAACAATGCCTTCGGCACCCTGTCATCATTTGACAAGAGCGATGCCTTCGGCACCCCGTCATCATTAGATGAGAGCGATGCCTTTGGCACCCCGTCATCATTTGACAGAGAGATGCCTTCGGCACCCTGTCATTATTTGACAAAAGCGATGCCTTCGGCACCTTGTCATTATTTGACAAAAATGATGCCTTCGGCACCCTGTCATCATTAGACGAAAGCGATGACTTCGGCACCCCGTCATCATTTGACAAGAGCGATGCATTCGGCACTTTGTCATTATTTGACAAAAGCGATGCCTTCGGCACCCTGTCATCATTTGAAAAGAGCGACGCCTTCGACACCCTGTCATCATTAGACGAGAACGATGCCTTCTGCACCCCGTCATCATTTGACAGAGAGATGCCTTCGGCACCCTGCCATTATTTGACAAAAGCGATGCCTTCGGCACCCCGTCATCATTTGACAGAGAGATGCCTTCGGCACCCTGTCATTATTTGACAAAGCGATGCCTTCGGCACCCTGTCATCATTTGACAAGAGCGATGCCTTTGGCACCCTGTCATTATTTGACAAAAGCGATGCCTTCGGCACCCTATCATCATTAGACAAGAGTGATGCCTTCGGCACCTTGTCATCATTAGATGAGAGCGATGCCTTCGGCACCCCATCATCATTTGACAAGAGTGATGCCTTCGGCACCCTGTCATTATTTGACAAAAGTGATGCCTTCGGCACCCTGTCATCATTCGGCGAGAGCGATGCTTTCGGCACCCCGCCATCATTAGACGAGTGCGATGCCTTCGGCACCCCGTCATCATTCGGCGAGAGCGATGCCTTCGGCACCCCGACATCATTAGGCGCGAGCGATGCTTTCGGCACCCCGCCATCATTAGGCGCGAGCAATGCCTTTGGCACCCCGCCATCATTAGACGAGTGCGATGCCTTTGGCACCCCCGTCATCATTTGACAAGAGCGATGCATTTGGCACCCTGTCATGATTTGACAAAAGCAACGCCTTCGGCACCCCGCCATCATTAGGCGTGAGCGATGCATTCGGCACCCCGCCATCATTAGGCGCGAGCGATGCCTTCGGCACCCCGTCATCATTCGACGAGAGCGATGCCTTCGGCACCCCGTCATTATTCGGCGAGAGCGATGCCTTCGGCACCCCACCATCATTAGGCGCGAGCAATGCCTTCGATACCCCACCATCATTAGACGAGTGCGATGCCTTCGGCACCCCGTCATCATTCGGCGAGAGCGATGCCTTCGGCACCCTGTCATCATTAGACGAGAGCGATGCCTTCGGCACCCCCGTCATCATTTGACAAAAGCGATGCCTTCGGCACCCTGTCATGATTTGACAAAAGCAACGCCTTTAGCACCCCGCCATCATTAGGCGTGAGCGATGCCTTCAGCACCCCGCTATCATTAGGAGCGAGCGATGCCTTCGGCACCCCGTCATCATTCGGCGAGAGCGATGCCTTCAGCACCCCGCCATCATTAGACGAGTGCGATGCCTTCGGCACCCCGTCATCATTCGGCGAGAGCGATGCCTTTGGCACCCCGCCATCATTAGGCGCGAGCGATGCCTTCGGCACCCCGCCATCATTAGACGAGTGCGATGCCTTCGGCACCCTGTCATCATTCGGCGAGAGCGATGCCTTCAGCACCCTGTCATCATTAGACGAGAGCGATGCCTTCGGCACCCCCGTCATCATTTGACAAAAGCGATGCCTTCGGCACCCCGTCATCATTCGGCACCATCGACACCACACTACTTAGAAGAAGGCTAAGGTGTTGCTCGGTCAGTGCACTAAAAATTGCAAGTCCTCAACCAAGAAGTATCTCCTTGCTTGAGAACTTGGGGGACTTCTGTTTATACCATATTTGACCAAGCAACTAGAAGCAACTCTAAGCAAAGCAAAGAGTTCCACATTGGAATATTACAAGAAGTGAAGGCTCCCCCTCACCTATAAAAGGAGACCACTCTCCCCTTAGAAAAGGATCCTTGGGCTGGGCTTGATCTTTAGTAATGGCTTTCTCCTTTCTTACTTTTATATTTGGGTCCAACCCTATGTACAAATGTAAATACACAATATTGCAATAATGAGAATATACTTCTCCGTGGACGTAGTCCATTCATTAAGGGCGAACCACGTATCTCTTGTCTTCTGTATGTTTATCGCTTGCTCAAATCCTCACACACTTGGCGAAGGTCCTCACCTTCACCCATCATCCATCACACCTCATCACTAAGTTGGGCTCAAAAGTGCCGAGCCATTTTTGAGCGTCAACATATTGTATACTTCTGGGACAACTATTGTAGCTTACTAATATAGTAATGTATTGTTCGTTAGACATGCATCCAATTCAAAACTTTCAATGTATGTATTCAAATACAGCCACTGCATGGTGTTCATTCATAGAATTATTGTTCACACTTCACACAAACAATATGAAAAGAAAAGGAACAAAAATCTTGATATTTTTTTTCTTGGTCAGGTTACCATCTGAAGCAAGTGTTCAGTCTTAAAAATTTGCTGGCAAAGCTCTTCAAAATCTGGAGGGAAACCAAAAGACAAACTCCCTGACACATGTACAGAACTCGTAAGCTATACCGGTACTTGACAAAACACTGTGAACACATACTGTCATGAGAATTCTTTCCTAATCTGAACGAATTTATGATTTTCTGAGATCACCAAAAGCCCTAACTTGCAGAAAATGCAGTCATTCGATAGTCATGGGAAGATCTATTTAGCTTTTGCCGAGCCTTTATCCTTCTCAGATGATGGATTAGACAAGAGAGGCTTGTCCCCGACAGAAGCAGCTGAAGTAACAGGTTTCTTAAGCTGAACCAAGATCATTGTCATGTTGTCACACCCCTCTCCACCAGATGATGGTGCCAAGCACCTTTCAAACACTCTCTCACAAATCACTGAGAGTTTACTTTCCTACATACGAATATTTTATGTTACTCAGACAGTATATATTTGGATATATAAGGGAAGTCTCCTCAACTTACATGTTTTAATTGTTCCCGAATGTAGTCCACAAGTTGTTGGCTCGACATGCAGTCCCTAGAGAGCGCGCATCAGTGTCAACAAAGTAGGAACATACTAATTTCACTTATATTTCAGAAATAGAAAATACAGCATTAGAAAAATCAGACGACAGAGACACAAGTTCAACAATGTTGTCAGCCTTTTGACTTCCCAAACATGGGCTTTCTAAGAACCTAACAAGGAGTCAAAACTAAATGACACGAAGTAACAACTGGAAGAACAATACTTTGAGGAGCAGTTGAGATCTTGAAACCAATCAGGTAAAGAAGGTGGACAAAAAGCAAACACAGATAACAACTAAATTGTTGACAACATAGACAAACAAGAATATGAGAGCATTCGGGAATTGCCTTAGGTAAACAGTAAACCAAATGGCACTAAAAGAAAGTACTCACCTCACCTTACTCCACCCATTCTCTCTCACACATATTTTCTCTTGCGCAAGCATTGGATGGATAATAAACAAAATTATTAACATTTTTTTTTTCCCATGGGAACAAATATTCGAAACTAAGTTACAGGGAAATCTTGACAGAGAACCACGTATGAATTTATGAGTGTATTCTTCAATAATATTTAGTTTTGGGCTTACTATCACATGATATACTGGAGTAACAGGTTCAACGGAGACAAGTTCAAATCAGCAGACCTTCACATCAAAGATTCTTCCCTTAAAGGAAAACTTTTAAATCCAGATACAGAACACAGGAGATTCAACTTTGATTACTTTCCTCCGACATTTTGGAAAATAAGAAGCTAACAAGGTTACTTGTACATCTATAACCATAACTATATTGTCAGAGAGCTTGCAACACTTGTATATATACTAGTTAAAGCCAAGTGTCATCAGACCATCAACTATATATTACTTCATTCTTACATTAACCAGTAATTGTTACATTCCATGCATTTACAGGCTTCTAAAGAGATGGTATTTGGTTCTTCCACAGGATGTATTTCTAGCTAACTGTTTAAGTAACAGCCATCTTAACTTGTGAGAAGAACCAACCACATAAAGCCCTTCCTTCCACCCTTCCAATTTTTCTAGTCTTACGCCTACAGCCTTTGGAGAACATATCAGATGGAGATAAAATATACACAGTAATTGACAGACACCTATTTTTTCAGATAGGAAGGTATATTAAAAAGGGAAACAAACTTACCATATCCCATCACAAGCTATGACGAGAAACTCATCATCATCACAAATCTCAACCTACATCAAGGGAAATTTTAAAACTGTAAACATAAAATTAGTGCAACTGCAAACAAATCTGATAAATGGCATACCCCAATTGTTTATGCCAGCAAAAGTCTTACAAGGAAATAAAAAGTCAAAAACAGCACTTTCTTGCTTTAAAAGTACAAAAGTCTGACTAGCATCTAAATAATATAACTTCAATCCCCAGAAAAGGCTTGTCAGCTTGAAAAAAAAGACTTAATTTTCTTTCTTGTAAGATTGGTTGTATTGCATTTATTTATGGTTAAAAAATTTCAGCCTAATTTATATAATTTAATTCCAAAATGAAATGTCTCATACACTAGTTACGTCTGGATTGGCAGTTACGATCTGCCTTTCAACGGGCAAATGTTTGTTCTGCTTGAATTCTGCATCCCCTGCAAACAACATAATTTTAAACTACAGGCAATTCAAATATAAAAGAAAAGGAGGTTCTTTCTCGGTTTCTCCTTTCACATGGTAAGGAAATATTTTTGTACCAATAGCTCTGGCCAAGTTCAAACTTCCATTGACTCTTCCAACTTGGATGAATCCACCAGCCTTCAGAATTCTTTCTTTTTCATTCTCAATGTCAGGCTTATGATCTTTTGACAGATTATATGCCTGCATTTAAAATTTCAATAAGGCATCACAATAGCAGCTCATCAGACAAAAAACCTGTTAAAGATTAGCAGCTCAGCAAACAACACAATGACAGAAAACCAATTGATATATTCCTAGAAACTGGCACAAAAGTTGGGGTCAGGGGCAGGTTGTCAATGCAAGATTCACCGAAATCAAAATCTCAGAAGATGAACATAACCATTCTTTTTGGCTGATATGGATGTAAAGGAACAGTTCAATTGGAGAGTGTGGGGACTTTTAATGAGATAAGGCTAGATTTTCGGTCCTTTCTATGGGCTTTGGCCTCTTCTGCATTCCATGATTGCCCTGATTGTGTTTGGGAGGCTTTGGTTTCTGACGTGTGTTTTAAGGATGCTGTACACCTTCTTTTTGCGATAACTGAGATAATTTTTTAAATATTTTTATGAAACTGAGATAATTTTTTAAATGTGAACAAAGCTGCCCCGAAATGCAATCCTTACATAAAGTCCATAGGTAAAAATTGCATTAAAACAATATAATACCTGACCCTTCCTGGATATAACACAACGAGAATCACCAGCATTGGCAACAACAAGTTGATTGTTTCGGATGATAGCAACACAAGCTGTGCTTCCAGAATTCGGTCCATCAAAATCAGAGTGAGGCCCCTGGTTTCAAGCACAAAAGCTTTTCTTCATGAAAATCCGATTACATAGTAAAATATATCAAACAGAAAGTAACTAATCAAATTCCCATAACATTCATTATAACATCAAAATAGATGCAGGACTGCTAGAAACCAAGTCTGATGCAAAACCTTAGATTCTTACTTTCTGAAACCAAAGCAATAGGAAATGTAAAGAGCCGTTCAATCTCTTCCACTTGCCCAATAGATCAGGAGGCAAGGGGAATCCGTTGATTGAATTTATACCGATCATTTAGGCTGGTTTAAGAAACACGGTTGCAATGCTATGGTAATCAAGGGAAATGAGTTATTTTATTTGTGTAAGGTGGCTGTGGAGGGGTTGAATTTTGGTAGGAAGTAAAAAAGAACTCATTCCTATGGGTCAAATATGTAAGTATTACATCACATGGAATATATACAAAGCAGGCAAAGAATATCTTCACTGTTTTCCTAGACTTCTTTTGTGAGATGCATCTGGTGATATGGATAACAAAGCAAATGGAAAACATAGTGCCATTGTTAAATGCAGCTGAAGTAACGATGGTGTAACAAGTACCTCCTCAGAAGACCACTGATCAGTATGGTCATTAAATGCACCACTTTTAGCTTCAACACTCTTGGGAGAAAAAATGAACCCTTCTATAAGACCAGAAACTTTGTCTATCTTATCTCCCAGTACGGCTAATTCTCTCCAGCCTCTTTGCCCACGCATCATCTCATCCATCCTGCGTCAATTTGAAGCAAGGTAAGATAATAAGTATCTCATTCATAATCACATCTATCTAAATTATCCCTTTAATACCCCTATACAGATTTCTGCCACTAATTTTGTTTCATCATAAATTGTATAACTTTGAAAACCAATTCAAAATGAAAGTCCACTGAGATGTTATAATTGGATTTGACAATACAATTTCTGTAAAGTTTCATAACATACTGTCCATGCCCTATAAAATGATAATTAAAGAAACGGCATGAGCATGTACGGCGGTGTGAAAATCTATTAAATGAATGGGCATTGATGCAAGTTTACTTATCTTAGGCGCATTAACACAATGCAGCAATGATAATGGCCGGCAGTGGTAGCAGAACAATGGCCTAGTTTCAAGTTCCCAAGCTGTTTACAACATATGACTTACAGGAGAAAGACACCATTCTGCAGCCTTGTTCTTGGGCAAAATTGATAAGACAGATGCATCTGCTGAAAATTGCTAAATTGAAGATTACTAACACAAGGGATTAAGTAACCTGAGAAAAGCTTTCTGTAGAGAAGTGCCTAAATCGCCAGCTAGATATGCTTCGTCCTTGAGCACCTGTAGGTGGAGATACTTGGCGCAGAAATTTGCCACTGCTTTACCTGCAAATCAATGGACCAGTGATGACAAAACTTCACCAGATAGTACCAACCTATAAAACTTAAACATAAACATAAACTGCTCTAACTAACCACCCCCTTCCTTTCTGCTGAGGGCCAAAAGGTGGGAAGGAAAAGACAAACCACTAAAACCTTGGTAACTGCACAATCCAAGACATATGTAAAATAACAATTCCAGAACTTTGAAGACTAGGCCCTATATGTCAACCTCATGCGTTAATATGGAAATTTGTGCACACATTGTTCCCGTATGTGGCATTATTTTTTTTGGGTCATATTTTGGGCTGCACACCATGTGTAAAATCCATAAAATCTTCAATTGAAAACTATGCCACTCCTCCACCCACCCCTAGTGCTGATAAATACAACTCATCATCCCAACAATCTAGCAATATACTTTGTTGGGCACATTAAAGTGGCCTTCATATTTCGTTCAGCTATTTCCCTTTTCCTACCATAATATGGCCACAGAACTTCTTTTTTTTTCATTAAATTAGTCTTTAGCTTCCAATCACACAATGCAATACCTACTGAATAACACAGGAAAGCCAACTGATTGGTAAAAAAATTTCACTAAATTAATTTAAATAACGATAGATTTTCAATTAAGATTGAGTAGACTTTGAAGGTTTTTCTGAAACACAAAATAAATGCCGATTGCAGGTCTGCAATCATGGTGAGTACAGCTAACTGTTTTGCCATGTGATAAAAGTTAAAACCAACCAAACTCCAAACCAGATCTCAGGGTGAGATTTTTGAAGTGAACAGAAGCAGAAGGTATAAAGGAAAGCTTAAAATAGAAATTGCAACTATCACAAGTTCTATAATAATTAGCATTGTCAACAGACCTTCTGCACCTATGTGCACAAGAGTTTTGAAGTGACATAACTTTGTTTTATAAAAAGAATTTGCACTATAAGATGAAAACAATTCAATTAATAAACTCTTCAACGAAATTTTTTACATATTTTATTCTGCAAATATCCAAATTCAGCTCCATAAAACTCAAGATTATTCAGGCCTGGTTACACCATATACGAGTCCTGACCAGAAATACTTGGGCAGTCCAACACGCATATGAAAACCAACTATAAATGGAAGAAGTTTCTTAAAATGATAAGAAAGATAGAGTTAAATTATAGAGTTTGGAAACCTAACCTCCATGACCATCATAAACAGCAAAGAAAGATGTTGAACCGTCAAAATCTGGAATAGCAGCATGCTGCAATAAAAGTCAAAAGTCAAGTACTTTTAGTGTATGATAGGCAAGATTACTATAATAAAATACTTTTAGTGCACTTTCTGTATTACATATTCAATATGTGTCCATTCTCAGGAAAACCAATTTAACAAGATGATAATTACCTTCATCTAGGACTTCTGTAGTGACAAACCAAATGCTATGAAGTAATAATGCTAAGTATGGCAATTGCATGTGAAATGCAAAGCTTACTATGAAAATACAAAGACCAAACAACAAGAACTACTCAGCTGCACTCTCCGAGCATCATCTAAGTGAATAAGAAGAACGACATAAAGACTTACAGCATCTTCCATGGTTGAACGCCACCCTTGCATGGAGGATGACCCGTATCGAAGTTTGTCATTCTCACCATCTTCTGAGACCTTATCAGTTTTGGGAGCACTGAGATATATTCCCATTTGCAGCTGTAACCATATCATCAAACAACGCAGTCATTTTGAAATCCACATGCATGGGTGCGCTCGTGTGCACACACATACATTTCTTTCTTAATTTTCATCATGCCAATATATTACATATCCCCTGCCCATTTGAGTCTAATCACACACTTGCGCACAAGGAATTGCAGCATTCAAAACTTTCTTAATTTGCCCGTAGCATTTCATATACATATAGTCTAGTTTTAGAAGGAATTCACGTACTCCACATCACCAAGAACAATAAATGCACGGATGACCACATTAATTAATCAATGGATCCCTTATTTGCTACTCAGAACTCATCAAAACTACCCAATCAATTCAATTTCCATAAAAGCCTACCACATTTATTCCACTAATTTCAAATCTACCATATCCAAACCGCCATAACTAAACTACAATTTTCAACTCCAATCATGCAGCAGAATTCAAAACATGCCCATTCGAGTCCACTTGGTAGCCAAGAAAACAGAGGAAAAAATGCCCATAAAATCGAGATTTACTCAATCATAAACAATGGAATTTCTACAACTGGAAGCATACAATTTCCTGCGTTGTCTTGGAAACCAAACGGACCAAACAATAAAAATTACTCAAGATAGTAAAATTATACAAATCAGATTCGAGGCTCACAAGCACAATGACGATGAGCTGATTATTAATTATTTAGAAACAAGAAATTAAGAAAATTCAATGGCTCTAGGGATTGCAGTAAACTCACTAATTGGTTTGAGCGTGTCTGATGGAAGCGCGAGAGAGATCTGATTGAATTGAAGAAATGATTTTGATGAGACTGAGTGGATTTCGATATATGTATGTGTATATATAGGCATTGGTTTTCTTTTTGAGTGAAACCAGCGGGCGGACACGCGCCATTCATCTGAGGCAACAATTGGTCATTTCCGTTGCAAGGAAAACCAAGAAAAATTAAACTAAACAAATTTGTTTCCTTTTTTATTACCCACCATTTGAATTAAATTTTAAATCTTTTAAAAAATAAATGAAACCAATCAATTACTCACAATTATCACACGTGTATTTATTCATATTATTATATATATATCCCACCACATTAGTGTAATTATACTACAATGTTGATATGGTGTGAATCTAGAATAAAATATTAATGAATAAATATACGTGTTATAATGTAAAAGTCGCATAAAAGAAAATCTCACTGGTCACAAGTTCTTATAAAAGATAAATTTATGTTACTAATTTTTTCAATGCACAAAATTGGAACGTTGGGCTTGTAATTGCAATGGAATTCATTTTCATATTCACATACCGGTGAACGCATAAGTGCCTGTTTGGTATTGCTTATTTGGGGTGATAAATGATTTTTTAAAAATTTTGGGAAATCCAACCCGTTTGGTAAACTATAAGAAAATCACTTATTGTTAAAAATTGTTGTGAGAGAAAGCTATAAGAGAAAGCAGCTAATAAGGTGTTTTTATTTTTTGATTATGCAGGAATCAGTTTCGAAGAGGTGCTGGGTTTAATGATTATGTGGCAATCATTTTTTAATTATATGGGAATCCGTACCAACAACACTTTTAACAAAAAATTTACCAAACGCCAAACTGCTTTCTTTCATAGCTGATTTCTCTCACAACAAATCTGACAGCAATTATTTTCACAGCACAGCAATGCCAAACTGGCCTTAAGTCTAGAAAAATCATTATGAATTTATTTTGGTTGGAGTAGAAATTGCATGGCACAAGAATTTCGTACATATGTTTAGGGGCTTGTTTGGTTTGCAAAATGGATGTTTGAAAAATGTGATTTACATACTAGAGTGGAAAATGTTTGGAAATACTACTAGCAATATATGGTTACTATGAAAGAACATTTGTTCCCATTCCAATATTTTGTGCAATAAGACCCTAAATAATTTCAAACATTCATTTTGCAAACCAAAAACAAGTCCCTAAACATACACACAATGATAAGTCATTTTTCCCTTAGATTTGAACAAAAATGTAACGCATTATGATGGCAATGCCAACACTGCAAGAGAAAGTAAAATTAAAGGAATACATGAGCCATTTTTCAAATTTGAGGATCAAAATAAAAATCGGACATAAGTTCCAAAGATTATTACTCCTAAAAATCTTTTTTTTTTTCAAATTTATTTCATGCCCATTTTTGAAATCCATTTTGAGCCCTAAAATTCTCAGGGCCAACCCGTTGATTGTTCCATTCTTGACACTTGATTCGATCGATATCCAGAACCCTAATCCTTGTTCCATTGACCTATCATTTTGTTCCTTGGCAATCCAAAATGAAGTCAACCATAATCATAATGCAACAGCTAGGAAAATTTAGTGTAAAGCTTTATCGGCAAGGTCCTAGCTGACACTATCTAGGTTTAAAATAAAAGAATTAATTCAATCTCCAAATATTCCAATTGTACAATTGATTTCTCTTTCCTACTAGTTGCTCTCTTTTCCTGGAACTACGACTTTACAGTAACAAATTTACTAACAACTTAAGTTGACAATAAGATGGTGTGCTCCAAGAAAGTTGACAATTGGAACGAGGAAAAGTTTTATCAGTTTGAGAATGGTGTCTTATTTCCAGGATGATGTGCTTGAACGGCTCCTTTGGCTATCATATCCAGATTGTGGTCCACTCATGACATCCTAAAGAGAAGGCCAAACAAGAAAATCAAATGTGAGTTTTAGGAAAACATGAAAACAAAGAAGCAAAACACAAACCAAGAAAAGGTGTGAAGATTTAGAGGTAAGTCTAGCATGAACATTTTGGGATGTTATGCAGTTCCTTGCAACTTACTTGTATTGAGGTATTCGAGCGTTGTTTCGGGGAGAATACTCCACCAGCACCATGCATGACACAATTCAAGCTCTCGTCTGCAAGTGCTCTCAATCTGTTAAGTTCAGGTAGCACAACCTTGGCAAGATCCGGTCTGTCTTTTCGCCTCATTTCAGCGCACTGTAAACACAGCTTGGCAAACTTCAAGGCTTCCTCAACAGGCCAATCAGGGACTGCAGGGTCAAGCATCTCAGCGAAAGTCCCCATCTCAATAGCCCGTTCGACATGATGCGTCAACCCCATTGGTGGCTTGGCTGTTATTAGCTGTAGAAGCATGACCCCAAGTGAGTAAATATCAGATTTTGTTCCAAGCATGCCGGTTTGCTGATACTCTGGGTCGATGTAGCAAAATGTTCCGGCCGTTGATGTCATGTGATACTGAGTGACAGAGTCGGCTACTGATGGAGGCACAAGCCTAGCCAAACCTACATCACTGATCTTGCTCACATAGTTATGGTCTAGCAAGATGTTGCCGGGTTTTAGGTCGCGGTGTACAAGGGGTTCTGGCTTGGCTTGATGAAGAAACAAAAGCCCTGTCGCAATTTCTGCAGCAATTCGGAACCTTAGCTGCCAAGGAATAACTGGGGTGTTACCACGCCGGAACAGACAATCGTCCAAGCTCCCATTAGCCATGTACTCATAGACCAAGCAACCATACTCTGGGCAAGCTCCAAGGAGGAGAACCATGTTTGGATGCCGTATGCAGCTCAATACTTCAACCTGCATAGCTAAAAACTGTCAGATATATAATCCACAACAATACATGATCAATAAAATTAAATGCCAAGCAATATTAATAAAATAATCCACAACAATACATGATCAATAAAATTAAATGCCAAACAATATGGTCCCCATTCTGGAAACAAATTGGTTATGTTGTTTAGTGTGTTGTATATTTGAAGATGGTAGTTAAAAGTTTTATAATGTTCCATGTCACAAACCTCCTGGTTGAACTGCGACTTTCCTTGAGCTGCATCTGGACGTAGAACTTTTATTGCCACTGGCGTGTGGTCCAGTTCACCTCTGTAAACTGGCCCATAGCCTCCTTCCCCGATCTTGCGAGCTTGCGAGAAATCATTCGTTGCCTTCTCAATCTCCTCAATTGTGTATTTCCTGTACCTCGGATCATATGCCCTCGATTGGAGTGCCTTCTTCTTCTCTTCGGATTCTTTAAAGGCTTTCATTTCTGCAGCCCTCCGTTTTTGTGCTTCCAATTCAGCAATCCTATGAGATGCTTCGGCTGCCTCGATGGCTGCCTTACATTTGGCTTTCTCCCTCTCTACAAGCGCCAATGCAGCTTCCTCAGCATGTCTTGCCGCTTCTAACCTTTGTTCATCTTCCAATTTCCACCGGTTAAGTTCCCTTTCCTGTGATGATTTTGTCATTAGAATATGTGATTAAATAGTGTTCAAAATCCCAGGTTTCTATTTATTAAATTGAATTTCTCTTTATGCTATGTGTATGGTTGCAGGACATGTAGGTTTGTCATTCACCTCTTGCTCTCAGGAAGATGACACCGAAACTTAAACAAATTCTACCCCTCAAATAAGGTTTCGCATCAGATACCTTGTGTTTTGCTGTCAGTGCTTCCTTGCAGGCCATACTGTACATCTCCATTGTTTGCTTGAGCTCTAGCTTGAGCCTCCTCATCTCAGCTTCCACATCATCCTATATTATTGCCAAAGCAAAGCAAGTATCAATACTATGAAATATATTTTTTTTTTATAGTTGGTGGTGTGCTTGCAAGTTACAAGTTTCCCATGCTGGGAAATTATCTTACCATGTTCTGTGATGATGACGATGATTTTCCACTTTCGATTGAGCACGATGAGATTTCGTATTGTGGAGACCCCATATCAAAAAGCCTGTTTCTTGAGTATGACGATGTGGAGCTTCTGCTCTCCATTTCTGACCCAATTGAATGCCGAGAGGGCATCGCCACTTCCGCACCAAAATCATAGAAAGAAGGAGAAATGTGATCGATGCTTGCCCTTCCACTACTCACAAATGATATATCAGTATCAGACGAGAGCTCGTACGATTTGTCCATTGAAGCTCTTCCTCTTGTGAATGGTGACCTGGATATCATTTTTATTGGGTTAGCCCCTCTTATGATTTTACTCACGCATCCTCTTTTTTAGTATTATATAGAGTTGTTCACACAAACATATAGGCTTAGAAAATTTTTAAGATCTAGAGTTTGCCAAGGAGGTCGGGGAGTATCTAATTATCTTTTTAAAAGAGTTAACGCATCGACCCAATCACGGATAAATTCTCAACTATTTTTTCTAGTCACAATGTTTGTGCTTTATTAAAGGACAAACTGTCGATATGACACTGATAAGCTGTTCATATGATTATCGATAACATATTGTTTCTCAAATATCTAAACCTGTTTCTCTCAATCTCTCCTAAATAATCAAAATAGTATAATTAGAGCATACTTGATTTGAGTGTCAGCATCTGGCGGGCTACGAGCTGAATAGTACTGTGTCCTCTCCGATGCTGTATGAATCAAAGAAATTAAACTTGAATTAGTAATAATTAGTGAAAACAAAACCATATTATAATAACCATGAGGTGGGAAATAATTACACATGCTAGAATTACAGAAGACATGTGTGTGTGTATATATATATATATATACCTGATGATTTGGTTTCAGAAACAGGGGTGGATTGGTGTTGTATCTGATTACGTGGGGCAGATTTTTGGGGTGTTGTAGTAGTAGCATGTCGCATGTACGAGACCTTTCCCTTGCTAATCACGTAAACAGAGCAAAAATCTGGTGCCCCCTTTGACACTGTGCTTGGAACGTCTGTGAGTTTGAATCTTTTGGTGCAAAAAATAAATTTAAAAAAAAAAAAGAAGGAAAATTTGGGTAATTAGGATCGAATTTAGGAGCTAATTAAGATGATTATGATGAATTAATTAATTAATTAATCACCTGAAAAGGCCACTTTTTGTTGGTGTACCAAGAACCAAAATCTCAACTGAGCTAGTGACAACGTAATTGATGATTGCTTTTGGAATATCAGTATCCTCGAGTACGACTTCATTGCATTTTATCTGTTAAAGATATCAGTCACAAGCAAAAACAAGTGTTAGACGGCCCCCCTAGGCAATAACGTTGTATATATTTTTTGTTACTTATGATTGATGGATCCAGATCCTTTTGGTTTCTTTTTTTACTATGATTTGCTTGACTTGCAATTAAATTACTTGGTTTGTGCAGTCGTATGAATTAAATCTTTTTTAATTTTTCCATATAACAAAAACTAAACATCAACAATTTGTAACGACATAAATAATATTTTGCATTTATCAAGGCTATGTTTAAGACGTATCACATTTTGAAGAATTTGCATACCAAACATGAAAATTGAATTTCATACTGATTATATCAACCCGCATCTCAAATTCCAAATGATTTGAAAAATAAAACAGTCAATGTGATACTTCAATGTTGATCAACAAACATTTTTCGGAGTTTCCATTCATCTTTCTTGAGCTTAATCTTAAAATGAATAAATAAACTTTTGTGGCATTTCCCTTCCAAATATTTAGCATACGTAGTTTCAATTCCTCCTTTCCATTCTTGATTAATAAACATGTCTCGACGAAGAAATTATGTAATTGTAAAGTATAAAATTATACATAAAAGAAAATAATTAGGAAGTATATTAGAACTCACATTCTTTTTGGAGCAAAAGGAACGGTACGAAAGAAACAGACTTTGGGCTTGAGCACCACCACCTTGGCTGTCGGCTCCTTCAGAAGAGGATGTGTGCTTAACATGCAGCAACGTGAGAGGTTGGCCTCTTGTGAGAAGATGATCAACAGCCCATTTGATGGCATTTTCACTTCCTTTGTCCTTGTCTATGGCCACTGCCACGGACTCTTCTCTCTTCTCTCCATGGCCTCGGTTAATCCTTGCCATTAATTCTTAATTAACTCTCTTAATCTCCTATAAAATCTAATTAATTCAAAACTCTCCAAGTGGGCAGATTACAGATCCTGCTTACAAGAAGATGATCATATGTTATATAATCTCCAAGTTTTTTTTTCTCTCCAATGCCCCCTCTCTCTCTCTCTCTCTCTGATTATTCTAGAGGCCTGCCTGGGAAACCCTTCTTTGTCCTGTCCAGAGAGGGTTGGTTTGTTTTGTTGAACAGAAGAGAAGAGAAGAAAAAAACACTTACCAAATTTCCCTAACCATGTTATCTTTTGTCTCTATTTTGAGTTAGTTATTTTTCACTTTTAATAACAAACTCTCTCTTGTGTTTTTCAAATACGATAATGTGACCCGAAAATGTTATGATTTTTTTAGCATGATCCTGAGGACCTGCACATTGTTGCGTGGTTGTAACTATTGTTTTGTATCTTGCCAAATTAGGTGACTTCCGATCCGCCAGAACAACAAAGGTGTAAGTTGATAAATTCCGCGCTTTCTGAAAAAAAAAAAAAAAAAAAAAAAAAAAACAAAAACAAAAAAAAAACAACAAACCCGCTTTCTTTGATATGTTTGCATTGCGTGGTTATGGAGTTCTTGACAGCAAAGCTAAACAAATTTTTGCTCCCCCAAAATTTTTAATTTAAAAAAAAATATATATATATATATACGTGTTATTATTTGTATAAATTAATTTCTATAAGACATCACTAATATATAGTCTACCACCTAAGTAAAGAAAAATTATAAAATATCAACTTCTTTTCCTAGAAAAATGAAAATTTCTTTTTCTTTTGAAAAAGAAAAAAAAAACTAAACAAGAGTGGACAGCAATCCAACCAAACTCACCAAATCGGCCGATCTGAACTGTAATGGCTGGTTTGCCTTGGCTTTTTTTTTTTTTTTTTTTTTTGTTTAAATTTTACTATAATGGTTTGGTTTGGTTGCGATTGTTAGATTTTGCAAACCAACCTAAACCGAATCAAAACGTCCGCTTGTATATGTTTTTATGTTATTTTATTTTATACGTCTAATGCTTTCATTGACTAATAACTAAATAAGGATGTTTCTTTTGAAGTTTAATTGAACTTTGAAGTTATTGGTCTTTTGAATTGTAACTATATTAGTTATTGAACTTTAAAGTTTGATGACATGTTAATTATAAAATAGTTTGATGTGCTAGAAAGTGAAAAATATATATGTAGCACGTTATGAAATTTTTCATTTTATTTTTTTGTAATTGGGCTAACCCATACAACTTATGGTAACTACATCTAACCCCAATGCTATGATCCTTTTAAATGCATGTAATCAATCACCCTCCTAAAAGATACTGCTTGCTTCCTAAAGAATCACAGTTTTACATGTATGTAAAAATAATTTATTAAAAACACAAAAAGAAAAATTTATGTACACATGTGACACTGCTCTTTACAAGAATATAAAAGCTCATACTTACATAGTAAGGAATGAAGTATCTTTCTCCCCTAAATGCTTGTAACATGCATAATAGAGATGGTGATAAATCTGCACACAATCAGGCACTCCAATAACTGTGATTTACTTTCCCTTTATTGTGATATTGTAATTCCATGTAATTATAGGTAATTGTACCCAAATAGGAATGTACTTGGAGACCAAGTACTCACCACTTGTATAAATACTCTAGTTCTATTTGAATACAAATCATCAAATTTCAAACCAAAAGTGAATCTTTGACATGGTATCAGAGCTATAAACCCTAGTCTAGCTTCCTTGCGTTTTCTCTCTGTGTTTTTTTTTCTCTGCCCACATATGCCTTCTTCTGCTGAGCCCTCTCCTACAAATACTCCTCTTTCATCCCCTCCTTCTCCAATGGCTTCCTCCTTGTCTGCGACACCTCTTGCTTCTTCTATGGTCTCTCTTCCTAATATCTCCTATGTTGTTTCTATCAAATTGGATCGTACGAACTACATCATTTGGAAAGCTCAGTTCTTGCCCCTGTTGAAGAGTACTGGTTTAATCGGATATGTTGATCAAACAAATCCGTGTCCTTCTCAATTCACCTCTGATGGCGTCACCCCCAATCCTGCTTATGCAGACTGGCATAAACTTGATCAACAACTGCTCAGTTGGATTAATTCTACCCTCACTCCTGGCGTGCTCTCTCAGGTTTCTCGTTCTCTTACAGCTTGTGATGCCTGGATCTCTTTGGAGAAACGTTTCAATTCTCAGTCCCGTTCTCGTATTCTTCAGTTGAAGCACCAGCTGCAAACCACCAAACGCGGTACCTCCTCCATCACTGATTTTGTCAATCAAATGACTGCTGTTGCTGATAGTTTGGCTCTTGCTGGCAAACCCGTGGATGATGATGATCTTATTGACCTTATTCTTAATGGTCTCGGACCGGCGTATGAGAGCGCTGTCAACTCTATTTAGTCTCGTGACCCTCCTATGGCTCTTGATGATGTTATTACCTTTTTATTAACTGCTGAGACTCGTATGGCTGAATACACCCCTTCCATGACGTCTGATTCTACCACTCAAGTGTTTTATGCTAATCGTGGCCATGGCTTTTCCAATTGTGGGTCCTCATTTTCCCGTGGTGGTCGTGGTGGTGGCTTTTCTGGCTCCCGTGGTGGTTTTTCTGGCCCCAGTTCTTCTCCTAGTCGAGGCATCCTTCCTCTCCCCTCTCAGGCTCCCCTTTCCATGCCCGTTGCTCCTAGCCGTGGTGGTTTCTCCTCTCCGTCTTATGGTTCATCTCCTGGTTTTAACGGTCGTTGTTATAACTGTGGTGAATATGGTCATATGGCTCGTCGCTGCCCTTGCCCTCCTGTTGCTCCTCAAGCCATGGTTGCCTCTCATACTCCTACTCCGTCATCTACCTGGTTTACTGATAGTGGTGCCTCTGCTCACATAACAAATGACCTTGCTCATCTCCAGCTCTCTCAGACTTACGGTGGTTCGGATCAAGTTTCTGTGGGTAACGGCCAAGGTTTGCATATAACTAATATTGGTTCTTGTTCCATCTCTCAATTCCATTTAAATAAAGTTCTTCATTGTCCTTCCGCATCTCATAATTTACTTCGTGTTCATCAATTTGCTCTTGATAATTCTGTCTATTTTATTTTCACCCCCTCTGATTTCTATGTGAAGGATCTCGTCTCGGGGAAGACGCTTTTCCACAGCAAGAGTGAAAATGGTCTCTACCCGTTCCGGTCTCCTTCGTCCTCCTCCTCATTTCCTACCATCGCTGTGGCCCTCCTTGGTATCCGTACTTCTTCTCCCGTATGGCATCAACGCTTAGGTCATCCATCTCCTGCTGTCTTTCAAAAGCTTTTAGCTCTCCTTCCCCTTTGTGGTTCTCCTCGGAGTTCTTTTTGTTCTCATTGTCCTCTAGGCAAAAGTAGTCGTTTACCATTTCAGTTATCTTCTTCTGTTTCTACTGTTCCGTTACAACTCATTCATTGTGATATTTGGACATCTCCCATTTTATCTAATAAAGGTTCTAAATATTTTATATTATTTGTTGATGATTACTCTCGTTATACATGAGTTTTTCCAATGCGTTTTAAGTCTGAAGCTTTTGATTATTTTCATAAATTTAGGATATTGGTGGAAAATTTGTTGTCTGTTGACCGTGTGTGCACAATCAAATCTCTTCAAACAGATAGGGGGGCTTAATTCCCTAGTAACCAATTCCAGCATTACTTAAGTACTCATGGGATTTTTCACCGTGTTTCCAATCCTCACACACCAGAACAAAACGGAGCCGCCGAACGCAAATAGCGACACCTCATAGACATGGCTCTTACTCTCCTTGCCACCGCCCATATGCCCTCTTCCTTTTGGGTTGAAGCTTGTAATACTTCTACCTATTTAATCAACCGTTTGCCTGCCCGTCAATTAAATTATTTGTCTCCCTATGAATCTTTGTTTGGTCGTCGTCCTGACTATTCTATTTTACGTGTTTTTGGATGTGCATGTTTTCCTTACCTGCGTCCTTATAATAAACATAAACTTCAATTTCGTTCTAAACAATGTGTTTTCAGAGGTTATTCTCTTAATTACCAAGGTTATCGGTGTTATGATCCTTCAACTAGTCGTGTTTATCTCTCTCGTCATGTTGTTTTTGATGAATCTACCTTTCCGTTTTAGGCTCTCTCTCACACTTCCTCCGTTCCTCCATCCCCGGTGCCTCCCTCTCCACCTTTAGTCGTGTCTTCCTCTCCCGTTGTTTCTCCACCACCGCCATCTCCTTCCCCATAGCCTCCTCATTCTCCTCCTCCTTTGCCCACGGTCACTCATGTTGATGTCCCCGCTTCTCCTGTTGAGTCATCCCTGCCCCCTTCCCTTCCCACTACCCACACCATGGTCACTCGTTTGAGAGATGGGATTAGAAAACCGAATCCCAAATATGCAAATCTTGTTTTTTCGCAGGTATCTGAGATCGAACCTACCTCGTTCCAAGAAGCAAACAAATCGGATCAATGGCGCCAAGCTATGCTCACAGAGGTCCAAGCCCTTCATCACAATCATACTTGGGATCTTGTTCCTCCCTCCCTTCACCGCCATGTCTTGCCTTGCAAATGGGTGTTCCGTATCAAATGCCGCTCCGATGGTTCCATTGAACGGTATAAGGCCCGTCTTGTGGCCAATGGGTTTCATCAACAATATGGCATTGACTACTTGGAAACTTTCAGTCCTGTTGTTAAGCATGTTACTGTTCGCATTATTCTTTCTCTTGCTTTTTCTCAGCAATGGCTCATCCGTCAGCTTGATGTTACTAATGCTTTTCTTCATGGTTACTTGTCTGAAGAGGTTTACATGCATCAACCCCACAGTTTTGAAGACCCTAAATTTCCTCATCATGTATGTCGCCTTCGGAAATCTCTCTATGGTCTCAAGCAATCTCCCCGTGCTTGGTTCTCCCGTTTCTCTGAGTTTCTTATTCACTCAGGTTTCACGGCTTCCAAGGCGGATCCTTCCTTATTCATTTTTCATAAAGATGACAATTTTCTCTTCCTTTTGATTTACGTGGACAATATTATTGTTACTGGTAATGCTTTGTCACAGGTTAACGCCCTTCTTCAGTCTCTTAATCGTCAGTTTGCTATGAAAGATTTGGGGGATCTTCATTATTTTTTGGGCATTGAGGTCCAGCGTACTCCGGATATGTTGTGTTTGAATCAAGCCAAATATGCGGCTGATCTTCTAAAAAGGGCCACCTTACATGAGGCTAATCCTTGTCTCACTCCGGTTGCCACTGGTTCTCAACTTAGCTCTCTTCATGGCTCTCCTCTCTCGGATCCCACTGAGTATCGCAGTCTTGTTGGCGCACTTCAGTATCTCACCATCACCCGTCCGGACATTTCCTTTGCCGTCAACCAAGTTTGTCAATTCATGCATCAACCTACTGATATTCATTGGAAAGCCGTCAAGCGTATTCTACGTTATGTTCTTGGCACTTCTCATGATGGCCTTGTTTTTTGTCCTGGTGACTCTTCTGTGATTGCTTTCTCTGATGCCGACTATGCTGGTAATCCCGATGATTGTCGCTCTACAGGGGGATATTGTATTTTCTTTGGCTCCAACCTTGTCTCATGGAGCTCCAAGAAGCAGCCCACCGTTTCCCGCTCTAGTACCGAATCTGAGTATCGTCAATTGGCTCTCACTGCTATGGAACTCTCATGGATTCAACAACTCTTACAAGAATTACATGTCTCTTTGCCCTCACCTCCTTTGCTTTGGTGTGACAACACAAGCTCTATTGCTCTTGCTTCTAATCCGATCTTTCATGCACGCACCAAACACATTGATGTGGATTATCATTATGTCCGTGAACTTGTCCTTGCTGGCTCCTTGCATGTTCGTTATGTCTCCACCCAATCTCAGCTGGCTGACATTTTTACCAAGGGTCTCCCGCTTCCTCGGTTTGCCTTTCTCAAATCCAAGCTGTTGCGCTCTTTGCACATCAGCTTGCAGAGGGATAATAGAGATGGTGATAAATCTGCACACAATCAGGCACTCCAATAACTGTGATTTACTTTCCCTTTATTGTGATATTGTAATTCCATGTAATTATAGGTAATTGTACCCAAATAGGAATGTACTTGGAGACCAAGTACTCACCACTTGTGTAAATACTCTAGTTCTATTTGAATACAAATCATCGAATTTCAAACCAAAAGTGAATCTCTGACAATGCAACTTATACTTATGAGTACCATCCGTCCACTACCCAAGAAAAACTCCATGATCACTTTGTCATTAATGTAATGCACTTGTCAAAGTGACGAGAAAGATACGAAAATTAAAGACAACGCTGCATTTGCACCAACCTTATCTCCTCGACAGAGAGACTAGATGACGGGTTCATCTACAATGCTCTGGTGTATCAATACATCAAACTGTTAAGGGTATATATGTCTTTTCAAAATTCACTAATGAAACATGTAGACATGGGGTGTGGAAGGCATTACCTTTTGGGGATACATTTGGGCAGTGCACGTATAGTCATGCAATTGCACATCTGGTGCTACGTGTGCGAGGGAGAGAAAGAAAGAGAGGCAGAAAGAGTGGGTCGGGGCTGGGGGTTGATGGGAGGGGATCTATGCAATTTCACATAAACTAAAGCATATCTTTTGAAATCTACATGCAATTACCCATTTGCTTGCATACATAGGATTCGTTAATGCATAACTTTTTTGCAATTTTGCAAATATTGATTCACAAATTCACTTCAACAAAAAAAGTTTACTGAAAACATCATACTTATATCGCAATGGTATTTCAGGAGAAAGAAGCATAATAAGTTAACAAATGCATCATTTAAGAAAATTTAAGATATTTTGATAAATATTATCAAAATTATATTAAACATACTATTTTAACTTCCATATTTTAATACCACACATATATGATTGAAAAGCTCACACGTACATTTAAGAAAATTTAATAAAAATGAGCAAGAGTTAAACCATTATGAACTGATGACCAAAACATAATATATAGAAATCATATCGTCAGCATTTTAAATTTCAGTAAAAAAAAAAAATTACCAGAAATTAACGACCAAGAGTATCACAATGCAAGCGGGAAGAAAACTCCAAATCAGATTTCTTCAATTTTAATAACATCTATCAACACTAGGCAAAGATTTCTATCAACACTAGGCAACAAGGAAGAGGAATATATGGCAACAGTAGGCAACAGTAGGCAAAGATTTCTTCATGTGAAATATATGGCAACTCAACCCTCACTACTACATTTTTCACTTTGCACGACGAAGAAAATTTCGTCGCGCAAAATACATTATAGTCGCACAAATTTTAGCGCGACAGAAACTTCGTCGCGCAGATTCCGTCGCGCAAAGATCGTGGAGAAAGACTTTGCGCGACGAAATTTTTTCATTCATCGCGCAAAGTAACTTTGCGCGACGAAAATATTGGTCGCGCAAAGCGACTTTGCGTGATGAAAAAATATTTGTCCCGTAAAGCGACTTTGCGCGACGAAAAAATTTTAAAATTTTTTTTTAAAAAAATTCCCTCGTCCCATTTTTAGTACCCGCCCAAATTTTTAGAGTTTTGCGCGACGAATATTAATGTCGCGCAAATATTTGCGCGACGAAATATTTTGGTTTTTGACTTTTTGTTTTATTATTTCTTTAATATTAATTTAATTATATTAATTATTTCGAATTTTTAATTTTTAAATTAAATTTAATTGTATGATTTTTTTCGTTACTTTAATTTAAATTGATATTAATTTAATTATATTAATTTATTCAAATGTTTACTTTTTAAATTTAATTTAATTACTTTAATTTAAATTGACATATTCAAAATAAAATTACATATGAAAAATAGTGATCAAATTATCCAATAAATATATATATAATATTCAAAATGTACACATAAATTAACAAAGTACAATAAATAAATAAAAGGGATAATCTCCCCTAAAATTGTTATACCACAAATCCAACCCAAACTCCAATCCCTCCCCTTTACTCAACCCCAAACCCCACACAAACTCAAAACTAACTCCAAAAACACATATTAATGAAAAAAAAATTAAAATTTGGAGAGAATCTACCTTTTGGCAAGATTGAGAGTGAGTGAGAATGAGAGAGAGAAATGAGTGTGAGAGAATTAGAGAAGATAGTGATAGAGAGATGAGAGAGTGAGTGAGAGTAAGAGATAGTGAAAAGAGAGATGAGAGAGTGAGTGAGAGTAAGAGATAGTGAAGAGAGAGATGATGAGAGATTAAGTGAGAGGAGTGAGAGTGAGAGAAATGGTGGGATTTGGGGAGAGGGAAAGAGAGAGGAGAGGAAAAAGTAGAGAAAGACATTGAGAAAATGATGGAGGAGTTATTTTTATTTTAAAAACCGTATCACTTTGCGCGACGAAAAATATTGGAGTATTGGTCGTGCAAAGTTTTGCGCGACGAATATTAGTATATTGGTCTCGCAAAGTCAAAAAAAAATCCCGCGTCCCATTTTTGGTACCCGCCCAAATTTTGAAATTTTTGCGCGACGAAAAATACATATTGGTCGCGCAAAGTCTAAAAAAATTCCCGCGTCCCATTTTTGGTACCCGCCAAATTTTTGCGCGACGAAAATATATATTGGTCGCGCAAAGTCTAAAAAAAAAATTTTTTTTCCATCCCGCGTCCCATTTTTGGTACTCACCCAAATTTTTAAAGTTTTGCGCGACGAATTGTTGGTCGCGCAAACTTTTGAGAGACGAAAAATTGGTTCATAGCACGATATTTATAAAAATAATTGTTATGAATAATAAAATTATTTTTTTTACGATTTAAAATATAAATAAGGTTAAAGCTACTTAATAAATGTATATACTAATTTCTTAAGTGTTATACGTACAAAATAAATAAATTTAAAGCTACTTAATAAGTAAATATATATATATACACACACCATTCAACGATCCAACCGTCAAACTTGTTTGTATATACTTCAAGATCGTATACCCCAAAAATTGTAAAAAACAAACATTCGGAGACCTAGTAACGGGACAAAAAATTTCAACGGTTCTTAATGAAAAATCACAATTTAACGGTTATTTTAACTCCGATTTTGATGATTTTTTACAACTACACTCCTTGACCCTATATGAATACAATGAACTAATTCGATCGTCAATTTAAAATATTTACACTAGTGGATACCACAAAATCTTATGTTATACTTAACAAAAGTATAAATAAACTCTTAATTGTTAGTGAATATATTGTTTTGATGGCATACGCATTCAAAAAAACAAGTTTCAACGATCCAACCGTCAAACTTATTTGTTTATACTTCGAGATCATATATGCCAAAAATCGCAAAAAATAAACATTCAGAGATCAAGTAACGGGACAAAACTTTTCGACGGTTATAAATGAAAAATCTTGATTCAAAGGTTATTTTAACTCCGATTTTGATGATTTTTTACCGCTACACTCCTTTACCCTATATGAATACAATGACTGAATTTGATCTTCAATTTAAAATATTTACACTAGTGGATACCACAAAATCTTATGTTATATTTAACAAAAGTATAAATAAACTCTTAATTGTTAGTGAATATATTGTTTTGATGGCATACGCATTCTATGAAACTAGTTTGAACGATCCAACCGTCAAACTTGTTTGTTTATACTTCGAGATCATATACGCTAAAAATCGGAAGAAATAAACATTCAGAGATCAAGTAATTGGACAAAACTTTTCGACAGTTATAAATGAAAAATCACGATTTAACGGTTATTTTAACTCCTATTTTGATGATTTTTTTATAGCTACACTCTTTGACCCTATATGAATACAATGAACTAATTCGATCGTCAATTTAAAAAATATATTTTCTAATAAAAACCCAATCCAAAAAACAATAATATATTTTTCTAACAAATATTTTAAAAAATATTTATTTATTTTTATAAGGACTTTGGGAGACGAAGTTAATTGTTTCGTCGCGCAAAGTAGCTTTGCGTGACGAATTGTTTTTCGTCGCGCAAAGTTACTTTGAGCGACGAATTTTTTTTCGTCGCGCAAAATTTGGTTGCGCAAAGTCGCTTTAAGCGACGAAAAAAAATTCGTCGCGCAAAAGTGGGTCGCGCAAGGTTTTTAGCGACGAAGTTTTGAGTTTCGTCGCGCAAAGTGTCTTTGCGCGACGAAAAATTATTCGTCGCGCAAAATTTGGTCGCGCAAGGGTTGTTTTGTAGTAGTGCCTTTTTCTAAAACTAGAGGCCACCTTAGGCAAAAGGGAAGAGGAAAGTCATTTCACCTTCAATAAGACAAAAGAAGAGACTTTCACATAAAAATCACTTCAAGTATTCATAACAGAAAACCCGAAAGAGGGCAAATAGAAAATCGATACCTTTTACTTAAAAGCACCTAATCGGAATGGTTCAGCGGCGGCAGAGATGGAGAGCCAGATGTGCGGTCGCGTTGAGGAAGAGAAGAAATATATTGCCTGCCGGGTAGGGGTTTTAAGAAGAGAAAGAGAGATGAGAAGAGAAGAGAGAGTGGCGGGAGTTAGGGTTAGGCAATTAACCCTTCTATTTTATGTTTTATTAATTACAATTTTGGAGATTTCTCTCCTGTTCTTATCTGGGATGATCTAGGATAAAAAAAACCAAATGTAACAGATCAGAACCATGAACAAACAAACTTTCCTTTTTCTTTTTCATTTCAGTTTCAGAGGAAACAAACAGAGAATTGGATAGAGAAATACTATGGTTGCGAAGTTGAGCTGACGACTAGAGGAAGAGACGGCAGCAAACGGAGAAGGTTGAGGTCTCTCTCGCACTCGTTGTCTGTCTCCCATGGTTGGAAATTCAGATATGACCGTATTGAGTCCGATTTGAGAGCTCGAAGAGAGAGAAGTGAAGATGGGGTTGCCGTCGGTTAGGTGGGTGGGTGGGTACCTAAGGAAGAGAAGCCATGGTTTTTGTTGTGGGTTTCTGGGTCTGAGCTTGCAATATCCCACATTCATCTTTTCCCAGCTCTGTAAATTTGCCATCTCCAGGTTGAAATGCAAGCTTCCACGTGTGGGAGGCAAAGAAACCCACTACAGCAGCAGGTTATCCAGCATTTGATAGAATTTTCGCTAGATGACAGGAGAAGTCACTACAGAATGTCTTGATTGAAAGTTACGTGGGTCCCATACTTTTCATGCAAATTGATCAGGTGGTGGTTTCAGGATTTGAAAACCGACCGGGCAAAACTTATATAACAAACTTGACAAAACGAGTGAATTTCATTAATAAACATAAAAAAAAATTACATAGTAAGAGGAGACGTAATAAGCCTTACTCTCAAATGCATTTATATATACAAATACAAAAACTAAAATAAAAAATAAAAATAAAAATAAATTATTTCACATTAAAAAGAAAGATAATATATAGGACTACATTAATTTTTAAAAAAAACAAGATTTATTTCGAGAGAAATGGGAAGGAAGAAAATTGACGAAGCTATGTTTTTTTTTATTTTTTTTATTTTTTAAACGAGTTGTGACCTCATTTCTCTCCTTGTTTCCTTTTATAAACGTTTATTATGACATCCGTTTTTAGGTTTCCACCTCGAGCTCTATAGCCCTATCAATCATGTTTCGCAATTTCTAAAATAGTTATCTTTGTGCAAGACAAATTTTTTTAATAATCATAAGTAATGTAGGTAATATTTTTCTAACAAAAAGAGAGAAGGAAAAGGAACAAATAAGAGAGAGAGAGAGAGAGAGAGAGAGAGGAGAGAGAGAGAGAGAGAGAGAGAATAAAAAGAACGGAAAAAAAAAGAGAGGAGGGATGAGAGAAGGAGAAGAAAGAAAAAAAAAGAGGGATAGAAAAGAGAAGGAAAACAACCGAAAAAAAAAGAGATAGAGAAGAGAGAAGGAAAAGAATTTTAAAAAAAAGAATGAGAGAGGAGAGTGTAAGGAAAAGAAGAAAAAAAAAAGAGAGGAGAGAGAAGAGTAGGGCTGGCAATGGGTCGGGTCGTGTCGGGTTCGTGTCGTGTCGGGATATTAAACGTGTCAAGAATGCTCAACCCGAACCCAACCCATTTAATAAACGTGTCGTGTCGGGTTCGGGTCGTCTTTTATCGTGCGGGTTTCGAGTCGTGTAACGGGTTGATAAATAATAATATGCATGTTACAAAAGTCACAACTGAAAAAAACAGAGAGAGGAGAGAAAATATAAGGAAAAGAAAGAAAAAAAGGATAGAGAGAGGAGAGAAGAGAGAAGGAAAACAAAAAAAAATAGAGAGAGGAGAGAAGAGAGAAGGAAAACAAAAAAAAAAATAGAGAGAGATAGAGAGAGAAGAGAGAAGGAAAGAAATAAAAATAAAAAAGAGAGGAGAGAAAACTAAAGAAAAGGAAAAGAAAGAAAAAAAAAAGAGATGAGAGAAAACTAAAGAGAAGTAAGAAAAGAGAGGAGAAAAGAGAGAAGGAAAAGAAATTAAAAAATAGAGAGGAGAAGATAGACGGAAAAGAAAGAAAAAAAAACATTATAAATATCAAAAGGCATAATATATAATTACAAAGTTGTATATAGCATGGTGGATAAGGTGTTGGAGGGTAATGAGGATGGAGGGGGTTCGAAACCCCATACGTGTGTTTTGAAGTCTCTATTTCCCCATATTTTTTCGCGGGCGGGTTGACACGACCCGTGACACGACCCATTTAATAAACGGGTTACACATGTATTTTAACGGGTTGGCGGGTTGACCCGAAACCCACCCGTTTAATAAACGGGTCAAAACGGGTTGACTCGAAAATTACCCAATTATTAATCGTGCGGGTTTGAGTCGTGTTTTTTCCGTGCGGGTTTCGAGTCGTGTAACAGGTCGTGTAGGAAATTGCCACCCCTAGGAGAGTGTGAGGAAAAGAATAAAAAAAGAGTTGTAATTTCCCCACTCCAATTTTATTACCCTAAAAAAAAGGAAAGGAGAGAGATGAGAGTGTATGTAATATATTTTTAACAAAAATTAGGACTGGACAAACGAGAAGAGAGGAGAGAAAAGTATGGGCAATATTTATTTAACATAAATTTGGGCCAGGCATGAGCCCAGCCTGCCACAGGCTGGAACAGCCCAGGAAGGGGAGAGGGAAGGCCATGATGTTTTTTTTCCTGAAACAAGAAACAGAAACCATACAAATTTTTGTTTTGAATTTGATGAGCTGTTTAGGCCCTTGGCTAATTGTTTCAAGTGAACGTACTTTGGTTTTGATTTGAATGCCAGAGGTGGTAGCTTAATACTACAAGTGCATTTAATGACCAAAGGCGAAAGGCGGAGGACGGGACCAATAAATGTCTACATCTAACCCCAAATAAGCTGGGCCTGCCCTTTCTTTTTATAATGAATTCTCCATACCTGTGGAGGAGGGCTCCCCAGGGGTTTTGCTGAACAACAATCGCTTTAGCAAGAGAAGTATAGTTACTGAAGATGGCGACGCTAAGAGGGAGATGGATTCTGAATCTGACTCACCTCCGATGACTACTCCTGAGCAAAATCAGGTACCAAGAGCGTGCTATGTTGCGAATCTGTAAACCTTGGTATAAAGAATAATTGCAAGGCTCAGCTTAGGGTAGGTTTATTGAACGTCTTTGCACCACCGTCTTTTTTGCGGTTTCTTTATGTTTTGAATAAATTGCGAACTCTTTGGGTTCTATGTATAGTTTTCATCTAATTTCATACAGACGATTGGGAATGGTATTTCTATACTCGGCTCCTAACCTGCGCATTCCCATCCCTAGAGACCACCAATTTCATTTTCAATTATTTTCGTTTGTAAAACTTGATACTATATCTCTAGTAATTCCAACACAAGACAAGCCAATTCAAATGATAATTTCATGGAGTGAATCTCTTTAAAATAAGTGGCGAAGTATTACTTTTTAGGAATAGTAAATCAAATCATTTTTATTTTTATTTTGGTCGAAAGGGAAACTTCATTGAAGGGAAAGCAACCCAAAAAGAACATAAACAAGGAAAGAAAAAGATAGCAGCCTAGGGGACAGACCCGGGGACAGACCCGCCTAGGAGAAGCAGAAAAAACACAGACATGCTAGAAATGAAGAAAACTGAAAGTAATAGAAACTAGAGGGCCACAAACTAGGACGTCACCAAAGGAGCACATCAGCCTCTAGCTAAAAGGAGATAAACATGGGGGGCAAGGCAGACCATTCGATTGAAGAACAAACACAAGGGAAGAAATCAAATAAATAAGCATAAGTTATTGGTTCCAATCATATTATTCAATTTTAGACTTGTATATAATCGCTTTGATTCTCCATAGGAATCTATAGAATTTTTTGATGATACATGTCCCCTTAACTCCGTAACAATTGTCCACAACTCCAATACAAAGTTGGGTTAGAACATGTGAACCTCCTAGCTCCATGTGGCATTTTATCTCAAAACATACCTGGTTGAGTTGAGCGCTACTTTTTTAATATATTTATTTTTATTTATATAAGCGATATTGGGGGAGAGGAGAATCAAACCATGACCTATGGTGCATGAGTAAATACCTTTTACTACTTGAACTGCAAGCCCCTTACTAATCGCGCCTTAATATATCAATTTATGACTAGTACTTATAACATGTTTGTGACCAATTTCTTTCTCTATAAACTCAAGAGTAATTATATTTCTTGTCATGTGGTATAGCATATTCATGTATTAGAGTATTCACAATGGGAGAGTGTATAAGGGGATGTATGTTAAATATACACCCTTTGTCGTTAGAATCATCTCTAATGGAAAGATGTAAATGATTGTAAAAATACATTACAACTATGGAGATGTAAAATTAGATGCACATTTGCATTTTTTTTTACATCCTCTGCAGACGGGACCCACAAGAGAAAAAAGGGAAAGAGAAAGATTGGAATTCAAAATGGAATGCCTAGATTTCATGCAATTTGCATTGCACTTCCAATGGCCTAGATTTCTACATAGATATTTTTATGTTAGTTTGTAGGTAAAATCATATGTTCTCCAAATTTAAACTTTTTTTAGGTCCATTTATTTGGAAAAATAAATAAATCTAATACGCACAAAATTAATTTTAAAAAGTTAAAATATAAAAAAAAACACACACAAAAAAGAATTATCACAAACAAATTGAATATGCATATTTGGATTTACATCGTTTCTCATTGGCAGAACAAAAAAATATTTACATCCCCTAGAGACATAAAGAGGATGTAAAAGTGACTTTACACTTCCCGAAAATACACACCCTACATATAAACGGTAATTTATTAATACTATTCTCTAAAAAGAAAAAATATCAATCATATCGTTTACTTATATTATAACACATAAACAAATCATACTACAGTCCAAACCTTTTAAAAGAGTTCCCATGTGGTTTTGTCAGGCTGCGTGGTCTTGCTGTTTGCTACAGTAAAGGGCTCATATTATTATAAAGGACAGGTCCCATCTCGTGTTTGATTTTATAATGAAGGACAGATCCCACCTAGTGATTGTGCTGTTGTTTTAAGTTGTGTAAGTAACTAAAGATTTGGAGACCCATCGACCAAACACCGTAGACCACATATAATTATGAAAAGTAGAGCAGTTTCAAACCACGAACTATTTTGTTTTCTTCTTATAATTATGAAAATGATACCACGATGCATTGAGGACAGAGACAATTCCACAGTAGTCTTTATTTGAAAATGCTATCAGAATTTTCGCAGGTGGTGCGGAGCCATACCATACCCTAATAAATGATAATTGATTTTGCTACCTTCCTCAATAAGTTCCTTGAGATTGAAAATGATTGAAGATTGATTTGGCTTCCTCTTTGGTACAGATACGGTTCAACTTCTTTATTTTATTATTTATTCTTTTATATACACATATACATAGCCTTTATAAAAAAATTTAGATCTCCCTTGACTTTAGGTCCCGGGTTGTAGTACTGGTAACCCCGGGCCAAGGCCAGCTCTGATTGTGGCGAATATATTAAGGCACAAGAAGATGCTTAAAACTGTCCATTTGCTCAACTTCAAATGTCTCCTCTCTAATAGAGATGGATCCTAATGTATTGATAGTTTCCACTTTTATTAGTGAGATGGTACGCAATATAGTATAAAAATGTAATAAGGCTAGCATTACCCTTAATAATATTACAAGGGACGTTTAGACTTTACTTTTTAAATTTTTTTATATTTTATTATAGAATTGACATTGAGGTTTTGTTTGATTCATGGGAAATAAGACTGGGGATGAAAAATCAATTGTTTTTCCATGTTTAATAAGTCCAGACATGAGAAATAATTGTATGGCACAAGAAAAAATAGGGGAAAAAGTGAAGTTATCTTCTCAACTTGGGTTTTGTTTTCCTTCCTCATGGAGGAGTTCGGAAAAATGAGCAAACATTCAATGCACATTTTTCATGACTATTTTGTTCCCATGAACAATTTAGAATTATAATATATTCTTTTTTTATTTAATTTAATATGTGTATAATTGAAAAATTATATAAACTTTGGTTCATTCCTACTCAATTCGAAAAGCTCATACATTTAAGAAAATTTAATAAAAATAACCAAGAGTTAAACCATTATGAACTTATGACTAAAAAGAAAATGGATATAGAAATCATACATTTCAAAATCACCATATACGGACCAAAACATAATTAAATCAATACCTTTTACTTAAAAGCACCTAATCGGAATGGTTCGGCGGCGGCAGAGATGGAGAGCCAGATGTGCGGCGGCGTTGAGGAAGAGAAGAAATATGTTGCCTGCCGGGAAGGGGTTTTAAGAAGAGAAAGAGAGATGAGAAGAGGAGAGAGTGGCGGGAGTTAGGGTTATGCAATTAACCCTGCTATTTTATGTTTTATTAATTACAATTTTGGAGATTTCTCTCCTGTTCTTCTCTGGGATGATCTAGGATAGAAAAAACCAAATGTAACAGATCAGAACCATGAACAAACAAACTTTCCTTTTTCTTTTTCATTTCAGTTTCAGGGGAAACAAACAGAGAATTGGATAGAGAAATACCATGGTTGCGAAGTTGAGCTGACGACTGGAGCAAGAGACGGCAGCAAACGAAGAAGGTCGTGGTCTCTCTCGCACTCGTTATCGTCTCCCATGGTTGGAAATTCAGATCTGACCGTATTGCGAGCTCGAAGAGAGAGAAGTGAAGATGGGGTTGCCGTCGGTTAGGTGGGTGGGTGGGTACCTAAGGAAGAGAAGCCATGGTTTTTGGCGTGGGTTTCTGGGACTGAGCTTGCAATACCCACATTCATCTTTTCCCAGCTCTGTAAATTTGCCATCTCCAGGTTGAACTGCAAGCTTTCACGTGTGGGCAGGCAAAGAAACCCACTACAGCAGGTTGTCCAGATTTTTGTGTGGTGATTCTAGTGATTTTTCTTCACAAATTATTTTGAACCATTAGATCAAAACTTTTAAATCCAACGGTCGAAAGCTTTGATGTATTGATACACACATATTTTAGAAGAGGAGAAGTCTTGAATGAAAGTTACGTGGGTCCCACACTTTTCATGCCAATTGATGAGGAAGGTGAGAACAGTTCATTTCTTGACCGTAAGGCAGAGGATGGGACCAATAAATGTCTACATCTAACCCGAATAATTCTAATGAAGTTTCCAGACCTGTTCTTCACAAGTACGTAGCGCAATATTAAAGTCGGTCGCTCAACTTCTGGTGGTACAACTTTTGAAAATAAAAAATAAAAAATCGAGTGATATAAAAACAGACAAGGATTTGCAATTGCTCGGAATCAAATGCAATAAATTGATATGATCTGATTATGTCTTAAACAAATCAGCTCAAGGGCCTTATAAAAAGGACGTGAGATTCCCAATCTTAATCAAATCACCTTCTTCCTTCTTGTCACGACATGTGTCACTTTATTTACACTTAAAATAATGTCATTAATAATTAAATAAGCTAATTTTTGTTTTCTAAATTTGCCCTTATTAAATAAAATAATTAATTTAAATATATTGACTTCCCTAATTTCTTCAATTGAAAAAATATTTTCTCTCTCAATCCTCTCTCTATCATTTGCAGCGCCCCACAACCCTTATTCTACCTCCCCACTTCTCCCCAAAACGAACACTAATACCCAACAATGACCCATGACCAGTACCCAAACAAGCATATGAAAGAAACCCACTTCCTCTCCCGTCCAAAGATTTTCCCCCCACCTTCCCACCTCCTCTTTCTCTGCTGTTTGTAATCGAATAATTTTTTATTTTATTTCTCAAATCTCACCACCAAAGCACTATTTTCTATTTTTATTTGGTTTTGTTTATAATAAAAAAAAGTGTTTGAACTTTCATGATTTGGGAAGCAAAGGTCTGTTCCGGCTGTGAAAACTCAAAGGATTTTTTACTTTTTAGTTTCTGTCAAGGGTATATATGGAAATACAATTTAACATTTTTTAAAAATTAAAAATATTCTTTTGAGTGAGAGAGAAGTGCCACGTGTTATTAGAAAAATAGAGAAGGTCATAGAAAAAGTCATGTTCATGTATTATAACATAACATATAAGCAGAGATTTATTGATATTATTATATAACAAGAAAAAATATCATGTCGTTTACCATGTGATACTATTATAACACATAAATAAATCATACTACTTCACTATATCATTCTATAATTTTTCGAAGGCTTATTATCACAAAACGTTCCTGACGTTTGCAAAACTGTTACATTACATCCTTAAAATTTTTTTGTATCACTCATGGTCCCTAATGTTAAAATAGGTGCTCTTAAATAGTTCCTTGGTCAAAAAACTATTAAATTCAGAAATATAATTGTCAAGTCAATCCAAAATTATATATAATATTTTTTATTTCCTTCCCTTCTCTCTTTCTTTTCTTCTTCTTCTTTCTCTCCGTCCGTTCTTTTCTTCTATTCTTCTCTCTCTGTTTGTCTTTTTTTCTTCTTTTCTCCTTTTCTCTCTTTCCTCCGCTTTTCTTCTTCTTTTCCTTCGCATGGCTGTTTCTTTTTTTTCCTCTTTCCTTCTTTGTTCCTCATTTCTTATTCTCTCCAAAAGCAACCAGATTCATCCTCTTAGAACAATGCGTTGATTCGTAGAGAATTTGACAGTGAGACTACTCTCCCTTGAGATGAGTTGGATTCCTATGTTTTTAGAACAAGCTCTGTTCCTGTTGAAATTTATCATGGGAGAGAGCCTCCACTTTTCCAAAAGCAGCTTCGAAACTGAAAAGCAACCCAAAAATCCATGCTTCTGCTTCTCGTTGAAAACAGTAGTAGACCCAATTTCCAGCACCACTAATCAAAACTGAAATCCAATTGAGTTGCATGCAGCTCGTCAAACTTCTGTGATCAGATTCAGATGAGTGAGTTGGTAGTTGGTAGTTTCTTTGCTAAGTTGACAGCAAACAAACCCAGCAGCTCAGCTTCACTTCATCAAACCCAGCATTCCTTCTAAGAGGATGAATCTGGTTGCATTGGAGAGAAGATGAAATGAGGAACAAAGAAGGAAAGAGGAAGAAAAAGAAACAGTCATGCAAAGGAAAAGAAGAAGAAAAGATGAGGAAATAGAGAAAAGGAGAAAAAGAAGAAAAAAAGAGAAACAGAGAGAGAGAAGAAGAGAAGAGAAGAAAAGAACGGGCGGAGAGAAAAGAAGTAGAAAAGAAAGAGAGAAGGGAAGGAAATGAAAAATATTTTTTTATATAATTTTGGATTGATTTGACGATTATATCCTTGAATTTAACAGGTTTTTTTTTATACAAATGGATTATTTAAGAGCACTTATATAGTGATATAAAAAAATTTTAAAGATGTAATGTGATAGTTTCGCAAACGTCAGGACGTTTTGTGATAAAAAAAAGTCTTTTTTGAAGTGTCCAAACCTTTTAAAAGAGTTGCCATGTGATTTTGTCAGGCTCTTAGAGCATTTCCAGCAAGGGTCCAAGGGGAGGGCTAGGGGAAAGCTGATATTTTCATAAAGGAGAGGTCCCATCTAATGTTTGTCCTGTTTCGATCAAAAAACATAAAAAAAGAAGTTTGTTCTTGTTTCAAGTTGTGTAAGTTATTATTTACTTTAAAATTTAGAGACCCATCGACGAAAAACAATAAACCACGTGCTACTTTAAAAGTGGAGCAGTTTGTGTGATATGAAATTAATCCGAGTACTATTTTGTTTGAAGATATTGTGGAATGGTTTCAAGCCACGAACTATTTTGTTCTCTTCTTATAATTATGAAAATGATACCATTTGATGCATTGAGGGCATAGACAATTCCACGGTAGTCTTTATTGACAATGCCATCAGGGGTGGAGAAAATGTATATGATATGAATATGTCACATTATATGATATTGAAATATGAAATAAAAGTATGGTAAGTGTAACATTACTTATTTTTAATAGAGATGAACCCCATTGTATTGATGGGCTTTATTTTCATTAAAAAGATGGTCTACAGTGTGATATAAAAATATAATAAGTATAGCATTACTCTTAATAATATTACAAGGGACGTTTAGACTTTACTTTTTTATTTTTTATTTTTATAGAATTGACATTGAGAGAGCAGAATTATGGAGAGAAATACTACTATTTAACCACGTAAACTATAAGTTATAAACCAATAATTTTTGCAGGTTCGAGGCACACAGTATTTATGTTCTATGTGTACAGCATTTATATCGTGTGTATTGGAAAATATTTCCACATGGGACCCTGGTGTTCCCGCACATACACAAATTTGTCCTTGCTCAGTCGCTACATATATGGATGTTACAACGTCGGTATACAGAGACGTGCTTTGCCTTCTTCACTGCAAAAAAGGTTAGACAATTAGTTTGGTTTGAAGGTGAGGTGAGGCCGAGCAAAAGATGGCGGTGGTCAACGTGAGCGTGAGGGAATCAACGTTGGTGAAGCCGGCGGAGGAGACGCCGAGGCAGGTGCTGTGGATGACCAACTTGGACCTGGTGATTTTGGGCAACCACACGCCCAGCGTCTACTTCTACAGGCAGAACCAAAACAGTGTGCACGGTCATCATAACAACTTCTTCGACCCGCAGGTGCTCAAGCAGGCGCTCAGCAAGGCCCTCGTGCCCTTCTACCCGTTGGCGGGGCGCCTCGGGAAGGAAGGCAACGGCCGCGGCGAGATCGACTGCAATGCGGAGGGCGCGCTGTTTGTCGTGGCTGAGACGGGCTCCACCATCGACGATTTCGGCGACTTCGCCCCGACTCTCGAGTTCCGGAAGCTCATCCCAGCCGTTGATTATTCGGCAGGGATATCAACTTATCCCCTCTTGGTGTTGCAGGTATGTTTAAGATCGCTAGTGTCGTTTCATTACTTGATCTTGACCGTAGATTAAACGCTTCGCTCAACATTTCACCCAGCTGACTTTTTTTTTTTCTTTTCCAATGACCCAGCCGACTTGGTTGAAAGATAGTTGATGATGAAATTTTATTTATTTTATTTTTTGGTAATTGAAGTGATAAAAAAACACGAAAAAAGAGGAAAGCAGCCATGTGGTGCTGCTGCCACTGCCACACTTTAACATGATACGATATTTGTATTTATTAATTGATAATAAACAATAGATTGAGAAGTTGTGATACTTGGCTGGGTCTATTATCAGGATGTAATAATATATAAAAAAAGAATATACTAAACTAATATAAAAAAGAATATTATAACTGTGCCGACAGACTATATTAATATACGTGGTGAATTAATACGTGGAAAAATATTAACTATGTCGCAGCTAAAGTTGCTAAGAGATGAGAGAAAGCTGTTCTGTTAGGTAATTCCCAAAATATGTAATTCGGAACAATTATTGCCTATTTTTCACCACATAGGTGGTAGCTGTAGGACCACATAAAATGAACGACAGCTGAGAAATATTAAAAAATTATTGTCTCCCCAATTCTGTTAGGTAATTATGATAGCACGATAAGCCAACGGAGTATAACTCAATGAAAAAGAGTTTAGCATGTGTATGTGAAAAAACTGTGGGGTTGGTACTTTAAGGAAGCAGGGCACATGATTAGATGGGATCTACTCTTTCCTCAATATCAGCTGGCTGATTTATATGTCGGTGTCAAATCCATTTACTTCAACTAACCAATTTTGGTAATGCCTTTAGTGCTTTTGGAAACTAATATTAATGCACGCTCAACCCCACAGGCGAAAAGTTTTGACGTTTACATATACAAGAAGTTAAGCTGCCAATCTTTGATTCTAACTCTAAGCATGGGTAATTAGAGAAATAAGTGTTTTTTGTTTTTGGTTACACTGGATTTTGACTCTGGGGTTCGAACTGGGGTACAATGAGGGGAAGGGGGCCGAAGGTCAGTTATCTCAATCCTAAGCCCTTCACTTGTTTTTTTTGGGGCACAAAAAGGAGCCAAACACAAACAACACCCACTTTTTGGTCGAAAACAACCCTTATTTTATTTTTTTGGTAGAAAATAACATGTCACTTTAGGCATCCTTGCACATAGAAAACAAAAAAGAGATATGTACTAGATGTATTTTGAGGGGTAAAGCTCATTATTTCCTCTTGATTAGGATATATTTTTGTGATCGATAAAATTCACCCTTGTGCGTAATGTAAATTTAGCCCACCCCAATTTAAAAGAAGTGTTTTTTTTTACTTTGTAGTTTGTATGGATGCTTCAATACTTGAAGAACACCACAAGAAAAATGTAACAGTCCAACCTGCATTCGTCTGTCTGCTTGTTGCCACTTAGATGAGATTATTCTTTTAAGCCAAGTTATCGTGTTCCTGTTATATCTGAGTGGATGCATTTTCTTTTTGGTGGATTAGCGAATAGTTTTACCTCACTATACAATTCGAAGTGCTCACCCTTTCTTTTATTTCTCTTGCTCATAATATCATCCTGGACAATTCTTGAACCTGATATGACTTAAACTTACAAAGTATGGTTCTGGTTTTACTCTGTTTATGCATCAGGTCACATACTTCAAATGTGGTGGAGTGTCACTTGGTGTTGGCCTGGAACATCGTGTAGCAGATGGCCTTTCTGGTCTCCACTTTGTAAATACATGGTCTGATATTGCTCGAGGTCTTGACCTTACAATTCCACCATTCATTGACAGGACATTACTTCGTGCCCGAGACCCACCACAGCCTGCATTCGATCACATTGAATACCAACCTGATCCACCCATTAAAACCGGTACAAAAGCTGTAGGTGATGAAAGTGCAACGGTATCCATTTTTAGATTGACACGGGAGCAGCTCAACATCTTGAAAGCCAAGTCTAAGGAAGATGGGAACACAATCAACTATACCACATATGAGATGTTGGCAGGCCATGTTTGGAGATGTGCATCTGTGGCACGTGAACTTCCTGATGATCAAGAGACCAAACTACATATTGCAGTTGATGGAAGGTCCAGACTGCAACCCCAACTCCCACCTGGTTTCTTTGGCAATGTGGTTTTTGCAGGCGCACCAATTGCTGCAGCAGGGGATCTCAAATCAAAACCAACATGGTATGCTGCAAGCCGTATTCATGATACTGTTGTGCGTATGGACAACGATTATCTTAGATCAGCGTTGGACTATCTTGAACTTCAGCCTGACCTGTCACCCCTTGTTCGTGGAGCTCATACTTTTAGGTGCCCGAGACTTGGAATAACTAGTTGGTCTAGGCTGCCGATCTATGATGCTGATTTCGGTTGGGGTCGACCTATTTTCATGGGGCCTGGTGGAATGGGATATGAGGGGTTGGCTTTTGTGTTACCAAGTGCAACAAATGATGGAAGTTTATCGGTGGCCATTTCTCTGCAGTCTCAACATATGAAATCATTCTCCAAGTTGTTGTATGAGATATAAGGAGATGAAATGCGTCGAATAATACGTTGAACACACTTTGGGCTTCTGTGTGTGTCCTCTGAGTTCTGGGACTTTTCATTGACTCTAGCATAGCTTATCGGAAAGCAGCTGTTTTTGAAAAGTTCAAGTGGTCGTTTGGTTAATCTATATTAGAGTATGTGTTTTAGAAACAACCTAGTACTGAATAAGATGCTCAGAGTATCTGTAAGCTTTGTTTACTTCTGTGGAGGACTTCTTTTTCGGAGTATCTGTAGTTTACTGTGATTCTCAATAAGATTTTCTTTCTCCATGTAACAAAAACATACTGAATCATTTTGGTTGCATAAAGGTTAGTGCCTTTGGTAAACCTGCACTTCGGTTATACTTTCAGAAATTTTGGTTTAATGCAAGAGCATTTGTGGCGTTTTTATTTCTCACTGTGAGAAAAGGAAGAGTAAATAATGAAGAGGTTCTTGTTCTGGAGACTTCAGTGTCAAGTCTGCCTATTCGCTGAATTATATATACTTGTATATTAAATTTATGTACTAAAATTTTAGGAATGGAAGAATCTTCTGCAAGACTAGAGAATAATCAACATGATGCAGTTGAAATGAATTTTAACGGGATTGAAAAGGAAAATATGGGAGGCAATCAGGGTTTCCAGTGATAAGGAAATCATCAAGAAACGGAGATGATGGAAATTTGAAATATGTTACTATTTCTTGTGCCCCCAAGAAGGCAAATCAAAAAGTAAGTCAAGTAATTTTCTTAAACCTTGTCCAAGTATAAAGAATGATTGCAAGGCTCAGCTTAGGGCAGTTTGTTGAACGTCTTTGCACCACCGTTCTTTTTGCGGTTTCTTTAAAATTTGAATAAATCTCAAAGACTCTTTGGGTTCTCTATGTAGTTGTAGGGGCTTTTTTTTTCTGGCAGCTACAAATGGGCTGGGCCGCTGTAAGGAGCAAACTGAAGAAAATATCCCCTGTGTCTGAGTTCAAAGATCAGACCCCAAAATATTTTAGGAAACACCTTGGTTATCTTCACCAACAAAAATAATGGCTGCTTACAGATAAATTCTTAGTGCTTACAGGTTGAATCTTAGCTTGGCATGAGAAACTTGTGGCATGGGAGCAAAGTTGTCATGAGTTTAGCACTGAAGAGAGAATTTAAGTGTTCCTAGGGAAAAGATGGGGTATTAATGTAGGAGAGAAAGGGTTTTGCAGAAAGGTTTGGTTAAGAATGAGGGAAAGAGAGGAATGGGTGGCTTGAGTGTTTTTCCGGCAGCTCAACAGAGGCTCTGTCAGTCTGCCAGAAGAGGAAAAATGGGGGAAAAGGTGACTATAGCACGAATTTGCTAGGTTTTGCAGGTGAGAGAAAAAACTTGTTCTCTGGATGTGGGTGATCTTCGTTGGGTAGAAGATGCCCTATTTATAGCCGCTGAAAGCCATCTTTTTCCAAGAAACCTTAATGGCTTCCATTTCATTTTGCCAAGTCTTTCCCTTCCTTTCTCCCCTCACCCCTTCAATCATCATATTTTGGTGAAATAATTATGCTCATTTGCACAAAATCAGGGATTTTGGGAGCTCAAGGTCCCTTTCCTACAGCTGCCCTAGTGAAGAATTTCTATTTTCAGATATCCCCCTTCCTCTCTTTCCTTCCATCTTTCATGGTTAGATATGAAGAAAGAAAGAAATGGGTATACATGCTGGTTTGAAGGGTGGCTCTTTGCACGCCAACATCTTTTAGTCCCTTGGATGTTTTGCTTGAAAACTTGTTCCTCTTGTGGCTTTTTGTTTCTCAGCCCGGTGCTGATGGCTGTGCATGTTTTTATTTTGGTTATATGGGCCTTCTAGAACAATGGGTTGGCTTATCAAATAAATGGACCAACTTCTCCAAGTTTTGGCTTGTTTTGTTGAGATATTGGGCTAATTTTGGTTAAGCTAATGGGCTATTTTGACTAAGGTAATGGACTATTTTCTCCTTGGTGAGCACCACATGTTTGGGCATAAAAAATGAGCTTGAGTTCCGAGGCTCCCAAACAACCCGAAACCTCCATTTCTCGGCCCATCAATGGGCCTCATGATAATTTATTACCATCCATGCCACAACCCACTTAAGCAAGCCTCAGGCATTCGAGTGGCTTGGGCCCACTTAGGCTTGTAGCGTGGTTGATGTGTAATAATGATTTCTTGCTTGGCATGGCATATCGCTTGACATGCTTTTAATTATTACGCTTGACGGGATAATTAGCATGGATTTGTAGAGCTAATGCATTTTATAATCTTAATCTCGATTTCTAGCATAACGGATTATTTATTTGGCATGGCACGTGAAGTGTGACTCGTGCATGGCTGACTTTTGTGTGCTCCAAGTCCCTTTTTTTTCTCAATAAGGTATTGCGCTGGACTGGGAATTCATTTGGGTCAAGTTGTGGATTTTTTGGGCCTCAACAGTAGTTTTCACCGAAATTTCATACACGCAATTGGGAATGGTATTTACATACTCAGCTCCTAACCGACCCATTCCCATCCCTAAAGACCACCAATTTTATTTTCAATTATTTTCATTTGTAAAACTTAAGATACTATATCTCTAGTAATTCCAACACAAGACAAGCCAATTCAAATGATAATTTCATGGAGTGAATCTCTTTAAAATAAGTGGCCAAGTATTATTTTTTAGGAATAGTAAATCAAATAAATAAGCATAAGTTATTGGTTTCAATCATATTATTCAATTTTAGACTTGTATATAATCGCTTTGATTCCCCATAAGAACATCTACGGAATTCTTTGATGACACATGTCCTCTTAACTTCGTAACAATTGTTCACAACTCCATCTCTACGTCCAAGTTCCAACACAAAGTTGGGTTAGGCCATGTGAACCTTCCAGTTGTGGTATTTATCTCAAAAGATACATGGTTGAGTTAAGCGCAACTTGTTTGGTACAGATCTGACATTATCATAAAGGAGACGTCCCATCTAATGTTTGGCCTGTTGTTTCAAGTTGTGTACCAAAAACAGTAAACCACGTACTATTTTAAAAATGGAGCAGTTTCAAACCACGAACTATTTTGTTTTCTTCTTATAATTATTAAAATGATACCCTTTGATGCATTGCCGACAGAGACAATTCGACAGTAGTCATTATTTGACAATGCTACGGAGCATCTTCAACACGGAAAAGAAAAATATACATAATTCTCTACTTCAACGAAATTATTGCAAGGACACAATCTACATAAGTAATATATAAATAAATAAAGTGTTGTTCTTATGTTGATTAAGAAGATTGATTGATTTAAGTAAACTAAAGTAATTATGAAAAATAACAATTTAATTAATGATGAAAAATTAAGTTGATGTAACACTAGAGCATCCGATTTCACCATAATTAATTCTATTTAATTCTTATAATTAATTAACCCTAATTACTATCCATGTTGACAGTTAGTTTCTCCTAATTTATTCGATATCCCCTCTCGGGATCAACTAAAATTTTTCTTAATTAACAACACATTCTCTCTTTAGCAACGAATTTAAAAAATCAAGAATCCATTAAGTTATATGAGAACCTGCATGAGTCATGTTAGTCCCTCTCGGGCACTCATTCAAGACATGATATTTGTTAGAAGAAGCAAATACCAAACATCTCCTCTCGGTCTCCGCTTGGATATTCAAAGCATTAAGAACAATAACAAATACTCAACATAGAATAGTAATCAGAAATTAATATAACTATAAAAATTAAGTATTTATGGTTAGGCTACATCATAGCACTAGCAAGAGAAATTAGTTCATGAGAAAAGAAAATATAAACAAGAGCATTTTGTCATAAAATCGATTTGGCCGATGGATTTGATCTTCAAAATCTCCATAGGAACACCTTTGAAAGCTCCTCAAGCAGTGCAACAACAAATTCTTGGCTCTCTCTGTGATATATTTGTGGGTGTATAAAAGTTGTATATGGGAAGATGATGATCCATAGAGAGAGCTTAAGGTGACTTTATATAGCGTAAAACAACTAAACCCTACTCCAAAAAGGTCTGGAAAAACTCTCCTAAAGCAAAACAAAAATTCCAAACAATTAAGGAAACAAACTAGGAAAGAATCCTTCTATGACTTGGAAACACGTCAGCCAACTTTCCCGCATGTTTTAGGGTCGTTCCACTTCCTAGAAAATTATGGAAAAATATAAGAAACGTAGCTTGATCTCTAAGCTCTCCAAATATATATTAATGCCACTAGGAAAAATCGGAAAGGTCTTCAAATCTTCAATCTTCCATAGCAGTGCAGTTTTGATGGGATTTCAACTTAGGCTATCTTGACTTGCAAGTCTGGAGCATTTGGCTTGGTAAAAAATTATGAAACTTTGATACAATGATCTTCAATGTCTTAGCTTTCTTCTTCAATTAGCCTTGCGCTAAAATTCATTCGAAAATTCGATTTTCAGTCGAAATTCTTCCAAGAGCACAAAATCGATAAAAATATAGGAAGTAAGGTAATAATGCTCTTTTTAATTAACTTTTCCTAGAAAAACCAAATAAAAGAGGTATCAAAATATAGGTATAAAAAACAAAACAAAGAATAATATTCTGGCAAAGAAAGAATGGAAACTCCAGTTGTGAACTTCACCAATTCCATCAATCCCATGACTTCCATTACTCGACCCCTAAACTACTTCGGTAATTTTCTTCTGCCCCAGCTCTCTGTATTTATATAGGATTAAATATGGTGGTCCTCCTCATCTTCGAATTAAAGGTAGTGATTATAATATCTCTCTAATTAAAAATAATTTTTATTACAAATTATCCTTGAACTTTTTAACTGCCTTAATTTTAGTCCTCAAACTTTCAAATTAATAAGAGATATTTAGTGATATACCCATTCTTAGCACTAATATTATAGATAAACCCTCCATCATTGAATTTCTATAAACAAACCCAAAAAAAACCCCAAAATAATAGCTGGCCTTATTGAATTTAATATTGATTATTAAATTACTTTAATGCCCTATTGAGTGTTTTGGGTATTTTTATGAGATTTTGGGGTTGGGCTTGTTTTAAGAAATTTATGGTAGTTTTGTAATTTATAAAAAGTTAAAGCCTCTTTGTTATGTTGTAAATGAGTTTTGGGTGTGTTTATAAAGTTCATTTCATATGAGGTATTTTTATAATTTGGGCTCCCATATTAGGTATATTAGTGAATCTCCCAATTAATAAATATGACCTCCAATATTTTGGTTCACACATAAGTTTTGGTCCATATCATCGTTTGGAGATGTGCAAGCAACGCAGGTGACCTCCCCACTACAAAAAAAAAGAGAAGTGGCAACAATCACCATTATTTGGTGATATTTGCTGGGGTGACATTTTGAATTCCATTTCTTGTGTCAGCCAACATCATCCTTTATACTTCTTCATATTCTTTTTCATTTTCTGCTGCACTGGCTGCTGTCCAAAGTTGCTGCATTCAATCTTTCCAACTCATATTTGCATAGAAAATTCCACCTTTTCTCCTCTATTACAGTTGGTTTTAATACATTAAGAGGAATTCTCTCAACTTTAAAAATCTGAAAACCAAACTTTATAATGTAAAATAATGTTACTGAGAGGTGTGGTAACAAGTCTGAAACCAAACTTTATAATGTAAAATAATGTTACCGAGAGGTGTGGTAACAAGTAGAAAAAGAGGTGGCACACAAATGATGCTACAAAAGGATTAAAGCTCCCAGTGTAAGCTATATATATATATACAGTCCCCTTCTATTGAGGGATCCCTCAAATAATTTTATTTGAGGAACGCCCTTTAGGGTATCCTACAATTTCTTTTCCAACGATCCAAACCATATACTTTTGAGGTCTTCATTCATAGATCATCCTTACAAAAAATTAGACAAATCGGAAACCGTTTCGACATCCAATTGTGTCTTACAAAATCAATGAACACGGTGCTTCAAGAAAGTACTAAAATTTCAATAACTCAATTGAGTGGTCAAATGATATCGGATTCAAGTGATTTTTTGTAGAGATGATCTTTGAATGAGTATCTACAAAATAGACGGTTTGGATTAGTGAAATACAATCCATAGTGAGGCCTACAAGGGGTGTCCCTCAAATAAGCTTATTTGAGGGATCCCTCAATGGAAGCTCTCTGTATATATATATATATATATATATATATATATAGAGAGAGAGAGAGAGAGAGAGAGAGAGAGAGAGAGCAAAAGGCCCAAGAAGGGCAAAGATGACTCCAAGTAATTTTGCCTAAAACAAAATTATGCCTATCCGTCGATTCCATGCAGAAAACGGGCTTGACAAAAACTAGATTATCTCTTTCCCACTAAAGTCATGTGGAGCCTTGAAATTTCCAACTAATATTAATATTCTGTGCCTGTCGATCTACTGCACATGTGCCACAGTCACTACAAGGAAAATCCCTTTTAGCGACGAAACAGAATGGTCGCTATAACACCAAATTTCGTCGCCAAATACAAATAGCGACGAATATTTTTGGTCGCCAAGGTCGTCGTGGAAAGCTCGTGGCTAAAAGATACAATGCGACGAAGTATTTCGTCGCTAAAAGATTTTGGCGACCAAATGGGTTGTCGCTAAACAGCTCTAAGTTGGTCGCCTATAGAGAGGGAGTTGCCGCCAAAATACCAAAAATGCCCGCGAACATGGAATTATTTGGCGACAAAATAAATGTTTGGTCGCCTGAATATTTCAGCGACGAATTTTTTGGTCGTGAAAGATGTAGTTTATTTGTAGCATATGGTAGTTGGTTTGGTTATTTTCATAATGGGCGACGAAACAAATTGGTCGCCAAAACTATAGATATTGGTATTATCTGATGGAGCGACGAAAACTAATTCGTCGCCAAGATGTGTATTTATTTATTTTAAATAATTATTTATATTTCAATCTTTGTAACAGAATATTATTTAGTCCATAAAGTTTTTGAAAAACAGTAAATAGATGAAATTAATAGAAATAGGATAATTACTATTCAAAAAGATACTAGTTGTTTAAGTACACATTAGTGTATTCTAGATACAAAAGCCCCCAAGGTAGATATGCTAGATACAAAAACCATCAAGTAGCTAGATACAGAAGCCCCATAGAACCCCCAAGGTAGGCTAGATACAAAAACCATTCAGTAGCTAGATACAGAGGCCCCATAGAACATAGAACCCCCAAGGTAGGCTAGATACAAAAACCATCAAGTATGTAGATGTACACACAACCTAATGACTATTTCCAATATCATCAAGATCTTCATAAACATTACGTGAACCACCACTATTACCTTGATCATCATGACAAGGAGAATCACCAACATGCTGGGATGGAACAAATAAATGTGAGGGTAGAGGACCATCATGGGTTCGCATCCACTCAATGACATCCAAAAGTTTACCCACTGTGCCCTGAAGCTCACTTACTGTGCCTTTCAACTCACCAACTGTGCTTTGAAGTTCCTCAACCTTTTGCTCTGTAGCACAAGAAGAGGCAAATCCACAACTATGCAAGCTCTCCACTCGGAGACTAGAACCCAAGCCTCGAATCCTCTTGCCCTTTGCAACCCCAAGTTCTCCAGTCATGATCTCTAACTGTTGTGGGATAGGGAGTGAGACTTGATCTAGTGGAGTTCCTGAACTCTCAGCCACTTGTTGCTTGGCTTTCTCATACTCTTCATTCATCTTCTTCTACAAAAAGAAGCAAAACATAGATATGTCAATATATATAAATGCATAAAAAGAATGAAGTAAATGGGATGCCAGTACGACCAATTGTGTTCATAAACTAGCAATGCCAATTATCCTTAATCAAACAATCACAATAAATAAATAAAAAATCAACTTGAAGCAAATAATAAAAGGAAAAGGCACATAAAAAATGGAATAGATCTCTTCGGATATGCAGATTGCAGAAAGTTAGAAAATACTCACAGATCTTATAAGATCTTTTTGAGCATCTCCTGAAAGCAACAACAATACAAACAAGAAAATTCCAAAAACAGGGATTATAAATATTTGCCCAGCAACATGGGCCCCTTATAATTGGGTCCACATTTTAACTTCTAAGAGCACAATGGGTTATTAGAACTGAATATGTTAAATAGGTGTTTGGAATTGGGCCTCCAAAGAGGAAGAGAAGTACAACTGCAGCAGCTCTGTTTCAAAACGATCTTAGCATGCACTTTTTTTGGTCGTCAATATATAAGATCTGGAAAATTTAGAAAACTCAGACACACATCTTCATTGTGTTTCTAATTAATTAGTTCTATTGCAATGGATAAAGCCTTTATATGATGCTAAAACCAAAGTACACAATTAGCATCTAAAATAATGGGCCGTCAAAAACTTGCATGACCAGTCGACTGATCTTTTGGATTGCAGATTATGCAAGTCAATAGTTAATTGTCAGCAGGTTTATGTATTCCTTACCCCTTTAATTTCAGCAGCCTCATTGATCCACATGCTCTTACCCTTAAGCATATGCATGTTGTTCCAATTGCTAATGTATGTAGGATTTTCACCCTTCTACATTTTCCCAACAAAAGAAAATTAGAAATACTTGAAATTATTACAATATAATAAATAAATAAAGATTTAAAGTGACCAAAAATTATAAACCTCTCTAGCAGCTTCCATATGTTTTAGGAAAGGACGTGACCCTCCTGTATGATCAAACTCTTTCTTTTTTCTGTTCTCAGCATTGGTCTTGCAGCGTTTCTGTTTTTATTAAATACATGAATTGTTATTTTTTTTTCTATTTGATACTTAGAATAAGTTCCCAATCAAAAAAATGAAAACAGCAAATGTTATGATACATTAGATACCTGATATTGCTCATTTGTGTACAACGTATCAACCAAATAATGCCACTCTTCTAGAGTCCTTCGAGTACCAAAGATCTTTTCAGGGGGAGGTGTTTCTCGTGCAAGAGCAGGGTCAGAAGCATATTGCTTATAGTGTCTGTGGAGCTTTGCTTTCCATTCTTTATAAGTTGAGTGCATATGGTCATTAATAAATTTCCATATATCCGGATCCGTTAAGTCCACATCAAACATGAACTAATATCAATTAACCATAAACAAAACAAGTATTAGTTATAATTTTTCAATGCAAATAGAAACATTGAAGGACAAAATTTTCAGTTCCCCCTAGAATACAATGAAGAATTGAAATAAAAAGAGAGTTAAATGAACAAAATTAAATTATAATCAACGAAGAATTAGATAAGATTACCTGCAATCCTAGTGCCATATCTTTCTTCATCTCCAAGCTCACTTTTTTCATCCCTAAAACATTCAATGGAGCTTTATTGCGAGTGATTAACCCAATCTCAGAGACAAACAGTTTTTGAGCCTCAATAGTCGCCACCAATTTCTGGGATGGATCCATCCGTATTGGAATCAAACTCTTCCTTTTTTTCACAACATCACAAGTGCCAGCCCCCACAGTTCGGCCACGAGTGTTCTTCCTCTGTGAAGAAGTTTGAGTATGCGTTCCCTCATCTAGAGACAAAAATTCAAAAAAACAGTAACTAGAGTGCACCAAATAAAGGTATAAAAATTAAAGGCACAAAATATGGTATCAGTTACCCTGTTGGTGGGAACCCCCTCCTGAGGCTGATGAAGTACCTTGTTGTGGCTGAGTTGATTGCTGTTGTGGCAGCTGACATGGTTGCTCAAGTGGCTGTGGTGGTAGTAGAGTTGAAGTTTTCTTCTTATTGTTATTGTTGCTTAAGGTAGCAGCCCTCGTAAGTGTCATTCTACACTTACAAACACATAAACAAAGAGAGAATACAACAATATACTACCAGATCATTCCTTGAAAAAATAAACATAAATGATTGAATATCATACTTTAGCTATAATGACATTGATTCTCGTCACAAACGTGCTTGAGATAAAGGAATTATTCATCTAAAAATAATTGAACATAATACTTTATTAATAGGAAAGAAAAATAACACGCACATGCATTTCATTTACATGGGGAGGACACATGCAAACCTTATCCAAAGATATTTCTTCAATATACAGACCTTACAGACCTTACCCCTTAAAACAAATTAAGAAAAACATATAGTAACTTCAAGATAATTAAGAAACATATAGTTCCTAAACAAAAGACAGCCTAACACATGCAAACCTTATCCAAAGATATTTCTTCAATATACAGACCTTACAGACCTTACCCCTTAAAACAGATTAAGGAAAACATATAGTAACTTGAAGGTAATTAAGAAACATATAGTGCCTAAACAAAAGACAGCCTAACACTTCAATCCAAATCACTATAATCGTCACTGTGAACACTGCCTTCATCATCACCCGAAGGTATTTCTTCAATATCATCATCATCAATAAAATCTTCATCCTCCATATCATTTGAGACATGTTCAAAATTAATATCTTCGACAACTATTTCAGGTTCAACATACTCTCTACGAAGTGATGGACTGAGTAGATCATTATCTTCTGGTGCATGTCTAACACTAATATGTGCAGTTTGGTCCACACCATCGTCGTAGAGTGTTTCTGCCTCGTGAGCCACCTCATTCTCAGGAACATCCCACACATGTCTATGTGGAATTTTTTGAATTACCTTCCAACCATGACCCAAGGATGGGTCATCAAGGAAAAAGATCTGCTGTGCTTGTTTTGCTAGCACATAAGGATCATCTTTGTACCATAAATTCATTGAGTTCACTGACGTGAGATGGTAATCATGAACAAGCCTAACAATCTTTTTCTTTCGCTTCACATCTGTACTTGTATTGTACCACTCACACTTAAAAAGGATAACATGATAGCCATATGTGAATCCTATTTTAACAACACTAACTAATCTACCATAAAAATTACTTTCCTGATCAGCATGAGTTCCTGGTACCATGACCCCACTATTTTGAGTTGTACGAGTTTCTTCTATATCTTGGACATGCCATCGAATTCCGTTCACAACACATCCTGTATACGTACAAACTCTTTCATCAGGACCATATGATAATGCACACACTTCTTTAGTCACCAATGTTGATTCCTCACTATACAATGCTTTGACATGATGCTTGAACCATTGGGGAAACGACTGCCTATGTCTCTGTTCTATGTTAAATAGGCTTTCACGCTCTAATATTTGACGATGCTCACTGAAAAAATAAATAGAAAGTTAAATCAAAGCAATAAGAAAACAGAGTGATAAAAATAGAATTAATTACACTTACATACTTTCTAAATGGTTCAATTTCCTCACAATTGTCCAAGATATACCAATAAATTGGTTCCATTTCTCCTTCAGACAATTGAAGAAATTTATAGCCATTAAAGGGTCGTGCATTTTGAGAAAATACCGAGAGCTTAGCATTGGCTTCGCCACCATCATCATTTCGTTCAGGACGAGAGAAAACAGTCTCCACATTACGAAAATACATTGAACAAAAAGTTAACGCTTCATTTGCAATGTATCCCTCAACAATTGAACCTTCGGGTCTAGCTCTATTACGTACATAGCCCTTTAACTTCCCTAGCATCCTGTTAATCATTGTATATTAATATCTTTAAATACAAATGAAAGAGAATCTAATCAAAATAAATATAAAAAGATGATGACTGAGTATTACCTCTCTATCGGGTACATCCAACGATATCCTACAGGTCCCCCAAGTTTGGCCTCACGTGGTAAATGAAGGGCCAAATGCACCATGACATCAAAAAAGGCAGGTGGAAATATTTTCTCAAGTTTGCATAAAATGACCACAATGTCAACCTCCAATCTATCCAAATCTGCAACATGCAACGTCTTTGCACAAATTTGTTGGAAGAAACATGCCAATTCTACAAGTGGCGCACACACTTCTTTTATCAAGTACGGCCGAATTCCAATAGGTAAAATTCGTTGTAACAAAACATGACAATCATGAGTCTTCAAACCTGAGATCTTCCCATCTTTGACATTTCGTGATATATTAGCAGCATAACCATCCGGAAATTTTATAGACTTCAAAAATTCACAAAATGCTCGACGATCAGCCGGTTCTAATGTATATTCTGCAGCATACTTCTTTATCTTGCCATTTTCATCTTTATCTAAATGCAGATTCCTTCGTATATTCATGTCTTTCAAATCCAAACGAGCATTGGGTGTGTCTTTTGTTTTTCCTTCTATGCTCAACAACGTTCCAACAATGTTGTCACATATATTCTTTTCAATATGCATTACGTCCAAGTTATGTCTTATTTTCAACTTGGACCAATACTCCAATTCGAAAAAAATACTCTTATTTGTCCAATTTAACTCCATAGGTGTCCGCTTTCTCTTTCTCTCCAAATTTTCAGGATGTTTACCAAGCTTACGATGCACAAGGTGATTAAACTGAAGTAATAAGTCATCACCAGAGAATTCTCTTGGGGGATCCCTCATCTCAATAGTTCCATCAAAATTTTCAGAATCCTTACGCCAAGGGTGATTCTTTTTCAAGTAGCGACGGTGCCCCATATAACAAATTTTATTTCTCAGCTTGGTAGATGTTGTATCCTCAAGACATACGGGACATGCCTTGTAACCTTTTGTACTCCAACCGGATAAATTCCCATAAGCAGGAAAGTCATTGATTGTCCATATTACAGCTGCCCGCATGTTAAACCTTGTATCAGTAAACTTATCATAAGTTTGAACACCTTCTTCCCACAACTCTTTTAGCTCATCAATTAAAGGACGCAAATACACATCCAGCTCCTTGCCTGGTGCCTTTGGGCCTGGAATAAGCAAAGTCATTATTGAATACTGTTGTTTCATACACATCCAAGGAGGTAGATTGTAAGGAACCACCATCACCGGCCACATACTATAAGATGTGCTCATATTCCCGAATGGGTTAAACCCATCAGTTGCAAGGCCTAACCTGATATTTCGTGGCTCTTCGGCAAACTCAGGGTACATCTTATCAAACTCCTTCCAAGCAATAGAATCTGCTGGATGCCTCATAACACCTTCATCATCAACTCGTTTATCCTTATGCCAACGCATGTGACCTGCTGTATGTTCAGACATAAACAATCTCTGTAATCTCGGCTTTAGAGGAATATATCGCAACACTTTTTGGGGCACCACTGTTTTCTTTTTACTAGTACTAGGTTTATACCTAGGCTCATCACACACTGGACATTTATCTTTACTTTTATGCTCTTTGTAAAACAAAGCACAATCGTAAATACATGCATCAATTTTTTCATGCCCCAAACCCAAATCTTTCAACATCTTATTAGCAGCATAGAATGATGGAGGAATGCTATGAGGCTGCGGACAAATAGCACTGAGTATTTGTAACATTTGATCAAATGACTTGTTGCTCCAATGATGAAGTACCTTCGCATGCATGAATTGTACCATTGCTGTCAAAACTGATGCATTGCTACCGGGAAACAATTGTTGCTGAGATTCAGCAATCAACTTGTCATACTTATCCATCTCAACCCTATGCATATCGGTATCATCTCTCACATCTTCATTGTCCCCCAATGTATCATCTACAACTCCCAAGTCTGGTGGGAATGCATCATTCAAAATATTATGCGTATAATCATCAAGACGAGGTGCCTCTTGAGCAGTTGCAGGAGGTGAAGCTTGTCTTGTTATCTCGAATTGTTCCCCATGGTATATCCATGTGTGATACACCACTGACATCCCATACTGCCATAAATGTGCTTGCACAACCGGAAGAGAATGGCAATTCATATTCTGGCACTTCATGCACGGACATGGAGTCTCATTCTTCTTATCCACATGTTGGCTTGCAACTTCCATAAATGATTGAATTCCAGCACGATATTGATTACTCAACCTGTTTTTATTGTGTATCCAATCCCTGTTCATCTCTAACACACCTTGTCTCCGTCTTCTTATACCTCCTATAATGGGCCTTATCCAATTCAATCGGTGATGACTTAAAGCAGTTCCAAAATTTCATAACATGATTAGATCGAACACAGTTATTGATATAAGCAAATAACTCTTTCACAGAATGACAAGCTAATAACTCTTTCACATGAAAATTATAAAAACAGATATTCCACATTAATTATGCTTTTCAAGGGTAGAGAGATTCCACATTAATTATGCTTCTCAAGGGTAAGTATCATGGTAACAATATTTTTTTTACAATTCTTTCAACATTATATTGCATAATTTAGTTGAACCCATGAAACCAGTAAAAAAAAATGAAGGCAGGCAGAAGATTTGTAGCTATTCATACCTCTAAAGCAAATATAGCCTCTTAAGCAAGTATTCCAAACAACCTATTGAAAAAAGAAAAAAAATTCTGTTAGACACAATAAACCCATGACACAAAACAAAAAAAAAAAAAAAAAAAATGGCAGATGCCAGATTTTTAGCTATCCATACCTCTTAAGCACGTAATTCAAACACCCTACTGCAAAAAAGAAAAAGAAAAAAAATAAATCTGTTAGACACTATATCTTTGGAGGGCTTGAGTCCAAATTAGTCTTCAAACTCAAAATAGTATATGCCTTCACCTCTAAGTTTAACCACTCATCATTAAACAAAAACATTATATTTCTGAGTTAACTCAAAACAGTAACATAATAAGACATCACAGGAAGCACCAAATATCCAAGATAAAAGTCTCAACATAAAACCAAATGGTTCAAAGTAATATTGTAATCAACACATCCACTTTATACAGTTATAACATGTACAGCGAATAAAGTCAGGCTTAAGGTCACACGTCTCTCATGTAGTATATGAATTATCTGAAATTAGTAATTAGGCTCTTCATCTCAATTTCATAACAAATTATTATTCTTTACAGTTCTTAATTATTATGCCTTATAAATGATTATAAAAACCATTTCAAATTAACAAAAATTTACCCTTGAAGCTAATTGAATGACCTTGCATAATATTCAAGCTACCAGTGATCATCACATAAAGCCAAAATGGTTAAAAAAGAAAAAAAAAAAAAAAAAAAAAAAAAAAAAAAAAAAATGGAAGAGCTTGAAAAGGAAAATTTCCAAAACAATCAAACCAACATTGAAGGATGATACTCCATCAGTTAAACTCCATTGTCCAATTAAGTGGTACTACACTCAGACACCAATACTAAGGGAAAGAAAAATAATTCCTAAACTGACCAGTTAATCTGTGGGACGATGACCCTGCAGCTAGCTTATATATAAAATACAGAGACAACTTTGCAGCTAGCTTATACCTAAACTATAAAGAGACCTCAATAAGCCATATTGGCAAAAAAAATCAATATCAGACACAGAACCCACATCAAATGCAAAACAGGGCATTCATATCAGACACAGAACCCTACTCGAATTTGACATAGAACCCACAATAACTACTTGAAAAAGAAAAGTCATTTTATTCAGAAAACTTGGACTGTTGAATGTTCAAGCATTTAAGATATCAAAAAGGAAAAATCAAGCACTGAAATTCAGTTTCGATTTCAATTCCTGGGTATCTATTTACGATTTTCCTTGATTATTTTCTCAGCAACAAAATGGAATCCACAACTGAAAATCAGCGCTCAAAAGAAAATGAAGGTAAGCGAACAAGGTAGACTCACCAGAAGCTTTCCGTTGAAACACGTAGTGAGGAGGACTTCGGAGATGGAGTTTTCAGATGGCCGTCGATTCCTGACCGTGGTAGGGAAAGGCGTGCGAGATGGAGTATCGCTTGCTGACGTTGGTGGAGGATTGCTCTGCCAACGTCGGTGGAGGATTGTTTTGCCAATGTGAAAGCAGTGGAGAGTGGGTCTGAGAGGAAAAACGAGTTGGGAACTTTTTATTTTATATTTTTGTATTTAAACTCTCCATATTAGCCCCAAAACCTATTTGGTTGCCCATATGCTAATATACATAAAACTACGTCGTTTTATGATTTACATTTTTAAAGCACAATGATCTGAGACGAAAACCAAATGGTCGCTGGGCCCACGAAATTTTTACGCGCCAATTCTAACTTACCGACAACACATTAAAACTTAGCGACCCAATATTTTCGTCGTCAAAACTTTTGAAGTTTCGCGCGCACTCAATTTGGTAAATCGCGACCAAATATATGTTTGGTCGCCAAGTCCTCACATAACCACCAAAAACTTTCGTCGCCCTTAGTTGATAAATTAGTCGCTATTTAGTTGACTCAAGTCATCATGGATGTCTGAAAATCACAAATCTTTTGGCGACCAACTGGACAAATTTTGTCGCCGATTCTCTTTTTGGCGACGAAAATATTGTGCGTCGCTAAACATTTCGTCGCAAAAGAGGTTTCTCCTTGTAGTGAGTTAAGCTGCCATTAGCAAAGTCCTTCGCAAAGCACCATATAAAAAATGGCGGTGTTATCAGCTTTAAAGCATGCATCTCTTGGGGCGTCTATAGCTTCTAAGATTTTGCATTTATTACTATATATCTTCCTTAGTTTCCATTTCCACGTTCGCTTTTGATCGATCCTGGTTGTAGTCGTGTATTTGTGTTATAAGTTGTGATCACAAGAAAGAGGTCCTAATTTTCTTATATTCTTTTCTCGTAAGGAAAAGAACAGTGTGTTCCCATTAAAGACCAAAGAAAAAAAGAGCATTAGAAAAAGAAAAGATGACGGAGAAGGTGACTGTGAGCATAAGGGAGTCAACGATGGTGAGGCCTGCCGAGGAGTCGACGCCTCGGGGCTCACTGTGGCTCTCCAACTCGGACCTAGCATTCACACCCTTTCACACGTCCTCTGTTTACTTTTATAGACCAAGCGGTGAGCTCAACTTCTTTGATCATAGAGTGCTCAAGCAAGCGCTCAGCAAGGTCCTCGTGCCCTTCTACCCCATGGCCGGTCGATTCAAGCTAAATGACCAGAATGGCCGTGGGGAGATTGATTGCAATGCGGAGGTAGTGCTTTTTGTTGTGGCAGAGAGCAACTCTGTCGTTGATGATTTTGGCGATTTTGTGCCCACTTCCGATTTCCTTAAGCTCATCCCCGCCGTGGATTACTCGGTTGGAATATCCTCATATCCCCTTTTGATGTTACAGGTATTTAATAATTATCATCCAAGGTCTTTTATATTTTGTATATACGTATATTCTGGTTGCCTCATTTTGATCTAGTTTTGGAACTGAAATTGGGGATTCTCGATCATGCCCAGAGCTTAGAAACTATATATTTATATATGGTTGTGTGTTTTAATTTCTACATATATGCAAACGCAGGTTACGTACTTCAAATGTGGTGGAGTGTCACTTGCTGTTGGAGTGGACCACCGCATTGCAGATGGAGCATCTAGTCTACACTTTGTAAATACATGGTCTGATATCGCTCGTGATGATCTCTCAAATATTAAACCACCCTTCATGAACAGAATGTTACTTCGTGCTCGAGATCCACCCCAGCCAGCATTTCCTCACGTTGAATATCAACCTTTTCCACAAATGAAATTAGCTTTTGATCATCTGAAAAGCACAAGTAATACTACTGCATCAATTTTTAGATTTACGCGGGAGCAGCTTAACATCTTGAAAGCCAACTCTGCGGAAGATGACGGCAGGAATATTAATACAATCAAGTATAGCACATTTGAGGTGTTGGCAGGGCATATTTGGAGATGTGCTTGCAAGGCACGTAAACTGCCAGATGATCAAGACACCAAAGTGCTCATTCCCATTGATGGACGGTCCAGATTGCAACCCCGACTCCCACCCGGTTTCTTTGGCAATGCCATTTTTAGAGCCACGCATATTGCTGCAGCAGGGGATCTCCAGTCCAAACCAACATGGTATGCTGCAAGCTGTGTTCATAATGCTTTAGTCCAGATTGATGATGATTATCTCAGATCAGCCGTTGACTATCTTGAGCTTCATCGTCCTTGTGTTTCCCCACTTGTTATGGGGGCCCTCTCGATCAGGTGCCCGAATCTTCGGATAAACAGTTGGGCTAGGCTGCCGATTCACGACGCTGATTTTGGTTGGGGTCGACCCATTTTCATGGGGCCTGGCACACTATTTGACGGGATGGCTTTGTTGTTACCAAGCGCAACTAATGATGGGAGTTTATCGCTGATGATTTCTCTGCATTCTGAACACTTGAAATCATTTTCCAAGTTGTTGTATGACATATGAGGAAATGTCACGGTTGAAGAAATTTGGTGCTGTCTGGTTTGAATTGCTGTTATTCCCTTCATCTTTATGGGTGTTCAAATTTGAATTTGTGTATTGGTTCGTGCACGTTGCTTGATTGAGTATTGATGAAACTTTTTTTTTCCGAAAGTACGGTGGACTTCTTGTCCACAATGCTGGGTGTGTTATATTGTGATTCTTAATAGAGGATTCTCTTTCTCATGAAATAAAAAGAATATTGGAACCAAAAGAGTAGGAGTCATAAAGAGGTACGAAAATTTTGTAAAGAGATTATCAAAATAATTAGAAATCTGAACGCCCTTCAAAGGTTACAAAAGTCTTATTTCTAGGCCTATAGATACATCCGTTAATGATTGTACTTGCAGAACATACATTCCTAATGTAAAAATCGCTATTAATGATTGTATGTTCAAAATGCAAATTTAAACCAAGTAATGAATGTACATTACGAATAGACACTGTACAATCAAGTATGTTGTATGATTCATAATGCACTATTACCTCTATGAATTTTGGCATCTTTATATTAGAAACAATGAACTTTGGATTGTATCTAAATAAAGTGTTAAATTGCAAAATGAGCATGGTCGGACCTCTTTATTTTAGGGCCTCCTTGGGCGTGGATAAAGGTTCTTTGGGCTTTATTTTTGGCCTTACTAGTCATTTGCTTTTTTATGGGAGACCTTACTTAAATTTGATAAGCCCCCTAAGTCCAAAATTTGGTGTCAATAGAAGCCCCCTATGTCTAAAATTTGGTGAGCCTCCTAAGTCTTAACTTCGGTGTCAATAGAAGCCCCCTAAGTCCTAAATTTAGTGTCAACCACACCACTCTTTTCGATCCAATATGAAGTACCCGTTTGACATTGCTTATTTGGGGTGATAAGTGATTTATAAAAAAATTTGGGAAGCCCAGCTCGTTTGGTAACCTACGAGAAAATCACTTATTATTAAAAATTGCTGTGGGAGAAAGCAATAAAGGAAAGCTGCTAATGGGCTGCTTTCAATTTCTGATTATACAGTAATTAGATTTGAGGAGGCGCTAGGTTTAATGAAATTACAAAATTCGGAAAATACCCCAATATGATTTCAAGTTCTCCTCTTCAAGCTTTCTCCTTCCCACTCCACATAGCACTCTTCTCCTTCTCTTCCATTCTTCCTCCATTTTTTTTCTTGTTGGATCAATTGAAGTGGCTGTACTCGCAACTATTATGCCAGAGGAGCCTGGGAGCTTTAAACATTATTGTGAATTGGTATTCTAATGGTGCCTTGGTCAACTGTTTTTTTCTTTTCCCGCTTTCCAACTGAAGTGTTCTTCATGGTATGAACTGAATCACTTTGGTTGATAGGTGGGCCCAATAAATATCAGTGAATTTAAATACAGATATAATTCTGATAAACAAGCTGTAGTATTGTATACAGGTAAGCACTAGTCATCTTTTAGGTTTTACTGACATTATTTTTCCCAAATTTGCTGCCAATTTCTTTTCTGTGGTTAAGATGGGTTTACTTATGGCTGTTTTGTTTCCCAAAAACAAAAGCTTTTTACTTGGAATTAGGAATACATAGAACTTTCTTGAGATATTTCTTTATCCTTTTATATCATGTGCAGTGTTGGTATGCACAGGGCTTCTAAACTTAAAGAAATGCAAGAGCGCCTGGAGTCTTCTCGACTCAAGACTTGCAATCTCACAAAAAGTGACTTGGTTAAAGATCACTTGCAATAGGGGAAACTGGGGCAAATGTGTTGGTTGGAATCCAAGTTGCCCGGGGCGAGATTGATGAGTTTCAAGCTTGTGGGAGTTCTCTTGGATATGACTACGTAGTGGTGACCGATGACGACGAGTTCAATCTTTTAATGCATTGAGACTTTCACATTGCTACGAAGGGGAAGCTTGTGCCTCCAGATCACGTTTTAAGGAGCGGAGAAGGGAGACACTGTCTTATATGTTGATAGTTTATTATTGTATCTTACAAGTAGAAAAAAATTCATGACTCATTAGCAAGTAGGAAAAAAAAAAAGTATTGAAGACAATAAGAGAGTGTGACTTTTACTATTGGAAGGAAGTTGAGCATTTCATTGTCTTCTCTTTTAGCTTGAAATCTCATTTCGTTCATGGTTATATTTTTATGTACTATTTATTATTGATAGCACCTAAATATTGCAATGATTTAACAATTTTAACATAATACTTTATTTATTTTATGGTTAAAATAATTTTTAGGTGTTAAGGTTAGAAAACATATTAAATACAAGAATTATATAAGTGAAAGTGAAAATGAAATTACTTTTGTTTTTACCAAACAATTGAATAGAAAAGAAATTTCAACATATGCCCTTTTTAGTCATTAGACACAGCTCATAGCACTTTTACACAAAATTTACCAAACACTCATAAACTGATTATTTTACCAACATCACTTTTAACAAAAAGTTTACCAAATGTCAAACTGCTTTTTTTCATAGCTGATTTCTCTCACAGCAAATATGACAGTGATTATTTTCACAGCACAACAATGCCAAATTGGCCCGAAGTCTTAAATTGGTCAACCACGCCAAAACCCCATGGAGTGAAATACTCATTCAAGTTCTGTTAGAAATTCCTATATAAAGACTGCTCAAAGTCGATACGAACACATTTTTTTATTTATTTTTTGGTCTGGAACTCGTCTTCAAAGATTACACATAACTCATTTCAAAAAATCTTGACATATTATCTTTTATTCAAAAACATATTTCTAAATAGATTCCAAAGATTTCAGAGATTTCAAATCATATAGGTCACAATAGCCACATATTTCCAATATGATTACGAATTCAAGTCTAACTTCCCCAATTGACGCATATTGTCAGAGGGCGATGTGGTCCACCCGTCGTCCCTTTAGGCCCAACTGCATGAGTGCAAAATGGGCATGATTAGGCCTCTTTGTTTATGGCTTTCTTAGGCGTGGATAAATGTTTTATGGGCTTTACTTTTGGCCTTTTGGGCCCAATCAATTACTTTAAGTGATGGGCCCGCCATCGACCTACCATTTCCTCTCAGCTGGCTGCGTTGCTTGCCTCTTAGGGTACTTCCCGATCTTCCTTCTCAAATTCTGGTTATGGAAACAATTCTGATTTCAAAAACTTACATGGCGTTAAGTTTGGTGTCAACAATGGAGCTTTGATTTTATGTTGCATGTTTAATAATTCTTTATTATATATATATATATATAAACAAATGCTCATGAGTCTCAGTTTTAAATTTTCTATCAATATATATGGGTCTAATTCTTTTTACAGTATTTCGTTGAAGACTTTCACTACTACAAAAAAGGAAAAACACGACGGGAATTCACCGTCGTGTATTCTGTTTTCAAATGGTCGTGGAATCCACCGACATCTTTTCCATAACCAAACCACGACGGTGAATAACCGTCGTTGTTAAAACAAAAAACGTCATCAAAAAATAAAAACCGACGTCTTTGTTCTGCAAAAAGACATAAAAAAACAGTCGAGGATGAGAATAGACGACCAACTCCAACAAAAAAACGTCGTTAAAAAGAAACAGATGACATATATTAACAGAACATGGCCGCAAGATAAACATACAACGACGAGAACTTAAACTTCACGCCGTTAAATAAATATTTAACGACAAATATAAATACGACGTCTTTACAATAATAATAGACGACGTAATTGACACCCACTACGTCACAACATTTCCCACAACCGTCGTAAAATAAATTTTCCACTTCGATTTTTCTATGAATTATGACGTGGAAATAGATGTCAGGGTCATTACTTACGACGCATGTATTTACAGAGACGACGTTGAATTGGATAAATAACGTCGGTTTCAAATAAATGAGAGCCGTATTACAGAATTTATACGTCATATTTTGAAAATAAACGACGTGGAAAAAATGATGGGGTCATTAATTACGACACAGTAATTTATAAGGACGACGTTGTCCTCTATATACAACGTCGGTACCATGAAAAAGACCGTCGTGTTTAATAATTTGTACGTCTTCATTTAAAAAATTAACGTCGTCTAATGCATATATCTTAACGTCGACAAGTTTAATGGACTTCAAATACCGTCGTAAAATAAATTTTCCACTTCGATTTTTCTACGAATTATGACGTGGAAATAGATGTCAGGTTCATTAATTACGACGTATGTATTTACTGAGACGACGTTGAAATGAATAAACAACGTCGGTTCCAAATAAATGAGAGCCGTATTACAGAATTTATACGTCATATTTTGAAAATAAACGACGTGGAAAAAATGATGGGGTCATTAATTACGACACAGTAATTTATGAGGACGACGTTGTCGTTTATATACAACGTCGGTACCATGAAAAAGACCGTCGTGTTTAATAATTTATACGTCTTCATTAAAAAAATTAACGTCGTCTAATTCATAAATCTTAACGTCGACAAATTTAATGGATTTCAAATACCGTCGTGAATTCATCCTTTTCCACTTCGTTTATGAAAGAACATGCGACGTGGTAAATTCATGACGACGTCGTCTTTTGTAACGTTCAGGTTAAAGTTCTCGTCTTTTAGACGTCGGTGTTATGGGATTGGAGACGTGTTATGTTGAATTACATGGCGGTTCTTTATCAAAACCGTCGTGTTTGTAATTTGGAACCAGTAATTTTTGTACTGATTTTTTGTGGCCAAAACCTGTATAATGAATGAAAGTGAAGAAATCACATTACAATATATTACAAAATTAATGTCATACACTGCCAATTACATAAAGCATCATTCAACCCATATATCTTCACACCCATCTCGAATATTTTGACTCCCTAACTCAACCACCACTTCATCAAATGTGTCAACATTTGGCATCCCCCCAGTAAATGGCTCACACTCAATTCTCACATCACCTAAGACATCATCACCAATAACATCATTATATTCTCTATTAGGCATTGATAACACTACCGACCAACCACGATGCATCGGGTCGTCAACAAAAAATACTTGTTTGACTTGAGAAGCCAAAACAAATTGGTCATTCCTATGTCCAATTTTACTCAAATCTACAAGGGTAAATCCAAGTTCGTCCACTACAAGACCAGAAGTATTATCAATCCAATCACACCTAAAGACTGGGATTGTAAACTTTTGGTAGTCAAGGTCCCAAATTTCTTGAATGACACCATAGAAACCCATATTTGAGAGAATTGGGTTTTTATCCTTGGCACTAGCAACTTGCATAGTATGTGCAAGTAAATAAACTCCACTATTTTGAGTTGTCCGCACATCATCTTGTGCCTTGATGTTGAATTTAATACCTTTAATGAGATAGCTCCTATATAATGGCACTGCCATGTTTGGACCAGCTGCTAGCCACCTTAAATTTTCTGATACGCCATGATTGTCCTCATTAAGTTCACTTTGAACCTGCAAATTAATCATAACTTAATTCAATCTAACATAGAAAGAAGAAAATTAAAAGTCCAATATGTTATTCAATAACATATACCTTGAAGCGTAGCCATTGAATGAAAGTGCTATTGTGCTTATCCTGCAGCCACTTTGTTCTCTTTCTAAATTTTGGATAAGCGGTCTGGATGTGGATCATATGTTGCCTACATGACACACAAAATTCAAGTATTACGGTCCCAAACATATAAGATAAACATAAGAAATAATTTAAAATGGAAACTTAAAGAATAAAACTCATACGTACTCGATATAAGGTAGGACTTCCTCCGTATTCTCCAAGACATATAGATGTGCTTGGTTCAACAGGTCCCGATCAACTACGCTCACTGTGCAACCTGATAATGGCTTTGAAACTCCCATCTTTTGGCTTGAAGGCACTCCAACTGTACTAACATCAGATAAATGCTCGGTACAAAACTCTACAGCTTCTTCAGCTATATACCGCTCAGCAATGCAACCTTCGGGACGAGTACGATTCTGAACATACCCCTTTAGCACTTTCTTATATCTTTCAAACGGATACATCCATCTAAAATATACTGGCCCACACAGACGAACTTCTCTGACAAGATGTACTACTAGATGAACCATGATATCAAAGAATGAAGGGGGAAAGTACTTCTCAAGCAAACACAAAGTAACTACTACATCTTCTTCCAACTTATCTAGCTTGGAAACATCAACAGTCTTTGCACATATAGCATTGAAGAAGAAGCACAAACGAGTTATTGCATACCTTGCAGGCTTCTCCAAAACAGAACGAATTGCCACAGGGAGCAATTGTTGCATTAAGGTATGACAATTATGTGATTTAAGGCCAAGAAGTCTTGAATCTTGTAAAGATACAAGATTTTTTATATTTGAAGAATAACCTTCAGGGACCTTCATACCATAGAAAGAATTGCAAACCTCTCTCTTCTCTGCTCTTGACAAATTCCAAGGCCCGGGAGGCAAACGAGTACGTCTTTCTCCATACTCGGGTTGCAAATCAGTTTTGACCCCCATGTTCAATAAATCTAATCGAGCAGCAATCCCATCTTTATTTTTTCCAGGGATCTCCAGCAATGTACCAATGATACTATCGCAAACATTCTTCTCAATGTGCATAACATCTAGGACATGCCTCACAGGAAGGTATTTCCAATACTCGAGATCAAAGAATATTGATTTCTTCTTCCAACAAACTCTATCACCATCTTCAACCATATGCAGCACTTCTTCTCCGGTTAATGGCTCAGGAGGCGTGCCATATTCAGGTTTCCCATTAAAAGCTGCACGTTGCCTCCTATATGGATGATTGATCGGTAACCATTTTCTATGCCCAATGTAACAAATTTTGTGGCCATTTTTCAACCTGTGACTAGGTGTATCATCGCCGCATATTGGACAAGCTTTATATCCTTTAACAACACAACCAGATAAGTTTCCATAGGCGGGGAAATCATTAATTGTCCACATTAATGCAGCTCTGAGTGTAAAGTATTCTCCATTATGTGCATCATACACTCCTCCAATCCCATCCCACAAAGATTTTAAATCATCAATCAAAGGCTCCAAGTAGACGTCTATATCATTTCCCGGCTGTTTAGGACCGGAAATCAATAAAGTCAACATCATGAACTTTCGTTTAATGCACAGCCATGGAGGGAGATTATATGTAACTAAGATAACTGGCCAGCAACTATATCTGCTACTTAGAGAACTGTGGGGATTGAATCCATCAGATGAAAGCCAGCTCAATTCTCTCGCTACCAAAAAACTCGGGCCATTTATCATCAAGAAGTTTCCAAGACGGGGAATCCGCTGGATGAGACATATAACCGTCAATTGATTTTCTAGCAGCATGCCAAGTCAAACTCTTAGCGGTCTCATGTGATCGAAACATCCTTTTAAACCTTGGAATTGGAGGAAAATACCACACCACCTTCGCTGGCACACCCTCTTTCAAGATTGAATCTTTGCCTTCCTTCCACCTTGAGATACCACAATTAGGACAATGAGTTAAATCCTCATACTCCTTCCTATACAAGATGCAATCATTGGGGCATGCGTGCATTTTCTCATAACTCAGCCCCAATGCACACAAAGTCTTTTTTGCCTCATACATAGAGGCCGGTATTGTATTTCCGTCTGGAAGCAAATCGCCTTGAAGTATCAATAATTCTGTAAAACAGACATCACTCATCCCATATTTTGCCTTCAAATTATACAACTTCACTAATGCCGATAACTTCGTGTACTTTCTACAACCAGGGTACAATGGTTGATCTCCATCCCCAATCACATTGGCAAACTCATAAGGATCAGATCCAAAATCACCAAAATCATTATCATCCATCTCTATTTCTTCAGACACAAAACTGTACCTACTATGGTCATCATCTTCTTCAACATTTCTACTAGCATTAGTAGCTGCTTCCCAAGGTTCTCCGTGAAATGTCCAATTCTTATAGCTTTGGTCAACTCCATTAAAGTATAAGTGATCCCTTATAATTCCAACCCCAAACAATTTCAAATTAACACATTTAACACATGGACAACGGATATGTGTGGTAGTTAGAAGATTTTCTACAGAAAAGTTCAAAAATGCTTCCACCCCTAACTCATATGCCTTCGATCTTCTATCCGAGTGCATCCATGACTTATCCATCTCCGACACTATACCCTATTATATATAATAAAGTGAAAAGACAAGCAATGACCATCACTATAGCAGATTATATAAAGTCTAATAGCAAGTAATATACAACAGAGACGACGGTTTTTAAACAAAAACAGACGTATTTGACATATATAGACGACGGATTTTACGTCGTCTAATTATAACCACGACGGTAGTTAAATAACACCGTCGTGTATAAGTAATAAAAACGACGGTTTAAAGTAAAAACCGTCGTCGTATGCCTGAAAACGCGTCGATATCCAGTTTATTTTCAAGATCCCAAAACCCTATTAAGAACACAACATAGACATGAAACCAAGCAAGAAACCAACATATACATGAAACCAACATATACTAAGCATGAAAACAATAAATCCATTCCCAATTCAACATAACAGAGAGTGATTAAAAGATCCGACAAAATGAAATCCATTCCATATTCAACATAACAGAGAGTGATCAAGAAAACATTAAACAGAAAATCCATGAACCCATACCTCCAACAACATTATTAACAGATCGCAAAACATATACCTAAAACCTTTAACAAAACAACGTAATATATCATTCAATGAATTTACAAGGGGAAGAGAGGGTTTGTACTTACAGGTTGGCAGAGCTCACAGATTATGACCAAATTGGATTTGACACAGCCTGGCCCAACTTTGAATTAGAGATGAAGTGAGAGAGCGAAATGTTATGTTGCGCGAAATCAGAAAATTTTAGGGTTCAGGGTTAGAAGTATAAAAATAAGAGCCAAATCTGAAAATTTTAGGTCCCGCGAATATTTTAAGAAAGCGCGCTTTTTAAAACATCGACCGAAAATACAAGCGTCGTTAAAATTTAACATTAAACATGACGCTTATTACATTAAGGACGTCGTGGTAAAACTATGTACCACGCAAAATCAAAAAAGGCGTTAAAACTATGAAAAACCACAGCGGGGTTAAGTAACTAACGACGTTGTAAATAATAATAAACGACTAACAGGTAAACAAAACGTCGTTTAAAAAAGAAACCACGTCGGATTTTTCACCATACGACGTAAACTCAATATTCCACGACTCAATCACCGTCGTTAAAAGTAATACCCTAAACTTTAAAACCATAAATTATATATTTGTAAAATTTAATTTTATAAAATTGTTTATGGTTTTACATCCAATAAATAACAAGCATAAACCCTAAACCCCAAAAATTATACTTTATCCATAAACCCTAATAAATAACAACCCTAAACCCCAAACCCTAAACCCTAAACCATCAAACTATATAAGTGATGCTATGACTCATAAAAACAATTTTATTTTGGTTGGTCATTTTAAACTTTTATTACACAAACTGCATTTTTTTGGGGTTTAGGGGGAAGAAAATATATCAATGACTTCATAGGAGTTGAAGTTGAATTTTTTGAATTTATTTTAAATTTATTTTTAAAATTTTGAATTAAAAATAATAAAATATTCTTATATCAACAACAAACCACGGCGGGGTTAAGTAACTAACGACGTTGTAAATAATAATAAACGACTAACAGGTAAACAAAACGTCGTTTAAAAAAGAAACCACGTCGGATTTTTCACCATACGACGTAAACTCAATATTCCACGACTCAATCACCGTCGTTAAAAGTAATACCCTAAACTTTAAAACCATAAATTATATATTTGTAAAATTTAATTTTATAAAATTGTTTATGGTTTTAAATAACAAGCATAAACCCTAAACCCCAAAAATTATACTTTAACCATAAACCCTAATAAATAAACCCCAAACCCTAAACCCTAAACCCCAAACCCTAAACCCTAAACCATCAAACTATATAAGTGATGCTATGACTCATAAAAACAATTTTATTTTGGTTGGTCATTTTAAACTTTTATTACACAAACTGCATTTTTTGGGGTTTAGGGGGAAGAAAATATATCAATGACTTCATAGGAGTTGAAGTTGAATTTTTTGAATTTATTTTAAATTTATTTTTAAAATTTTGAATTAAAAATAATAAAATATTCTTATATCAACAACAAACCACGGCGGGGTTAAGTAACTAACGACGTTGTAAATAATAATAAACGACTAACAGGTAAACAAAACGTCGTTTAAAAAAGAAACCACGTCGGATTTTTCACCATACGACGTAAACTCAATATTCCACGACTCAATCACCGTCGTTAAAAGTAATACCCTAAACTTTAAAACCATAAATTATATATTTGTAAAATATGAAAACCTCAGCAAATTGTTTTTTCTTTTATAATATGAAAACCTCAGCAAATTTTCAAAATTTGTACATTATATATTATAGACAAAATTGGTACATATAAAAATATCAAGTGTTCCAAAAATCCTCTAATCCATATGAAGGCAAACAAACTCTGCCCATTCTTTCCTGACTTCATCAATGGCTGCTTGGGGGTATGGCGCTTGATCTTTTCCCTTGGCAAACTGCAATCCATAAACAATGATTATTAAGCTTTACAAAATAAAAAGAAATTCAGTCACAGACGACGTTTTTTTTCATAACCGACGTAGTCTATCGATTCAACGACGGTAATTTTAAATGACCGTCGTTGATAATACAAAAAACCACATAAAATTTTCTGAAAATTTTATTCTTACCTTCTTCTCAAACTCCAAGGAAGGATCCATGATGATGTCCCTCATGAAGCGCATGACATAATACCCGCATTCGACACTGCTGGGTTGCTTTGGTGTGCCTGGCAGAGTTTTCCAAATTGGTGCTTTACGGCCTGGTCTGCCTATGTGGGAATTATAAATTTTTAAAGCACTGTTCACGATGTTTTTGCCCTCCTCATCAACCACACGATTTCCAGGCAGAGGATCCAGAAAATAGACGGTTTCCCTCTTTGCCCTCACAATCAGCAAGACCCAATGACGGCTGCACAAAAATAAAATAAAAAACGACGGTTATTTATAAAAACCGACGTATTATATAGTTTCACACGACGTAAGAACTTAATCACCGACGTGATTATAAATTTATCACGACGAGAATTAACTACCGACCTGGTTAGTTGTTTCAAACGACTCAATAAATAAATAACCGACGTGGTTAGATGTTTCAAACGACACAGAATTAGTTAAACAGTTTTATAAGTGAAAATCATACAAACAAAATCCTTTTAAGGAGACTAACCCTGGATTGTAAGGCATCATGAAAATCTGTTCACCATCTGTTTTCTGAAGTCGACTGGCTACAATTCGTGATCTGTCAGTTAGTGACCCAGCGTTGGCACTAACTTGAGCAGGGTCGATAAAGCCAACCATGCTGCACATATTTGCTTCTCTCAAAAGATCATATAAGCACCTAAATATATAAAACAAACGACGGTTATTTATACACAAACGACGTATTATACAATTTCACACGACGAACTGAAATAGAAACAGACGTGATAACTAATTTATCACGACGGTAAAAAAGAACGACGTGGTTAGTGGTTTAAAACGACGCAATAATTAAACAACCGACGTCTTATGATATAATGTTTGATATTTGATTAGGACAAACCTCATATATACTGCAACCACAGTAGCCCCAATTTCTTCCATGCCTGCAAACTGTGTAATATCTTCATGCAAGACGAAGGTACTTCGATCTGCACCAAACACCTCCTTCTCAATGTTGAAGGTCATGATCTTCCCCTGTGGCTTTAGTGTAGTTTCCACATAACCACAAAGGGATTGTAAGGAAGATGGCACCTCCACATTGGAATAATCGAGTACCTCATTACCCTGTTTAAAGAAATAAAGCAAAATAAATTGTTGTGGTAATTCATTAAAAAAGACGGTTTAAATTAAAAAACGTCCTCTGATTATAATTTAAACGACGGTAATTAAATACCGTCGTTTTAGATTATTTATTACGTCGTAGAAAATAAATTCCGACGTCTAATGTGAAAACAAACGACGGTTTAAAGAAAAATATTGACGTCTGAAATGTGAAAAACAAATTAAAAAGGCAAAGTTATGAGAATATACCTCCTCGTCATGCTTTTCTTCATCTTGTTTTTCTTCTTTCTTCTCTTCAACATTTGTGTCTTCCTCTTTGCCTTCATCTTTATTCTCTCTTTTTTCTTCCTTCTTCCCTTCATCAATTTTTTCTCCCATCTTCTGTTCATCTTTATTTTCTTCTTTCTTCTCTTCATCTTGATTATCTAAAGCCCCAGATTTCTGTTTTAAATAATAAAGAAATATATATATAAGACAGATTGTACAGAGAGTAAAAAAATTAAACCAAAACGTCGTGGTAAGGCATAACATAAGACGGTATGTAAGAATTATGGACGTCTTAAAATTATTAAACGATGGTAAATAATAAACGTCGTGGTAATTTTATATTACGTCGTTAAGGACAAAAACCGTCGTCTAAAAGCCACAAAGTACGACGTCTAATGGCGTGTAAAACAAGTAAACTAAATACGACGTGGTATTTAAATAAACACGACGGGTTATTTATAAAATCGTCGTGGTATGGTTTTAAAACGACGGGTTTATTCATAATAACGACGTCTAATGTTTAAAAAAAAACAGAGAATTCAAAGTTCAGATATGTTACCGTTTGTTCCTGCTGTTCCCCATTTCTGGCAGTATCATCCTCTAAATGTAGGGATCTCACTTCAGCCCCAGAACAGCTTGCTTTATCAGACATTGGATTCATGGGACTTTGCTGTAGACCTTGGTTTTGACAGGGGCTAGTTTTCGGTTTAAGCATGCTTGGATCAAAATTGGGGATGAGGTGGGAAAGCTGACTTAGTAAATGTTCCCTCTCAGCCTCTACTAATTGTTTGGTTCTAGCTTCCATCTTCTTAGTCTCTTCTTGAAGGACAATTTACACTTTCCTTCAATTGATCAGCAAACTTTACCCTTTGTGGTCTAGGTAAATTGAAGAATTGCCTAGGGGAAATCCCAGCACCTACCCCTCTTACTCTCCCTGGATGCTCGGGACCCAAAGCCAAGGTCAACACATCATTACTGCCAGTTATACTCAGACTGCCTTCAGCCACTTGTTTTTGCAATTCATCCTAAAACAAAGACAAAAAAAAAGTCAGCACAAGAAAATACACGACGGTTATTTATAAACAAACGACGCATTATATAATTTCACACGACGCACCAATATAGAAATCGACGTTATAATATATTTATAACGACGTTAATTAAAACCGACGTGGTTAGTTGTTTAAAACGACGCAATAAATAAACCACCGACGTCTTATGCTGTAATTACAGAAAACATAGTTGTGATTTCAGATTTAGATCTTTCACGACGTTTTTGAAAACATTTCGACGTAGTAATAACATTAACACGAAGGAAAAAATTAACCACCGACGTCTTATGCTATAATTACAGAAAACAGAGTTGTGATTCCAGATTTAGATCTTTCACGACGTTTTTTAAAATATTTCGACGTAGTAAAATCATTCACACGACGGAAAAATATAACATAAGACGTAATAAGAATTCTACACAGTTTAATAAAAATTTAAAACAGAGTGTGTAGGCTTACAATTAATTTTGCTTTCTCTGCCACCTTTGGATCCGGGATGTTACCATGTTTGTCCTGTCTAGCTTTCTTCCATAAGGTAGATCGATCAATTTCTACCCCAGGCATGGTTTCCTCCAATTGATCCTCCAAACCAGCATATCCTTTTCGAGACAATCGATGATTGTACTCAAGTTTCTCCCTAATCTGTGAATGTTGAGAATGCACAGACTCAAATTCTTTGGATAACCTTGAAGCTACAAAGGCATCCCATTCTGCTTTCTCTATGAATTTATATACTGTAGGGGGTTGGCTTAATTTCTTCCTCTCCTTGATGTATGGAAGGATATAATGCCTCGTCAGTGTAGACTTGAAATCCTTCCATTTCTTGGCAGCAGAAGATAACACCGAGGTCTTGCCCCCTTGACCTACCACAAAAGCCATGTCAACGGCTTCCCAAATCTGCTCCTTTATATCATTGGGGATGTCAGCCCATTTCTTGTCCACAAGTGGGACTCTGGAGCGTGCCAACACACCAATGTAGGACTGCATCTCAGTATGTGCAGGGCCACATCCTTTCCCCCTTTTATTGTACTCAACAACTGGCTTGATTTTCTGCAATTTTCTCTTCACAACACGAGGCATTGTGCTCATACCTCGACCTGACTTTGAATCCTCAGAAATTGTTGTCGTGCTGCTTGGTTCTTTCTCAGCAGATGAAACAAACTTCATCTTCTTCAAGGGCTTGTCTTGAGGAGTTACCATTCCAAGCTCCTTACCTCCATTTTTTTTGGAGCCAGAGTACTTACTTTGGTCTTGAGAAACCATGGTTACAGAATAAACAAACCTGCAAGTGAAAATATTTCGTGAAAAAAATTAGAACACAAACGACGGTTATTTATAAACTACGACGTATGATAAGATTTTACACGACGTAATAACATAACATCAGACGTAATAAATGATTAAAGAAGAACAATATAAATGTTTAAACAACGACGAAACAATATTAAATAAGACGTAATAAGAACTTATTACGGCGATATTTACACGACGTCGTGATATTCATATTAACACGACGTAAATATTAATATAACGTCGTGTTATGGATATTCACACGACGTGAATAATAAGCTACCGTCGTATTTATAAGAAACCAAAAACATTTTTCTTTCTTTGTGAATGTTTGATTGCAGGTTTCATTTCTCTGAAACATGGTTTTTGTTTTTCCTAATTTGATAAAATACAAAGAAAAAAAGCTTTGGCATCTTTTTATAGACGACGGTATCTTAGTATAACGTCGTGGTATGAACATTCACACGGCGTCAATAATAAGATACCGTCGTCTATATAAGATACCAAACCCTACTTTCTTTGTCTCTGTATTTTATCAAATTAGGAAAAACGAAAACCATGGTTCAGAGAAATCAAACCTGCAACTAAACAAGCAAATAAAAAATTGACCGTCATTTAAAAAACAACTTAGATCAATTTTAAGACGACGCTAGGACGACTGACGAACCGTCGTGGTCTACATATTTAACCACGTAAATAAAAAGCTACCGTCGTCTTATTTAGTTGAATTAGTTATGTTCAAAGTTCAATCTTTCCCTCTCTGTCTGTGTATTTTATCAAACTTGGAAAGAATAAAAATGATTTTCGCCAGAAAAAAGGTAAAAAGATTTTCAAAACAAAAACAGTATGAGCATGCAATATAACAACAAAAATAGTGAGAAATGAAAGCTTTCTCTCGGATTTTGGTGTTTAAGTTCAGAGGCGACGACGAAGACAAGAGGAAGAAGATGAGATACTCTGACAGTGCTCTGACAAGGAAAAAAGACGAAAAGTTTTCTCTGGGAGATTGAAATGTTTTCTCGGGTTTGGAAACAGTGCATGTGTAAGTCAGGTAGACGAAAAGTTGTATATGTATACAAACCGTTTCATAGTAATTAGACGGCGGTTTACATAGAACGACGACGTATTAATAGAAAAACTACGACGCTAATTTGAACTTATGACGTGGTACATAAATACGACAGTAGTGTTGTAGGTACCGCCGTAGTAAACTCCTAAATAAAAGTCGATAACTCAATATCTCGCGTCATGGTAGAAATATTTAACACGACGGTTGTTTTAAATTTACGACGTTTATTTTTATAATATACGTCGTTTTATTGTAATATACCGACGTGGATAACACTAAACTAAAACGACGTATTATTTTTTCCACGACTAATGCTTCAGAGTTCCATCTTGTAAGATTTCCTAACCCTTGTGATCTCAGAATAATCTGATTATGTCGGCAGTTTTCTATATAAACCGTCGTGGTTATTTCAATTCTTGTCGTTAGGTAGATCTACCGACGTAGGATAACAAAATCGAAGAAATAAATTGTTAAAAAAAATTCTTATTCAGACGACGGTTTAAATATAATGTATGACGTATAAAGTGGACAAATACGACGTTAAATTCTATAATACGTCGTTATATGAAAACCCCAACTTGGTAAGATTTAAAGATGTCGTCGTAGAAATACGAGAAAGACGTCGTTATATTTACCTTTGCCGTAGTTGTACATTAATTTAATACGGCGGTATTTTGTATTTTACCGCCGTGGATTTATTTGTAATTATACGGCGCCTTATACGAAAACTTGGTCGTGTTAATTTCTGGGTAAAAACGACGGCTTTTTGTGAAACCGTCGTCTTTACTTTCTACGTCGGTCGGTTCATAACTTCCGCCGTTATTTGTTGGCTATGATTTTACCTCTTGAAAATCCTATTTCAATAAGACGTCGGTTTTTTAATTAAGTACGTCGTGTTTTAGGAACAACCATTTGAAACTCCATTTTTTAGTTGTCTAATGTGTTATTACACGGCGGTTTTATAAAACCGTCGTCTTTTAAAAAACAACGACGGTTTTCACTTAGACCGTCGTGTTTTTCTGGTCGTCTTTTTCACTTTTTGTAGTAGTGTCTCCCGGTTACTTTCCCAGCATTACCAAACGTGGGAAATGAATCTTTCATTTCCCATCCCTTGGGAAATGACATGGGAAATGATTTGCCCTCAAATTCATTCCATGAACCAAACAGGGTCTAAAAGATTAATAAGTTGTCATGCCATGCGCCGCAATTATACTATAAAAGAGGCAGTGATCAATTCCCTCAAATGTTTATAATATCCAATACGCTCCCCTCGTCAGCTTCTACTTTTAATAAATTGTGTTTTGGGTCTGATTGTGCTATACTTTAAACAAAAAACAAAAGACAAAGAAAAAACTAGCACGTATTGTAAAAATAAAATAATCAGAGTATGAAAAGTACTACTGAATATTGGGAGTACAAAAGACAAAGAAAAAACTGGCACCATGTAATTGATAACTTGAGTAACGAGTGAGAAGACCCTTTAAAGGAGGACTGCATCTTGGAAAGGAAAGTTAACGAGGCACAACATGGAACGTATTAGTATTTTCGCATTGGCAGAAAAGGTCAGCTTCCCAGTAAATCAAAGTGGTATATTCAGGACAAGGCAACAACAGAGTTTCCTCATCTCAAGTTAGCTTGGTCGGTCAAGTATGAGAGAGCCATGATCCAGAAGGTCTACCAACAAAAATAAACATAATATAATATAATTATAATTAATTATATTTGTAACATCTCACATCGACTAACGGAGAAGGGGTGATGTGCCTTATATGTACATGCCCACCTTCATCTAGCATGAGGCCTTTTGGGAGCTCACTGGCTTTAGAGTCAGGGGAACTCTGAAGTTAAGCTAGTTTGGGCTAAAGCAATCCCAAGATGGGTGACCCACTAGGAAGTTGCTCAAGAGTTCCCACAAACAAAATCATGAGGGCAAGGGGGGCCTAAAGCGGACAATATCGTGCTACGACGGAGCCGATCTGGGATGTGATAGAATGGTATCAGAGCCACTCTTCCGTGTGGTGCGAGTGTGTCAACGAGGACGTCTGGTCCCTAAGGAGGGTGGATAGTAACATTCCACATCGACGAACGGAGAGAGGGTGATGTGCCTTATATGTACATGCCTACCTCCATCTAGCACGAGGCCATATCACCCCATCTATCTAGCACGAGGCTTTTTGGGAGCTCACTGGTATTGGAGTCATGGAAACTCCGAAGTTAAGTGAATTTAGGCTAGATCAATCCCAGGATTGGTGACCCACTAGGAAGTTGCTCATGAGTTCCCAGAAACAAAACCGAAAGGGCAAATGGGGACCCAAATGGGACAATATCGTGCTACGGCAGAGTTGATCCGGGATGTGATAGAATGGTTTCAGAGTCACTCTGCCGTGTGGTGTGATTGTGCCGACGAGGACATCGGGCCTCTAAGGGGGGTGGATTGTAACATCCCACATCGACCAACGGAGAGGGGGTGATGTGCCTTATTTGTATATGCTCACCTCCATCTAACACGAGGCCTTTTGGGAGCTCACTAGCTTCGGAGTTAGGGAAACTCAGAAGTTAAGCGAATTTAGGCTAGAGTAATCCCAGGATGGGTGACCTACTGGGAAGTTGCTAGTGAGTTCCTAGAAACAAAACTGTAAGTGCAAGGGGGGCCCAAAGCAGACAATATCGTGCTACGATGAAGCCGATCTGAGATGTGACAAAAATTGTAACATCCCACATCAACTAACGGAGAAGGTGTGATATGCCTTATGTGTACATGCCCACCTCTATCTAGCACAAGACCTTTTGGGAGCTCACTGGCTTCGGAGTCAAGGGAACTCATAAGTTAAGTGAGTTTGGGCTAGAGTAATCCCAAGATGGATGACCCATTGGGAAGTTGCTCGTGAGTTCCCAGAAACAAAACCGTGAGGGCACCGTTGGTTGATGTGGGATGTTACAATCCACCCCACTTAGGGCCCCGACGTCCTCGTCAGCACACTTGCACCATACGGCAGAGTGGCTTTGATACCATTATGTTATACCTCAGATTGGCTCTGCCATAGCACGATATTGTCCACTTTGGGCCCCCCACGTGCCCTCATGATTTTGTTTTTGGGAACTCATAAGTAACTTCCCAGTGGGTCACCCATCTTGGGATTGCTTTAGCCCAAACTCGCTTAACTTCTGAATTCCCCTGACTCCGAAGCCAGTGAGCTCCCAAAAGGCCTCGTGCTAGATGAAGGTGGGCATGCAAATATAAAGCACATCACCCCTTCTCCGTTGGTCGATATGAGATATTACAATATTATATTATAGTATTAAATTATTTAAAACCATAAATAAAAAAAGGTTTATAATGAATTGTTATAAACCATAAAAAGTTAATGGTTTTGGATGAGTTTGAGATTTTAGGCCATTCATTCTTTATAGCTTAAAATAATTTACTATTTTAGTTTAGTTAATTTTAGCAACCAAACCTTGTATAAATATGTAAGTTATTCATTGAAATGAATCAAGTAATTTTGAAAGCAAAACTCAAAGCAGTTCCTTAGCTCATTCCTTTTGTTTCTTTAATTGTCTTAAAATTCCTCTCATTCTCTTATTCCTATAAACTAGGAATTCATAGTTTTATCAACTAGAAGTTTTGGATAAGTTGTTGACTTGTTGAGAGGTTCTCTTTATTAGGGAATTTTAATGGTATTTTTTTTTCCTTGTTTATGTTTGAGTTAGGTTTAGTGTTTTTATTTTTGTTTTTGCTAATTCATGGGTTGATCTTGTTTTTGAGATTTTTCTACTAGTGTTTTAGTGTTACTTGGTATCTAATTGATTGCCGTTTATGATTTCTTGATGTTTTTGTTATTGTTTACTTTATTCATATTTACATTGTTTTGTTATGGAGTAGTTGTTGAATGTAGATTTTTTTTTTTAATTTGATTAATTTTTTTTTTTAGTTTGTTTTGTTACTGTTTCAGTTATGTTTTTCTTAGATTGTACATTAATCATTGTTTTTGAGGTGGTTTTGGTGGTGTCTTATTCTTGGTGGTATATTTTGTTAGGGAATGATAATGGCATCGTAGTTTCTATTTTTTAATTGAGTTTTTTTAAATATTTTTTATGTAACAATTATAGTTATATTTTTGTTAGATTGTAGATTGATCATTGTTTTTTAAGTAGTTCTAATAGTTTTTATTTTTTTGTATTAAAGTTCTGGTAGTGTCTTAGCGTTGCAAATATGTTTGGTATAGGGACATTTTGGAAAAAGCAAAAGGAGAGAGAAAAATTTTAAAAGAAAAGCAAAAATGGACAAAAGTGGGGGGGGGGGGGGGGGGGGGGGGTATATGAAATATAAATTGCATCGTAGTTTCTGTTTTTAACTGTGGGTAGGGTTTTGCCATTCAATGCTTAGGGATTCTAAATCTTGGAGACTAAACAGTTAGCAACACATGAAATTTAAACATTAAAGAACAACTAATTATATAATATGAAGGAGGGTAGATTCGGTGACTGCAATGCAGTGTGTAAATTTCACTACACCAAAAATTCATATCCATAACACTTCAAAAACGCTATCAAAAGTATATAATAGCGTTATAGAAAGGGATATGGATCTTTTGCTCTGAGTTTCTCTGCCATGATATACTTTACTTTTGTTCTCTATATAACACCTCATTAAAATTTAATATAAGAGACTTAAAAATTGACACATTATCATCTTTCAAACAAAAACCCAATTTACTCCTAATTAAAAAATAAAAAAAACCCCCTAATCCAACTAACGGCAAAGTTAACATCATGTCCACTTTCTTCTCTTCCTTCTTGTCTCACATCTTTTTGTTTTTTTTTGTTTTGAGTCAATCCCTGTCTCACGTCCTGTTCTTTTTTTTTCCTTCTTCATGTCTCTGCCACAAAATCTTATCTCTCACACCAAGCTTTCCTTTCTCCAAAACCTCTGCAATCACAATCCCATTTTTTTTTGGGAGTTTTACCAAAACACCCAAAATAGGGGTTGAAATTATAAAAAAACCCAAGCACTATTTAAACATATAAACACACCCAAAACCCATCATTACACACACTCAAAACCCATTTATAAACACACCCAAAAAGTTGACTTTGGGGTTGATTTTGGGTGTGTTTTTATGTTTAAATAGTGCTTGGGTTTTTTTTATAAATACATGTCTAGGATTGGGTTTATTTATAAATTTCTATTTTTTTTTCCCCCTATCAAAAGAAAAATTACGTTTGAAGAGAGAATGTGTTTTGTACATTTGTATTACTATTATTGTAGGTGGTAGGATTTTCGCGTTCCTGGGCTTTATGGTGAAGTGGTAGCCTTCTCCGAATTCCAGCAGCCAAATTTGTGATGAGGCTTCCAAATCTAATGCCTTTTGTAATTTTTCAGATAGTTGAGACAATTATTCATTTTTAACGATAAAAATCCAATATGTTTAGAAAGCTTCCCGAGAAACAAGAAAAAGACGAATAAATGCTTGTTTTTCATTTTTGGGTAAATCCAAGAAGTTCAATGTTTGATAATTGTTAATATATTTTGTGACGTTGGTGAGAGATGAGATTTTGGGGCATAATCAAGAAGGACAAAAAAAAAGGGGGAATGGTAGCAACCTTCTCTCTAACCTTCTTCGTTGGATCTTTTTCCTTTTCCTCATGACATGTGTCATTCTCATTACACTTAAAACAATGTCATTAATGTATTATACAAGCTAACTTTTGGTTTCCAAGTTTACCCTATTCAAAAGTTAGTTTGTATAATGCATTAATGACATTGTTTTAAGTGTAATGAGAATGACACATGTCATGAGGAAAATGAAGAATGTCCAAAGAAGAAGGTTGGAAAGAAGGTTGCTAGCATTCTCCAAAAAAAAAAGGACAAGACGTGGAGGGTGTGAGACAGGAGGAAGAAACAAAAAAGGATGTTAACTTTGTCGTTTGTTGGATTAGGGTTTTTATTTTATTTTTATTTTTTATAAAGTAAGAGTAACTTTGTCGTTTGTTGGATTAGCATTCTCCTTTCATAGTGTTTTTGACAGGCTATTAAAGGCTCTTTATAGCGGTGCTTTTAATGCTATTGTATACTTTTTCAGTAGCATGTTTTCATTCCCATTTTTTCCTATGATAGCGTTTCAATATAAGCTTTTCCATTGCATTTGTTTAATATATCTCTTCCATCTTTTAATTTGGCTGCAAGACACAACACTATATTAAGCACCACAAGAATGGAAACGCACATCTTCTACTATATAAGTTGCTGCCAATATTTTTCCATCATAGTGAACAGGAGCACCATCCAAACCAAGCGGAATTGGAAACAACTTTAGAGTTTTTGGGGTAGGAAATACATAACTGTTGACACACAATATGTAACTGTATTTTCCTTTTCATTTTAGGATAACACTTATTACCTTCTAATGTGGATAAAAAAATCTTCTATGCTCTTGCGCTTCATCTTCTTCAAGTATTGTATTTCCTCAACTACAACAATATATATTAGTTAAAAGGGTTACTTACATTTTTGGTAACTGAGATTTGGCTCAAAATCAAATTTGGCAGCCGTAATTTTAATTTTTCCGATTTGGTTACTGTAATTGCAGTTGTTAACAAATCAAGTCAAATGTCTCAATTCTGTCAATTTCATTAATTACAAAATATTTAATATTAAGTTAAAATAATTAACTTCAATATAAAATTTAAGTATAATATATTTGAAAAGAAAATTAATAAGATTAAAACTTAAATTTAAAAAGAACTACCAATATATATATATATATATAATATCCAATGGTGAGTGACCACAATTTCTTGGACTCCTGTGGTCCAACAGATCGGGACTAATATATATCCCTCATCACTATTGAAATGAAATGAATAGTTGGTGGACCAAAATTATACTGGAGCAAAAGTTGGGGAACCATTTCGGTTAAAAATTCTATTTTATTTGAGTATGTAAAAAAACATGTAAGAAGATACAACAATTGATCTAAAGCTATTGAACTATACCATGAGGTGCCCCCACACCCGAAGGGTGGGATTAATTCCCACTTGGGGTACAGCTTGCCCCTAGACACTAAGTGCTTCCAACGGATTTTCAACCCCTATCATTGAGGCATCAGGTACCTCATCAGCTGGAGGTAGAAGTTTACCAACCGCATCACACCTTGTGGTTGTTCAACAACCATTTTGAATGCTCTGAAAGACAAGAAATAATACAAAAGGGCTATCTTTATTAGACAATGAAAAGCACGTCGTAGAGCAGTTTCAATAAATGAGGGTGCGTTCCATCAAGAATGATGCGCTGAGCCTCCATACTTGAAGCTTAGTGAGAAAATATATTAGAAACTACAAAGGTTTGGAGTGTTAGGCAGGGCCTTACAAAAGATGTCGGTGAACGTGAGAGTGAGGGAGTCAATGGTGGTGAAGCCAGAGGAGGAAACGCCAAAACGGGCGCTGTGGATATCGGACTTGGATATCGTGATTTCGGCAACTCACCTTGGAAGTGTTTACTTCTACAGGAGGCCAAACGTTCAAAACGGAGCACATCATCTTCAAAACAACCGTGTCTTGGATTCGGAGGTGCTCAAGTGCTCCCTTGCCAAGGCCCTCGTGCCCTTCTACCCCGTGGCCGGCCGCCTGAAGCTGAACGATGAGGGACGTATCGAGATCGATTGCAATGCAGAGGGAGTGCTGTTTGTTGTGGCGGAGACTGCCTCGGTCCTCGATGATTTCGGGGACTTTGCGCCGACTCTTGAGTTCCGGAAGCTCGTTCCTGCTGTTGATTATTCCGCTGGGATATCTTCTTATCCCCTCTTGGTCGTACAGGTATTCAGAGAAAGAGAGGAGACATTTTTTCACTCCCTAATTTCACAAGAGTTGAAATCTTTTTACCATTTTCGTTTTGAATGTAGTTGATTTTAAATTATTTTGTTCCTAAATTATTTTAAATTAAGCTCAAGTTATGGTCTTCCTGTTATATCTGAGTGGATGCATTTTCTTATTGGTGGATTAGAGAATAGTTTTACCTCACTATACAATTCGAAGTGCTCACCCTTTCTTTTACTTCTCTTGCTCATAATATCATCCGGGACAATTCTTGAACCGGATATGACTTAAACTTACAAAAGTATGGTTCTGGTTTTACTCTGTTTATGCATCAGGTCACATACTTCAAATGTGGTGGAGTGTCACTTGGTGTTGGACTGGAACATCGTGTAGCAGATGGCTTTTCTGGTCTCCACTTTGTAAATACATGGTCCGATATCGCTCGAGGTCTTGACCTTACAATTCCACCATTCATCGACAGGACATTACTTCGTGCCCGGGACCCACCACAGCCTGCATTCGATCACATTGAATACCAACCTGATCCACCCATAAAAACCGGTACAAAAGCTGTAGGTGATGAGAGCGCAACGGTATCCATTTTTAGATTGACACGGGAGCAGCTCAACATCTTGAAAGCCAAGTCTAAGGAAGATGGGAACACAATCAACTATACCACATATGAGATGTTGGCAGGTCATGTTTGGAGATGTGCATCCGTGGCACGTGAACTTCCTGATGATCAAGAGTCCAAACTACATATTGCAGTTGATGGAAGGTCCAGACTGCAACCCCCCCTCCCTCCTGGTTTCTTTGGCAATGTGGTTTTTTCAAGCGCACCAATTGCTGCAGCAGGGGATCTCAAATCAAAACCAACATGGTATGCTGCAAGCCGTATTCATGATGCTGTTGTGCGTATGGACAACGATTATCTTAGATCAGCGCTGGACTATCTTCAACTTCAGCCTGACCTGTTACCCCTTGTTCGCGGAGCTCGTACTTTTAGGTGCCCGAGACTTGCAATAACTAATTGGTCTAGGCTGCCGATCTATGATGCTGATTTCGGTTGGGGTCGACCTACTTTCATGGGGCCTGGTGGAATTGGATATGAGGGGTTGGCTTTTGTGTTACCAAGTGCAACAAATGATGGAAGTTTATCAGTGGTCATTTCTCTGCAATCTCAACGGATGAAATCATTCTCCAAGTTGTTGTATGAGATATAAGGAAATGAAATATGCGTCGAATGGGAACAATACGTTGAACGTACTTTGGGCTTCTGTGTGTGTCCTCTGAGTTCTGGGACTTTTCATAGCATAGCTGATCGGAAAGCAGCTGTTTTTGAAAAGTTCAAGTGGTCGTTTGGTTAATCTATATTAGAGTATGTGTTTTAGAAACAACCTAGTACTGAATAAGATTCTCAGAGTATGTGTAAGCTTTATTTATTGCTGTGGAAGACTTCTTTTTCGGAGTATCTGTAGTTTATTGTGATTCTTAATAAGATTTTCTTTCTCCATGAAACAAAAACATACTGAATCACTTTGGTTGCATAAAGGTTAGTGTCTTTTGTAAACCTGCACTTAGGTTTTACTTTCAGTAATTTTTGTTTAATGCAAAGAGCATTTGTAGCGTTTTTATTTCTCACTGTGAAAAAAGGAAGAGTAAATAATCAGCCAAAACCTTTTAAAAGAGGTTCCACGTGGTTTTGTCAGGCTCATGGATTCGATATTATCATAAAGAAGAGGTCCCATCTAGTGGTTGGTCTGATATTAATATTTGGAGACCCATCGACCAAAAACTGATACATGGCTGAGTTAAGCGCAACTTGTTTCGTACGGTGCTGATATTATCATAACGGAGAGGTCCCCTCTAATGTTCCAGGCTGTGTCAGTTATTAAAATTTGGAGAAGAGGTCCCATCGACCAAAGACAGTTTCAAACCACGTCCTATTTTAAAAGTGGAGCAGTTTGTGTGATCTGAGTTAAGCGCAACTTGTTTCGTACGGAGCTGATATTATCATAACACCATCTCCAACCTTTGAGCTCCAAAAACCATTCCCAACCCATGTATTTTGGGAGGTGAAAATTTGAGATGTCTCAAAATCAGAATGGAATTCCAGTCAGGATTCTGCCTGGAGTGATAAATCTGTGGGGCCCAATTCTGCTTTAATAAATATTTTTTTATTGCATGATGTGAGAAGCCCATCACGTGGGCTGTGTTGCTGGCAAGTGGGAATGAAGATTCTCTCTGACTACTTTTGGTATGTTTTGTTATGCTTTTTTTTTGTTTTTTGGTGGAAATATTCCAACAGCTATAAAATCAACGATTCAGATTCATTTTAGGCAATTTTAACAATAAAATTTCACATCCAACGGCTCAAATTTAAATTCAATGGTCAAATTAATATTTATAATTAATCTAAGTAAGATCTAACCCCAAAATTTATTCCAAACTCTATAAATAGTCATTCATTTGGTAAATAATCCACCAAAAATCATTTTATTCCTTTCTTCCTTTGTTTTCCTTTCTCCCTTTGTTATAATTTTTATTCTACATTCAATGAAGGGTTCGAATTATTCCGGACATACGTATGGTGTTGTACTTGTTTTTATTTTAAAGTGAAATTCTATTATGTTTTGGAATTTTAATTTTTTTAGGTTAAAATACTTAGAAAATTAAATCACAAGTATTGAAACAAAAATAATGTCAAGAAAAATTAACAAGAAAAAAAAATTAGGGGTTAATCATTCTTAAACAATTTAATAAAGTTGCGGACTCAAATTATGAGTTTGCAAGGTTGGAGGAAAAAAAATTTTGAGTCCTGAAAATACATGAATAGTTGCATTTTGGAGGGTGGGAATTTGAGTTTACCCCCAACATGGTTGGAGATGGTCTAAAGGAGAGGTCCCCTCTAAGAGCAGCTCCAGCGCTGCTTCAATTCCGGGCAAAAGGCCCCCCGACTGAGCCTTTCCAATCGGTTTTTTTTTCCAAAAATCCAACGGTTCTCGTTTTTTTGGCTAAAAAAATTGCAAAAAAGATCCAAAAAATTCTGAATTTTTTTTAAAAAAAAACCAAAAAATTATGTATTTTTTCCCTATAAATACCTAACCATTTTATTTACATTTCACACCAAATCTTCATACAATTTCTTCTCCATCCAATATTTTTTACTCTCTACTCACATTATTCACTTTCCACACCAATTCTCCATACAAACTCTTCTCCTTCCAATATTTTTTACTCTCCACTCACATTTTTCTACTACTTTCCATTTGTATAAAACAAAAAAATGGCATCTTCCATCGAAGTCAGAGGCTCGTGGACAACTCAGGAAGATATTGCGTTGTGTCAGTCTTGGGTGAATGTTAGTTATGACCCTATTACGGGCAATGAGATGAAGTTCCATCATATGTGGAGCAAAATTCATGGAGAATTTTGTCAAAGATCGGGTTCCATTCAGACCGAAATGGCCTTGTTTAGTAGATGGAAACTTTTGAATAAAGAGTTAGGGAAATTGAGAAATGCCTTGACAAAAGCAAGGGAGAACATTTTAAGCAGTCAAAATTTTACCGATGAGGTAAAATATTTATAATTTCCATTTTAATCAATTTAATGTTACTTTTTTTTATTGCATATTCTATTTCTTTTTCTTGCATAATATTTTTTTTTCTTTTTGCATTTCCAATTTGTCTATATTTTCTTGCATAATCAATTTTATTCTTGCATTTCAAAATAGTTTATATTTTCTTGCATAATATTTTTTTTTCTTGCACTTCCAATTATTTATTTTTAATAGATCATACAAGCACAAATGTGGTTCAGTACCATGGGGCAAGGCAAAAAAAGTTTCGTGCATTTCCAATGTTAGGAAGTTGTGAAGGACTGTTCGAGATAAGACCCAAAACTCCAACAGCGTCATGCTTTTGAATGAAGTATGTGTCGTAATTACAAATATCATGCATGATTTTTTGGAACAAATGTGGCTGCATTCTATATCTCTCTTGAAACTTATATTCAGGATATAACAAATTTGGGATAAAGTAATCCTCCAAGAGATTCTTACCCCGAGACTCCCTACGTCTGTCCACATTCGGGGCACGACGACGGTGTTGCCTTGATTGATTAAGCATACACACCGCTGCTGCAAGCATTTGTTCCTCTTCTTCATCGGTGTCCCGATCTTCTTCAGCACGTTTACGCCTAGTACTGGATAAGATTTCTTCAGCACAAATGTGGTCGTTTGGTTAATCTATATTAGAGTATGTGTTTTAGAAACAACCTAGTACTGAATAAGATTCTCAAAGTATCTGTAAGCTTTGTTTATTGCTGTGGAGGACTTCTTTTGTGGAGTATCTGTAGTTTACTGTGATTCTTAATAAGATTTTCTTTCTCCATGAAACAAAAACATACTGAATCACTTTGGTTGCATAAAGGTTAGTGCCTTTGGTAAACCTGCACTTAGGTTTTACTTTCAGAAATTTTTGTTTAATGCAAAGAGCATTTGTAGCGTTTTTATTTCACACTGTGAAAAAAGGAAGAGTAAAAATAATCATACTACAGTGAAAACCTTTTAAAAGAGGTTCCACGTGGTTTTGTCAGGCTCATGGAATGTTTGATATTATCATAAAGAAGAGGTCCCATCTAGTGTTTGGTCTGATATTAATATTTGGAGACCCATCGACGAAAAACTGATACATGGATAAGTTAAGCGCAACTTGTTTGGTACGGAGCTGATATTATCATAACGGAGAGGTCCCCTCTAATGTTCCAGGCTGTGTCAGTTATTAAAATTTGGAGAAGAGGTCCCATCGACCAAAGACAGTTTCAAACCACGTCCTATTTTAAAAGTGGAGCAGTTTGTGTGATCTGAAATTAATCCTTGGTGAACACGTCGTGGAACAGTTTCAAACAACGAACTATTTTGTTTTCTTCTTATAATTATTAAAGGAACATGATTTCCTCACTTCTTTTTTCTCCACTTACACTCCTTTTTACTTTTTAATTAATTTTGTTATTTCTCTTTCCTATTCAACCTTTACTCTACATTAATTTCTTTATATTTCATTTTTATATTAGTTCTTTTTCTTTATACTTAATTTTCCAACTTGCCCTCCATTTTTAGTATTTTTTTTCCTTTAATCGAGTAAGAAATTAAGTTTTTTTTCTTTATACTAAAAATGGAGTGTAAGTTGGAAAAATGAAATATAAAGAAAAAGAAATAATATAGAAGTGAAGTAAAAAGGCAAAAAAGAAATAATATAAAAGTGAAGTAAAAAGAAATTAATGTAGGGTAATAATAGAATAGGAAAGAGAAAGAAAAAAATTGATTAAAAAGTATTAAAAATCAAAAGAGAGTGTAAGTGAAGAAAATGGGAGTAGTAAAATCAGCTCCCTTATTAAAAAAGAAAAGAAATGCTAGCAACCTTCTCACTAACCTTCTCCTTTGGACCTTTTCTATTTTTTGCTCAACGTATGTCATTCTCCTTACACTTAAAACAATGTCATTAATATATTGTACAAGCTAACTTTGCTTTCCAAGTTTACCCTTACTAAATGTATTCAATTTATCCATAAAAATTTGACAACTTTCTTACCATTTTATTAAAAAAATTTAACGTCAATTACTTTTTTTTAAAGAAAATATTTGCTTTAAAAAAAGAGAGGAAATGTCCTTTTTTTTCAATTAAAAAAAAGTATAAACTTGATGTTAAAAAAGGGGATTTTTTTTTTTTAATTTTAAAAGAAGAAATTTTCTTAGATAAAAAAAAATTGACGTTAAAAAAAAATGGTAAGAAAGTTGTGAATTTTTTTTGGATAAATTGAATACATTTAATAAGGGTAAACTTGGAAAGCAAAAGTTAGCTTGTATAATATATTAATGACATTGTTAAGTGTAAGGAGAATGACACATGTCAAGCAAAAAAGGGAGAATGTTTGAAAAAGAAGGTTAGAGAGAAGGTTGCTAGCTTTACCCTTAAAAAAATACCCTCTGATGCATTGAGGACAGGGACAATTCGACAGTGGTCTTTATTTGACAATGCTATGGAGCATCTTCAACACGGAAAAAGAAAAATAAACATAATTCTCTACTTTTTCTTTTTTTTTTTGGATAAAAAGGAGGGCGGGGGGACATAATTCTCTACTTCAACAAAATTATTGCAAGCGCACAATCCGCACAAGTAATATAAAAATAAGTAAAATGTCATTCCCACAAAGACTGTAATTTCCTATTAACTATCAATTATGATTAATTCAAAAGTTTATTTGAATAGTTGATTAAGAAGATTGATTGATTTAAGTAAACTAAACCAATTATGAAAAATAGCAATTTAATTAATGATGGAAAATCAAGTTGATGTGACACTAGACCATCCGATTTCACCATAACCAAGTCCACTTAATTCTTATAGTCAATTAACCCTAATTACTACCCATATTGACAATGGGTTTCTCCTAATTTATTCGATATCCCCTCTCGAGCTGAACCAAAAATATTCTTAACTAACAACTCATTCTCTCTCGAGCAACGAATTTAGAAAATCAAGAACCTATTAAGTTCTATGAGAACCTGCAAGAGAACTGCATGAATCACGTTAGTCCCTCTCGGGCACTCATTCAAGACATGCTATTTGTTACAAGAAGCAAATAACAAACATCTCATCTCTGTCTCCGCTTGGATCATCAATTCAATTAAATATTGGTCAGATATCCAAAGCATTAAGAGCAGTAACAAATACTCAACATGGAATAATAATCAGAAATTAATATAACTATAAAAATTAAGTATTCATTGTTAGGCTATATCGTAGCCCTAGCAAGAGAAATTAGTTCATGAGAAAATAAAATATAAACCAGAGCATTATTGTCATAAAACCGATTTGGCCGATGTACTTGATCTTCAGAATGGAAAACCTTTGAAAGCTCCTCAAGTAGTGCAATAGCAAATTCTTGGCTCTCTCTGTGATATATTTGTGGGTGTATGAAAGTTGTATATAGGAAGATGATGATCCATAGAGAGAGCTTAGGGTGACCTTATATAGCATAAAACAACTCAACCCTATTCCAAAAATGTATGGAAAAACTCTCCTAAAGCAAAACAAAATTCCAAACAATTAAGGAAACAAACCAGGAAACAATCCTTCTTTTACTTGGAAACACGTTAGCCAACTTTCACGCACGTTTTAGGGTCGTTCCACTTCCTAGAAAATTCTGGAAAAATATGAGTAACGTAGCTTGATCTCTAAGCTTTCTAAGCATATATTAACGCCACTAGGAAAAATCGGAAATGAAATGCGTCGAATGGGAACAATACGTTGAACGTACTTTGGGCTTCTGTGTGTGTCCTCTGAGTTCTGGGACTTTTCATTGACTGTGGCCTAGCTGATCGGAAAGCAGCTGTTTTTGAAAAGTCCATGTGGTCTTTTGGTTAATATATTATTAGAGTATCTGTTTTAGAAACAACCTTGTACTTAATAAGATTCTCAGAGTATCTATAAGCTTTGTTTATTGTTGTGGAGGACTTCTTTTTTGGAGTACCTGTAGTTTACTGTGATTCTCAATAAGATTTTCTTTTGTAAAATCTGGTATAAGGAATTCTGTATTCCGTTGTATTAACATACAATATGTGCAGGTACATATATAGGGATTGATACAGCAATATAGATCCCACAATTATGCAATTAGCCAAACTAGGACCCTAAACACCAAGTCACGCTATCTCTAAACTAGGAAAGAATCAATTACAATATTCCCAAATATCAATTGGAATAAACCCATATCTCAACACTCCCCCTCAAGTTGGTGAGTGGATATTGTACACTCCCAACTTGCCAAGTAGTGTTCCAAAGGAAGCCTTTCCTAATGGTTTTGTGAAGAGGTTTGCCACTTGCAAATTTGTTGGTGTGTAGGTAGTGGAAACCAATCCTGATGTAATATTTTGTCGCACCAAATGACAATCCAGGTCTGTATGTTTTGTCCGTTCATGAAAAACAGGGTTTTTGGCAATGTGTAATGCTGACTGGTTATCGCAGTGTAGTGTCGCAGGTTCCGAATGCCGAATGCCTAAGTCATTGAGAATATATCTCAGCCATGTTAACTCGCAACATGTATCCGCCATGGCACGGTACTCTGCTTCTGCAGACGAATGTGCAATGGTGTTTTGTTTCTTTGATTTCCACGAGATCAGAGAGTTTCCAAGAAAGGTACAGTATCCTGTCACAGATCGTCTTGTGGTGGGACAACTCCCCCAATCAGAGTCAGAAAAGGCCTTGAGCTTCAAATCATTATGAGCTGCAAAAAAAATCCCTTGGCCTGGAAAAGACTTTAGGTAACGTAAAAATCGTAGTGCTGCATCTAGATGCGGCTGATAGGGTTGATGCATGAAGCAGCTCAGGATGTGAACAAAAAAAGCAATGTCAGGCCGGGTTACCGTAAGGTATATAAGTCGGCCAACTAATCGACTGTACTTGGTGGCATCTTTCAGCGGCTTGCCTTCATCAGGCCTAAGTCTCAGTGTTTGTTCCATGGGAAAAGGTGAAGGTCGGGCACCTAGCAACCCGGCATCATCCAGTATCTCCAGTGCATATTTCCGCTGTGAAATGAAAATTCCCTTATTTGATCGTGCAACTTCGATACCCAAGAAGTATTTGAGAGGTCCCAAATCCTTGATGCGAAAGCGAACATTGAGGAAGTCTTTGATTGACTGGATAGCTTTAGGATCATCCCCTGTAATCACAATATCATCCACATAGATCAATAGTGCAGTAAATGAATTATTTTGAGACCTTGTGAATAAGGAGTAATCAGCTAGGGACTAAACAAAACCAGCTGTACGTAGGGCTGTAGTAAACTTTGCAAACCAATTACGTGAAGCTTGTTTCAGGCTATACATAGATTTGTGTAGCCGATACACCAAATTCTCCCCCTGTCGGCGAAAACCAGGCAGGAGAGTCATGTAAACCTCTTCGTTCAAATCACCATGGAGGAAGGCGTTTTGAACGTCGAGCTGATGTAAGGGCCAATTACGGATGGCGGCAAGAGCAAGAAGACATCAAAATGTAACCAGCTTGGTAGTGGGAGAAAAGGTCTCGGTATAGTCGAGGCCTTCCTATTGAGTGTAGCCTTTGGCGACAAGTCGCACTTTGTAGCGTTCGACAGAGCCGTTAGAGTGATATTTCACCTTATAGACCCATTTGCAGCCAATGGGGTGCTTTCCTGCATGTAAAGAGGTAAGAGACCATGTGTGATTTTGCTCAAGTGCTTGGAGTTCTTTTGCCATGGCATCACACCAAAGAGGGTCAGTGGAAGCCTGGGCATAGGTAGTGGGCTCTATGATTTTGGAGATTGCTGCAACAAAGGTGCGGTGAGTAGAAGACAAGTGATCATAAGTGAGAAAATTGGACAATGGATACCTGGAACCCTTACTCGATGTGGGGGTAGAAGAAGACTGAGCAGGGGAAGGTGACATGGTAGCATTGCAGTGAAAGTCACGTAGAAGGATGGAAGGTTGAGGAATACGATGAGAGCGACGAAGAGGAGGTGGAGAAGAAGGAGATGGCAGCAATGAAGTAGGAGGAGAGGGCATAATGATACTATTTTGATCATGAGTCGTGGTAGGGAATGATGGTGAAGGAAGTGTGGTGTCGTGAGGGGATTGAGAAAAAGAAGGGTCAGTGAGATCATTTGGGGTGGTGTGTGGGTTATCTGGAGAAGGTGGAATAGGTGGGTCGAAAGGTGGATTAGGTGAGTCAGAAGGTTGTGTGGATATGGGTGGCTCATTATCTAGATAAGGTGGAATAGGTGGGTCAGAAGGTTGTGTGGGTATGGGTGGCTCATTATTGGCAGAAAGTGGAGTGGGCCAGGAAAGAGGCATATGAGGGCCCGTATGTGGGCTGAAAGTGGAAGGAGAGGTAGGGAGGATGGGTATGGTGGTTGTGTGTGGAACATCAAAAGGAAAAATATTTTCATAAAAAATAACATCGCGGCTGTTGAAGAATTTTTTAGTGTCAAGGTCATAAAGACGATACACCTTTCGCCCAAAAGGATAGCCAACGAAGATGCATTTGCGAGCTCGTGGATCAAATTTATTGGTAGGTTGAAGGTTAATGGTGTAACTAGACAACCGAAGACGTGAAGGTGACGATATGGTGGTGGATGGCCAAAAAGAAGTTCGTAAGGGGTTTTATCAGTCAAAATGGTTGTAGGTAAGCGGTTAATGAGATAAGCTACGGTGAGAACACACTCCCCCCAAAATTTGGAAGGGAGGTGTGCATGAAAGCGTAGGGCACGAGCCATTTCCAAGAGATGTCGGTGTTTTCGTTCGACAACACCGTTTTGCTGGGGTGTGTAAGTACAAGTGTGTTGATAGAGAACACCAAGATCTACAAAGAAAGTTTGAAGCGAGGAAAACTCTGCACCATTGTCCACACGGATAGCTTTTATTTGTTCATTAAATTGTGTGGACACAAAGGAATAAAAAGATGTTTCAGATTTCAGTTTCATCAAATAAATCCATGTGGTACGAGAGAATCATCAACAATAGTTAAAAAATATTGGGCAGCAGAGTGAGAAGCAATCTTATGTGGACCCCAGATGTCACAATGAATTAAATCAAAAGGTACAATACTTTTTATTGAACTGGAAGGAAAAGGTAGCCTAGTTTGTTTGGCCAAAGGACAAAATCATAAATATGCGTAGGAAGTGAAATATCAAAAAAATGTTTAGAAAAAGAGCGAAGTTTGGCATTGGAAGGGTGTCCTAATCAGAGATGCCAGAGGTTGTGTGAAGTACACACATGATATGTGGAGGAAGAATGGAGCTGCGGAGCAAGGCGTTGTGGATCGAAATAGTACAGGTTTCCATGCCTCTTACCCAACCCAATCATCTTCTTCGTGCGCAAGTCCTGTATATAACAGAAAGTGGGAAAAAAACAAACACAACAATTTAGTGATGCAGTAAGGCGAGGGACTGACAATAAATTAACATTGAAAGAGGGGACGCATAAGACATCGGTTAGACGAAAAATATCATCAAAGTTAACAGTGCCTATATATGTGATGGGTGCTTTTTCCCCTGTGGGTAATCCTAATGGTGGAAGATGTGTGGGTGAATTTTCAATTAGGAGTGCATGAGAATTGGTGATATGGTCTGTGGCACCACTATCTATAACCCAGGCATGCGATAAATAAGAATTAGTTTCGGAACTGAGGCAAAAAGGATAATTCAGACCTGCAAAATTCGCTTGGGATTGGGAAATTTCCTCCTTACCAACAGTACCAAGAATTTGCTGACATTGCTCGAGTGTGAGATGAGGAGCTATGGTCTGTAGGTGATGAATCTGTGCATCTGGACTCTGAACATTATGCACATTGGTATGTTGTTGATTGCTCCCATGAGATGAGCGGTTTTGTGAAGGGCGACTGTTGTCATCAAGTTTGGGTACCACCTCCTTGCCGTGCCACTTGTGCCCTGGAGGAAAACCTTTGTGAAAAAAACAAGTATCGATTGTATGAGTTTTACCATTGCAATAAGTGCATTGTTTCAGCTCTCTAGGATTTCCACGAGGTTGAAAGGATGGGCCGATATTGGATGATGAAGGCGCATTAGTTTGCGCAAATCTCTCTTCAAGGTCTGCCCAAATTTCGTGGGCTGAGTCGGTGTAGATCACATTGTTCGCAAGATTCGGTTCCAGTGAGTTCAAGATCCATGATAAGACCATGTCGTTACAACGCCGCCACCTATCAAATTCCGGCTTCGCTTTCAACGACTTCTTGATTGAACCATCGAGGAAGCCTATCTTGTTCTTTGCGCTCAAGGCTAGTCGAAACTGGTGGCTCCAAGTGCTATAGTTATCTCCGGATAATGGCTTGCCGACCAAGACCATTCCAGGATGGTCAGATTGGTGAATATAATATGGGTGATCAAGGTTTGAAAATTCCCCATCTGTGGAGGATTTCGAGTTGTCGTTGTCTTTAGCCATGGTAGGCTATAAGGTGTTGAGCGGAAGTACAGAGCCCATGTGAAACTTTAGGGCCAATTGGCAATGGGGGGAGTAGCCCAACTTCTTATAAGTCCTTGTTAGGTTTCTTAACTTTCCAATGTGGGACTTTTACCTTCACATTCTCACACTCCCTTGCACGTGTGTCGAATTTTCAAGCATAACACGTGGACAACACATTTTGGGTGACGTAGAGCACGTGTGGCCATTGGGCTTTCACACATGGGCAACCTGCTCTGATACCATGTAAAATATGGTATAAGGAATTCTGTATTCCGTTGTATTAACATACAATATGTGCAGGTACATATATAGGGATTGATACAGCAATATAGATCCCACAATTATGCAGTTAGCCAAACTAGGACCATAAACACCAGGTCAAGCTATCTCTAAACTAGGAAAGAATCAATTACAATATTCCCAAATATCAATTGGAATAAACCCATATCTCAACATCTTTCTCCATGAAACAAAAACATACTGAATCACTTTGATTGCATAAAGGTTAGTGCCTTTGGCAAACCTGCACTTCGGTTATACTTTCAGAAATTTTGGTTTAATGCAAGAGCATTTGTAGCGTTTTTATTTCTCACTGTGAAAAAAGGTAGAGTAAATAATCATACAACAGTCAAAACCTTTTAAAGGAGGTTCCACGTGGTTTTGTCAGGCTCATGGAATGTTCGATATTATCATAAAGAAGAGGTCCCATCTAGTGGTTGGTCTGATATTAAAATTTGGAGACCCATCGACCAAAAACTGATACATGGCTAAGTTAAGCGCAACTTGTTGGGTACGGAGCTGATATTATCACAAAGGAGAGGTCCCCTCTAATGTTCCAAGGTTGTGTCAGTTATTAAAATTTGGAGAAGAGGTCCCATCGACCAAAAACAGTTTCAAACCACGTCCTATTTTAAAAGTGGAGCAGTTTGTGTGATCTGAAATTAATCCTGGGTGAACACATCGTGGAACAATTTCAAACCACGAACTATTTTGTTTGAAGACATCGTGGAACAGTTTGGGAGACATCCTGGAACAGTTTCAAACCACGAACTATTTTGTTTTATTCTTATAATTATTAAAGGAACATGATTTCCTCACTTCTTTTTTCTCCACTTACAATCCTTTTTACTTTTTAATTAATTTTGTTATTTCTCTTTCCTATTCTACCTTTATTCTACATTAATTTTTTTATATTTCATTTTTATTTTAGTTCTTTTTCTTTATACTTAATTTTCCAACTTGCACTCAATTTTCAGTATTTTTTTTTCCTTTAATCGAGTAAGAAATTAAGTTTTTTTTTAATTTATACTAAAAATGGAGTGTAAGTTGGAAAAATAAAATATAAAGAAAAAGAAATAATATAGAAGTGAAGTAAAAAGGCAAAAAAGAAATAATTTAAAAGTGATGTAAAAAGAAATTAATGTAGGGTAAGGAAAATAATGGGGATGAAACTGAAAATAATGACACTAGGGGTGGGCACGGTTCTGGTTGGACCAATTTAAAAAGAGAGTGTAAGTGGAGAAAAGATGAGTGGGAAAATCAGCTCCTTTATTAAAAAGATACCCTTTTTGACAGTTGGTTTCTCCTAATTCATTCGATATCCCCTCTCGAGCTCAACCAAAAGTATTCTTAATTAACAACCCATTCTTTCTCGAGCAACAAATTTAGAAAATCAAGAAACTATTACGTTCTATGAGAACCTGCAAGAAAATCGCATGAGTCATGTTAGTCCCTCTCGGGCACTCATTCAAGACATGCTATTTGTTACAAGAAGCAAATATCAAACATCTTCTCTCGGTCTCTGCTTGGATCACCAATTGAATTAAATATTGGCCAGATATTCAAAGCATTAAGAACAGTAACAAATACTCAATATGGAATAGTAATCAGAAATTAATATAACTATAAAAATTAAGTATTCATGGTTAGGCTACATCGTAGCCCTAGCAAGAGAAATTAGTTAATGTGAAAAGAAAATATAAACAAAAGCATTATTGTCATAAAACCAATTTGGCCGATGGACTTGATCTTAAGAATCTCCATAGGAACACCTTTGAAAGCTCCTCAAGTAGTGCAACAGCAAATTCTTGGCTCTCTCTGTGATATATTTGTGGGTGTATGAAAGTTGTATATGGGAAGATAATGATCAATAGAGAGAGCTTAAGGTGACCTTATGTAACGTAAAGCAACTAAACCCTACTCCAAAAAGGTCTGGAAAAACTCTCCTAAAGCAAAACAAAATCCCAAACAATTAAGGAAACAAACTAGGAAAGAATCCTTCTTTGACTTGGAAACACGTCAGCCAACTTTCATGCACGTTTTAGGGTCGTTCCACTTCCTAGAAAATTCTGGAAAAATATGAGACTTTAACACAATGATCTTCAATGTCTTAGCTTTCTTCTCCAATTGGCGTTGCGCTAAAATTCTTTCGAAAAGTTGATTTTCAGTCGAAATCCTTCCAAGAGCATAGAATCGTTGAAAATATTGGAAGTAAGGTAATAATACTCTTTTTATTAAAAATCAACCTTGAACTTTTTAACTGTCTTAATTTTAGTCCTCAAACTTTCAAATTAATAAATATGACCTCCAATATTTTGGTTCACACATAAGTTTGGTCCGTATCATCATTTGGAAATGTGCAGACAACGCCGGTGACCTCCCCACTACAAAAAAAGTGGCAACAATCACCATTATTTGGTGACATTTGCTAGGGTGACTAAAGCCTTTAGTCACCTTAGCAAATGTCATCAAATGTCACCATATAATGGTGACTGTTGCTACTTTTTCTTTTGTTTTTGGTAGTGCTCCCTTGATCACCAAACTATATATTGCCACTAATGGAAGGTCAAGACTACGACCCCTACTCCTTCCTAGTTACTTTGGCAATGCGATGTTCACAACTACGCCAATTACTGTCGCGAGGGATTTCCAATCAAAATGAACATGGTACGGAGAAAAACACATTCATGATCTTTTGGTTCATATGGATGATCAAGGTTTTAAAACCCAAGGCGTTGAGGCGAGACACTTTTGATCCCGCAAGGTGAAGTGCAACCCTTTTGAACTTCCATTCTTTTAATTAAAAATATAAAATTATATAAAATAATTATAAATGAGTACTAATTGTCTTCTAAGCATAATAATTAAGTATTCTAGGTGGACAATTTAGGGTGCTGGAGATATGATTTCTAGTTCAGCACAGTTCTATTGGGTGGGAGGGGCATAAACAGTTACCGAATGTTTACCCCAAATCTCACAGAGCCTTAAAAATAGGCCCAAAATTGTGTTAAATTGCGAGCGTGCCACTATTATTAGTGTAAAACCCTAATAGATCTTAATGAATTAAAATAACTTATGCACCAAGAAACCTGACTTCCGATCAAACAATTGTGCTTGGAATGGGGAATTAGTTCAATATGGATTCTTTTCACTACAAGAAAAAACCTTTTTCGCGACCAAATTCCCTGCGACCAACCAAATTTTGGTCGCCAAAAGAAGCTTATGGGCGACAAAACTATGCAATTTGGTCGCTAAAGGTTTCGTTAACTATAAGACTTTAGCTAACAGAATGGCGACCAACTATTATTCAAAGACAACCAAAATTTTTTGTGGCCAGCTGACAATTTGGCAACCAAACATGTGTTTGGTCGCCATTTTTTGAAATGGTGCGCATGGGAAAATGAAAAATTAGGGGCAACGAAAATATTTGGTCGCCAAATTTACTAGAATGGTCTCGAAAAGAAAACTCGCGCCTAAATATTTCATGGGGTTTGCGACCAATATATTTTCGCCGCCAATAAGAGGTTTTACGAATTGAAATTTTAAAAACTACGTCGTTTTTACTGACCCTGCTGTTTGGCCACCAAACGTTTTTGTGGCTGATTCTTGAGACTTAAATTTTTTTGGGAGTTTCACTAAAACACCCAAAATGGAGGTTGAAATTATAAAAAAACCCAACACCCAAAACACTTTATAAACACACCCAAAACCCATCATTACATACACTCAAAACCCATTTATAAACACACCCAAAAAGTTGACTTTGGGGTTGATTTTGGGTGTGTTTCTATGTTTAAATAGTGCTTGGGTTTTTTTATAAATACATGTGTAGGATTGGGTTTATTTATAAATTTGTAAATTTTTTTTAAAAAAATCTCCTTTTCGAACCCTTACTTCCCCAATTCACTTCTCTATACCTCCTCTCTGCATCGCGCACACCACCGTTACTTCGGCGTCGGCATAACAATTGTCCACCGACGACGACTAGTCATATAGAAACTCTCTTCCCCTATGATTTCTCTTGGCATGAGTTACTTATTTCCCCCTCTCTCTGCCCCTAATTTTCTAGAATCTCCTCATCCACTTGCTTCTTTTGCTGCCTCTCTTCAGGTATGGACACCATCTCTCTGACCCTAATTTTCTAGAATCTCCAGAATCTCCTCAGCCACTTCCTTCTTCTATTGCCTCTCTTTAGGTATGAATGCCAGTTTCTTTTAATTTTTTAGTTTTGAGTTTTGGGTTTGCCATATTTTGATCTGGCACTTACAAATGAACCCTGATTCTGTTATCTCTCTCACGCACATGAGAAATTCATTGTTTGTTAAAAAATGACGGTGAGATTTCTATTCCAGAATCAAGAAAATATGCTACTTCTATGAATGCATGATAAAATATGGGAATTGGCCTTGCCGAAAAGAGGGAAACTCCTTGTCTTCTTAAAGTTTTGTTCTTGATACCACACATGTTGATTCTATATAGAAAGTTGATATGTAATATGTGCTTATTCCTTCATGTCTAACCTTGAGTCTGTTGCTTGGCATTATGTTGAAAGCTGAATATATGCTCTACTAATTTTGACAGAAGATGTAAGGCTATGTGGTTTTATGTTGGGGCTTTACCTTGGATATTTGCCCCTTTTATGATTGCTTTCATTATGATGGTTTGGATTAATAAGCAAAAAAATAATCTTGTTTTTATACTGTTATGTTTTTATGTTTTCGATTGTGATGTTCATTGAAATTAAGGGCAGAGGTTTAGACTATTTTGAGTCTGGAGACTAATTTGGTCTCAACCTCTCCCAAAATTAAGTCTTTTGCTATGTTTTTCTTTTGTAAAATAAATTATCTAGCTGCTTCAATTTTTTTTGTACTTTTTAAATGATTATAGTGTTCTACACTTGAAAATCATATGTACATTGCTTGTTCTCTAGTGGGATCCTTTTTGTTTTCTCAATTAACTTAAATGAGAGGATTTCTTTGCTAGTCAGCAATTTTAGAAGAGTATGTTCGTTAAGTAACATTCTTGGAGAAGTTTTTGGTTAATTTTGAGTCTCCAGGATTATGAGAAACTGATGGGTCTTCTTAGGGATTTGGTTTGCAGCAGGCCATGGTATTGGCAAAGATTAGGAAAATTAACTGATTTGTACTATTTTTGCTGTTTTTTTAAATTTTATGGTGTCTAACAGAGTTTGTTTTATGTTTTGCCTTAGGTTTCAGTTTGAAATACTTGCTTAAGAGGCTATATTCTGTCAAGAGGTATGGATAGCTAAAAATCTTGCTTTTTGGTTAAGAGGTATATTTGCTTCAAAATATTGTTATCATATATTATCCATATGAAACTGTTTGCTACTATCTATTTGTATTCTCATGGCTATGAAATTTCAGTTTGCAATGAATGCATCAATCTAAAAGGTTAGTTTTGTGTAGAAATTGAATGTAAGTAAATTGTATTGCATACCTCTGTGGTGTCTCTGGTTGATTAGTCTGTGTTGCATATCTATACTAAGGCCAGCTCCATGAACAAACTGTGTTCTGGATTTGGCCCCAATTTGGGGCCATATCTATTAAAAGTTTAATTTGAACTTATTCAGTGGTCCAAATAAATTTCTAATTCAGGGACCAAATTAGTTTAACTCAAATAAAATGGAAAAACAACTAAAAGGTAGAGTAACTCAGCAACATCATTTCTCAGTGTTCATTCCAACCTCAAATTACCTTTTTATACAACTTCAGTCCTCATTCAACATGATTTATTTTGACACATAGATTGAGGATTTACCGGTTCAACCTTGAAAGTATCTATACATATTGTATCCCCATTATAAAATATTTTTTTATGGAGCAATGTTTTAATTCTAATTAAGTCTGTTGTTGTTCAAGAGAGTTTTTCTGATGTTGATCCTATGAGCATGTGTTAATTTGCTTGCTGAGTATGATGGAGGAGATAAAATAAGAGTTCTCCTGTTTTGTGATGAATTTCATATGGAATGCATTGACAAATGGCTAAAAGAAAAGCAAGGGTACATTCATTACTTCTGTGATACTTATCCTAGTTTACCAAGTGCTTGCTTTTGATGAATTATATTCCTATATATGACGATATCTTATATTCTCCATATGCTACAGTCTTTAGATTAGCTGACATGAATTAATTTTCCAATTTCATTGCCTGATTTTTTTTTTCTTCCAGCTATTTGCATTCGACTTGAAATTTCCCTAAGAAACTCCTTGATCAGCCTCTGTCAATAATTCTTTCATTGATTATATATTGTTCTCTCATTTTTCTGGAGTTAACTTGATTGAGTTGTCATGCACTGCCTGAAATTCTGGATATCATGTGAGTTATAAGTTGCAAATGAAATTGAGACGAAAAACAATGAACTCTATTTTTATAAGAAAATTAGTCTACTTTGAGTTTAAGTTTGTTTTTTCTTGATACGTAAGTAGGAGATTTTAAATTGGGCTTGTTTGTGCTTTTGTGCATCTGCATATATAGCAATAAAAGGAAAGTGATGGTTCCAATAGAGCAGATCAAAGATGTACAACATTAATACCAATTTGTCTTTTGTGTTACTCTGTATATACATATTTGACATTGCTTTATTTTGTTTCTTTTGTAAAGGCAGATGATGAATGAGTTTGAGAAGCTGAAGCAACAATTGGTAGAGTATGAGTTCATGTCACGGTACATATCCCACAAGCTTGGTCTCTACTCTTTATGTGGAGAAAATGAATGCATAACTTGGGGTTACAAAGGGAAAGAAAATTCGGCGGTCTCTAGTTTTTTTTTTTTTTTTTTTTTTTTTTTTTTTTTTTTTTTTTTTTTTTTTTTTTTTTTGGTGACCTGGACTCTAGTCTTTGAGTGTTCTTCATTCATTTATGCTTCTAGTTTTTGGATATAGGGTACGAAATTTATGTGTACTTAAATGACTAGCATGCTTGTGTGCCTCAGAATGTTTACAACTTTATTTATATCATTTTCAATTGATATTGCTTCCCTAAATTTGTTGTTTTCTGAAATTACAATATGTTTATTTAATGTTTTTGAGAAACTCTCCATTCTTTTTAATTGACAAAAAAATAAAAATAAAAAAACACATTTTAGCGACGAAAGAAGTAGCTTCAGCGACGAAATCTCTTAGACCTATTGGCGACGAACATTACATTTGGTCGCCCAATCCCTTTTAAGTACGTGCCAATTTTTGGTCTTTTCGCGGGAGGCTACCTTCATAGGCGACCAATTGAAGTCTATTAGGCGACGAAACCATTTGGTCGCTTAAATAATTTGGCGACGAAAATTAGCTTTGGTCGCTTGGTACTTTTAGCCACGAGGCTAAGGCGACGACCTTAGCGACGAAATAATTTGGTCGCCAAATTGTTTTGGCGACGGAATTTGACCTTTTAGCGACGAAAAGTGGTGGTCGCCAAAAGGGTTTTTCCTTGTAGTGTTTCTATGCTTCAAGACAAAAGAGGACTTTATTATTTCTCTAATACAAAGCTAAGAGATAAAAAAAAATAGAAACAAGTAAACAATGTGTCAGATCGATCATATCTGGTGAGAACTAAGACTGCTACCACCTTAAGTTGCCTCAAAGCCATTGGAATGAGAGTATTTTTGCTCATCACTTTGACCCAAGGTGTACTATAACTACCCTTCTCAACACCTGACACGTGTCTATGGGCATAACCTTTGTTCCACAAATACAAAACAAAGAGTTAACTATGGTTATGCACATGGACACATGTCAAGTGTTGAAAAGTATGGTGAGGGTACACTTTGGGTTAAAGTGGTGAGCAAAAATATTTCCCTACTGGAATAGCCTTAAAATGTCATGAAGATTAGGTAACAATCGAGCAGAAGCGCCACTAACGGGCAATTGAAGATTGTTTCCCCCTTTTTTTAGACTTATCTTTGACCGTGTGTGATTATCAATTAGGAGCATCCACAATGGTTGTTCAATAGTTCAATGCATTAGTTCAATAAATTGATTTTTTTGGCATTTATTGAATTGAATTGCAATTTTACTTGCAATGGTACAACTCAATTGCTTTATATCAATAGTTATATCTACTTACACGTTTTTTTTACATACTTAAATAAAATAACGGGATAAATTTAAGGCTTAAGTGCTACAGTGTCCCCTGGAACATTGGTCAATTCTCACTAAACCACCTTAAAGTTAAAGTGACCCACTTACTATTTTACTAAACTAAATGCCATGAGTGAATTTTTTTTTAAAAATTCCAAGTGTGAGCTCCAAATCATCCAATCCCACCTCATGAATCATCTCTCCAATCCACGGATTTACCTATGGGATCTCACTGTCAAGCAAGTTTTGGTGAGCAACAACTTGCTTTACAAGATTGAAAGTGGGAAAGGCTGGCATTGCTGACAGAGAATGAGCAAATCTCTAGAAGCAAACCCATTGCCCAGAATCAACAGTGGAAGTATTAGACTCATCACATTTGGGAATGGTAGCAGCTGGAAAATGGAGTTGGTGACAGGTCGGGCTAGCTGGATTAGAGACAGCATAAAATTTGTAATCGAAAGAGGCCATGGATTGATTAGCAATTGGGTTGGGGTTTCTAGAGGTTAGGGATGAGAGCGGTGGGGTTACAGGGGCACTATTGGAAATTCGCAAAGAAGGGAGAGACGAAGGAATTGCAAAGGGCAAATAGCGACTGGGATTGGATGAATTAGTGCTGGGATCGAAACGCTTGGGCTTGGATAGGAACACGACGAAGGACTAGCTTGGTACGATAGGATTGGACTAGGATTTAGAGAAGAGTAAGGGTGAATCATGGTTGATGTGCCTAGTGTATCAATTTGGGTTGGCTTCAATCCCTGTACAACAACATCACCATCACATTATTTGTAACAACCCGAATCTTAAATCATTTTTAATTATAAATTTATTCAAGTAAAAGACGAAAATACCCCGTGAATATTATATTAGGTTTAAAGTTGACTTTTTGACCGGGAAATAATTTGGGATTTTCGATTAGATTGTTGTGTAGATCACATCGATATGAGTCCGTAGACACGTAGTGGGTCCAAATCCGAGTAGTATCGAGAAAGATACGATCAAAATACTAAAAAAAGGCAAAACCGTAATTTTCCCAAAAATTAGATTTTTATTCCTCTCCCTCTCTCTTTCTCTCATTGCGATTGAACCCCCCCCCCCCCCCCCCCATGCCCTCCCTCTCTCCGCAAAATGCTCGGCCTAGCTTCGCCGTCACACGCCGACCTTCTCCGTTTGACAGAAATTTCGTCGGCTTCGTTCTCCGAGTTCATGCCTTGTTTGATTAGTGTGCAACTGCTTATGATGTGTGGGAGGTCGCTCAGAAGACCTATATTGTGACTCATAATAGTTCTCGGTTGTTTCAACTTCGAGGGCAGTCCATCCTTACCTCTCAAAATGGTGACTTTGTGAAAGTATTTTATGAAAAACTCCACGCCATCTGGCAGGAGATTGATTATCTACGTCCTAACTCCTGATGATGTGGCCCTTTGTAAAAAAGAAATTGATGTTGATTGAGTATATGATTTTCTTAGAGGGCTTGATCTATAGTATGATGGTGTCTATAGCTGAATCCTTGCTCTCAATCTTGTTCCATCTCCGTTGGAAGCTTATACCATGATGATGGAGGAGGACACTCGTCAATTTACTATGCTTGGAGGAGTTGCAGCCCTCAAAGTGGATTCTGCCCGCTCACGACCTATCACTCGTCATGACTCAACTGGTCGTCCGTCTACCTAGTCGTCCTAGGCCTCTTCTGGGTCTCCTTCTGCTAGTTATGCCAGTGCCAAATTTAGTTCCCTTTAAGGACCTCGTAAGTGCAGTCATTGTGCTGGTGATCATTATTCCGAGAAGTGTTTTAAGGATCATGGTTACTCTAATTGGTTTGCTGACTATAAATCTCGTATGTATGGCCCTAAAGCTGCTTGTACTATGACCCAAGGAGAGACAGATTTACCAACTCCATCTGCCCATTTGTGTGCCTTTAATGCTCTTCCAGGTATTGGCTCTAATACTTGGATAATTAAAACTGATGCTTCTAACCATATAACTTGTGATAATAAATTGTTTAATGAGTTATCTAGTAATCCCCGTGACCCTTACATAACTAGTGCTAATGGCTTACCCTAAACTTGTTATCTTTTGGTCATTTATTTAGTACACTTCATGCTTTTTTTGTTTTCTATTCTACTGATTGTCTCAAGACTCACGAGATGATGGACATGGTAAACGAATAAGGGGGGGTTATACTACTTGACTTTACCGACTGCAATAGTTCGTGATCGTGTTACTAATAAAGTTCAGAGTGGCAGTATCAAAGACAAACAACAAATTTGGTTGTGGCATCGTCGCTTAGGAGACTCGTTATTTGGTTATCTTAAGTATATGTTTCCGTCATTATTTTTTTCTTGTAATGAGTCTACCTTTTAATGTGAGACTTGTGTATTGGCCAAGAGCCATCGTACTGTTTTTCCCTTAAGTAATAATAAAGCTACCAAACCTTTTGATTTAGTGCATTATGATATATGGGGTCCGGCTCGTGTTATTTCGAATGAATTCCTTTGGTTCATCACATTTATTGATGATTTTATCATACTCACTTGGGTTTTCTTGCTAAAAAATAAAAAAGATGTTGCTTCCATCCTTCTTGAATTTTGTACTATGGTGTCTATTCAGTTTCAGGCTCGGGTCAAAGTATTCTGGATTGATTAACGGGGGTGAATATGTGAATAATACTTCAGAGTGTTTCTTCCGTGCTCATAGTATCATTCATCAAACAACCACCCCTTTTACCCTCAGCAAAATGGTGTGTCTGAAAGGAAGAACCGACAATTGCTTGAAGTTGCTCGCTCACTCATATTGGATATGTCTATTCACCATTATGTTTGGGGACATGTTGTTATGTCTGTTGCTTATTTGATCAACCATAATAGTCGTGTTCATGACTTCGACACTTTTGTTGATGTGCTTGGTGACCATGTGCTTCTTTTTGTTTTCTGTTTTGTGCAGGGAATCAAATTGAATCAATCTATCATCAATTCTCATGGGATGACCTTGCACTTACATATGTTATACTACCCAACAGTTCATGCACTTGCGAGTATCACAAGTTGAGAATGCAGCTGAATCAATTTTGGCACAGCTGAATCGACATCACAAGTTTTTGGCGCCAGGGATCAAACCCAGGTCACCCCCATGACAGGCGGGAATACTTAACATAATACTACAACGACTAGTTCTGTTGTCGGGACTTGAGCCCGAGTCTTTCGGTTGAGAGCCGAATTTCTTGAAAACCAAACTTTAAAATGTAAAACAATGTTACCAAGAGGTGTGATAACAAGTAGAAAAAGTGGTGGCACACAAATGATGCTACAAGCATTTAACTCGATTGCATTGAGCGTATACAACAAGCATTTAAACCTCTAGGCATTCCTCGTAGGAGGAGTTGTGTCTTTTGAGGGTTTAACAGATATGATACCCACAAACGTTTTACTGACTCTGCAAAACAAAGTGGTTAGAAAACTAATTAAATTTTGTTAGTCCTTGGGGGGAATAAAAAACAAGACTCAAAACAATCTTTTTGAACATTTTCCAAAGAGAAATGACTCATGCACATTACTCAAAAGTTTTAACAATAAAAACTCATTTTTAGACATCATTCACAAGGCGGCAAAGTTCAAAACACAACATGCTCAAAGTGTAGTAGTGTGATAGTGAAATGCAACCCATTCCCCAATCTCAATTTTCACATGATTTCGAAAGTCATACAAAGCACAAATGCAACTTCAAATTTCATCAAAGTTGTCTGCTCACAAATGAATCACTCAGAAAAGGGTTACAATGCATCACTCAGTTATAAAAATGAGATTAGAGTTAAACCATAAGGGACTTAACTCCCAATAGAAAGATGAAGAACTTGCATTACTATGATCTCAAGAAGGATGTCAAACACTTAAAAGTAGGTGCAATTCAACCACATGACCTTTAGGATCAATTTAGGACTTTAACATAGGTTGTAATTGGGCCAAGGTGTAAGGTGAGTGAGAAATGAAAGGTATGGATAATACAAAACCCAAGGAACTCATACTGTAAGAGCATAAAACAATGGTTTCCAAGACTTCGAATCATAATGATTAGATTTTTTTTTATATGATCAATTAGATCATAAAGCCTTATTCCTCCATTTATATTGATTCACACTGCTTTCTTTTCAATCAACTGACTTTTAACCACAACTTTTCTCTTTTCCTTCACCATGTTGAAGGAAAATGTGAATCTCCCAACATAATTTCACCACCACTAATTAATTAATAGGGTTTTATTATTTTAGGTTTGACCCATTCGAGACGCAAGTCTCTTAATTACAATCCCTTGCTACAAGAGAAAACCCTTTGATTCCATCATAAAGAAACAGAACGTGTGTGTTTGATTTTGCGGCTGCTCCCAAGTCCAACCTCAGGGTGCCTACGTATCCCCTGCGGGAATCAAGCCACTCGCAGTTCAAAGATTCGCCATGAATAGATGACTCATTGCAAAAGGAGGAATTTGATTGAGGAGTGTTTGAATGAATTTAGCTAAATAAACCAAGGATTCGATATGAAATTGTGTTTGGGATGGTTGCATCTAGATTGAATCTCTAGATTGCCTACGTACCCTTTCAAAGGGATCAAACCAACATAGTTCGGAGATTTGGAAATTAATGAGTAAGTGTGGCCCAATAATTTAGAATTTGTGTCTTTGAGACAATTTAGGGATTTTCATAGGTAGATGACCGATGGAAAAAAAATTGGAAATTAATGGGTAAGTATAGCCCACTAATTGAGAATTTGTGTTTGAGATATTTGAATTTAATCTCATTGGAATTTTCATGGGTAGATGACCCATGAGAGAAATTGGAAATTAATGGGTGAGTGTAGCCCACTAATTAAGAATTTGTGTTTGAGATATTTGAATTGAAATTTGCATGGGTAGATGACCCATGAAAAATTGGATGGTTTTGTACCATTTTTCTTGTTGCCAATGTCCAAGAAAAATATTGAGTAATTTCAATTATCTCATTAATTTTTCCTTAAGATTGACAATTGCACTTGGGAAGGTGTTTTGGTAAAATTTGGTGAAGATAGACTAGGGATTTAAATTTGGTTGCGGTTGCGTCTATTGAATTGGATTTTTAATGGACAATTCCATTGGGCTGGAGATTTGTAACAGAATGAGCCCACCGAATCTTGAGAGGCGAGATTGCAGACGTCGGGTCTCGAGACATTTGTTTTCACTTGGTAGCCCAATATTTTACAAGGCATAACTTAGACTTTATGTTGACTTCCGGACTTGTTGCATGGTCTTTGTGACTTTGTACAACAAACCCATGAAGCCCACTTCAACTGATTTGGTAGACAGACTTAAGATGGCGGTCCTTCCAGAAGTGAAGCCTTGTGTGTATGTGGGCCTGTGAAATTCTGAAACTTCACTTTTGCATCAAAGAAGGAATCATATTGTTTCTTCCCTTCTGGAGCTTCACGTGGTGGTCTCACACCAAAGGAGCTTTCTCCCTTTTTATCTGCAACAACATTGCTCTTCATTCTTTCATGCGGTATGTTCACTACAACGAACAAATCTTTCAGCTGCAATTCTTGTTGTGGGGGCCATAGAGGTAAGGAAAACTTGGGATTGCATGCCCAGTTGCCTTGTTTTTATTTTTTTGTTTGCTGTAGGGAGCAAGACAAGGCAATTTGCCTTTGTTTGTGAATTGGTTGCTTTTAAATTGGTGCTTTGCAGGTGGCGTAAGACCAACAGGGATAAACTTCAACAGTGGCTCACCACCACACCCATCTTCATCTCGGAAAATCCAAAGTCAGAGGCAAACCCCTGCTCATGATTTCCTTGCAAAGACACCACATTTAATTTTGTTTTGTGATGATTGAGCTTGTGTTTGAGATGCTTGAAAGCATAGTAGAGAGACCCAACGGTCTTGCTTGCTGTTTGGAATGATGAAATGGTGAAGGAAGAGTGATTGTGGCCCTGCTTTGCTCCAACTGTTCCCTCATAGCTTGGTGCCATTAACAAGTGTCTTTTAATTTGATTAAGACACCCAAGGATAAAAGTCATGTCCAAGTAAAATCTGAATTAACCACCTTGTTGATTTGGAACCCCTGGATCTTCCAGGAAAGTAAGTCCCTTGTCAATATAGGATTGGGCTATATGTATTTCTTTTATATAAAGAAAGACATGTGCACCACAAGTTAAGATCACCAGCAAACAAAACGAATGCTTTTGATATTCTTTCTTTGTTTGCTTTTCCATACACTTGCACAAGCCACCTGTTGCATCATCAAAAGAAGAAACAATTTGTTTCTTCCCCTCTGGGATTTCACGTGGTAACCAACATGCCTATCTTCATGTTTTTCTTTCAGTTCCATGCTTGTATGGATTTTATAGAGATGAGCTCCTTTTTGTTGACTTGCTAGCAACAAGTGTTTCATGTGGAAGGCAATTCAATTGCCGTGGGAGTCTTTTTGATTTGTTGGGCTTCACACAGAGGATTGCAACTTCCATTTGAGAAGGTAATTACACACACTCCTCAGCTTTTGACTCCGTGGTGGGTTCACCTCCACATCTTCATCAATTCTATCTTGTGTGATTTTTTTCTCGGTAGACATGAACAACATTGAACAGGGCTTCGCCATTATGCCAATTCAGTAAGAGAAGCATGGAGAATTCAGGGAGTTTCTCTACGTCTTTTAATGGCACCGCAAACCAATTTTGGTTTTGTGATGGTTAGCCCATCATGATAAGCCATCCTTACGGAGTGCTTGTGAATTGGATGTTGAGCACATCCTGGAAGCGTCTGAGCGGAGCTGCACTTCGGAGCATAGGACTTGATCTCATGATGATTATAATCATCTTGGCTGTAAATCAGGGGCGGCCCTGGGGTGGCACAAGTGGCGCCACTGCACAGGTCCCCGAATTTTTTTTTCTTTATATTACATATATTAATATTAGAGGAATTGTATATATAGTATAGCATGCTGAATATTGTATAAGAGTGTGTCTGGGGGAGTTGGCTGGAGCCATATCCATTTAACAAAAGTGCCAGAGGTCGATCTATTTGCATTTTTTTATATTATTTTTGCATTCAAATTTTGCATAATTATAATAAAATAAAATAAAAACAGAAAGCCTTTAAAAAACAGGAAACATCGAAGCTTTACCACAGGACAGGAGGAATATATATCCCTAAACTATCTTTCTTAAGAATTTTATAAAAATTAAAAATTAAAAAATAAAAAAAAAGGTTTTCTCCTCCAAGAAAAGTACTTTTATGTATTTGGATACATTTTTAGGGGTATATGGCTCATTATGTCCTCCATAACTAGGTGTATCATATATATATAATAAAAGTCGCTCGTGCCATCGAGTTTTAAAGTAAATCCAGTTCAGTCTATTTTAAAATCCTAAATCCGTCCCAAATCCTTTGTAAAGTCCAAATAACAAGAAGATCATAAAGATATACATGTGTATCGCAACTTTCTAATAATACAAGGCAGATCTGTTTCATGGGCTATGCAAACTGGGCGACCGCACAAGGCCTCCAAAATTTAGGGACCTCCAAATGTTCTGCTCAACTATAACATATATTATATATATATTTATTATTATAAGGTTGCATTACATTTTTCCAAGCAAGTTCTTGTTCCAGCGTGCTAATCTCTTTTTTTAACCCAAAAACAATTTTCCAAGCAAGTTTGTGTTCCCCGGGTGCGCTCCTCTCCCAAGTTCCCAAGGTCGCTTTTCCCAAATCCCTTCTTCGTTTCTTTGACCAAATCGTTTCTTTACTTGTTCTTTCCAACTTCTTCTTTGCCAAGGCCAAAACGTGGTTTGCTCCTCCATCTCTCTCCTATTAGAAATCATGTCTTGTATTTGGAATATGAAGCCATGATTGCAAGAAGAAACCTAGAAAATAAGGTGAATCCCTAATTTTCGATGCTTTCCGTATATTATTTTTGTAGTTATTTGACCAGATCTAATGGACTGGCACTGATAGAAGGATGTGGACAGCCATAGCTACATCTCGCAAAAGCACAACTTCTTAATTTCTCTCATGAAATATATGTGAAGGAGAATTACAATATCAGAAACTCATGACAAGAATCAGGGGCGGCCCTGGGGTGGCGCAAGTGGCGCCACTGCACAGGGCCCCCGAATTTTTTTTTCTTTATATTACATATATTAATATTAGAGGAATTGTATATTTAGTATAGAATGCTGAATATTGTACAAGAGTGTGTCTGAGGGAGTTGGCTGGAGCCATATCCATGTAACAAAAGTGCCAGAGTTCGATTCTTGTTGAGGTCGATCTATTTGCATTTTTTTATATTATTTTTGCATTCAAACTTTGCATAATTATAATAAAATAAAATAAAAACAGAAAGCCTTTAAAAAACAGGAAGCTTCGAGAATCTATTTGCATTTTTTTATATTATTTTTGCATTCAAACTTTGCATAATTATAATAAAATAAAATAAAAACAGAAAGCCTTTAAAAAACAGGAAACATCGAAGCTTTACCACAAGACAGGAGGAATATATATCCCTAAACAATCGTTCTTAAGAATTTTATAAAAATTAAAAATTAAAAATTAAAAAAAAAGGTTTTCTCCTCCAAGAAAAGTACTTTCTCCATTCAAAACAAAACTTCATGGATATTTAAGTATGTTTTTGTTGTTACTTTTGTTTTTAATGCAATATAATCCAAGAGTAATGCTATTTGGACACACAAGATTGACCACATTAGATGACCACCTTATATAGCAGCTGATGTGTATATGCCATGTCACTTAAATGTGACCAACTGTGTTTTTATTTTTTCCTTTTTAAATTAAGTAATTTATATTTTCAACTTTTCTTCTTCTTCGTTGTATCCCTTTGGCTGCCTTCTCCTTCCCTTTTGGCCTTTGCTCATCCTCCTGCAATCTCTCTCCAAAAAGAAAACCAATTCTTGATTCAACAAACCCAACTCTGCAAATCAACTAATCAAGAAAATCCAACTCAAAAATCTTAATGCCTATTTCACTAGCTATCTAGAAAATCCGAATTGATTTTGAGATCTCATATTCTCTGGTCATGTATATAAGAATTAAAAAGAATTTTAAAGCTTTAGTATGTTGCTAGGAATGGAGTATTAGCTTTCCAATCAAATGGGTGGTCTGGTGAACAATCGAAGTCGAACAATTCCCAAAATATGAACTATTTTTATTTTAAATATGAATGTTCTTCATGAATATTGTTCTTCCAAGATGGATTGATGTGTTTTGTCGGGTTTCTCGTGCGGCTTGGCTATGTTACTGGGTAAGGGTAGATTTGGTGGAGGAAGGGAGTGTTGAGTAAAGAACGAAGCTGCAGCCTGCAACCATTGGCGGATCCAGGAATTTAAGGCTAAAAATTCAAAAAAAAATTTATACAACCAAATGCCCTTAGAATTTAACCAATACTAATGTCACTCATAATTAAAACAAATAAGAGTTTTACGTTTACAACTAATTGATTATAGTCTATATGGATATCAATTAATATGAACAAAATCCTTGTCATTGACACAATTTGTTTACCAAAATTCATATCAAATATGAACAAAATCCATGTCAATTACATAATTAATCTAACAAAAGTCAATACCAATTAATCTAACCAAAAGCACATGTAAATTGGAGGTCATGAAATAAAAGTACACATGATTAAAAGTTTGGGGTAATTTTGGATGAATATTTTGGCACACATATGAGTTTTTAATGAATTTTTTAATTTAGGCCAATTAGAAATAGACATGTATCGGCTTGCTATTGGACCATTTTAAAAAGAATCAGAGTCAGAAGTGCTGACGCAGAGTCTTCTTCTTCCTTGAACCGTGCCTCTACAACTTTTAACCTCAAATATTCTAGAAAAGCTTCGAAAATTCATAACTTTGGTTATGGAGCTCCGATTGATGAACCGTTTTATCCTACATGCTCGTGAGATCAAGCCCAACAATATAAGGTAAATATTTAGGGTCTCACAATGCAGCAAACAATACAACGTCTTTCAGGCATTTAGTCGAATAATGGGTGGGCACTAGCAAAGGGGCAAATTTTGGCATCCCCAAGGAAGTTTCCGGTGAGGGGAGGTGCAGCTGCACCTCCTTGCGCCTCTGTGGATCCGCCAGTACCTGCTACAGCGTACAGATGCTAGGGTTAATTATAATTAATTATAATTTTGTTGTTTTTAAGGATTATTAAAAAAAAGTAAATAAAATAAAATATACATGGCAGTATTCATTAATTGACATGGCATGATCACATCAACTGCCACATAAGGTGGTCAGCTAATGTGCTCAATCTTGTGTGTCTAAATTGCACTACTCATAATCTAATTTGTTAATGACATTTGTGTGCAACTACTCTTTAATTTGTGGTTGCCAATTTTTTTTCCTATTAAACACAGATTGCTTATTGGAGGCAACAAAGGACCTTATTGGGGCACAATGAACTTATTTTTGTACTGACCATTTAACTTTATCAAATGAAAACATTTAAATTTTTACGAATTTGATTTCTGATTGTCATTACATATATATTGACGGTGACTTTTTGTTTTAAAAAAATTGTTTATGACATTAAGTTATGGTAAATTTATAATATTTTCGTATTAGATTATGTGAAGCCCCAATTTAAATTTTTCATAGGCCCCTCAAAATCTCAAGGACGGCCCTGCTGTCAATCCATAGCAAGATTTCCTGGAGGTATTTGAGAAGAGGTACGCCTTAGGGTAATCATCATATATAGCCAAGAATCCCCATGGGTTAATCGTACTGGATGTTGAATGTTTGAAGTCTTCCAGCGGCTGTTCTTCTTTTCCTCCAGCCTCACGGCTGCCTACCCCTGCCTTTGTGGCCCCTCTTAGGCTCTTTTTCAGCCTCCCTTTCTATAGAGTGATAGTGAGAGAGTTTTGAGATGGAAGAATTCTCATTCGAATTGGACTCATTCCCTTTATCTGATTACCCTCTTCCTTTATTTATCCTTTCCTTTTCTCTAGGGATGAGAATAGAGGCAAATCTAATATACATGTTGTTTCCAATTTGTAATTGAAAGCGTTTGGTTGTGGGAATCACCCACCCAACGTTGTGGGGCTTATCTAAACCCTCCTTTTCTTTTTTTTTGGTTCAACACACCAATTGGGTGAATTTATTTATTTTTTTCTCTTTTATTTTTTTTTCGAAATGTAACACGCTTCCCAAACTTAAAATTAAAGCTCATGAATTCCCTGGAAAGATAAATACTTGTTTTTCATGCTAAGGTGAGAAAATATAATTGGTTAAATGAAAGAAAAGGTTTACATGTAGGCTCAAAATGGTTAACAATGGAAAATCACGCTTAAGCATACATAAGGTTAGCTTGGAAGGCACAAACTATCCAAAGAGCACCTCAATATCATTTCTTAATGTCATGTAATCAAATTGCATAAGAATGGATGACTTTTAAGTGCTCAACAAAATCAACGAATAATGAGATCTAACAACTTTGATGACAAGAAAATAAGAATATGTGTATAACACTCATGAATTGAAGAACAAGGCTGAAAAACTCACATTATATAGTTATACAAGTTTAATTTATGCTTGATACAATTCTTTGGATCATGCAAGTCCTTTAATTGGAAAATTATGAAACAAATGGCAAGTGCATAGAAGGTTTCAAATATATTATGCTAGAATGATGCCATTAAGTGATAGTTTTTTATTTTAAATTTTGTTTTAAAAATCAAAAATCAAATTTTCATTGAAGTCATCAAACATTTATCACAATCTCATCATATGTGTGCTAAAATATGAATATGGTTTGAATACTTTAGGTTAAGTTTTATTCTTCTCCATAATGAGGTATATATAGGAGTTTACACGAGTGGTTTGCAAGGAAATACATACAGTAATCAATTAGGATAGTATCTCATAATTATACAATGATTTGTCAACTATATAGAATAGGAAAGTAAATCCCTTAATTAATCAAGGAAATCCCTTCATCCTTGATTAATTAGGAGACTCACGTCAACACTCCTCCTTGGTGTATATATATCACCAATGCCCAACTTGGTAAGTGAGTCATGAAATACTCTTCCACAAACAGCTTCTTATTAAGACATCTGCCAGTTGATCTTCTAATTTTATGAATGGTAGGCAGATGATCTTATTCTCAATTTTTTCTTTGATAAAATTTCTATCCACCTCAACATGTTTGGTTCAATCATGTTGAGCTGGATTATGAGCAATATCGATAGCTGACTTGTTGTCACAATGTAACTCCATTGGTTTTTCTGGCTTGAAGCCTAATTATGTCAATAATCTTCTGATCCACAATAATTCACAAACTCTGTGAGCCATTCCTCGATACTCTGCTTCTACACTAGACCGAAAAACCATATTTTATTTTTTACTCCGCCAAGTGACTATGTTACCTCCCACGAAAGTAAAGTAACTTGAAGTAGAGCGTTTATCAGTAATGGAGCCAGCCCAATCAACTTCTATATATCCCACAACTTCAAGATCTCCATTTTCTGAGAACATTAATCCTTTCCCAAGGGTTGACTTTAAGTATCTTAAGATCCAATCAACTGTATTCCTATGAGACACGCTGGGCGAATGCATAAACTGAATAACCACACTCACAGCATATGCAATATTTGGTCTTGTGTGGGCTAAATATATTAACCTTCCAATAAGGCATTAGTACTGTTCCTTATTGGTTGGTTCTTGATACATGTCTTCACACAACTTGTGATTCATCTCGATGGGCGTGTCAGCCAGCTAACATCCAAGCATTCCTATTTCAGTGAGTAGATCCATTACATACTTCCTTTGAGATAGAAATACACCAGTTTTTGACCTTGCTACCTCAATTCCGAGAAAGTACTTCAAATCACCTAAATCCCTCATCTCAAATTCCTAAGACAAATACTTTTATAGCTTTAGTTACTCTCCAGTGTCGTTTCCAGTTACGACTATATCATCTACATAAACAATCAATGCAGTAAGTCTTCTTTCATCACTCTTCACGAGCAGGGTGTGATTTGAATTACTCTGTGAATATCCAAAATTCTTCATAGATTTAGTAAATTTGCCAAACCATGCTCTGGGAGATTTCTTTAATTTATATAATGACTTTCTGAGCTTGCAAACGTGATTCTTCTTGTCACGAGCTAAATTACATCCAGGTGGTAGGTCCATATATACTTCTTCTTCCAAGTTTCCATGTAACAATGCATTTTTTGCATCAAACTGATGTAGTGGCCAATCGAGATTTGCTACTAAAGACAATAGGACTCTGATAGCGTTAATCTTGGCTACTGGGGCAAATGACTCATAGTAGTCAATCCCATATCTCTGTGTGTACCCATTCGCCACTACTCTAGCTTTATATCTTTCAATAGATCCATCTACTTTGAGTTTCACAATATAAATCCACTTGCATCCTACTATCTTCTTTCTATGAGGTAAGGGCATGAGTTCCCATGTGACATTCTTTTGGAGGGCTCGCATTTATTCATTCATGGCCTCTTTCCATTTTGGGTCTTCTAGTACTTCAGTCACACTGTTATGGACAGGTATGTCAGCCAACTGTTTCACAAAGTGCATACATGAGTCTGAAAATCTGCTGAGAGATATATAATTATTGATAGGGTATTTCCCTTTGGCTTTAAGATATGCTTCATTTTCTACTCGAGGTTTGCCACGGTTCTTCCTTTCTAGAAGCTGATATGTAGGCTTTGTGCTGTCTAAAATCAAATTATCTTGGGATATTTCATTAGTGTTATCAGTTTCAGGGAAAGATGGTACCTGATTGACTTCCTCAACAAGTGATTAGTATGGTACTGGAGCTGAAGAATTCTCCAGAGAGGGCAAAATCTCACAAAACGGTTCAATTTTCTCCTCCTAAGTTTGACAACGTGGAGACAACTGATCATTTTCCTCTGGCGACCGGTCGCCATCTTTTGACGACCGGTCATTTTGAAGCAGGTTCTCCATGTTCGAAGAACTAAGGGGGGACGACCAATCAGTTTCCACTGGTGACTGATCATTTTGAAGTAGAGTGACGTCTTGGGGAAAAAAATCAAGAATTTGAGGAGTGGTGGATTTTTGATTCTCCTCCAATGCTGCTGAAAAATATAAGTCATGTTCCCGGAACACAACATTCATGGAGGTATAGACCTTCGGACTAGGAGGATGATAACATTGGTATCCTTTCTGATGAGGTGTATAGCCAATGAAAATACACTTTTTGGCTCGAGGATACAATTTGCTTCTTTGGTGATCATGCAAGTGGACAAATACAACACAGCCAAAAATCCGGGGTTCCAAGTTTGGGGTGGGAGGAGTTTGGATATGGTGGTGAAGTGTTTGAAGTGGTTTTTGGAAATTTAGGATACTAAAGGTAATCCGACTGATGAGTATGCAGCAGAGACGACGGCTTCTCCCCAAAAAGATCGAGGCATATTGGCACTAAAGAGAGAGGCACAAACTACTTCCAATAAATGTCTGTTCTTTCTTTTAGCCACTCCATTATGTTCGGGAGTGTAGGGGCATGAGCGTTGATGTATGATGCCATGATCTTGTAAGAACTGGTTAAGATCATAGTTGAGAAATTCTCCGCCACTGTCAGAACGCAGAACCTGAATTCTGGCATGAAACTGAGTCTCCACCATTTGATGGAATTGTTGAAACCTGGAGCTGCCTTCCCCTTTCTTTTTGAGAAGGAAAACCCAAGTCATGCGTGTGCAATCATCTATAAATGTGACAAACCATCGAGCTCTTGTCGGAATGGCAATTTTAGCAGGTCCCCAAACATCATAATGAACAAGAGAAAACAGAACCAAACTCTTATTTGAACTTAATGGGAACAGGACATGATGGCTCTTAGCCAATTCACACATATTACATTTGAAGCTGGAAACATCAAGACTGGAAAATAATGATGGAAACAACTTTTTAAGATTACTGAACGAGGCATGCCCAAGACATTTATGCCATAACCAAACTTTGTCTCTCTTTCCTTTAGAACGAGTTACTCTTGTTGTGAAAGCTTAACCAATCTTGGTCTCACTATCCGGTGCCCAGCCCAAGTAGTATTGTTTGCCTTGTTGAGTACCACAACCAATCGTCTTTCCCGTGAGAAAGTCTTGAAAAACACAGTGATTCCGCCAACTGTTACAGTACACCCCAGAGTAGTAGTAAGTTGTGCAACAGACAACAAGTTATGGTCCAAAGATGGAACAAGCAATACAGAAGTAGAGAGATATAAAGAGCCCTCCCCAACCACAAGGGAGTGGGTATCATCAGCATTAGACACCACCAACGAAGTGGAAAATTTGCGACTAATAAGTTCGCTAAGATCAAATGTCATGTGATCCATAGCACCGGAGTCAATAATCCATGTGGATTTTTGAGATAACGTATGAAAAGCAGAACCTTTGGTGGTGGCGATAAAAGCACGAGTATGGGTAGCAGGGTCAGTAGGATTGATATCGCAGCGGAAGTAAGATGTGATATGAGAATGTGAGGAATTTAATTGGTGGAATGTGATTTGAGGAATATTATGTATGAATTTGATAAGAGGATTTGATTTGAGAGGTATGTATATTAGATTTGAGGGTATGTGTTTAGGGATTTTGATAAGAGGAATTTAAATATGAGGAATTTGATTTAGGGTTTTGGATTTGAATATGAGAAATTTGATATGAAGATTTAGAGACAACCTAGGATCGATTACTCTGATACCATGCTAAAATATGAATATGGTTTGAATACTTTAGGTTAAGTTTTATTCTTCTCCATAAGGAGGTATATATAAGAGTTTACAAGGAAATAGATACAGTAATCAATTAGGATAGTATCTTCGAATTATACAATGATTTATCAACTATATAGAATAGGAAAGTAAATCCCTTAATTAATCAAGGAAATAAATCTCCTTGATTTAGGAGACTCGCGTCAACAATGTGTTCGGAAAAAAACCAAGACTCAAATAAAACAGAAAAAAAAACAAGGCAAAATACAAAATACAAAAAAATAAGAAAAACCAAATTTAATTACTAAACTACCTTCCCAAACTTAGAAATGAATATTGTCCTTAATGTTTAAAAATGAGGCACAAACAATGTCATAGCAACAAATGAAAGGTGCTAAAGCAAATAAATATCACAAAATACAATAATTGAAATACAATAAAGTTTCAAAAATAAGATTAAAAATTACCAAAATAAAAAATAAAAAATCAAACGGAACAATAACCCCTAATCACATAGGCTTACGTAAATTGAAACTCAAACCATTTTGAAACCCAATCCACTTTGAAGCCCAAACCACGGTGAAATCCGAAGCCCACAATGAATCCTGAAGCCCACACTTTTTTAAAATTTTTTTTTCTTTTATTGTAAATTATCATTTTTTTAATTTTTTTTAAGGCGAAGCGTGATTGGGAACGTGGGTCCCAACATCTCATCTCTTAGTAAGTCATGCACAAACAGAGCACGAGAGACGTGTCAACACACAGAGGTGCTGCAAATCCCCAACAGAAATTACGAATTTGCTGAACGCCTTTGTTCAGAAAGGTCACATCGCGACAAATTATTGGGGGATGGGTAGAAAGCCAGAAGGTTGTGGAGCTTGAGGAACAGGGGAAAATTCAGAAATGCGTAGAATGCTATTGTGGCTAGGGTTTGTCATAATGGACATCTATTAAAGGAAACGAGGGAAAAACAAAAAAATTCATAACCACGAAGAAGAGAGAAAGAAAAGAAGAAAAGAGAGAAGAGAGAAGGAAAGAAATAGAAAGTAGAAATAAAATGTCGTCTTCCTTCATATTTTCTCTAGATCTCAACCTACCTCAGCCAACACTGACATGGGGGCAAGGACCTGCACCTGTGTGGATGCCCTACTTTTCTCTCTAGATCTCTACTTACCTCCATGAACACATGCATAAGGGCAAGAAGCTGCACCTGTGCGGATGCCTTACTTTGCTTTCTCACGAGAACCAGTTACTGTAAACGACTCTTTACTCCTTGACAATGATGTGGCGATTGGAGTGACGAGGAGTTTTGTGACTCCTAAGGATTTGCGCGTCCTAGGAACAAGGGATGACAACTGGGTAGTGAGTGATGCCATGACATTGAGCGTGCAAAGTGCAGCATCTGTTGCAAGTGTGGGGCATCGCCTCATTGTGAAATCCCATGAGGTGCAAATGCTAAGAACTTAATTGGTGGTAAAGCATAATTTGGTTGAAGATTATCAGAGTGTTATAAGGAGATTCAAAAGGTAGAGGGAAAAGACGTTGGAAGAAACGCGACGCCAACTTGAAATATTGCACGAAGAGAATAAAAAGCAATCAAAGATGGTAGATTCTTACTCTAAAGACATGCAAAACCAGTTTGAGGTCCTAGAGAGAATGGGTGAACGCAAGCACAGAGATCACGAAACAAGTTTTACTCAAGCTAAGATAGTGATCTTTAGAAGCTCAAGTGATGAGCCTCAAGAAGCAGTGGGTGCTGAGAGATGAAATCAAAAAGGCCAAACTAAAGTCTCCTAATAGTTGGAGCACGTCAAGGGGATCAAGAACCATACCTTGGTCGACAAAAATAGCCGCTGGACTTGCCGGAAATTGTATGAACGCCGCCGACGATGAAACGAGGGTTTCACTCGGTTCTAGTCCAAAATCACTACCAAACTTGGAGTTTCGAAGTTGGAAATAGGTATGCACGTGTAGAGTAGGAAAATATGAATGTTTTGTGGTTTGTGGCGTTGCTGGCCGTGACAGGACCACCCCGAATTTCCTCGCGCGAGACGAATCTTGTGGAATTCCAGAAATCACCCCGATGTCGGGCCCACTTTTGAAACTATAACCTCCTTTTCCAAAAAGGAATAAGGGTACGAGACTTTCTACCAAAATTTCGGCAAAGTCTGCCTTGTAAATTGAACATTTCCCAAATTTCAACCTACAACAAAACACAATTTAATATCCACAACTGGCAGCATGCACAACGTAATCACATGCAATTCACATAACGGCCTCCGGCCTTCACATAAAATGGAAATAGAACCTCTAGCAATGTTCTTAACTCAAAATAACTCATTAAACAATGCAGATAAAATAAACTCAAACTCATTTACGAATGCCCACGGCAAATAACATAAATTAACTTCCCAAATTTTAAGCATGCGAGGTTTAACCTCCTAACACAAACATAATTAGTTTAAGCACTTGGCCCCAAATCGTATATAATCCAAGACGGGTTACAATCTGTCTTGGCCTCAACCACACTTCAACAACCCTCTCACTTACCGAAACATCCAACGCCACGTATGGGGTCTGTCAACACGCCGGAAAATCCAACGCCACGTGGGACCTAACAATCACATGATGGTACTTAACAGTGTAATCAAACATCTTTATATCTTTATAATATATATATATATTAATTTCCAATATTGCATAAACCTCAACCACAATATAGCATCCGATAATCCCCCAAATTAAAATAATAAATTAATATATATATATATATTAATTTCCAATATTACATAAACTCAACAATGCTCAAGACCTGTCACTAGGGTCATTATAATCCTCCTAGGAAGGTAAAACTACCTCGGAAGACTCACGGTCAACTGAGGGTCAAACTACCCAAACTTGGTCAAACGGGCCCACAACCTCCAACCTCCGATCCAAAAGTTCCTATGTGTTCTACGAAGATTAGGACACACGTCCTGCAAGTTTAGTCCAGATCAGAAGGTCGGATCGCTCACGATTGCACGATCGGCCGGTTACTATAACCCTAGCCATAGGGTTTGCATTTCCGACGTATCCGGGACTCCGTTTTATGATCCGTCGAATCCTACACAATCCTAAGGATGTCTAGCTTATCATATTTTAATAATGCACAATGGGCGAAATCCCTTCGATACTCAAACGGTATCCAAATTGACATCCGAGGACACCTACTTGCTCGTGAGGACCAGGAGATTATGTCGGGGCACAATGCCCTTTTTCTAAGGTGCCCACATGCCGGGGTGTCCAAAGCGATAACCCATCACGGGAAAAAATTTCAGATCACGGCTCAAGACTCCTACCCTAGGTATAACACCCTATTTGGAACCACTTTTGTTCTTGGATCTATCCCAAAAACTGACCGGAAGTGGCTGGAATCGCGATCCCGGAACTAGCTGAAATCCAATTCGAAAATCAAGCTTCCTACGCTCAAAATCAATGAAATCCTACCCAACCATCAGTTAGAGCTCAAGGTTGGAATTCATTTTGTCGCTTAAAGTTTCAGTCGGTTTTCGACTAGTGTTTCCAGCAAGTTTCAGTCTCTTTTTGGCCATGGTCCAAGAACAAAAGTTGCTCCACTTATTGTCCTAATCATGTAGGTTTAGGTCTTGACAGGCAGTTTGGGAGATTTTCCGGTCATCGGTCCTAAAATGACCTCTATGTCTTCCTGAACACTGTTTGGGCCAAAAAGAAATCTAAAAATGCGCCAGCCCATCTTCGCAAAGAAAGGCCCACAAAACATAAAAGAAAAAAGGACTGGGCTTTGATTCCAAAAAAGAAGAACCCAATCCACAAAAGAAGCCCACGCCAAAGAAGGTACCATTTCGCTATATTTTCTAAAAAAGATAAGTAAGGTGCATGTAGTTGTTCATCTGAAAAATCAAAACTAACCATCACAGCAGACTGAATTGTCACAAGAAGTAGTTAGAAATCAAAAGAGCAGAGAAGAAATCACCAAAAAACTGACTGTTGATGGTGTGTCTGCCAGAATAGATAACTTCCCATTTTCTTTGATATTTAAAATAAATAAATAAAAAAGATCTTGATTTTTAGAAAATCTGCCGCCCATTTTAAGATTAAAAAAAACCCACTTCAGCATTTTTCTATAAATATGAGAGGAGGTGAACAAATCAAAAGACAGCCAAAAAATCAATCAAAAAATAAAAACTCAAAATGATCACTTGATCTCAAAAGCCTTCAAAACACTGAAGCAACCAAAAGCTCATTGAGCCCCAAGAAAGAAGCCAGCTACAAATCAAAATCTCCAACTTCGGTTCAGACTTAGAGAAATTAGTCATTCAAAACGAGATTTGTCTCATTACAAATTTGGTTCAGCATAAGCCAAATCAAGTAGAGTTCGGGTTTTTACAAATATGAAAACCTCAACAAATTTATGGAGAGCCCTGATGAAGCAGAACAGGTAACACAGCGCAGTTCCAGCTTAGTAATCTTCAAGCCCATCTACTTCTGCCCCTTCCCGACTGAAGAGGTCCCAATTCTGTTCTTTTAAAAAGCCTTCCAGGGCTTGAAACAGATTAAAGCTCTGACAAACTCGAACGTTGGTATCTATTTACAGCTTAAACTCAACAATTGAAGTTGTTGCTAGGCCAGTCCAGCACAGACATATCTAGTCCAGCTCGGATCAGAAGCATCTATCCAGGCATAAATGGAAGTCCAACCATCTTTTTGTCTTTCTAGAGTTGGATTTTCCCTTTTGAGCATTATAAAAGGCAGCTCTGCCTAAAAAAAAATTCACTTTCTTATCATTTATTTTGGCCAACACTACCAATTTTGTATTGTGAAAAATTATGAAGTCCTCACCAGTCAGAGGCAAGAAAAGAACTTACTTAGGAGATATTCCTCACCCAAATTCACAATTGCTTGTTTAGAAATCAATAACTTATGGCGCAAGTTATCTATTTTTAAGAAGTCTGTTAGGATTTCTCATTGCTAGCAGTGGCACGCTCGCACACTAAAGAAAGTTGATTTGTTGACCAGTCGATGGTTTTCAAGGCAATGGGGAACTTTACCCTACCATCACAGGAACAAATATAAAACGGGTAAACAAACACAACGGTATGCTAGGATTTGAATTTGGTTATCGCTTGACTGTCAATCGAATTACGCATATTAGGCGTTATTCGGGTTCGATATGTTCGGACCATTTGATCGACTCCATTTTCAAATATGTTGATCTAGGGTTTAGGAATTGACCCAAAAGAAACAGTAGATAGAAGGGACCTAAGAATGAAACAACGTAGAAGGTTCCTGATTGAAAATTATTTGCATCTTAATTGCGTAGAGTCATTATTGGATTTGTAATCGTTAAAGGGGCCGAAAGATGAAATATTTTATTGTAGAGTCTTTGATGCTGAAGTTTGGGAATCTTAAATTGTGTGTTGACAGGTTCAAAAATTTGAGAAATGTCCATTTTTCAGGAGAGACTCTACCAAAATTTCGGCTGAAAGTCACATCTCTTTTCGTAAGTGGGCCCGACATCGGTATGATGTTGGAAATACCACAGGATTCATCGCGGATTCCGAGGAATTCGGGGCGGGACCTGTCAGCTGGAGAGAGAGAGATTTGATTTATTTTTTAAATTTTTGTGTGAAAAGACATTTTTGTCCATGCCAAGTAAGACTTGTCATTGCCATGTCATCATTTTTAACGGAAAAGTTGACTAAGATGACAAAAAGGGTGATTTTCTGAAAGTGGATGCATTGTTAAAGTACCTCCGTAACAATTTAATAATATGAGGGACGAAAAGTAAAGTTTGGTCTTAGTCCAAGGACCATTGCTACAATTTTGCCCATAAGAAAATAACTAAACAGAAAAGAAAACTAAGAAGTCACAAATTGTAATTTTTAAATATATATTTTCTTACAAGCAAAAAAATTTAAAAAAAACAAACTGAAATTTTTATTTAAGTTAAACTTTATATATATATTTAAATTTATTTTATGGACACACAAATACACAAGCAACTCAAGGATGAGCAATTACGGGCCTCTGAAAACACAGCCAGGTGTTCCAGGAAGGTTGGAGAGGTCACAATTGTCTCGCTTAAAACCCAAACCTTCTTAGACACTGAAGGTGTCGCCTAAAGAACTCCTAGACACTATATTGACAGCGGTTACTCACTCGGGTTACCAAAAGTCGGCTCATACATTAAATATATATATATATATTATTTTTAATTTAAATTTTAAAGAAACAAAAACTTAAAATTACTATAATAATAAGAGAAAACAGAAGATAACAAAAAAAGAATTATTGTATCACTTGTGTATCACCACGGTATCGCCACATTATCACTATAGTATTACCCGTTTATCATGTTTTAGGTCAGAGACGAATTTATGAACTTCCTATGTTTTCCATATTTGACCTCTATCCAGTTTTGGACCTATAACTTTCAAACTGTTAATCTAGATTTTATGTTCTTTATATGGTTGGAATCAGCATGACAAAATGAAGAACTCAACCTGGACCGAAAATATAACAATTAATCTAAAACTATTGAATTGTACTATTGCAAGTTAAAATGCAGTTGGATTCAATAGATGTAAAAATAGTTCAACAACCATTTTGAATGCTCTGAAAGGCAACAAATAATACAAAGGGGCTATCTTTATTAGACAAAGAAAAGCACGTGGTAGAGCAGTTTCAATAAATGAGGGTGGGTTCCATCAACAATAACGCGCTGAGCCTCCATACTTGAAGCTTAGTGAGAAAATATATGACAAAGGTTTGGGGTGTTAGGCAGGGCCTTGCAAAAGATGTCGGTCAACGTGCAAGTGAGGGAGTCAATGATGGTGAAGCCAGAGGAGGAAACGCCAAAACGGGCTCTGTGGATATCGGACTTGGATGTCGTGATTTCGAGAACTCACGTTGGAAGTGTTTACTTCTACAGGAGGCCAAATGTTAAAAACGGCGCGCATCATCTTCAAAACAACTGTGTCTTGGATTCGGAGGTGTTCAAGTGCTCCCTTGCCAAGGCCCTCGTGCCCTTCTACCCCGTGGCCGGCCGCCTTAAGCTGAACGATGAGGGACGTATCGAGATCGATTGCAATGCAGAGGGAGTGCTGTTTGTTGTGGCGGAGACTGACTCGGTCCTCGATGATTTCGGGGACTTTGCGCCGACTCTTGAGTTCCGGAAGCTCATTCCTGCCGTTGATTATTCCGCTGGGATATCCTCTTATCCCCTCTTGGTCTTACAGGTATTCAGAGAAAGAGAGGAGACATTTTTTCACTCCCTAATTTCTGTCGCATGAGAGTAGAAATATTTTTACCATTTTCGTTTTGAATGTAGCTGATACTAGGAAACTTTCTCGAAATCAACTGATTTATAAATTATAATCCATTAGTTACTGTGGAGTGGGCTTTATTATGAATCGTATATCTATTTTGAAGTTTCTAATTGTCACCTATATTCTGTTTTGATACTTCTAATTCTAGTTTTCCTTGTACTAGTAGAATGTGGGTCGGAGTCCTCTTACACACCATTTATGTATTTAACTGTAAACGAAAAATTTAAGAATACTACCTTACTTAGATTGTTCTGTTTAGTTTCACATGTTGCCACTTGGATGAGATTATTCTTTCAAATTAAGTTACGATCTACGTCTTATATGTATATACATAATATACCATGTTCTTAAACTTGAATTAAGCTTACAAAGTATGCATGCTTGTGGATTTTACTCTGTATATGCCTCAGGTCACATACTTCAAATGTGGTGGAGTGTCACTCGGTGTTGGTCTGGAACATCGTGTAGCAGATGGAGTTTCAGGTCTCCACTTTGTAAATACATGGTCTGATATCGCTCGTGGGTGTGACATTACAATTCCACCATTTATAGATAGGACATTACTTCGTGCCCGAGACCCGCCCCAACCTGCATTCCATCACATTGAATACCAACCTGATCCGCCCATAAAAACCCCTCTGCGGAGCACAAACGCTAGTAGTGTTGAAAGCACAACTGTCTCCATTTTCAGATTGACGCGGGAGCAGCTCAACATGTTGAAAGCCAAGTCTAAGGAAGATGGGAACACAATAGAATTTAGCACATTTGAGATGTTGGCAGGTCATGTTTGGCGATGTGCATCAAATGCACGCCAACTTCCTGATGATCAAGAGACCAAACTACACGTTGCCCTTGACGGAAGGTCCAGACTGGAGCCGCCTCTCCCTCCTGGTTTCTTTGGCAATGTGGTTTTTGCAGCTGCCCCAATCGCTGCAGCAGGGAATCTCAAATCAAAACCTACATGGTATGCTGCAAGGTGTGTGCATGATGCTGTGATGCGAATGGATAATGATTATCTTAGATCAGCACTTGACTATCTGAAACTCGAGCCTGATTTGTCGAGCCTTGTTCGAGGGGCTCATACTTTTAGGTGCCCAAGACTTGGGATAGCCAGTTGGGCTAGGCTGCGGATCCATGATGCTGACTTTGGTTGGGGTCGACCTATTTTCATGGGACCTGGTGGAATTGGATATGAGGGGTTGGCTGTAGTTTTACCTAGTGTATCAAATGATGGGAGTATATCAGTGGCCATTTCTTTGCAATCTGAACATATGAAATCATTTGCCAAGTTGTTGTATGACATATAAGGACATGAAATCCCTGAAAAAGGATTTCAGGGCATTCCATTTTCTTCTAGTCTGTTTTTATTGTGATGTTTATTAAAGAACTTAATCTGTTTTTATGAAATAATGGGATATCATTTCTGTTGCATATAATGGATAATACAAAGACCATATGAAATTGTTGTGCTTAACTAAGCTAGTACCCACTGGTGGATCTACAGAGGCGCAAGGAAGTGCAGCTGCACCTCCCCTTGCCGGAAAATCACTTGGAGAAGCTGGAAATGCCCCTCTGCAACTGCCCACCAGCTGTTCGATTATTTGCTCCAAAGAAGCTCCAGGCAGCAGGTCCTTTGAGTAGGCTGTAGCGCGCAAGGTTGTGTGGCTTCTTTTTTTAAAAGTGATATGTCCAAAACGTAAAGTTTTGGTCCAAGTGAAAACAAAAAAATAAAAATAATAATAACATAAAAAGAAAGGGCCAACCTCAGATGAGTTTCAATCGAAATTGAATATCCCAAATAAACCCTATCATCCCCAACTCTTAACCTTACCCCTCCACACCTGAACCACCATTACCCACACCGGCCAACTCCCCAACCACATTCCTTTTTTCTCAATCCTCCTTTGCCTCCATCATCCATTAGCTTTTCTCTTTGTGCTTTTTTCATTATCATTGACTATCTCTCACTCTCTCAAATTGGTACAAGTAAATTCCATTACATTCATTCATCAACGAAACCATGAAAGGATCTCTCTCCTTCTCTGTATTCTTTGATTCATTGGGTAGAAACCAATTTGTTTTTGGAGGCAAAAGAAGGGTTGTGAAGTGGGCATAAGCCATGGCAACTCCTAAACCAGAAGAGATAAGCCATCCACCAATGGACCAACCATCCACAATTTGTTTGGAAAATTAATTTCTCTCTCAAATTTCAAAGTAATTTCTCTTTATGCTTTAATTAATTAAGATGGATTGTTAGGTTTTGGTTAATTGATTGAGTTTTTGTACGGATTTTTTTGAATTTATTTATTTGTATATATTTTTAGTTTTTAATTAATTAATAAATATTGTTGTGGTTTGATTAAATGATTAATATGGTGAATTGGTTAATATGATTAATATAGTGTTTTTAGCCCTTTAAATATCGTTTAAATTATCAGGTTATTTGGTTGTTTTTGTTTTGTTAAGCTCTTAGCCTTTGAAATATTGCCCCTTCCTTGAAAAATTTATAGGTCCACCACTGCTAGTACCTCTTGATTTGTCGGATTTTGGTCATGTTTATCTTTTCTTGACTCTGAATGATGTCTTTTTTTCTTTTGGCATCTAATAATATATGCTTATGTAATCTTGAAAACAAACATCTACAAGTTTTTATAAACTAATCAAGTTCATTCATTTTGGTCAAACGCTCATATAGTTTTATTTATTTATTTATACAACTGATAGATAAAATTACTTCAAATTGTAATTTACGAGAAAGAAAATTCGAATTTGAGTGGAAGGAGCAGACTCACTGTCATGGCCCACCCACACATGCAGCAAATGCTCACATATAAGAGAGAGAGGAACTGCAAATGAAACTGTGGAAAAAGGCTGTCGGGATTATGAACGACAAAAAACAGCATATGGGTCACCAGCATCTCCTGACTGACTCGGATCTTGAGGGCATCATCATCAATGCCACTAACCACGATAAAACCCACGTCAATTACGAAAGGATTTATCATGCATTTTCTCATATGGTAAGATAAGGAGCGACAATAAACTTCAAGACTAGCAAAGGAACTCTTCGAATTTAGCATTTTTGTAAAGCATTTAGAAAATCAAAACCAGAAAAGATAAAAAATTAGAAAATTAAAACTAACAGAAGCAAAACCAAACTAATAACAAAGAACAAAAAAATACTATAAAGATTCACTAAAAAACTCAGAATCAAGAAATTCCAATACACAATCAACACTTTAGACAGAAAATTACTTCAAGTGACTTGCACAATCAACATTTCAGCATAAAGAAAAGACTTTAACATATTTTCTTCTTTTAATTTATTATCTGATAATTTGATAATTTTGTGTGTAATATTGTTCTAAATATTTTTTTTGAGAGGAAGGGGCAAGAAGGGAATGTCCTTTTTCTTATTGGTGTTATTGGGTTTTGGTTTTGCTGCAGGGGGAGATGGGGAAGAGATTAGATTCCATTCTCACTCTTCAAGGTTTTCAATATCACTTTTTGGCTTCTAAAATATAATTCACACATTCCTCTTTCTTTTCTTTTTTTTTAATTTTTTATTATGGCTTAAATACTTTTTTTGTCATTGGATTTGACACAAGAATTCAATTGGATCTCTGGGAAAAAAATTTAGCTTTCTAAAAAAAAATTATTATTATTATAGTGAATTGACGGAAATGCCCTTAAGCTAATGAAATTTTTTAATGAAGTCAGACATAGGTGGTGGTTTGCAACACTTTACAAAGTGATATTTTGTTGGGGCAGGGGGTGGGGGTACCTTAAACCACTAATTTACAAGTCAATGTCCTTTTCCACTAAGTTAGACCGCACATTGTACTTTAAACCACTAAAAAGTAATGCACATTGTACTTTGAATAATAATAAAAAAATCTTAAATGATATAGGTGGTGTTTGCAACACTTTACAAAGTGATATTTTGTTGGGGGGGTGGGGGTACCTTAAACCACTAATTTACAAGTCAATGCCTTTTTTCACTGGGTTAGACCGCACATTGTACTTTAAACCACTAAAAAGTAATGCACATTGTACTTTGAATAATAAAGAAAAATCTTAAATGATGTAGAAGTGAAAGTAAATAAGTCATATTTGAGCTCTACATTAGAAACATCCTATTAATTATATAATGTATTGTAACTAGACTATTCTAAACTTATATTATAACAAGTGGCTGGAAAACATTTTGAGAAGTCGGTTACTATGCAATAACCGACTTCACTAGATATTTGCCATCCCTTGAGTCGGTTCAGCTACTCTATATATAGCTATAGCAGCCCAATTATGTATTCAAGTTAGGAAGAGCTGAAAAATTACAGTTGTCTAAAGTCCCATCAGCCACCTCTTGTATCCAACCAACTCTAAAGCCCTTGTACCCTTCTTAGAACAATCAATAAAATAAAATTATCTTGTTACTCTTTCAAAAGTTTTCTGTTCATCATCAAGCTATTATCCTAAGCCTCTCTTCTCCCTAGAACTAACATTTGTGTTGTAAGTTGTGATCACAAGAAAGAGGCTGTAATTTTCTTTTCTTCTTTGCTCATAAGGAAAAGAACAGTATGTTCCTTTCTAAAATCCAAAGAAAAGATGGCGGAGAAAGTGATGGTGAGCATAAGGGAGTCAACAATGGTGAGGCCAGCCGAGGAGTCTACGCCATGGGACTCCCTGTGGCTCTCCAATTCAGACCTAGCGTTCCCACCCTTTCACACGTCTAGTGTTTACTTTTACAGACCTAGTGGTGAGCACAACTTTTTTGACAAGGGGGTGCTCAAGCAGGCCCTCGGCAAGGCCCTTGTGCCCTTCTATCCCATGGCCGGTCGCTTCAAGCTCAACGACCAGAACGGCCGTGTGGAGATTGATTGCAATGCGGAGGGAGTGGTCTTTGTTGTAGCGGAGAGCAGCTCTGCTGTTGATGATTTTGGTGATTTTGCGCCTACTCCCGATTTCCTGACACTAATCCCCACAACTGATTACTCTGGTGGGATATCCTCATATCCGATTTTGGTGTTACAGGTATTTTAAATTTTGTGATTTGTTTAGGTACATTCTCATGGAGAACTCTCTGGTCTACTTCCAACAGGAATCTTGTGCTTCACTTTCTCATCTTAAATCCTTCATATAGTCTTAGATTAACTAGCTATTAGTTTAGTGCAAAGCTTCTCTTCTCAAAGGTTCAAAGAAATATACCAAGTTCCATTCCCTCCTGTCTAATGATTGAAAAAAAAGAAAAAAGAAAAAAAACCTTCAAATCTTAGAACACGTGAAACTCTGAATAGAATTATTTTAGTGGAAACTCAACTTTGAAGGTGTTTGTACCTTGTTGTTTGTAGTGGTATTATAAAACTTGAAGTGCAGCATGTGCTCCTTACTTCAGAATTCAGATCTGGTTTTCCCTTTTCTTTATCTAGTTTAAAAAGTATATATAGAAAGTCGGGACATGGGATATTTACGTGTACATATAATATATATTGTTAATGACTTCTTCATCACATTTCATGTTTATACGTGACTAGTTTAACCCACTTGTACCTATATATAGATCATATACTGTATCAATGAGATTATCAAATTCACCTTTTCTACCCATACATACGTATGTTGTTCTGGATTTTAATGCCTATATCATATATATATATATATATATATATATATATACAGTCCCCTTCTATTGAGGGATCCCTCAAATAATTTTATTTGAGGGACGCCCTTTAGGGTACCCTACAATTTTTTTCCCAATGATCCAAACCATCTATTTTTTAGGTCTTTATTCATAGATCATCCTTACAAAAAATTAGATAAATCTGAAACCGTTTCGACATCCAATTGTGTCTTACAAAATCAATGAACACGGTGCTTCAAGAAAGTACTAAAATTTCAATAACTCAATTGAGTGGTCAAATGATATCGGATTCAAGTGATTTTTTGTAGAGATGATCTTTGAATGAGTATCTACAAAATAAACGGTTTGGATTAGTGAAATACAATCTGGAGTGGGGCCTACAAGGGGTGTCCCTCAAATAAGCTTATTTGAGGGATCCCTCAATGGAAGCTCTCTGTATATATATATATATATATATATGCAAATGCAGATCACGTACTTCAAATGCGGTGGAGTGTCACTTGGTGTTGGCATGGAACACCGCGTTGCAGATGGAGTTTCTGGCCTCCACTTTGTAAATACATGGTCTGATATTGCTCGTGGTGATCTCTCAAATATTAAACCGCCCTTCATGGACAGGACATTACTTCGGTTACTTCGTGCCCGAGACCCACCTCAGCCTGCATTCCCCCACATTAAATACCAACCTTCTCCGCAAATGAAACCTTCTGATAATATGAAAAGTACAAGTAATATTACTACGTCTGTTGACGCTCAAAAATGGTTCGGCACTTTTGAGGCTAACTTAGTGATGAGGTGTGATGGATGATGGGTGAAGGTGAGGACCTTCACCAAGTGTGTGAGGATTGGAGCAAGCGATAAACATACAGAAGACAAGATATACGTGGTTCACCCTTAATGAATGGGCTACGTCCACGGAGAAGTATATTCTCATTATTATAATATTGTGTATTTACATTTGTACATGGGGTTGGACCCAAATATAAAAGTAAGAAAGGAGAAGGCCATGACTAAATATCAAGCCCAGCCCAAAGATCCCTTTCCTAAGGGGAGAGTGGTCTCCTTTTATAGGTGATGGGGAGCATTCACTTCTTGTAATATTCCAATGTGGGACTCTTTGCTTTGCCTAGAGTTGCTTCTAGTTGCTTGGTCAAATATGGTATAAACAGAAGTCCCCCAAGTTCTCAAGCAAGGAGGTACTCCTTGGTTGAGGAATTGCAATTTTCAATGCATTGACCGAGCAACACCTTAGTCTTCTTCCAAGTAGTGTAGTGTCGATGGTGCTGAATGATAACGGGGTGCCGAAGGCGTAGCTCTCGTCGGATGATGGTAGGGTGCCGAAGGTGATGACGGGAAAGGCATCGCTCTCGTCGGATGATGACAGGGTGCCGAAGGCAGCGCTATGTCAAATGATGACGGGGTGCCGAAGGCATCGCTCTCGTCGGATGATGGCAGGGTGCCGAAGGTGATGATGGGGTGCCGAAGGCATCGCTCTCGTCGGATGATGACAGGTTGCTGAAGGCATCTCTCTCGTCGGATGATGGCAGGGTGCCGAAGGTGATGATGGGGTGCCGAAGGCATCGCTCTCGTCGGATGATGACAGGGTGCTGAAGGCATCTCTCTCGTCGGATGATGGCAGGGTGCCGAAGGTGATGATGGGGTGCCGAAGGCATCGCTCTCGTCGGATGATGACAGGGTGTTGAAGGCATCTCTCTCGTCGGATGATGGCAGGGTGCCGAAGGTGATGACGGGGTGCAGAAGGCATCGCTCTCGTCAGATGATGACAAGGTGCCCAAGGCATCTCTCTTGTCAAATGATGACAGGGTGACGAAGGCATCGCTTGTCAAATGATGACGGGGTGCCGAAGGCATCGCTCTCGTCGGATGATGGCAGGGTGCCGAAGGCATCTCTCTCGTCGGATGATGGCAGGGTGCCGAAGGTGATGACGGGGTGCCGAAGGCATCGTTCTCGTCGGATGATGACAAGGTGCCGAAGGCATCTCTCTTGTCAAATGATGACAGGGTGCCGAAGGCATCGCTTGTCAAATGATGACGGGGTGCCGAAGACATCGCTCTCGTCGGATGATGACAGGGTGCCGAAGGCATCTCTCTTGTCAAATGATGACAGGGTGCCGAAGGCATCGCTTGTCAAATGATGACGGGGTGCCGAAGGCATCGCTCTCGTCGAATGATGGCAGGGTGCCGAAAGTGATGACGGGGTGCCGAAGGCATCGCTCTCGTCGGATGATGGCAGGGTGCCGAAGGTGATGACGGGGTGCCGAAGGCATCGCTCTCGTCAGATGATGACAGGGTGCCGAAGGCATCTCTCTTGTCAAATGATGACAGGGTGCCGAAGGCATCTCTCTTGTCAAATGATGACGGGGTGCCGAAGGCATCGCTCTCGTCGGATGATGGCAGGGTGCCGAAGGCATCTCTCTTGTCAAATGATGACAGGGTGCCGAAAGTGATGACGGGGTGGCGAAGGCATCGCTCTCGTCAGATGATGACAGGGTGCCGAAGGCATCTCTCTTGTCAAATGATGACGGGGTGCCGAAGGCATCGCTCTCGTCGGATGATGGCAGGGTGCCGAAGGTGATGACGAGGTGCCGAAGGCATCGCTCTCGTCGGATGATGACAGGGTGCCGAAGGCATCTCTCTTGTCAAATGATGACGGGGTGCCGAAGGCATCGCTCTCGTCTTGTAGAAAAAGCTTACCAATGTTTATTGCCGATGGCTAATAGTCTTGGGTTTTTTCTTTTGGAGTATATGCCGATGATCTTTTCCAATAATTATTGCCGATGGCTAATAATTTTGGGTTTCTTTCTTTTGTTTTTGGTTGTGTTGTTATGAACGCCAAATGCCATAAGTGGGCCTTTGAAATTTAGTGATTCGGCAAGGGAGCAACTCGTGGGCCTCCAGAGGTGTCTTGACTTCGATATGGCCCTTGCCGTTCGGCAAGGGTAGCCTGGAGAAGGGAGTTTCGTGAAGTCAAGGTGCTGGGCCCGTTTGTTTTTGGCGTGAGGCCTTGGGCGGCATGGCCTAGGATTTTTAGAAGGTGAGAGAGCAGAGTCTCTTTATCAGACTTGCCGTTCGGCAGTTTGTGCACAGGAAGGCAAAACGTCTTAGTTGCTTTCAGCAAGGTTGCCGATCAGCAAGGGTGATTTCGAAATATTGGAGCTGGGTTCTTGCCGAGTTCCCTGGTGTTTCCACTTGAGTGGGTTTGAAGTTAGACCTTCGGCATCAGGTTTTCGTGAGCTCCTTTGCTGCCCAAAGCCCTTGTGGTTCGGCAAGGGGTGGATTGAGATCTTTTTGGGAGCATGTGGTGTCTTCGGCAGATTGGGTTTGTTTTCGAAACCTCTAGTTTAGCAGCACCATATATGCCGTTCGGCAGAGTCTGCCAACAACCTCTGCTTTGGTAAGTCAGCCTCATGCGATAATAGTGTCGGCAAGATGACCAAGGCGGTTGTGCTAGGCAAGGTGAGCCGATTCGTGTTGTCGTGCCTCCGGAGTCTGTGCGCAACCCTTGCCGTTCGGCAAGGGTGTTCTGAGAGAGATTTTCGAAGCCTCCGTGTTCTTGTGGCACGTAAGCTGGGTTTGGCGAGATGCATTCTTGAAGGAGGCAGGATCGGCAAGGTTTGTGTGCGTGGACCGGGTCTCAGAAGCTGCGGCAGGAGCTGGTCTGCACGAGCTGGGTCTGTGTAGTGTCGGTACCGTTGTCTGCTAGCACCTTCTTGAGTTCCAAACCAATATTAATTGCTTTACCAAACAGTAAGGCATCCCCCCAAGCTTTGGGTGTCTTGATAGGTTTCTCCTTACTTCCAGAAAGGGTGCTGGGTGTCTTTGCGAGCGCTCCAGTTTTGGATTTTGGGATTTTGGCTGTTCGCATGCTGTAGTTGGCCTTTGGTTGACGGCCTACCGTTCGGTAGGTGCAGTACAAATGGTTTGGGAGCTCTTCGCGGATGCCGTCGTCGGCTTGCCGATTAGTTGTGGATGGTTTGGGAAATTGCCCATCTGTTTTTGAGTTGCTTGGTAGTTTGAATACGCACAGTGCACTTCAACAGGTCGAGAGTCTATTCGAGCGCCAGCAGCTGTGACGTGCCGTTTCGGAATCCTTGTCCAGACGGGTGTCTTGAGAAAACCAGTGGCATAGAGATGACGGTTTCTCAAACCTCTTGGGTGCCTTGAGTAATATCTTGGATATGGGTGTGCCGTTTGGTATATTGGAACCCTTCATGCAGATTTTTGTTGAAAATCTTGAAAGTGCAGTGGGCAGTTGGCTTCAGAGATGAATTGAAGCTGTTGCCGTTTGTTACCGTACGTGGGCTGCTCCTTGGCCGTGCAAGTAACGCAAGTTGATGTTCTTTGTGGATTATAGAACCTTGGGCAATCTCCAAAGTCGAACTCTACATAGTGGCCGATTGGTGGGTGGCTTGAAGGATTTTGGTAGAGGAGAGGTTTTGATGTTGAAAGTCCCCGTTGTTGTCAACCTTACCGTTCAGCAGGTATGGGAACTGTCCTTCGCAATCTATTGCTGCCCTACTGATCAGATGGGGGCACCCATGTTTTATGAAGACACCTTGGGTTTCATGAGAAATTCTAACATGTGGATGTGTTTTGACAGATTGGTAAGAGTGGTGATTGGTGGCAGATGTTGGCCAGCATGCATTCCTTAATAAAAGCCAAGCCAGCTGGTCTCTTCGGCAAGCATGGTGTACTTGGGGCTTTGTGATTGCTTGCAACTAGTTGTTTGTCTCCTGGTAGTGAACCACGTGGGCATTGGGTACCCAATATTTTGCCAAAGACATGTTGAATATACAAGGCGCCCCCAAACTTTCTCTTCAAAGAGGTGCCGAATGGCACTTTGAATTAAGATGGTGGTTTGGCCATGCAAGCCATGCAAGACATGCAAAATAACAGCTGCATTATGATTGGCTAATAGATTAGTGGACTTGTACCATTTATGTTGGCAAATGGGAACAAAATAAAGACAAGATAAGAAATGGAGATCTTATCTTTTGGGAGCCCACTCATCAATATTCACCAAAGGTGCCGAACGGTAAGGCAGGTAAAGGAAAGCTAGGATGGCCCATGCATTTCCCCTTCTTCTGACTATTATATTGCAAGGATTTATTTTCTGCATGTCATTCTCTTGACCCTCATGGTTACCCCATTATGGTATTGCCGTTCGGCAAGTTAGGTGATGCTGATTGTAGGGGTGCCGAAGGGCACTGCCGAAGGGAACTGCCGAAGGCATCTGCCGAAGGGCACTGAAGAAGGGGAGAATGACAGAAGCTTTTTGTGTCGCTTCCCACAGACGGCGCCAAACTGTTGACGCTCAAAAATGGTTCGGCACTTTTGAGGCTAACTTAGTGATGAGGTGTGATGGATGATGGGTGAAGGTGAGGACCTTCACCAAGTGTGTGAGGATTGGAGCAAGCGATAAACATACAGAAGACAAGATATACGTGGTTCACCCTTAATGAATGGGCTACGTCCACAGAGAAGTATATTCTCATTATTATAATATTGTGTATTTACATTTGTACATGGGGTTGGACCCAAATATAAAAGTAAGAAAGGAGAAGGCCATGACTAAATATAAAGCCCAGCCCAAAGATCCCTTTCCTAACGGGAGAGTGGTCTCCTTTTATAGGTGATGGGGAGCATTCACTTCTTGTAATATTCCAATGTGGGACTCTTTGCTTTGCCTAGAGTTGCTTCTAGTTGCTTGGTCAAATATGGCATAAACAACGTCCATTTTTAAATTGACGCGGAAGCAGCTCAACATCTTGAAAGACAAGTCTAAGGAAGATGGCGGGAATAATATTAATACAATCAACTATAGCTCATTTGAGATGTTGGCAGGTCATATTTGGAGATGTGCTTGCAAGGCACGTAAACTTCAGGATGATCAAGACACCAAACTACTTATTGCCACCGATGCACGGTCCAGATTGCAACCCCCACTCCCACCTCATTTCTTTGGCAATGCTGTTTTCAGAACCACACCAATTGCTGTTGCAGGGGATCTCCAATCGAAGCCAACATGGTATGCTACAAGCTTTGTTCATGATGCTTTGGTGCGGATGGACGATGATTATTTTAGATCAGTCCTTGACTATCTTGAGCTTCATCATCCTTGTCTTTCTGAACTCATTACGGGGCCTCTGTCGATTTGTTGCCCAAATCTTCGCATAAACAGTTGGGCTAGGCTGCCGATTCATGATGCCGATTTTGGGTGGGGTCGACCAATTTTCATGGGGCCTGGTGCAATTCCATTTGACGGGATGTCTTTCTTGTTACCAAGTGCAACAAATGATGGGAGTTTATCACTGATCATTTCTCTGAAATCCGTGGACATGAAATCATTTTCCACGTTGTTGTATGACATATAATTAAGGAAATGAGACCGTTGGAGAAATTTGGTCATGTTCGGTTTGAAACGCTGTCCTCTTCTTCACCTCTACGGTTGTTCAACTTTGAAGTTGTGTATTGGTTTGTACACGTTGCTTGATTGAGTATTACAAGCTTTGTTTCAAAAGCCATGAATGTATTGGTGCATGTGGTGGACTTTCTGTCCACCATGCTTGCTGTGTTTTATTGTGATTCTTAATTTTCTCTTTCTCATCACATAAAAGAATTCCGAATTTTATATCAATTCTGGTTTTGTTGAATTAAGTTTTTTGTATATTCTTGTCATGAGTTTCTGATATTGTAATTCTCCTTCACATATATTTCATGGGAGAAATTAAGTTGTGCTTTTGCGAGTTGTAGCTAAGGCTGTCCACATCCTTCTATCAGGGCTGGTCCATTAGATCTGGTCAAATAACTACAAAAATAATATACGAAAAGCATCGACAAATTAGGGATTCACCTTATTTGCTAGGTTTCTTCTTGCAATCATTGATTCATATTCCAAATACAAGACATGATTTCTAATTGGAGAGAGATGGAGGAGCAGAGCACGTTTTGGCCTTGGCAAAGAAGAAGTTGGAAAGAACAAGTAAAGAAACGATTTGGTCAAAGAAAAGAAGAAAGGATTTGGGAAAAGCAACGTTGGGAACTTGGGAGAGGAGCGCACCCGGGGAACACAAACTTGCTTGGAAAATTGTTTTTGGGTTAAAAAAGAGATTAGCACGCTGGAACAAGAACTTGCTTGGAAAAATGTAATGCAACCTTATAATAATAAATATATATAATATATGTTATAGTTGAGCATAACATTTGGAGACCCTAAATTTTGGAGGCCTTGTGCGGTCGCCCAGTCTGCATAGCCCATGAAACGGCTCTGCCTTGTATTATTAGAAAGTTGTGATACACATGTATATCTTTGTGATCTTCTTGTTATTTGGACTTTTCGAAGGATTAGGGATGGATTCAAGATTTTAAAATAGACTGAGCTGGATTTACCTTAAAACTCGACGACACGAGCGAATTTTATTAATAAAAAAAAATGATACACCTAGTTATGGAGGACATAATGAGCCATATACCCCTCAAAATGTATCCAATACATAAAAGAAAATAATAAATAAACATGCAATGGAAATACAACATAAAACCACTGGTTCCAAAATTACTGTCAATTACAGCTTTTCCATTCCTCGACTGGATGATGTGTTGAATGTTCTGAAGGGTTCAAAAATTTTCTCCAAAATTGACTTGAGGAGCTGGTGCTACCAAATTCGTTCGAAGGCTAGGTGACAAGCGGAGAACGACGTTAAAAAACAAAGATGGTTTGTACGAATGGTTGGTGATGTTATTTGGGCTTTCGAATGCCCCTAGAACCTTTATGCGGCTCATGAATCAGGTGCTTCGTCCTTTTATTGGATTATTTATGGTTGTTTATTTTGACGACACATCTTGATTTACAGTGAAACTGAACATGAGCACTTGCGGCTTCTAAGGCAAATTTTGGAAGTACTGTAGCGAAATAAACTGTACAACAACCTTAAGAAGAGCAGTTTTCTCACCTGCATATTATTATTTTGGGGTATGCTGTGAGTTGAAAAGGAATTCATGTTGATGAAGACAAAGTGAAGGCAATCCAAGAATGGCCAACACTTTATAGGGTTCACTCCGCATTGTATTTTATTAATCAAAATCGTCTATTTTTTCGATATTCATTCAAAGATCATCTCTACACAAAATCACTTGAATCCAATATCATTTGACCACAAATATACAACAGATAGCCAAAAAGCTCTATGCACAACCCAAACATGAATACTAAGAACAATAGGGAATTCTAATAAAATGATTCGCGACCAAATTACGATCATGATGTACAAAATAAGAGCATCTGTGATGATTAGGATCAATGCAATTTTATTGCATGAAATTGAACTAAAATAGTAAAATCTCACTTGCAATTGTGTCATTTAGTTCATTGCAATAGGGTGCTAATGTGATGAACCCTCTATTGCAATTGCAATAGGCTAACCATGAGGCCCACATGCCAATAAAAAATAGAAAAAATACATCAATTAATGCATTATGTTGTTAAGAGCATCCACAATGGTTGTTCAATGGTTCGGTGCAATAGAAAAAACACAACAATTATTATTTTTTTATTTTTACAAATGGTCTCTTTTTAAAGATCTCTTTAAGAATATTTCAATGGTACAATTTTCTAGTTTTATTTTATTTGAGTATATAAAAAAAACATGTAAGTAAATATAAGTATTGATATGGAGTTATTGAACTATACTATTGCAAGTAGAACTGCAATTCAATTCAATAAATTAATTTATTGAACAATTACATTGAAATATTGAACAACCATCGCGAATACTCTAACAAAACCTCAAAGAAAAGATGAGTTACACCAAATACATTATCTTTTATACTCTCTGGTTGGTTATAGGAATACCCAATTGGTGAATAAAGGGAAAGGTTTGCCTGCAAGTCACGAAACCTCAACCCTTACCGAGATCACCCACATACTTTATATAATATATAATCTCTTTCTCTCATTGGATCCATCAGCAAACAAAAGAAAATTGCACATCCAAAGATTTTTGCAAGCTGTTGTTCGCTGGGTTTGAAATATCTCATCACCCATCACCATTTAAATTTCTCTGATAAAAATGTATCCCTCTGTTCGAGAATTAAAATATTATATGTGTATGTTTAAATTCCCACTAGACGTCAAGTGTTTACCTTTACAGACCAAGCGGTGAGCACAACTTCTTTGACCCGGGAGTGCTCAAGCAAGCGCTCAGCAAGGCCCTTGTCCCCTTCTACCCCATGGCCAGTCGATTCAAGCTTAACGACGAGAATGGCCGTGTGGAGATTGACTGCAATGCGGAGGGAGTGCTCTTTGTTGTAGCGGAGAGTAGCTCTGTCGTTGATGATTTTGGCGATTTTGTTCCCACTCCCAATTTCATTACTCTCATCCCCACCGTTGATTACTCCCTTGGAATATCCTCATATCCTATTTTGGTGTTACATGTAAGTCTTCTAAGCCATTATAACTTGAACACTAACCTTGTTCTGCCATTGAAGTCTTTTGTCGAACACCTGGTAGGCAGCTCTTCTCTAAGATAACCGATTGCCTTAGCTCTGGAATTCTTGATGGGGTGAATATCCTGATGAGTTGTGTATCTCGGCTCTTAGAGGGAGCTGCCCTATTTATATGCATCACTCAAGGAGTCTTGCCCATCAAGAGACTCCTTGAGTTTTCCTTATTGCAATAGAACAGTGACTCCTAATTCTAATAGAACTAGAAAACCCCTTTAGCCTTGTAATCCATTTAGAACACTGATACAAGGGCTGCTGGATGAGATAGATTTAAGTCCTAGATTAATCTGGAGTTCTTGCAATCTGACATAGATTAGAAGACCACTTTCGTGAGTTTAAGATAGTAAACTATCTTACATTCTCCCACTTGGTCAAATAATCATTGTGACTCAAGATTAATCACTTAATGGCCAATTTAGGACTTTAAAATTTCTCAGTTTCTTATCAAGCCACTGTCATTGGTATGAACTCATATGGAACTGTCAAAGCACATTGAATAAATAACATTCAAGTCTTTTGCAACCACACATATAAGTCTATAACAACACATGAGGCTGCCAACTGAATTAGGATCAAAGAATTGTTGAGATCTGCCTTAGGATGTGTTTGATGATCAAAACAATTCTTAGCTCACCCTTACAAGACTACCAAGGTCTTAGCAAAACTTTCATGGCTCCTTCATGGATACGAAAATGCAAAACATAAGTGCTAGCAAATTTTGCAGATTCTTCCTTCATCCATATGCCAAAACATTTATAAGTTGGAAAAACACAATTTAAGAAAACTTTGAATGACATTATCAAAATGTAAACTGTAAGAACAACTTCGATTGAAACTAATTAAATGAAAACAGACTTAACTCTGGCTCCCACTGACTCCCACTGACTTAAAAATCAAAACTGATCTGCAAACCCATGCTTTTAACATGCCTATGAAAAACATGATTAGGCAAGCCTTTGTTCAGGGGATCTGCATTGGCCTAAAAATTATCCGAATTTTTATCGTTCGGGTTTCCAATTGTGTAACTGGTCTTATCGGAAATTACCACCCCCCTTCAAGGTTGTAAGTCTAAAATCTATATTTAAAGGGCAATAAAGGTATTTAACATACTAACTCAAACTCATAAAATGGCCAACTGGACAATTTGGGTTTATTCTTCCAAAGGGATAATTGTCGAAATGAACTTATACTTCAGTTTTAATTTGTCACCTTAAAGAAAAATTTAAGAGAAATGTCACCTTAATTTTTCAAAATCCATGATTTGTCATCTCACTTTAACACCATCCAATTTTCCATCCATTTTTAAGGGTATTTTAGTCTTTCCATTTTCAAGAAAAAAATAGAGAAAAAAGAGACCTCTCTCTCCCTTTCTCTCCCACCTACACCCAAAACATATCGCACATGACCCCCTCCCCCCTCTTCTCTCTCTCTCTCTCTCTCTCTCTCTAATCATGTATAAAAAAATTTATAATGATTTTTCCATTTCTAAAATACCCTTAAAAATGGATGGAAAATTGGATTGTTTTTAAGTCAGATGACAAATCATGGATTTTGAAAAATTAAGATGACATTTCTCTTAAAAAAAAATTCAAGTGACAAATTGAAACTAAAATATAAGTTTAGGTGACATGTCTACAAAAATCCCTTCTTCCAAATTAGATGAATTATGATATCTTTATACTATTAAAGACAAAAGTATATAATTTATTTATTTTTTATCATTTATATCTTTATGATCTTGTTGTTTGGACGTTGTGGAGGGATAAGGCTTTTTTTTATGTCCCCCATGCTAGCTAGTTGGTGTATCATGATAGGATGTTACTTTATCTTTTTCCCAACTAGAAAATTAGATTAAAACCCAACACACTACACCTGTGGATCCAGCTATATGTCTCGCACACACTGCCATTAGCAACGTCCAGGTCTTATCAGCTTTAAAGCATGTATCTTTTGGGGTCTAATACTCGAAGATCTTGTCGGTAATGGATTACACAATGAGCACTCACAAACTATGCTAAGTAGAAGTATAAGGGCAGAGTTAAAATTGTAAAGTTAGGGGGCCGAAGTAAAAAATACGAGTATATAAAACACTTATGTATTCAATAGTTACATGTTTAGAGTTAAAAATTTCTAATTTTAGTCATGTTTAAGTTGTTTTAGAGGAAATTTTAACTTAAATTATAAGTTTTTTTATTACGAATTATATGTATATATATTATACATAATATAGGAGAGATCAAAATGTCAAGGTCACTGTAAAAGTGCGCACACACTAAACAATAAAAGCAGACACACAAAGAGCACAAGAATTTATACAAACAATTGATTCAAACTTTAAGGCTTTTCTGCCCTCAATGCTAAGTGTATCATGTATATGGTCAATTGTTAATACAAACAATCTTGTAATGGTTATTTAAAAGGGAGATTCACTAATATACCCAATATGGGGGCCCAAATTATAAAAATACCCCATATGAAATGAACTTTATAAACACACCCAAAACCCATTTACAACATAACAAAGAGGCCTTAACTTCTTATAAATTACAAAACTACCATAAATTTCTTAAAACAAGCCCAACCTCAAAATCTCATAAAAATACCCAAAACACTCAATAGGGCATTAAAGTAATTTAATAATCAATATTAAATTCAATAAGGCCAGCTGTCATTTTTGGGGTTTTTTTTTAGTTTGTTTATAGAAATTCAATTATAGAGGGTTTATCTATAATATTAGTGCTAAGAATGGGTATATCACTAAATATCTCTATTTAAAACTGTTGCTCTATGATCATATGGCAAAGGAAAGTTAATGTCTAAATCGAAAGGAACATACATGATATGCCTTACATGGGGGACATAAAAATCCCTCCATAAAGTTCAAATAACAAGAGTGTGCGGTCCACCCACCAATAATAGGAGAAATTATTAACGGGTCTTATCAGCTTAAAATCATGCAAGTCTTCCTCAGATTCGATTTCAAGTTTGTTCGATTTACTTCTGGTTGTTGTTGTGGGTTTTGGGTTAACTTGTCTTAAAAACCAAAGAAAGAGGTCCTAATTTTCTTTTCTTAAAAACCAAAGAAACAAGAAATATGGGGGAGAAGTTGACCGTGAGCGTAAGTGAGTTGAGTGTGGTGAGGCCAGCCGAGGAGTCGACGCCTCGGGGCTCGTTGTGGCTCTCTAACTTGGATCTATTCCCACCCTATCACACACCCCTTCTTTACTTTTACAGACCAAGCGGTGCGCACAACTTCTTCGATCCAGTAACGCTCAAGCAGGCGCTAAGCAAGGCCCTGTGCCCTTCTACCCCATGGCCGGTCGCTTCAAACACAACGACCAGAACGGCCGTGTGGAGATTGATTGCAATGCAGAGGGAGTGCTCTTTGTCGTAGCGCAGAGCGGCTTTGTCGTTGATGATTTTGGCGATTTTGTGCCCACTGCCAATTTCCTTAAACTCATCCCCGCAGTTGATTACTCCGGTGGGATATCCTCGTATCCAATTTTGGTGTTACGGGTATTTAACAATTAGGGTTCCTAAGAGTTGGCATATTCCTAGGTGTATAAGCCCACTACAGATCCAAGACTAAGAGAAAGAGACATTTAACTTTTATAGTCTATAAATAAGCCCACAAATTATATAGTTCTAAATTTTACTCTCTACATATATACACTCAAATGCAGGTGACGTACTTCAAATGTGGAGGCGTGTCACTTGGTGTTGGCATGGATCACCGCATCGCAGATGGACCTGCTGCTTTCCATTTTTTAAATACGTGGTCTGATATTGCTCGTGGTGATTTCACAAATTTTAAACCACCCTTCATGGACAGGACATTACTTCGTGCCCGAGACCCACCTCGGCCTGCATTCCCCCACATTGAATTCCAGTCCCCTCCACAAATGAAATTACAACGCATTACAAGTAATATTACTACGTCCCTTTTCAGAATCACGTATGAGCAGCTCGGCATCTTGAAAGCCAAATCTAAAGAAGATGGCGGAGGGAACTATACCTCATTTGAGATGTTGGCAGGTCATATTTGGAGATGTGTTTGCATGGCACGTAAACTTCCTGATGATCAAGAAGCCAAACTACTCGTTCCCACTGATGGACGGTCCAGATTGCAGCCTCCACTCCCACTTGGTTTCTTTGGCAATGTCACTTTCAGAACCTCAGAAATTGCTGCAGCAGGGAATCTCCAGTCGAAACCAACCTGGTATGCTGCAAGTTGCGTTCACAATGCTTTGATGCAGATGCACAACGACTATCTTTTATCAGTCATTGACTATATTGAGCTTCATGCTCCTTCTCAAGCCGAAACTGTTAACGGAATTTCGTTGATTGGGCGCCCGTTTCTTCGGATAAACAGTTGGATTAGGCTGCCAATTCATGATGCTGATTTTGGTTGGGGTCGACCCATTTTCATAGGGCCTGGTCGCCCATTTACATTTGACGGGAAGGCTTTGTTGTTACCAAGCGCAACTAACGATGGGAGTTTATCACTCGTCATTTCTCTGCAATCTGAGCACATGAAATCATTTTCCAAGTTGTATGACATACAAGGCCCCAATCTTAAGTGGGCCCCAAAATTATAACTTTGTTCAAGTGATGTAAACGTATCTATTCATCTTTATTAAATTTCTTCAGATGTTTGACAAAAATAAAAATAAAAATTCATGTTGTCATGCATGGATATAGACAGTCACAGGCTAATCCAACTAGTTATTGCAAGTAGTTAGCTGCACAAAAAAGGCGCATTGCCAAAGAAACCACCAGGTGGGAGCCGCGCCTCCGCCAACCGCAACACATGCGGAAGCTGAGATTTGCTCAACAATTGGAGGGAAGCGTCAAACTTGTTGAAGGAGATGCCTTTAATCTGATCTCCAGTCTATTCTTGGTGCAAACGAAAATTGGTCAGATGTTACTTTTGAATTTAGCTATGTTTCTGTTCATTTTGTTTTCCGAGTGGAGAGGCCAATCTTGTGGCCATAGACTAGAACGATTTGCTTTCTCTTACTAATGCATCTACATGGTATTCAGGGGCCCCCGAATATCATTTAAGATCTTTTGTAAGTTTGCTTTGATTCAATGAGATTGTATCTTAACAAAAACTTATATATATTTTCTAAAACTGATTGTTATTCAGATATCATTCATAGAAAAATATATATTTTCTGTTTTCAGGTCAAATGAGATTCCATCTGTTTTTGGTTTGGTACCCTACGACTTTTTTTTCAACGATCCAAACCATCGATCTATTGTCAAGTCTTCATTCATAGATCATCCTTACAAAAAATCAGATACAATCTCATTGAATCGAAGCAAACTTATTTGAGGGATCCAAAAGTAGCTGTAAGAGTACGATTTTGAGTTTTTCTTTTGGCTTTCCTTGACAATATTGTAATAGGACAATCATTGTAATTTCCCAAGCTCTAGTTTAGATTAAGAATTGCTTCTCTATGTGTTCTTATTTGGCTACAATTTGATGGATAATCAATGATTTTGACTAAGGTAATTTCTGCATTACATCATATTGTATTCATTAAATTTCTTAAGATTATGACTAGTCATCTTTCTTTCGTATGACTAGTCATCCTTTGCATTAGTAGGATTTCCAGCTGGATCCTAACCAACTTTTTTGTCATATTCTGCGAATTCTCTCTGCTGCCAAGTGTACTTTCTGACCTAGGAATTTTTGGGTAAAAACCAAAGAATTCCTCATTTGGCAATGGTCTCTTTTGATAGGAAGTTTTGGAAAGTTTCTTACTAACTTTCTCTTCTTCTTCCTCAAGAGAAAACCATCACATTTTTCATCTATGAGTTTTCCAAATTGATTGTTTGAAAATTGCTTTTGAAATATGAAATCTACATCTAGCTAGATCAAACACTCTCTCATATACATCTAGGTCAGATTCAAAATTGATTTCTTCAAGAGTATGGTTTATTGAAGAAATTGGTCATTTTTCCTTGAATCCAAATTTTAGTTTCTGTCTGAGTTTGAGCTGGCTAGATGGTGCCATGGGATGAAAGAGCTGAAGAAGGAGTTGTCATTGCCATGAAGGACTAAGCTGCTGGTTTTACTAAGTTGGAGAAGAAGATTTGTACAAAGGAGGTATAGCTTATCTTCCTAAATAGATCTAGGATTTCTTGAGCTTGCTTGTGTTTCTTTGCAAGAATCTTCTTTGCTTAGTAGATTGCCTAGTCAGTTGATGACCCCCAGTTTTTCCCAATGTTGGGTTTTTGGGTGAACAATTTCTGGTTTGCAGTTATGAAATTTTCTATGTTTGTGTTCTTGATAGTTGACTAGTCATCGCATGATGTTCATGTATTTCTGGGTTTCTGTTCTTGCGGTTGACTAGTCATCATGATCTCTTATTTGGTGTTTGCTTCATTATGATGCTTTCACACACTTTCACCATAGTTGTTGCTAGCACAAGGGATGCCTAGATTGACGGGTCTTTCTGAATGCCTAGGTTGTCACTAGTAATCTTCTAGGCTTGCAGGTACATATTGGTACGCTCTGTGTGCGTGCTCTTGGTTATGGTTTTACATGATCAACATTTGACTAGTCATAAGTATATTTGGTCAAGGTTTAAAGTGTGAAGATTTCTGTGTCTGTTTGAGTAGCGTGTAATTTTACCCCTCGTCACCTAAGTACCAATTTCAGTAGCAAATCAAATGAAGGAAGAGAAAAGTAATAGAACAAAAGAGGACAAAAATCCTCTAATTGCTGCAAATATTCATGAACCCATTTACCTCCAGAAGCTGAGTTTAGAAGATTCAAATAAGTATAATGAAAAAGTGGGAAGGAAGAAACCACAAAAAACAGGACAAAGTAATTAAAATGAATTCTGCAGATTAGAAGAAATAGCAAAGGCATTGCAGTAAATTATGCAGAAAGCCTTTCCTAAATCAAACAAGAACCAAAACCGAAAACAAATGGAAAACAAGTCAACCACAGAGCCAGAATGTAAACATAATGAACACCTTGAGTTGCTCCAAGTTTTCTAAAACCTGTTTACCTTCAGAGTCTAGAAGACGATTCAAACAAGGCAACAGATTTAAATCCTCTAAACTTGCAACTTGTGGTGCATGGAATCAGGACTAAACAAACTTAGGACAGAAGCCCAAATCATATGTATAAATTTCCTTTTACTGCACGAGTGAGTTAAAGATCTTATGTGATCATTTTTGTCTTTGCGCCTTTCCTTCCACTTAACTTCCCTCCATCAAATCATATGTATAAAATTCTTGTTTGACCAAAATTATCAACAAATCAACAAAGGAGAAAGACAATCAGGTATAGGGAGGCCGTGACAAACTTGGAAAATTAGGTCATAAGCAACGAAAGGAAATTTGCATGCTACAATTCCATAATGAGGAAATACCATAACAGATACAGCTTGCCCCTCAGTTGTTGTAATATTAGGAGGATCAATAAAAGTACACATATATTTCGATAAAAACTTGAATCAATTTGTACATTTTTGTGGTTATAGACTTGACATGATTAATTTGAACTGATTCACATTACAAACAAAAAAGGAATACAACAACAAAAAACCCAGTAGGCTTTGTACTTGAGTTATCACATCAAATAGAAACTTCTCGATTTCAGTTGGAATACCAAAATCCGCTGGAGGATGCCTTCATTGAACAATGGCAAAGTTTGCATGCATGGTAATCTACGCTTGGTTTGAAGCAACGGACACTAGATACATAGCCCAAAAATGAGTGAACCACCTTAACCTTGGTATGACCCTCTTTTGTATGGTTGTGGCCGCGCTACGAATGGATGAGACAAGAGTCTTTCCGCTGTTAATCTTTCCCTGAACTTCATGGCGAGACAACTCTTGGGAAAACCCCTGGCCACATTTGAGATTCTAGTCGGAATTTTACAAGTACGTAGATGATCAAACATCAACATGTCATGGAGATTGTTAGGATTGTAACCAGGCTTCAAATCATAGGGAGACTTTCCGTTTAGCATCTCAAACACAATACAACTAAGAGACCAAATATCTGAGGAGTGATCTTGTTTGTTATAATAAAAGCCTGTGGGGACAGATACCTAGGCGTGCTTCTCCATTGGCTATAATTCTCCTTGGTTTTCTTAGCCAATCCGAAATCTACAATCTTGGCTACAAAACTAGTACCACCCGAAGGTGGTGGTAGGCACAAGCAGAATGTTGTCCGGGTTCAAATCACAGTGATCATAGTCACACTTGTGAATCCCTTCAAGAATTGACCTTGTGTATCTTCTCACATCACATTCAAGTAATTTATAACCTTTGAAAACTGCCATATGCGGTATTAAATTATTTTGTATTATTGTATTATTATTGTGAAACTGTCAATATTAAATTAGTCATATACACAAATATAAGGTTAATTATCAAGATAAGTAACTATATATGGATTAATTGCGATGCTGGTGTAGGAATATCGGCCCTTCACATCGTGAAGCCTGTTAACTAAAACCAAAATGTAAAGGATGCTCTATATATTAAAAGCTGAAGATTCTCTAAAATTAAAACAGAACAAGTTTACAACTTAAATAGAAGCAAAGAAAACAAAACAAATTCTAACTCCACTATAACCACTAACACAACTAGTGCATATTTTGTGGAGATAACAACTCTAAACAACGGAAGCAAATTGTGATCGTGGTGAGCAGACTTAACCACATCCCCTACATGCAAGGACTCTAGCTTGACTTGGTCTCTACGTTACCAGGTCAGCATTAGTTAATTAAAAAACTTAAATAAACATAATTAAATAACCCTTAAGACCCTCCCTTAAATTGATTTCTGCTGAAAAATAGTTTAGGAATTTTCTACCATCACATAATCTTCTTCATCAGCAGCTTTTCCTTGATCAACACTTTGAACTGAACAAACACCAAGCATACTCCTTTGCTTCTCGAATGCAGGCTGCTTCAAAGGTTTAGTTAGAATATCTGCAAACTGTTCTCCAATCTTGCAATACTGCAGCTCAATTTTTCCATCTCTGCAAAGATCACACAGAAAATGAAAACAACCATCAATATGTTTACTTCTCCAATGGATGATTGGATTCCTTGACAGCTTGATGGTTGACATGTTGTCACAATAGATGATCGTTGCTCCCTTTTGTTCATCACCAAAAACTTCAAACATTTTTCTAAGCCACACAGCTTGACAAGAACTGGAAGCTGCTGCCACAAACTCAGCATCAGTTAAGGAAAGTGTTACCATTTGTTGCTTCTTTGAGGACCATGATATTGCTCCAGAGTTGAGCATGAATACATGACCAAAAGTGCTCTTACGATCATCTATATCACCTGCATAATCACTGTATGTGTAACCAACAAAACCAGCACTATTTGGCCTTTTATAAAACACACCATAATCAACTGTACCCTTCACATATTTGAGAATTCTTCTTGTGCATTTAGATGTATTTCAATTGGTTTTTCCATATATCTGCTTACCAAACTTACTGCATACATGATGTACGGTCTTGTGGAGGTTAAGTACATGAGACTACCAATAATTTGCATATAGAAAGTACTGTCAACCTCCTTCCCACCTTTGTCTTTGCACAACTTTAAGCCAAATTCACTTGCAATCTTCCATTTGAAACCTTTTAAGAATTTCCTGTGCATACTTCTTCTGATAGATAAAATTTCCAATAGTAGTTTGAATGATTTATAATCCAATAAAATAATGCATTAATCCTAGATTAGTCATTTCAAACTTCTTCATCATAGACTTCTTAAATTTATCAAACATCTTGACATCATTACCGGTTCATAACAAATCATCAACGTACAAACACACAATGAGTAATTTACCTCCTTCTTCAGTATTGACATAAAGAGTGTGATCGGAGGGACATTTTTAAAATCCAAGTTTGGTAAACTGAGCATCTATGCGACTGTACCAAGCTCGAGGTGCTTGTTTCAGTCCATAGAGTGCTTTCTTCAGCTGGTACACTTTCTCTTTCTCTCCTTTCTTCTCATAACCAGGTGGTTGGTCAATGTACACCTTCTCTTGCAAGTCGCCATGCAAGAAAGCTGATTTCACATCTAACTGAAAGATTGACCATGAGTTTTAAGCTGCAAGTGAAACCACCAACCTGATTGTATGTTGTCTTGCAACTAGGGCAAATACTTCCTTGTACATGCTTTTGCTTGTAACCCTTTGCTACTAGACAAGCTTTGTGCTTGTCAATTTCACCCTTTTCATATGGTTTTCCTTCCCTTAGGTAAGTCTGTCAACTCCCAAGTGTGATTCTTCTCAATGGACTTGATTTCATTGTCCATTGCTTCCCTCCATTTCTTTACTTTAACATCTCATCATATGTGATTGGATCACTGTCTACAAATAAAGCAAAATGAGCATTTTCATCATCATAACTTGTAAAATATACATCATAATCTGTCATCCATGCCAGCTTCTTCCTTGTGTTTTCATCCTTCAAGTTGCAACCTCTTTCTTCTTCTGATTTTTGATGAGGTTGAGCCACAAGTTGAGGTGATTCATGGATTTGAGTTGCAGGTACTTCTTCTTCCTCACCATCCTAGACATCATCATATACGAGTGGCTTCTAAACTGAGCTTTCAACATTCCAATTCCACATAGTTTCTTCATCCAATATTACGTCCCTGCTTATCATTATCTTCTTTGTCACTAGATTGTACAGCCTGTAAGCTTTTGAGGCTTCACTTACACCAAGAAAAATACACTTTTCACTCTTATCATCCAGCTTCTTTCTTTTCTCATCAGGGATGTGTGCATATGAAATGCACCCAAACACTTTAAAATGATCAACCGAGGGCTTCCTTCCACTCCAAGCTTATTGAGGAGTCATATTCTTAGCAACAAACTTTGAACCATATCAAGAATAGTTCAATTCTTCCTCTCACTTACACCATTCTGCTGTGGTGTGTAAGCAATGGTGAGAAGTCGCTTGATGCACTTTTCTTTGCAAAACAAATCAAACTCCTTGGAGCAAAACTCCCCTCCTCAATCTGTTCTTAGTGTTTTAATCTTCTTGTCAATTTCATTCTCAGCTAAGGCTTTAAAGCTTTTGAATGCATCAAATGCTTCTGACTTTTCCTGTAAAAAATATACCCATGTCTTTCTACCAAAATCATCAATAAAAGAGATGAAATACTTCTTGTTACCATTCAAGATTGGATTAATTGGTCCACATAGATCTGAGTGAACTACCTCCAAAACTGATTGAGCCCTCACTACCTTTCCACTTGGAAATGAATCTCCTTGATGTTTCCTAGTGATACATTCTTCACAAACCTTTGATGGAGGAGTTATTTCAGGTAAGCCTGTGACCATCTTCTTTTGGTGAAGTGTTCTCAAACCATTAAGGTTCAAATGACCATATCTGTAATGCCATCTCCATGAATCATTTACCACAGCAATAGAGCCTCTCTTTGGATCATACATTTCACAGTCTCCTTTAAAAATTGTAACCCTGTACCCTTTGTCTTGTAAATAACCAGCACTTAATAAACTTGTTTTCAAGTCAGGAATAAATAAAAAAAACATTTGCAATGGTTTCAACAAAGTCATTTTTAGTCCTGATTTGAATATCTCCCTTTCCCATCACATTCACAGTTTATTTATGCCTAAAGCTCACAATTGAATGAAAACTTTCATCTAAATTAACAAAGGAAGAGTTACTTGCACTCACGTGATTGCTACAGCTAGTATCCACGTACCATGTTTCTTGGTCATACTCCTCCAGTGCATGAAAGGCCATCAAAAGTGTCTCTTCCTCCTTTTTCTCAGCAAAGTTGGATTTTTCTCCTTTCTCTTTTGGCAGCTTTGTGTAACACTCACTCTTGTAGTGACCAAAGTTTCCACATCTGTAACACTCAATCTTGTACTTGTCATAGTGGCTTCCTCCCTTTCCTTGATAGTCATCATCTTTCTTGGAGACATGAGATGATTTGCTATCATCCATATTCCCAAACCTTCCACCATCTCGATTGCCTCGACCACCTCTTCCTCGACCTCATCTACCTCGTCCACCTCTTCCACCTCTAGAGTTTGAGGACTTAGAGAAAGTAGAAGCCTTTAGTGCTGCTTGCTCCCCACTGGCAGTGGTACAGTTAAGCCTTTGCTCATGCACTAGCAAAGAGCTTTGCAATTCATCAATTCGCATCTCAGCAACATTCTTTGACTCCTCAATTGAGCATACAACATAGTCAAATTTAGGAGTAAATGATCTCAATATCTTCTCCACAACTTTTACTTCTTCCATGGTGCCACCATTTGATCTCATCCTGTTTGCTATCCCCAATGTTCTAGCAAAGAAATCAGTTATCAACTCCCCTGATTTCATTTGGAGGGTTTCAAAGTCTCGTTAGTTTGAAGAAATGCACACTTCATTCTCTCTGAGCCTTCATATTTCTTCTTCAAAGAGTCTCATATCTGTTTAGAGGTCTCATTCTCCAGTATGGTCTCTAGAATACATCGATCGATTGCCTGAAATAGTTGATTTTTTACCTTTAAGTCCTTCAGCTTCTGTTCATCAAATCTCTTTGTTGTTGTTCAGTCAACGTGACTCCTTCTATTGGTGAGTCAATCCCTGATTCCACGATGTGCCAATACTCCTTTGATCTTAGGAAGTTCTCCATCAGCATACCCCAATGATCATAATGACCATCAAACCGTAGAATTGCAGGTTGAACAAAACTCTCAATGACTTTTTCAATTGCCACAGTTTCTTGCTGCAGCAAGACTCTCTCCTTCCCTTTTTAATCGAGTGTTTCTTTATCAGGCCCAAGAAGAGCTTTGATACCAAATGTTAGTAACTTAAACCAAAACGTAAAAGATGCTTTGTATATTGAAAGATGAAGATTCTCTACAATTAAAACAGAACAAGTTTACAACTAGTGCAGATTTTGTGGAGATAACAACTCTAAACAACGTAAGCAAATTGTGATTGTGGTGAGCAGACTCAACCACATCCCCTACATGCTAGGACTCTAGCTTGACTTGGTCTCTATGTTACCAGGTTAGCATTAGTTAATTAAAGGACAAACTACATAAAAAACCCCTAACCTATAGGGTCATTTTCAAGTTCATACCCAATTTTAGGGACATTCACTAGTACATACTCAACATCACGGAAACCCTATAATTTGCCATCTCCATTAGCGAGATCATCAGAAAATCCGTTATCTGCTTACTTGGCGTCTAGCTGGACTATTTTTTAAGGGCATTTTCGACATCTCATGTCCATGGGTTTCTAGCCCAAACAGCACGTGGCTCATTCATAAAAAAAAAAAAAAAAAAAAAAAAAAAAAACCCAACCCAAAATCGAAATCGACAACCCCAAATCGTCTAGAGCCCCCTACTCCCCAAATTGAAACTTATTCACCAAATTGAAACCTAATCCCCATTTCGCATTGATCAAAAGCATAGAGAAGGCTGGGTTACTGTAAGTCGAGATGCCGTAGGGTTTTCATCCTCCTGGCTATCGTGCTCCTCATTACTGTAAGTTGCTTGGGGTTTTATTCCTTCTAGGTTTTTGGTTTCGTCGTAAAGGGCTTGCGGTTTTGTTGTCTCTAAACCTTTGATTTGCTTTGAAGTGTGGTTGAGCGTGACATTTGTGGTCCATGGTCCATTTCTGTCGGTGTGTTGTTGGAAAAGCATATAAGGTCCATTTATGTCGGTGTGTTATTGGAAAAGCATGAAAAAAAAACACTTTTTCATACCAAACTGCTTTGGATTCCAGACAATATTAAGTGGTCTAAGACCTCTGCATTTGTTTATGTCCTTATTTATTCACCATTTATGTATTCAACAATTGTTTATTGATAGGTTTGACTGTTATGTGGCTTTGTAGGTGAAGATGATAAGTTTACTATTCGAATGAACCATGGGGGTTCTATATGTAACAACCTGTATGTAAATGGGACTCTGGACTTCATTGATTGTTGCGATAACAACCAAATGTCTATGTTTGAAATTGGTCTAATGGTTAAGGAGTTAAACTATGATGGTATATGTGAAATCCCTTTTTTTTAATATATATATATTGTTGGCTATTTAGTTATATGTTTAAATTAATTATATATTTATATGGGTTATAGTTAATTATATATAATTGTTTGACCACATAGTTGTTACCTTTATGATAATACTATTATAAAAATACCTATTGTTTGATATAAGTGATGCCACGTACAAACATATTTACCACTACTTTAGTTTCTTCACAAGTGTATACCTAGATGACTAAGCTTTCTACCTAGATGACTAAGCTTTTGTATAAAGCATGAGCTGTTGGCATTAAGAGAAAGTTGGATAATTTAGGAAGTGAAGTATATCACCAAACCTACTTTCCGCCAATCAAAAACCATCAATTGCCGCCTCTTGTTAGTATAAATAGAAACGATTCCCTTATAGAAACCATTCCTTTAACTTGTTTAAACAACTTGCATAGTAGTGCATGCAACGTGAAAGAGAGAGAGAGAGAGAGAGAGAGAGAGAGAGAGAGAGAGAGAGAGAGAGAGAGAGAGAGAGAGAGAGAGAGAGAGGTGATAATATTCTTGGAGGAGTTAGAGGTTGGAGCTTGTGTTTTCTTAACTTGGAGTTAGCTTTGGAAACGAGGTAGGGGTTTCTTGGTGACCTTTTATAGGGATTGATCTAATTAAATTTCGTGAGCTCTATATTATGTGTGCTATTATAATGGGTGTTCTTGATATTGTATAATGTTTTTGATATCTACATATTGTGAACTATTTGAATAATGTTGGCATAATTATATCATGTCATGGTAATTGGTTGGAGTTGTTGGGTGGAGAAGATAATAATGGAAAAGAGGGTAATGGGAATAGTCTTTTGTGTAGTTGAATCTAACCATTGTAGGGACCAAATCCAGGTGAGCCCGTGTGCACAGTAGATTAGGAAATCGGTGGTATAATTGTCGATTGGGTGATTTGGGCTTGGAGATCAATGGTGTAGACAAGATGACTAGCAAAAGGGGAATTATGGGATAACTGAGACGGGTGTTAGTTTATATAATGGGGCATTCAGAATCACAGTGGTAAAATGCATGGTATGGGACATGCAGATTTGCTTGCCCTATTATATAAATTAACGGGTTGGGTAGAATTGAAGAGCATTCATTCATTTATTATTATTATTATTATTAACGTGATATTTCCCTGTGTAATTGCATGTCACTTTATTTAGTTATATCAATCTACTATGGTAAGGTCTCATTTCCCTACTGAGCTGTGGTTGCTCACCCCTCACCCTGTTTAATTTTTCAGATGAATTAGTGGGCAAGAAAAGGACTAAACCAGTTGAGGCTGAATTAGATGAGAGTGTTAGAGTTTTATTTATTTATTGTAAAGTTGTAAGATTTTTGGATTTATGTTTATAAGAGAAGTTTATTTTAAAACCCTTCTTTGTATTTCTTTTTATTTTATTTTATTTATTTTATTTTTTCTCACGCATCAGGTGCGGGGTTTCCACCGACCCCCGGGTCCGGGGCGTGACAGTATAATGTTATGTCACTATGAGTTTCCCAACTTTTCTTCTGTAGAAAAGCTTCTCTCTTATGAAGATGTTATGAAAATGTGTGAATGTGTGCCAAGAGTGAGGGAGATAGATATTTATTTGACACAGTTGGCTGATGACCCTTATACCTTTTTAAACCAATACAAATAGATCAAGCTGCAAAAGGTTGAAGGTTCCATGGTACAAAAACAGAAGTCAGTGCTGATTGAGGATCTAGGATACGCTGATTGTAGCCCTGTTGTTCCTTATAAGACAAAGAGTAATGTTGAGCAGCCAACTAAATATCCTGAGCCACATAAGGTGCAGATAGTGGAGCAAGAAGCAGTGAATGATGTTGGGGATTTTTCAGAACATGAGGCACCGAAGAAAGGAAAGGGTATAAGGTCTTCAAAGGGTAAATCAGTGGCTCTACAAGAGGCACCAAAAAAGGGAAAGGCTACAAGGTTTTTAAAGGGTAAAGCAGTGGCTCAACCTGAGGCACCAAAGAGAGGAAGGGCTACAAAGTCTTCAAAGGGTAAAGGTGTGGCAATGGCAAGTGCAACAGAAAAGGAAGATAGTGATGCATCCTTATTTGATGCATTTAGCTTTGTTGACAGTGAGTATGGGGGGGATAACATTAAAAAGATCGCTGAGGAAAACAATTTTTTGCAACAATGGATTAGAGACCATGCCCCAGTTGAAGATACTTTTTGGCCTTATGAAGATGAAGAGAGAAATGAGGGTGAAGGTGGTATTGTTAATGAGGGTGAAGGTGGTGTTGTTAAGGAGGGTGAATGTGGGGTCCATAATTTTGACAACTTGGCAGGTGGGGACCAACCTTCACAGACTGGTCAAGGTAGGGACCACCCTTCACATACTAGTCAAAATAAAACTAATCTTCACAAACTGGTCAAATAGGGACCAGCCTTCTCGGACTAGGGATTTTCACTATACAGATCTTGAAGACACTAGATTGAAATAGAGGGATCAAGCAGTGGAGGATGAGTTAAGAAGTGTTCATTCAGATGAAGATGATGAAACAGTTGCAAAGGGAAAAAATTCAAACACTATAACCACGAAGCAGACAAACAAAACCCTGTATTTGATACGGGAATGATATTCAGTGACTACAAGGTTTTTAGAGAAACTGTTCATGAATATTGCTTGTTGAGTGGAAAACATGTCACTTTCACCAGGAATAAAAGGTATAAGCTGAAGGCAATGTGTAAAGCAATGAGTTGTCCATGACAGATTTATGTGACTTGGAAAAACCATATAGATCGAAACTTGGTAGTGAAATACTATAATCTTATTCATAATTGTGTCAGAGTATTTGAAAACACACAAGCCTCAACTATAATCTTATTCATAATTGCATCTAGAATTCAGTCAAATCCCACGATGCCTCCACAGTCTATAGTGAACTCAGCCTATTCTGAGTTTAAAGTAGGTATATCTAGAATGAAAGCTTACAGGGCAAAAGCAGAGGCGCTTCGAATCATTGAAGGAACAGTTACTGAGCAATATGTCATGCTCTAAGATTATTGCCATGAGCTGGAAGACAAAAACCCTGGCTCCACAACAAAGACGCACTGTGAGTTTGTTAATGGTGAAACAGTTTTTAAGCGATTGTACATTTGTTTAGAACCATTAAAGAGAAGGTTTAAGATGAACTGCATGCCTTTTATTGGGTTAGATGTCTGCCATTTAAAAGGGGTTTATGGTGGACAGTTGCTTACAGCTGTTGGGATCGATCCCAATAACGAGACTTGGGTGCTTGCATATGATGTGGTTAAGTGGAAACAAGAGAGTCAGGGACGTGGTTCATTGATTTGTTGGTCGAGGATGTGGACATTGTTAATTCTCATGGATGGGCCTTTATATCTGACAGGAAAAAAGGATTGCATTGTGCATTTGAAGACATTTTGCCTAATGCTGAGACAAGATTCTGTGAGAGGCACCTTTTGGATGACATCAACAAAACTTATAAAGTTTTGGGGGATCAGTTGTGGATATGTGCTAGAGCTACCAATGTGCCTTCTTTTTAAGTATCAAATAGAAGTAATGAAGACCTTAAATAGCAATGCTTGGGAGTGGCTTGCTAAGAAGCCACCAACACAATGGTTTAAGTCTCATTTTAGAACTCTTATTAAGTATGCCATGCTGCAGAATAACTTGCGTTAAAGCTTCAACAATAGTATCAAGACAATAAGGGACAAGCCAATTATCATAATGCTAGAGATGATCAGGTGCTTATTGATGAGAAAGATCCAGTGGATGAGGGACAAGATGAGCAGTTGGCCTCATCAAATATGCAAGAACATTTTTGATCATGTCCAAGACAAAAAGTTAGAAGCATGCAATTGTATATGCAATGGTCTAGTGGTCCTAAATATCAAGTGGATGCAGGAAGAGGTGACCAATATGTGGTGGACTTAGATAACCACACTTGTTCTTGCAGAAAGTGGGACTTGTCAGGCATTCCTTGTGCTCATGGAATTGCTACCATACATTACAAAGGAGGGACACTTGTGGAGGATTATGTGCATTCATACTACAGCAAGGACAGTTACATGACCCTCTACAACAATCTAATTATGCCAATTAATGGGTCACAGCTATGGGAGAAGACCAACCAGACAGCAATAAAGCCACTAGCCTACACTAGACAACCTGGAAGACTTAGAAAGGTGAGGATAAAAGGACCTGAAGAAAGAATAAATAAGACTATGAAAAAATAGTTGGGAAGACAAGGAATGCGAATGAGGTGTAGTATTTGTGGCTCATCTGGCCATAACAAAACCACTCACCATCGGAATCTACCTCAAAAGGAAAAACCTCTATCAAAGGGTAAAGGAAGACCAAGAAAAATACCTAACCAAGACCCTGCAGTTGCTTCTGTGAGTGCCTATTCATGAAATTGTTTTGTTGTTTCTTCCTTATAACCTGAAACTGTTTTCTTGACATTTAGACACCAACCTAAAACTTTTTTTTTTTTTTTTTTTTTTTTTTTTTTTTTTTTTTTTGTAGGATAAAGCAAACAGCTACAAGAGCTAGGAGAAAGCTTGCATATGTAAGGGCAAAGGCTACTGCTGCTACAAAGAAGGCTGCACTAAATGCTTCCCAATCAAATGTAGCTAATACTGCTAGAATTAATTGGATTGAGATCATCCAGAGAACTTAGGCTCTTAGTTCTTAGTTTATGCCATGTATTGTGTTTTGAACTAGTACAACTTTTGGTTTTGTGATGTGGCCATTTTGTCAACTTTTGGTAACTTTTTCCATGACTTGGAAATGGGTGTATTCCAGATTAGATGATCAAGTTCATTTTGTATTTTGAACTGCAAATGTTGGAAAAGTCTGTCTGTATTTTGAACTCAATATATAATGGAAATTGCCTTGAAGGAAACAGTCTATGCATTTGGAAATTGCCTAACATTTCATACATAAACATTTTTCATACAAATTGACATGGGAGATTACACAAAACAGGCCTTTCATACACATAAAACACTTTGATTTTCCAAAATGTCAAATGGCCACAAAAAAATCACCCAAGTCTCCTAAATTCTAGACCTTAAAATTGAAGTGCTAATTTCACATTCTTGGAAGATCCAGTGTCTCTCCATTCCAGTACTAGCATTCCCAACAACACAATCAAAAAAATCCAAGAACCTAGAATACTTGCTCATAGAAATCTCTGTGCTTTCAAGGCAACTCCAACCTCTTCTTCCTTATGTAATCATTTCAATAGTCCACATATCACAATCTTCAACCTTTTTGCTGGAAAGTTGATTCAAAAATATAGAATGCAGAAAAAAAAAATTGATAAAATTAAAGACATCATTAAATAAATGCTTAAAATAATAATAATATATATTAGAATTTAATTGTAAGGACCCACTATGAGTCCTTTCTTTCTCCTCAGATTTAGAAGCTTCTAGAGATCTTCCTATTTTAAGAGCTGGATATGGAACATGGTTGGAACTTAGAGGTGAGTTTTTTCAATTCCTCCCTAAATTTTAGCTGAGAAGGTGATTTAGAATATATAATATAATATCTTCCTAAATAGGACGCAGTACATTTATTTCATTATATTCCAACTGGGGATATGGTTGATGCTTTTCATCATCAAAGATCTATTCAAGAAATAAATCACACTTTTATTTCCCTTATTCCAAAATTAAATCCAGCGCGAAAAAGTTAATCATTACAAACCTATTACTCTTTGTAATCATCTATGAGTAGTTCTTTCAAAATGCATTTCTCAAAGAATAGCGCTATAGGCACTAACTTATTTATCAATTTTTGGATACCAACACATGTGGCACATGACATGGCAACTCATGTCATCTACCATGTCATCTATTTTTGTTACATAATTTGTTATTAAAAAATTAATTTCACACAGCAAATATAAAAACGGAAATAAAAAAGATAAAAAATAAAAAATAAAACCCAACAATTTTAGATTTAGGAATAATATCCTAATTGGACATGAAATTATGTCTACTTTTCCTTTTAAAAGCCTCGAATGGCTATTAAATTGAATATGAAAAAGGCATATGATCGAATAAACACGATCTCTTATTATGCTATTCTAATTGATGGTAAACCATATGGAAATATTATGACATCTAGAGGTTTGAGACAGGATTCTCCTTATCTTTTCATTCTTTTTGGTGGAACCTTTTATTCGACACTTAAATAATTTAACTTGTAATGCTTCTTCCTATATTGGACTTTTAACATCTAACCATGGCCTAAAAATCTCTAATCTTTATTTTGCTGACGATTGCTTACTTTTTGCCCAAGCAACAACGAAAGGTCAATCTTCAAAAATTTCAGGTTGGAAAGCAACTCTAGTTTCCAGAGCAGGAAAACTAAATTCTAAGTATGCTACAATACTTATGGCATGTTTTTTTTGTTCTAAAAATACCATTACTAAAGTCCTTCTATAGCATGGAATACTCTGTGTAAACCTAATTAAGGACCATCTATTACAACACACAAAGCACGTCGTGAAGCTACCATTAATTAATAATGCTTCAATAGCTAACTTGGGCGAGAAGATGATTACACGGCCTGATAATTGGTGGATTAAGGCCCAGTTTGGGATTGCTGTCACTTCTGAAAAAAGTTGCTTCTGCTGTGCTTTGAAAATAATTAGCTGTAAAGTAAAGCAGCTCCATGTTTGGTAAACAATATTTTTAAAGTGCTGTTAGTATAAAAAGCAGTGTCGAAACTGTTTGGTAAGTTTTAATATAAAATTGTTGTAACTGTAAATAATGACTAAAATAGATATGATGTTAAAAGTGTTATGTACTAATCATGTGGTAGTAGTGGTAGTGATGGAGTGGAGGTGGTGGTGGTGATGAAGGTGGAGTTGGTGGTTGTGGTAGTAGTGGTGGTAGGGATGGTGCTTGTGGAGGTGGTGGTAGTGATAGCACGGTGGTGGAGGTGGCAGCATGGTGATGGTGGTGGTGGTGTTAGTTGTGAAGGTTTTGGAGGAGGTGGTGGTTGTGGTGGTAGTGGTGGTGGTGGTGGTAGTGGTGGTGGTGGCGATGACGGTGGTTGTGGAGGTAGTGAATGTGGTGGTGTAAGTGGTGGAGTTAGATGTGGAAGTGGAGGTGATGTTATTTTTAAAAATGAATGATGATATTTTTGGAATTAAAAAATTTATTAAAGGTTCATCTTTGCTTCTTTTGAAAGCAGCTTTGAAAAGCAACCCATAGCCTGCTTTTAAAAGCTGCTGTCAAAAGGCCACTGCTTTTAAAATAATCGGGATATTTTATTTTTACCAAACACCTTAGACTGCTTAACTTTAAAGTGAAGCAGGTTTTTGGCCAAAAAAAGCAATCCCAAACGGGGCCTAACTCATGTATCAAAAGTATCTTCAGAATTCTTCTTGTTTTGAAGTAACTGCAAAACCAACTGATTCAATAAAAACTATAAATTACTACATCAGAACACATCTATTATGATGCACTTACTACATCAGAACACATCTATTATGATGCACAAAGTATGTCGTGAATTATCAATCACGACACGAAACACGCAAGCAGTAAAATCTAATTTGAGCACAAATGTCTTTACTTGGAAATACTCCTATGCATAACATGGATGATTTAGTCCATTGGAATAATATTTCTCCTACTCAGTTGGATGTCACATTTGTAAAGTGCTTTTAAAAGCAGTTTTACTGTGTCAACCAAACACTCAACAAAATATCAAAAGCGCTTTTATGTAGTGTAAAAGTACTTTTAAATGTGACATCTAAACAACAAACTGCTTCTTTGTAGAAGCGCTTATGTCATAAGCGCTACTGGCATAAGCGCTATTGGCATAAGTGCTTCGGAAAGAAGCACTCCCAAACTAGCCCTAACTGTTTTACCATTTGTTGGAAAATCTAGGATCAACGAAATCGTTACATGTTTCAAAATAAAACACCTCATTTGTTGGCAAGCCAATCATATAACTTCTTTTTTTTTTTTCAAATGTAAGAATAAAAATGAAACAGCTTATGGGTGGAGTCCACGTATAAAAATGATTCAGTTCTAGCTAATGGTAATTCTGCTGTAGGTTTCATAATTCGAACCTCAAATACTAAACCAATTATAGCAAGTTCTTCTTGTTTGGGGCATAATTAATGTTCTCCAGGCTTAATTAATGCACTTAAGCTTGCGTTAAATTGGACAACTCGGTTAAGGCTGTCGAAAATACAAGTGGAAGGGGATTCTAAAACTTTGATACAAATAATTACTAAAAGGGCAAATTTACCTTGGGAGTGTGATGTCTATAGCGGATCATATTTGGCAATTCATGGAGAAGTTCTCTCAAATAATAGTTACTCACATTTACAGGAAAAGCCAATGTTGTTGCGAATATTTTAGCAGTGCCAGTCCTGAATTTTTCAGTGGCCAGGGCAAAAGTGAAAAATTAGGCTTTTATATATATATATATATATATATATATATATATATATATATAGATAGAGAGAGAGAGTTTCAGTCAAGGGATTCTTCAAATATGCTTATTTGATGGACACTCTCGTATTGCTATGAAAACCTAGACTTTGTAGGAGTCAGCTATGAAATTGTTTTTCATGCCCCCACATGGAAAAAAGTCTGGGTCCGCCACTGCTTGTAGGACCCACTCCATATTGTATTTCACTAATTCAAACCATCTATTTTGTATATACTCATTCAAAGATCATCCCTACAAAATAAATAAATAAAATAAAATCAATTAAATCCAATATCATTTTACCACTAAATTGAATTATTGAAATTTAAGCACTTTCTTGAAGCACCGTATTCATTGATATCGTAGGATACAATTGGATATCGAAACGGTTTTCGATTTGTCTAATTTTTTGCAAGGATGATCTATGAATGTAGACTTAAAAAATATATGATTTGGATCGTTGAAAAAATATTTGTAGGGAACCCTAAAGGGTGTCCGTCAAATAAAATTATTTGAGGGATCCCTCAGTAGAAGGGGACTGATATATATATTCACACACATGCCAAATAACCATGCCTAATAAAAACTCAAAATTTTCCAGTTCATGTTTTCTAAACTTTCAACTTCACTTTTTACACAACAGTTTGCCATATCACATAGTGTTAAATTAAGAGAATGACAACCACATGGCATGAACAAGCTCTAGGATTTATTTCGAGTAATCTTCTTTGTACACCTTGATTTTTCCCTTTCATATTAGAGCCATTATCATAACCATATCCTCTAACACCATCAAGGGACTCTAGGACAGATTGCAATTCATTAAAAAGTCCTTATCCTGATGTATCTTTCACAATTAAAAACTCTAAAAAGCACTCTTCTATTTTGGCCAAACTCCTTGACACATCCACACATGGTATTATCAAAGTCATTTGTTTCTTGTGACTTGAATCAGGAGTGCAATCAAGAATCATTAAAAAATATTTTACTTATTTGATTTTCTCAACGATTGCATTTCTGACTTTTGATGCCATCAAAGCTAGAGATACAAGATACTCACAGCAAAGGTTTTTAACCCACCTATTAATACAAATGAGGAAAATACTAAAACCCAAAATGAGACAATAATAAAAGTAAAGGCCCAAAAGGCCACAAGCAACCGAAAACCCCATGAAACTCAAGGCCGATGTAAGCATGAGCAAAACTTCCCTCACAGGACACAATAAGAAATAACAAAACAATAAAGTAAACTACCAACTATCAACTCTCTCAAGGACAGCTTATCTCAAGAGAAAAATAAATAATAAAAAAAAGAAAGAGAGTACAAGGCTAAGCACAACAACACGGTCTCACTCTACCCCACACACCAACTCCTCGAGTCTCCACTCGTGCCGCCTTCGCATAAATTGGTCCGAGTCCACGTCAATTTGATTATTCATCTTTATCCAGAAAGAAAAATGCCGCCCGTCAGCCTGACGTCACACAACTAACGGACTCACCTACCGCCGTTATAACGCCGCAGCCCCAACAGTTCCCCCTTCCGCACTCCTCCCGCTCCCACGTATGACGTCAGCATAGATAAGGTGTGTACCGGTCCGTTCTGCAAGCCCACCAACCCCCGCGAGAAAAGTGGACCCAGTTTTCAAATCAGTGGGTCCCACACACACAACACACATGATATCTCTTGTTTTTTTTATACCGTGTACCTGAGAAAAAGAGTGTCGGTGGACAACCGGAGATGAAGAAGAAGAAAGCCCCTTGGAAGGGCCAAAAACCTTTTTTTAATAATTAAAAGCGTTTTTGTTAACGTTTGACAAAAAAATTTAGAAGCGTTTTTAAGTCATAGAAGCGCTTCCTAGAGAAGTACCTGTCATATACTTCTTCAGAAAGCATGCTCAAGTGCTTTTCCACGAAGCACTTTAATTTTCTATGAAAATTCAAGATTTTTATAATAAAAGTGCTTTTGTTAGAATCACTTATGAGCAAAAGTTCTTCCTAAAGAAGTAGTCCCAAACAAACCCTTAGTATTATGGGTCACCATCTCACCAACTCTCTCTCTCTCTTTTTTTTTTTTTTTTTTTTTTTTTCAAGTCTCTCTCTCTCTCCTCTCTTTTTCTCTCTCACTCAACAAAAAGTAGACAAAGCAACAAACCAAAAAAAGGAGGAAAATTGCGTGCCACCAACTCTTATCATCATTTCCATTCCATGCATTCTAAGCAAATGGAATGCTAACAACTTTCTCTCTAATCTTCTTTCTTTTTTGTTTGATATGTGTCATTCTCCTTATACTTAAAACAATGTCATTAATGTATTATATAAACTAACTTTTGCTTTCAAAGTTTACCCTTATTAAATGTATTCAATTTATCCACAAAAAAATTCACAACTTTCTTACAATCATTTTATTATATATTTTTTTAACGTTTTAATTATAACTATATTTATAACACAAAGTAGATAAAAAAAAAAATAAAAAAAAAAAAAAAAAAAAAATATAACAATGCCATCTTGGGTACCTTGACCAGCAAAATATTCATGCATGTTTGAGGTCCACAAATTATAATTTCCCTATTACATATAGTAGATATGCACCTTAATTAATACAAATATATTAGTAATAAACACAAATAAATCATATATGACAACTATTAACTACCATTGGGGTGCTTACAGATGTGAAGGAAATTTTTTTTTTTCTATCTAAACCTTTGTGTTAAAAAAAAAAAAAAAAAAACATTTCCTCTTGTTTTTAAAAATAGATATTTTCTTTAAAAAAAAATTAATAAGATGGTAAGAAAGTTGTGAATTTTTTTTGGATAAAATGAATACATTTAATAAGGATAAACTTGGAAAGCAAAAGTTAGCTTATATAATATATTAATGACATTGTTTTAAGTGTAAAAAGAATGACACATGTCAAGCAAAAAAAGGAGAAGTTACAAAAAAAATGTTTGAGCGAAAATTGTTAGATTCCCTCTAAGCAATTAAGAAATTAATCCCACTTTTCTTAGTGTACCACCTCCTCTCACAAAACAAAAGGGTAAGCACGGTGGGGAGAGAAGAGAGAGTTGTAATGGTCAAGGCTTGAGTGGTGACGTGGCATGTCGTGACTGGGCAAGTTGGGTAGCAGGGTAGGTGAGTGACAGATGCTCTCTCTCTCTCTCTCTCGGCTTCGGCTATACTTAGTTGGGCAACCCACCTCTGACTTCTTAAGAACTCTTTTTCTGTCTCCCAATACTCTCCCAACCCAATATACCCAAAATCCTTGCTTTGCCCTGCCGTCTTCTTCTTCTTATCTCTCTCTGTCTCTCTCTCTCAACTCTGATCAACAGTACCCCTATATTCCCCTCCCTGCTAAAGTACGCCGGTAGCAGTACACACTCCCCAAATCACAGGTAAATTTTCTATCATATCATTCCCTATTTCATTCTCCTCTATTTCTCATTTTCGCCAGAACGGCACGGCGCATTTTAGCCTCAACGGTTCAGCGCATTTTAGTAGTAATGGTGGATTTTAGCCGGACCGGCGCATTTTAATACTAGGCTGATCATGGCTAGAGATCCGTAGCGGAAAAAAACATAACGCGAGAAAGGAAAGAGGAGGGATTTTTTAACTTTTATTAAATCCGACGGCGCACGTTTAGCCCAAGCGGCTGGATTGGTGGTGCACCAGCGAGCGCGTATGAAAGAAAAGAAGAAAGAAACCGGAAAAGGAAAGAGATTGGATTCTAGTTAATTATACCCCGAGGACGGCGCACGTTAGCCGAAGAGCCAAATCCAAAATTTAAAATAAAATGCTAAAAGTGTGTGTGTTGGGTGGTATGCAGGTGAGCCAGGCGGTGGGGCCCAGATAAGGAAACGCGCCAAAAGATGGTGGTCAACGTGAGCGTGAGGGAGACAACGCTGGTTAAGCCGGCAGCGGAGACGCCGAGGCAGGCGCTGTGGAACTCTAACGTGGACCTGGTGATCCCGAGCATCCACACGCCCAGCGTCTACTTCTACAGGCCCAACCAAAACGGTGCGTCGTCGAACTTCTTCGACCCGGCGGTGCTCAAGCTCGCCCTGTCCAAGGCCCTCGTGCCCTTCTACCCCATGGCCGGCCGCCTCAAGCGCGACGAAGACGGCCGTATCGAGATCGACTGCAACGGGGAAGGGGTGCTGTTTGTCGAGGCCGAGACGAGCTCGGTCATCGATGATTTCGGCGATTTTGCACCGACTCTCGAGCTCCGGAGGCTCATCCCCGCCGTTGATTACTCCGCTGGGATATCCTCATATGCTCTCTTGGTGTTACAGGTATAAATTGTATTGATGGTTTTTTTAATTATTTTTTTTCCTGTAATGTTTTGGAATGTTCATATTATCGTATATAACAATAAAATAATTAAAAAAAAGGAGAAAAATCTTGGGAGGGAACGGGGACCTATTCAAACGAAGTGTCTATATCATCAATTGGTCAACCTGTAGCACTTTTGTGTTCTGGTAGAAACTAATGATCGCATGTATTGACCTACTATATACATTGCATTTACTAGGTAGTAAGTCGGCTTAAATTCGGCCGTATGTATGCACACGTGAGTGATTCATAGCTATTGATTTGTGTAGATAATTGTTCTCTAAACTCGTTTGTCACATACATTGACTGTATCACTCATGCAAGTGGAACTCATAGGTATTTACATACACAAGTGGGTCCCACCTATGAAAAATGTGTTAACATCGTTACCATGTTAGGTGAAGTACACATCTAATCTTAATTGATGGATCAAGATGGTTAGGAAATGTGGTTTAACTTAGTGATTTGGTGTGATTTTGGATTAGCGGCCTTTTTTACTTGGATTGGTGAGAGGACATGGGACTTTTGGCTTTAAGCGAAGGCGACAGGCGGACGAAGAGTATAAAAGAATTAAGTTTGCTCACATTTCACGACAATTATTTTCTAAGTTTGGTCACATTTCACAACAGTTATTTTCTAAGTTTGCTCACATTTCACGACAATTATTTTCTAAGTTTTGTCACATTCCAACCAGTTATTAATTTCCTAGCTACATTATAATACAGTCAAGTCTAGAAAACTAATTTTACACATCAGGGTAATTTCCATGCAGGAAACTATTGAAAACTAGCTTTAAAAAGTCTCCGGATTCTTAAATAAATAAAATAAAATAAAAGTCTATAGATTTGATGTCCCATTATTCCCTTGCTAGAATTTTTCTAAGGATAAAGTCAGGTGTGATATTATTAAATATAATGTCTAAGCAATCATGTCTCAGATGTCAAAATAGTGAAAGTTCAAAAAAAAAAAAATATTTAATAGGAAAAATGTGCAGTTGAGAAGTTGTTATTGAGACTAATTATTTGTTGAACATTTCAAGGGTTGAAATAATATTGAATGATTGTTTGAATATGTCACCCTCTGGACTTGGTTGCATGATTCTTGGTGATCAATTGCTAACAGTCTGTTGAGTAACACTGAATGTTTCAACCAGTTGACCAATTGGAATTGTTGAAGAGTTGAGCTTACAAGGTATGGTGCTCTTTGCAGGTCACTTACTTCAAATGTGGAGGAGTGTCACTTGGTGTTGGAATGCAGCATCATGCAGCAGATGGATTTTCTGGTCTCCACTTTGTCAACACATGGTCTGATATGGCTCGCGGCCTTGATCTTACACTTCCGCCGTTCATTGACAGGACATTACTTCGTGCCCGAGATCCACCGCAGCCTGCATTCCACCACATCGAATACCAACCTGCTCCACCATTGAAAACCCCTCTGCAAAGCACAAAACCTGGCGCTGATAGCACAACAGTCTCCATTTTTAGATTGACGCGGGAGCAGCTCAACATCTTGAAAGCCAAGTCCAAGGAAGCTGGGAACACAATCAGCTATAGCTCATATGAGATGATGGCGGGTCATATTTGGAGATGTGTATGCAAGGCACGCGAACTTCCCAATGATCAAGACACCAAACTATATATTGCCACTGATGGAAGATCCAGACTGCAACCCCCACTCCCTCCTGGTTACTTTGGCAATGTGATTTTCACAGCAACACCCATTGCTGTCGCAGGGGATCTCCAATCAAAACCAACATGGTTCGCAGCAAGCCGCATTCATGATGCTTTGGTTCGTATGGATGATAACTATCTTAGATCGGCTCTAGACTATCTTGAGCTTCAGCCTGATCTGTCAGCCCTTGTTCGCGGTGCTCATTCTTTTAGGTGCCCTAATCTTGGGATAACTAGCTGGGTTAGGCTGCCGATCCATGATGCTGACTTTGGTTGGGGTCGACCCATTTTCATGGGACCTGGTGGAATTGCATTTGAGGGGCTGGCTTTTGTAATACCAAGTGCAACTAATGATGGGAGTTTATCAGTGGCCATATCTCTTCAATCTGAACATATGAAATCATTTTCCAAGTTGTTATACGACATATAACGAACCGACATGCCTGATGAATTTAGTCCGGCTTGAATTACTTCGGGCAGGTCATATTCAGGTTTGCCATATTTTTCTGATGTGGTCTTTCCGAGTGCTCTTTTCCTCATACATGGTTTATGTCAGTGGGAATACTAATGCCTGAAATAGGACAAATGTTGTACACATTTAAGGACTTTGACAACAATTGTATTACTCATTGATATTGAATTTACAATAAGTTTAATTTTGTTAAATCACAGAGGTTGCATAAAGAATATTTGCCTGTGCTAAAGCTACAAACTGGTACAAGTTTTGGTAATTCTTGTTTTATGCAAGAACAGTTGTAGTTTTATTTCTTATATATTGTGGAAACTGCATTAGCATAGCTAAAAGAACTATACTAGTTTGTGTTTTTTTTACTATAAGCGATAGTCTAAACTACATGGGAATGAGGGTTTTCTCTCACACACACACACACAGACCACTGTTCTGCAAGTCAATGTCATTTTCCATTGAGCTAGACCCCGTTGGCATATTAGTGTCTGCTTAAACTTATATTTGAGAGTGTAAAAAGGTTCAACACCACAGCACAACTGTGAGGCACAGAGCAGAGCATATTACTCAACAGAACAGTCAATTAGTGTGTCATTTAAGTGCTTTGGTGTGGAAGTTTAGCTTAATTAGTGCGGCTCAGCCTAACACTGGTCATGTTGATTCACACTTACATCCTTTTCCATTTTCAGAGAGATCTTCACTCCTTCCTTACATTTCGGTATTAACACCGAATTACAGGCATCCGCCTTAATCTATAATCCTTCTACAATCACTATTTTCCTCTGCCAAGAATTTTAATCATACAAGATTGTATATGTGTTTCCTCAATTTCTTAAGGATAGCCCCACTGACTTCCATGAGGAACACCAATCAATATTACACTAATAATTTAATTTAACAATTAAATTCAATAATAAATAAAATCACGAAATTAATAAAGGCAGTAAAATAAAAACTGACTGGTTTTTCAAATAGAGGCTTGCAAATTGCAATGTCCTTGAAACAGAATTTCACCCCTACTAAGTTCTTGTAGTTCTGCAGGCATCTGCTCCACCAGGATACAACTATCTAAAATCAAAGTCCTAGCATTAGGGCTTTGATTTATGGCGAAATCTGTGTGTTTCTCTCAAGCTATGAACAGGAATGATGACTTTGAATGATATCTGCGTTTTTGATGTGTTTAAAAAATAATAATTCAAATAATTAATTAATTAACTTGGAATTAATTTAATTAATTGGGTTTAATTTTAAATCACATAGCTCAAAATGCCCAAGGCCCATCTTTTGATTAATTAAATATTATATATATATATAAATTAATTAATCATTGAGCTAACTAATTAGGCATTGACTCAAAAGACGAAACCACAAGCCACTCAATTGGGCCACTTGCATAGCCCAATCCAAACTACTTTATTCCAAAAGTAAGTCTTATGAAGACCACTCTAGTTTTCCAATGTGGGACTAATTTCAACTCAAACATGTTTGCAATGCCTTGTAAAAACCAAGAGTGTCATCTTGCTATAATAATATACACCTCATAACAACACTTATGTTTCAGGCTATTGATCCTCTAACATCTTTTTGATTCTTCGGTTTTTCTTTGAGGAGCTCATTTCTTTCCAAATTGGTGGAAGATGATAATTCTGCAACAAGGAAATGTGTTGAAGTCCTGTTTATAATTGCCCATTATTCTGAGAGAGAGAGAGAGAGAGAGAGAGAGAGAGAGAGAGAGAGAGAGAGAGAGAGAGAGAGAGAGAGTACATAAACATAAATCACACCACAAGCACAACCAATTTAGTAAGAGAAAGTACAAGAATAGCACAATAATCCTGGTACAAGCTCACAAGCAATTTTTGAAAACTTAGCAACAAAAAAGTCAACACTCATCAGATTACAATCTTAATTATAAGTAAGGGTGTCATAATCCTATAAAAAGACTAGGTATCAAAGGTTCTTCCAAGGACACTCAAAGGGAAAGCTCAAAATCAGCCACGAAGAGGTAAAACACCAAAGAAAAAGGGAGAAGAACACACAACTGACAAACCAAAGCTACATATTCAATACAAATTTCCGATCGAATGGAAACTTGTTAGATCAATTGAAAGAGAAGAATAAGAATCAAAGCAAAGGTTACTTGCAACCTGGTTTTAGTGAAGAGAAAGGGCTGTTGGGGCCTTGCTAACAATGATGGTGCACTACTTCTCTCATTTGGGCGTGGCTTATGAGCAATATTTGCACCCCCATAAACTCCCCCTTTCCCTTTTTGGATCTTCCTTGGCTCATCCATTTCATATTTTTCTCCACATAGCTTGACCGCGCCGTCTACACCTGTATGCCTCAGTACTATAAAATTTACATTCAGCGCAACAAAAAATGAATCATTTGCAAATATAAAGGAATTCTTACCATGAAAGTCTTGTCCTTGTCCGATAGGTCTTGAGGGGTTAGCACCTTTTTGATCATATTCTAACTTAAAGAAGCCTTTGAGAGCCAAGCTTAATAGGGCATGAGAGCATGAGATGAACAAAAACCATGCAAGTAATTTCATTCCCTTCATTTTTCGTATTGGGAGAGGGAGTAGGGATCTTGGGTTGATAGGATAGGGACAAACTGTTAAAAGATTTAGGCCTCAGGGATGGTAGTTTCTAGCTTTTGAGAGAATCTTAAAAGAGTGGCACAAGCACCATTGCAGCTGTAAAAGGAACTCAGAAAATGGTAGCGTCAAAGAGGAGCAATTATATAGGCACATTCCGAAACCCTGCCATTTTGCTGTGGAGTGGAGGAATATTTTTACACAATGGTTGTGTTTGTCAAGCTTAGCACATGACATAATTTTTTTATTTTGTCAAAGATAGAAAGGGCAAGGGAAAAACTCACACACACGGGTACCATAAGGACTTGGAGCCTTGCTCTTAAAATGAAAACTCATGTTATAAAGACGATGAATCCACATCAGTCTTTTGTTATCTGAGAGATGAGGTACTGGAATTTGAAATTTCTTGCCTAGTCTAAAACATTTGATTAAGAGAACTCATTGAGTGTGAATTGGAGCTATTTGAGAGATGAGCTATTCAATTTTTAATCGACTCTATTTATGCAGATTTTGAGGCCACAAGTGTTTTGGTTCAAATCGAGTGTTAATTGGACTTAAAATGAATCTTCGTAAAAATTGACCTTACATTTTAAGTACAAATATTATTGAAAGTCAATTTAGTCACAAGAGTCATTTTAGTGTGTTAGTTAGTTATACTGTTTGTCAATGACTAAAGAGTGGTTGGAGTTGGAGGTTGACTGCGGCAATCACTGGATTTAGATGGTAGTTGGTCACAATCGTCGAAGTTGGCCAACCGGAGAACATTCCTTATGGTGTTAGGCCGGAGGCTGGCCTGAAATAGTAGCCAGGGAGAAGTGAGGTGCTAGAATTTGTTGGTTTATACATGCATGGTTGACAATGAGGAATTAAATTGACAATGAGTGCAAATTTGGAGGGGTAAAATGTAATTTTCCCTCTTTGTTTTTGTCAGATAATTTCTTCATTGAAATGCCCAAAAAGGGTTGGGAAAAAATGGAAAACTTAGCAATGCCCACCACCACCAAGACCAACCTAAACTAACGACGTCGTCTTGAGCTGGCAAGCGTTCTTCTTCAGCGTTCGTTCTGGTTCTGGTTCAGGTCAGGTAGCTAAAGCTCTTCTTCTCCCCCATATTAGCTGAAGGCTGAAAGCTCAGGTAATTTTTTTTTGTTTCTCTCCTCTCTTTGCTTCTCTCACTTTATTCTCTATTCCCTTCTATCAATTCAGCTAGGATTTTCTTGAATTTGAATTTTGTGGGTTTTCAATCTGAGCTTGTGGCATTCGATCTGAGTTTTTTGGGCATGATTTTCTGATTTTTCTTACCTAATTGATTTATTTGAACCTTACATGCAGGGGATACCATTTCCAAGGGAAGCCAACAAACCAGTCCCTTCCTAGAACTCCAATCAAATCCTACGGGTAAAAAGTATGGATTCCGATACACCTGATTCCCAAACCGTAACCACCGAAACACCTCATCCCCAAACCGTAACCACCGAAACACCTGATTCCCAAACCGTAACCACCGACACACCTGATCCCCAAACCGTAACGACTGACCTGGAAACCCTAACCCTCTCCAGCGATCCATTGACGGATCAGTTCGGCTCCCTCAATGACGTGGCCCATGAGCTCGCCTCCCTCCAGGACCTTGCCACGCGCGGCTCATGGCGCTCCATCCTCGACAAGGTGGCCCGGGCTCGAGCCCAATCTCTCCTCCACAAACCCCACGACCACCTCGTTTATTTCACCTACAATGTCCTTGCCTTGACTAAACTACGCAGGTTCCCCGAAGCCGCTGCCGAGATCGATTCCTTAGAGGACCTCGACAGCTCTCGCTACCAGTACGAGTCGTATCCAAAAGTGTACCCAAACCGGGTTGGGTCCATGGTACCCTTCTCCCTCCGGTGGCTTTATGCCTTGATGCCCATCAAGTTGGGCCAGCGACAAGATGGTCTGGACCGGCTCTACTGCTTGTTAGATTTTGTACGGAGCAAAATAAAAGAAAAACAAAAAAATGGGAGTGTCTCTGTGTGGAAGAGAAGGGAGGTGTTTGTAATGAATGGTATAATTGGGGTCCATTTGAGCAACAAGGAGGTATCTGTGTGCTTGAGCTTGATCAATGACTTGCTTAACCGTGATTACACAGATCCAGTATTGGTGTCGAAACTAGGGTACATTCAGATGCAAATGGGAGACTTAGAAGGAGCTAAGAGCTCCTTCAACGTGGTCCAAGGATTGGTGGAGAATGAGGATGAAGCGAGCAATGAGTTTAAGAACATAGTAAGTAGGAACAAAGCCTTGGTGTACATGGTGGGGAAGGACTATGTTTCCGCAGTGAGGGAGTATGAGGAGTGCATTGAGAGGGAGCATAACGACATCGTGGCCATCAACAATAAGGCACTTTGCTTGATGTACTTGCGGGACCTGGCAGATTCGATCAAAGTATTGGAGAATGCCCTGGAAAGAGTGCCTACGGTGGCATTGAATGAAACCGTTGTGGTGAATTTGTGTAGTATGTACGAGTTGGCTTACGTTAATCATTCTGATATTAAGAGGACACTGAATAGCTGGATTGCCAGGGTTGCTCCTGATGATTTTGATTCATCATCTACGAGGATTTGATTATAGGTAGTTTCACACCCTTCTCATTTGGGCTTATGGATTCTAGTGCGTCACACATTGTTGAATGAGTTTGGAGTTTTTAGGATAAGATTCAGTTTTTGATAGATGTAACTTGATTTGAAAAGAATTATCCACTTCTTTGGATGTTTTATGAGTTTGGAAATAGTGATGGTCATTAATATTTTATTGACTACAGAGGCATGCTGGCATTGCGTTTTCTAATTTCTCCTCTTCATTATAAGATTCCCAAATCATCTATATATGACAATACGTTCCTTTTAAAGAATCAGACTTTGATGGTTGTTCAGTTTGGTTTTTATTTCATATCTTGATGTGTATTGAGTGTAATTTGATTGAAAGCTTATACACTGGAATCAGCCTTCTGTGGTAGTTTGGTGTATTGAGTGTGATTATGACTTCACTGTATAAGTTAGATATGGAACAAAGAAATCTTTTGTTATTCTTTTGGACTTCATTATGGGTTCATAATTGTGCTCATCGTTGGAGCACTCTGTTATAGATTTGAACTACAGTCTATTATCGATTTTTGAGGTACGTGGTTTGTGATACAACTCCCCAAACTCTGCTGAAGTCTCAAATGCGGGCAGATATGGTTTCCTAGCTGTGAGGCCTTGGGAAGGGTTAAACTGCTGAAAAACACTTTTATCATGCAACTGCAGGGCACCAAAACTATTAGAAGGAGATCCTATGGACATGGTAACGGAGACATTTATGTGAAATTACTATTGCTCATCTTTGGGCTATGCAGATGCTTGTTGCTTCGAACCAAATCCAGAATACCATGCGACCTCTGTAACATTGTTCCCAAAATTCATCCTCCACCTACAGATTTCGTTATACTAGTTGGACTGCAGAACTAACTGTTTGATTTGATAAATTGACTAATGAAATATCAGTTTCCTTATTCATTTGAAATGATTCAAATTTCTGTCCTAATTTTTGTTGACTTCTGTAGACATAATTAACAGCAACTGAGGGGCCAATTGTATCTATTATGGTTTTGCCTAATTCTGGAATTGTAGCATGCGGATTGGTTTCTTGGCTTAATGTTGCAGTTGGTCCATTATTTTTCCATTGGTGTCTTGCGTAGATCCCGGTTTTGCCAGTTTGTTGCAGCCTACCTCTGCCTGATGGTTGTTCCCTTTTCAGGTTAAACCTATTTGTTATGTTTCTAGAAGCACATAGATGATTGGCTTCGGCTTGGTCTTGCTCCTGAAATTGATTTGTCTATCTGGTGCTTGTTATTGATTGATTTTGGCTTTGTATTTGAATTTTTTACCATGTGTTCTTGTGGTTAGGTCTTAAATCTTTTATTCCTTAACCCGATTTTGCAAACAATGCTGACAGAAGATTATACAGTTGTTTTGAGCTTAAAACTTGATTTGATTGATAGAAGTTACAAGTGAGAAGAATTAGAATGAATTCCTTTCGAAACAGAATCACTGAGATTTGAATGATATTTGTAGATGAAGAACAGAATAAAGTTTTTTATTTAATTACACAAAAAGCTGAAATATACATCACATCCTCACATGGTTCCTACGTCTACCTATTATTCAAGCATTTCACTCAAGAGAAAACAGTAAGACAAGAGCAGGGTTCAAAAGCAGAACATCCAAAAAGAAACCTATTCTAGCTTAGTCTACCTCTTCAATCTTAGGCCCAGCTCCTGCTCCATCAGAGCTAGCGTTGCCAAATCCGCCACCAGGCATCTGAGCACCGCCCATTGGCACATCACCACCAGCACCTTGATACATTTTAGCAATAATTGGGTTGCACAAGCCCTCCAGTTCCTTTTGTTTGTCCTCAAATTCTTCAACTTCAGCCAACTGGTTCCTGTCAAGCCATTCAATCGCCTCATCAATGGCCTTCTCGATCTTCTGCTTGTCTGCAGGGTCCAGTTTTCCAGCAATCTTCTCATCCTTTACAGTGTTCCTCATGTTGTATGCGTAGTTCTCAAGCGAGTTCTTGGCATCCACCTTCTTCTTCACCTCCTCATCTTCAGCCTTGTACCTCTCTGCCTCCTGCACCAATCTCTCAATCTCCTCCTTGCTCAGCCTTCCCTTGTCATTGGTGATAGTGATCTTGTTCTTCACTCCAGCAGTCTTGTCTTCAGCAGACACATTTAAGATGCCATTTGCATCAATGTCAAAGCACACATTGATTTGAGGAACACCTCTTGGGGCCGGAGGAATGCCTGTGAGTTCGAATTTTCCAAGAAGATTGTTGTCCTTGGTTCGAGCCCTCTCTCCTTCATACACCTGAATTAATACTCCCGGCTGGTTGTCAGAGTAAGTAGAGAAGATCTGCTCCTTCTTGGTAGGTATAGTGGTGTTCCTCGGAATCAAGACAGTCATGACACCACCAGCAGTCTCAAGACCAAGGCTGAGAGGCGTGACATCAAGAAGCAGCAAGTCTTGAACCTTCTCATTCCCTTCACCAGTCAAAATTGCAGCTTGAACAGCAGCCCCATAAGCAACAGCCTCATCAGGGTTTATGCTCTTGCACAATTCCTTGCCATTGAAGAAATCTTGCAAAAGCTGCTGAACTTTAGGAATCCTCGTCGACCCACCAACCAGAACAACTTCATCCACCCGACTCTTATCGATTTTTGAATCCCTCAAACACTTCTCCACAGGTTCCATACACTTCCTAAACAAGTCCATGTTCAACTCTTCAAATCTTGCTCTTGTAATTGTGGAATAGAAATCAATGCCTTCATAAAGCGAATCGATCTCAATTGTGGTCTGTGCGGTTGAAGACAGAGTCCTTTTCGCCCTCTCACACGCAGTCCTCAACCTCCTCAAAGCTCTAGCATTGCCACTAATATCCTTCTTGTGCTTTCTCTTGAACTCTTGCACAAAGTGATTAACAAGCCTATTGTCAAAATCTTCACCACCAAGATGAGTGTCCCCAGCAGTGGCCTTCACTTCAAAGATCCCTTCCTCAATTGTGAGCAAAGAAACATCAAAAGTACCACCACCAAGATCAAAAATAAGAATATTCTTCTCACCAGCCCTCGACCCTTTCTTGTCAAGACCATAAGCAATGGCAGCAGCAGTTGGCTCATTGATAATTCTCATCACATTCAGGCCAGCAATAACGCCCGCGTCCTTCGTAGCCTGCCTCTGCGAGTCATTGAAGTAAGCAGGCACGGTGACCACAGCGTTGTTGACTGAATGACCCAAATAAGCCTCAGCAATTTCCCTCATCTTGGTCAGCACCATGGACGATATCTCTTCGGCTGCAAACTGCTTCTCTTCGCCTTTGTATTGAACGACAATCATGGGTTTGTCGCCTGGGCCAGGAACGACCTTGAAAGGCCAGTGCTTCATGTCGCTCTGGACAGATGGGTCGGAGAATCGCCGGCCGATGAGCCTCTTGGCGTCGAAAACGGTGTTTTGGGGGTTCATGGCAACCTGGTTTTTGGCTGCATCGCCGATCAAACGCTCTGTATCAGTGAAAGCAACATAGGAAGGGGTGGTTCTGTTGCCTTGGTCATTGGCTATGATCTCAACGCGGTCGTTTTGCCACACTCCCACGCAGCTGTAGGTGGTGCCGAGGTCGATGCCAATGGCCTTGCCTTCTGTCTTTGAAGCCATAGATGACAAAACTCAGCAAGAAACTATATGAATGAAACAGAAATTGAAAGAGCTCAAGAATAGGGATGGTTTGAGATTTTTTTGGGTTATTTTGTGTGCACTTTTCTGTTGTTGATTGATTGCTTGTTGGGCTTTGGATGTGATATGAAAGTGTATATATAGACATTGGTCTATGAAGGCGGTGGGAAGAAATTTGGAGAGGTGAGTAGAAGAAGAAAGAAGCAACCAGAGAGTTCTGGAGAAATTGATATAAGCAGCCTCCTCTGTTTTTGGGTTTTGTCCAGAGGATTGTGGATTTTTTTTTGGACGAATCCAGAGGGTTGTGGATGCTTCCACACAATGGTGTCCAAATCCAATACCAATTTCCAAATTTTGATTTTGGGGTTTGAAGGTGAGTGGAGTTGGGCTAATCAAACACGTTTGATCTCTTTACGCCCCAAACTTTTATTTCGACACCCAAGTCCAATATTGTTCCCCAAGGACGGCATGCTATGCATGGTCCAATTGAAAAAAGAAATACAATTAAAAAAGAAAACAAGATAAATGCTACTTATTTATCGGTAGCGCTGAAGCGCTAATTGGTTAGTGAATTTATTACGATGCTAACCACTCATTTAGACTCACTCCAAGATATCATCTCATGATCAAGATCATTTCTTTCTTTAGGATAACATTAAAGAATCACTCTTGCAAAAAATTAGCCAAATTAAACAAAATTTAATCATCTAAATGTGTTCAAATAAACAAGTGATTTTTCATATTTCTTGCAAACAATTAAAATAGTCACGATAATAGTCAAATAGTATGATTTTTTTTCTTTGGCTAATTTTTGCAAAGATGTTCCTTGAATGAGGACATAAAACATGAATAATTCTGATCATGAGATGTCATTGTAAAGTGGGTTCAAACGAGTAGTTAGAGCCGTATTAAATTACCAATTGGGAGGAATTATGTATAATACTAGAATATAGTGACATAGTATGATATGGATAGACAACATAATTGATATTTCCAACTTATAAGTATTACGTCAATAATTATCCATTTATATTATAACACATGGACAATCTATTTCACTATACTTAATTACCAAACTATAATTACTCGCTAATCCATTAGCATATGAGCCCTATTTTTCCTCAGTAATAAAATAGTAATATCCAGCCCAAACTCAAATTGTTGAAATGGGTTTGATTCTCCTATAAAATGATTGTTTGACTAGTTTCATCACTAGCCTTCTACCTGCCCTTGTGGTTGAGTGCGTCCGCACTAACTACTGGCGGTCTTGGGTTCGAAGGTTGGTAATTCAACATTGTTGTTTACAAACCCCAAACTAGCAACAACAATGTGTCATTCTATACTGAGGGCCTTACATAAAATGAGGTATTCTAAAATACCTTTGTTTTCAATGTTTTCTCTTCACCTATTCTCAAGAAAGAAGTTTTTTTATATTCTTTTTGTGAGAAAGAAGTTTTATTATTATTTCGTATTACATTTAAATTTACAATTTGCTCATACATGTTTTGTAGAGAATGTGGTACCAACCTTCGAACCCAAGACCACCAGGAGTTAGTGCAAGCACTTAACCACAAGGGCAGGTTGAAGGCCAGTGCTCATACATGTTTTAAATGCATGTAAACTCCACAATGAAGTACACTTACATTAAAATCTCTTTGGAGCACTGGTGTTGCAAGGAGTCTTCTTAATTCTTTATCTTTCAATTCTGAATGAGCTAGGCTTGCTCTTGTCATGTTTTTTCTCCCTGTCTTACTAGATTTAATTTTCCAGATTTATTGTATGTAATAACCTTTGTTTGGGATGTGTTGTTACTATAAATCACTTGTATTTGCCCATGTTCTAAAGAAATTCTGCTTTTTCTGTAAATAAAAAACAAAAGTACACTTGCATGGATGCATGTCCCCCCGGCTGTACTAAGCAAACTTGACGGGCTTACCCAAAAAGAAGCAACCAGAAACTTCTGGAGAAATTGATAATTTATTCATCAAAGACGCCATGCTATATATGCCAATTGAAAAAAGAAAACAAAACTACCTATTTATTGGTAGAGAGGTGTTCAAGTGCTAATCGGTTAGTGAATTTATGCAACGTTATGCATTCGCTTGAATCCACTGCAAGATATAATCTCATAATATGGATCATTCATTTTTTAGGCCAACCTTCAAGGATATTTCTTACAAAAAATTACCAAATTAACATACATGGGTTTAGCCAAGTTGGCTAAAGCAAATGCACTTCCCACTCTGCATCCAAGTTCGAATCTCCCTTCCCGTAGTTTAGATACCGTGTGCTTGATTACCAAACTATAATTAATCACTAACCAATTAGCATTTGAGCCCTATGTTTTCTTGATAATACAATAATTATATTACGTGGCCTAAATCAAATGGTTGAAATGTGTGGGATTCCCCTATAAAGCCATTTGTTTGACGAGTCTCAACACTGGCCTTCAACCTGCCCTTGTGGTTAAGTGCTTGCACTAACTCCTGGTGGTCTTGGGTTCGAAGGTTGGTACCACATTCTCTACAAAACCCAAAATGGCAACAACAACAACACACAAACACACAGCACACGTTCAAAATGAGGTATTCTAAAATACCTTTGTTTTTATACAGGTATTCTCTTTTGCATAACTAGAAATAAGTTTTTATTATTATCATTTCATATTACATTTTAATTTACAATTTACATGTTAGTGTTTGAACTAGGGAGTTAAAGAGTGAGAAGTGAGACAGAGGGGAGGGGTTTGAACTTCTGTACTGCATTTCAGATTATATAGTAATGGTGTACTTTTAAGATATCATAGAATAATTAATACATAATGAATTATGGTTTATAGTTATTCTCTCCACTCAAAAAACAAACTTAATTCACATTTTGGCAATGTAATTATAGAGAAAAGTTAAAGAAAATTAGCGTACACTTATGCTGCACTTAAAACATGCAACCATAAGGTAAAGGACCCACTAGTATAGTGGTTTGGAGTAATCGCTCATTCAAGCAAAGTCCTGGGTTCGAGTCCTAGTATTCGTGTTGTGTGTGTGAGTTTAGTATATTATCGCTCATCTGAATAGGAAATGTCCTAAAAAATATGCAACCACAATGGAAGATGTTTTTTTTTAATAGCTCAAATGGTTAAGAGTAATCACATATGCACTCGAAGTTCTATGTTCCAATTTCCCGTCTACAATATCGCTTATATCAAAAGAAAAAACATGCAACCACAATTATTTCTCAACTTTTCTTACATATACACATAAATTCAAATTTAGAAAAACCCCATAAAATTGGTAAATAAATATGGTACTTGTCCAATAAATAAAAAGGCCCAAAAGGAACTTTTTTTCCTAAATAAAAAATAAAAAAATAACCCTGCCTGCAGCTTAACTGGAGTAATTTTTTTCTAACAAGAGATATGAGTTCATCATTAAGGTGCCATAAGAGTTTGAACCTGGTTACGAGTTATTTTTGGCTAAACTTATTTTTGGGAAAAGAAAAAAATGTATCAGGCCAACTAACACAAGATAAATTTTTTTAATTTTAATTTTTATTTTAAAAAGCTAACAAACTAGCTCCACCACTCTCCAGAACTCTCTGGTTTGGCCTCTTTTCTTCCTTCGCGACCCTTCCACCCCCTTCTCTTCCTCTACAATGAAGATTTCCATGAACCCTACCCACGCATATAAATTCAACCCCTCCAATCTCCACCACCATATCGTGAAAAAACCAAAAGCATTTCAAGCATCCAGATTTAAATTACCAAAACACCATACCCGAAGCAACCAACTAGCTCTTAAGCTCCAATTTCTTTTGCTTCTTCGTTAGTGCTTTCTCAATCAAATAATCAACTAGTTTCTTGCTGAATTTGTTATCTATGGCTTCAAAGACTGAAGGCAAGGGTATTGGCATCGACCTCGGCACCACCTACAGCTGCGTGGGAGTGTGGCAAAACGACCGCGTTGAGATCATAGCCAATGACCAAGGCAACAGAACCACCCCTTCCTATGTTGCTTTCACTGATACAGAGCGTTTGATCGGCGATGCAGCCAAAAACCAGGTTGCCATGAACCCCCAAAACACCGTTTTCGACGCCAAGAGGCTCATCGGCCGGCGATTCTCCGACCCATCTGTCCAGAGCGACATGAAGCACTGGCCTTTCAAGGTCGTTCCCGGTCCTGGCGACAAACCCATGATTGTCGTTCAATACAAAGGCGAAGAGAAGCAGTTTGCAGCCGAAGAGATATCGTCCATGGTGCTGACCAAGATGAGGGAAATTGCTGAGGCTTATTTGGGTCATTCAGTCAACAACGCTGTGGTCACTGTGCCTGCTTACTTCAATGACTCGCAGAGGCAGGCTACGAAGGACGCGGGCGTCATTGCTGGCCTGAATGTGATGAGAATTATCAACGAGCCAACTGCTGCTGCCATTGCTTATGGTCTTGACAAGAAAGGGTCGAGGGCTGGTGAGAAGAATATTCTTATTTTTGATCTTGGTGGTGGTACTTTTGATGTTTCTTTGCTCACAATTGAGGAAGGGATCTTTGAAGTGAAGGCCACTGCTGGGGACACTCATCTTGGTGGTGAGGATTTTGACAATAGGCTTGTTAATCACTTTGTGCAAGAGTTCAAGAGAAAGCACAAGAAGGATATTAGTGGCAATGCCAGAGCATTGAGGAGGTTGAGGACTGCGTGTGAGAGGGCGAAAAGGACTCTGTCTTCAACCGCACAGACCACAATTGAGATCGATTCGCTTTACGAAGGTATTGATTTCTATTCCACAATTACAAGAGCAAGATTTGAAGAGTTGAACATGGACTTGTTTAGGAAGTGTATGGAACCTGTGGAGAAGTGTTTGAGGGATTCAAAAATCGATAAGAGTCGGGTGGATGAAGTTGTTCTGGTTGGTGGGTCGACGAGGATTCCTAAAGTTCAGCAGCTTTTGCAAGATTTCTTCAATGGCAAGGAACTGTGCAAGAGCATAA